AACGTACAGTAGTAGGCTGTAAAAGGAAGTTGGCCGCTCTCTGAGTTTTACAGCAGGCCTGAGAAAGTTTTCAAACTGCGATCGAAGAAAAAAACTGAGAAATTCACTGAAAGTTTGAATAATAAGAGTTTTTTTCTTCAAAAACCTTCGAAAAAAAATTGTTTCTTATACCACCACAGCGAAATATTTATTTTTTTCTTTTTTATGATAGTAATATTTGCAGCCTTCGGTAGGGAAGTTGGACATTTAAATTCTCACGGGCGCTGAAAAAAGTTTTTTGCGTGCGTTCAGTTTGAAAAACTAGAAAAAAACTTCCTAGCGGCTACTCAAGTAAAAAAATTTTCTTCAAAAAAGAGCTACGGCACAAAAATGGATGTTTTTGAAAAACAAACGTTCCTTTCCATTACAGAGACCAAATCATTATGAATTATTGATGAAGTAGACGAGCAAAATGAAGGGGCAAAAAAATCGCGCGAGAAAAGCGTGGGAAAGTGAAAACCCTTACGTTTGTCACTATAGGTTTGTTTCAATGAAAATTAAGAGTTTGGACAACCGTGTGAAAAAAAAAAGAGAATAAATATTATTTTGGAGATTCCGGGTATAATAATCTACACACTTCTTAGAGCTTTTTTTCTGAAGAAAGAGCCAATAAAAAAACCAAAGCGAAGGAAGAAGAGCAATGAAAAGAAGCCATTAAAAGCCAATGAGCTCGAAAAAGAAGTGAAAAGAGCCGAAATCGGAATTGGAACGGGTGCAGCTCAATTGATACAAGTCGCCATTAAGATTTCAAACGTCCAAACGTTTCACCCACCAGAAGACTCATCAAAGCGACACCCACAGGAAACAATTTGCATTCATGTTGTGTAAGAAGATGACAAGGACACAATGAGCCTAATATACTGTGTATGGATTGCGCCACACTTTCTCGAGATAAAATTTAGACGAGGGAGGATGTTTTAGTGTGGGAAAGTCAAAATTTCAACAAAAAATATGAATAAAATGATTACCAAGCTCTCAAAAATTCTAGTAAGTAATAGATTAACGTCAAAGATTTCTTACTCAGAAACACCAAAAATTTTAAACATCTTTCCAATCGAGTTCACACTTCCAGCAAACTAGAGAAAAAGAAGCACTGTGACTTCAAACATGAGGCCAAAAAAAAGACATTTTTTTCACGGTTCGAAATAAACAGACCAAAATATGAAATTTCGAGATTTTCAACAGATTTTACCCGAACCGTTACGAAACTTTCCTTGTTAGTCTGCTTGATCACAAAGAAAAAATTCGTGCCGAGTTTGATCTTTCGTGAAAAAAAGGAAAGCAAAGATCTGAATCAGACATACAGGAAAGGCTATCAATGACAAAAACCGGGAGAAAAAGAAAGCTGTTGCTTGAAGCTGGAACCAACTTTCGACGGTGTCCCGAGCCTAATACCCGAATAAACGTATAAAGTTGCAATTCGGAGCTCTTTCAAGGTATAAGTTTCTGAATGGCGCCGAAACAGCCAAAGAGACGAAGGGACAAGTGAGTTTTGCGCCTTAAGAAATAGCATCCCCAGAGAGAGATATAACACCCAGAGGCCACACAAAGAGTCCTACTTACACGCCGTGCTCCATCTACATTTACTCGGCGACAAATTGTGAGAAGTACTTCGGGTTGATCATATGGAAGAAATTTGAAACCAGGCTGCGTGGGAGAAAACTGCAACGGAGATAGGCGGAAAAAAGAGGGATGCAAAAAAACGGCCGATCCAGAGCTTGGGAAAATCGTGCCATAGAGATGTTCATCTGCTCTTCAAAAAGGTATTCGCTTGTAATTTATCGAAAAATGCAAACTCAGTCTTCACAAGCTTCAAATCTTGAAACTTTTTAGAAAAGCAGGACAAAAAACAGAGAAATCTCGATTTAACAAATCAGAAAAATCTTGAATCAAAAGGAAAGAATCTCGAATCAAAAAATCACAATATGAATTAAAACAAAAAGTTTAGAGGCGCAATTCTGCATAAAGCTCTCATGGAAGAAATCCACCTCCTCTCTGAAAAAAAAAGTTTTTTCCACGAACACGATTTTAGAAGAAGAGAGTTAATGACAAAAATATATAGAAAAAAAAACTAAAAAAACTGCGCAATAAATTAGTAGAAATGAGTAAACTGTAAAAATGAAAAATCTTGTCGAATCCAAGTAAAGAGCCAAGGCTATAACTTGTAAGCTTACAAGAAAATCTGGCAAAGGAGCTTAACAAAACGGAAAGCGCCAAAATCGGATGTGCTCGGTCGGACTGTAAAGCTTCATCGATGGCGCACCTCGATGCCCAAACACAACGGAACCACAACAAAACTTGAGTCAACAGGGCACCCGTTGTTTGGCATAATAGGTGCGTGCGCTCCAAGTTAGGCCAAGACAAAAGTGACCAGCGCGACGGGTGGTCCTACCGACTGCCTCAGCAACTAGTTAATTGCCGTTCATCGAGTCCTTTTGATGGTTGGTTCGAAAAAAGCCGTTTTTTTTCAAAGAACAATCCTTAGTCAACTGAAAAAGTTCCTCAGCCAGATATTTGAAAAAAGGTTCATATAATGAAAAACCGAATTTTAAATGAAGATACAAAACTCTGATGAAGAAATTGAGGTGAAATTGTAAAGCTACTTCAAGTGTGATGAAACTCTACGTTTTTGAACGTTTTTTTTTTTAAGAGCGCTTCAATAACAATAAACTCTTCAGAACGAAGTTTGTGACCAACTAGCCTGGCACACAGATCTACAGAAATTTTCTCAATCAGATAAACGACATCGCAGATATCGATCATGCACACTAATTAGTATTGAAGACCTGTTTGACATTGATAGACGATGAGAAAATTCTTAACCAAACCTTCTTGGAAAAAATAAAAAATCTTGAGAAAAAAAGAGCCGCGAGATCTCGCGAGTATCAGGGAATCGTCGTCTTTAAGGAACCGCGTCCGCAAATTGCGGACTTTGACAAAATTACCAGGCGAAATACATGGCAACTAATTCTTTTTTTTTATTGGTAATCCATTTTTGTTTTGGTTAAAAGCAACACTGCTTCAAAATTATGACAGAAGAATTTTGAAACCTTCTTTATGAACTTCAGTGGCTGTCCAACTTTCTGCAAAATTTTCATGGAGTATGAATGAAAAAACTGGATTTCATTCTCACTGAACAATTTTTCACTCAACATCGTCAGAAGCGCTCTCGCACTAGTATTGAACCGAAAAAAATTTTGCTCAAAAAATGCGACGTATGAAGTGTAAGAAGGTCGATTTCAAAGTCTTTAAGCCAAAAATGAAACACATCCGACTTAGAGCCAATGAAAACAAACAAATGAGCATGTCGGATTGAAGGAAACGTGGCAGAGCCACCGACCTGCGGCCAGACGATCAAGTAGTGTAAATGAGTACCTACCTGGCCTCCCACCGCAACAATTGGCCGTAATGCAATGTAACGAGAAGACGGAGGGCGGATCAAGCGAGTTATTGTTGGGACTCGCCACATCTCTTTTGGATTAAGATTAACATTCCTGCCAAACTCTTTGTTCTCCTTTCTTGGTCTGTTCCGATTCTATAAGTGAACTAAAGTGTCTTAGGTGTCCTGAAAGTGAAAAAAAAACCGAGAAGTTATAGTAACTGAGCATTTTCCGTCGAAACAATATTTCGAATGAAAGATATTACAGATTTTCGTGCGAATTGTAGGCCTTTCAAAAACTGTTTTTGATCTGTTTTTCAAAAGAAAATTGCTTGATTTAAATTTTCTGGAAACTGCTAGTTTTACAAATTACATCTTTAAAAACTTCAAGTTAAGCGTCTCAGGAGACCGAGAAGGCATTTTGATTTCGCTCTGCGATGTTAAAAAATTCATAACGATCTTCGTTTGCGCAGACTTCCTACCGTAATCCTGCTCTCATGAAATTCGCCCTTGCTCAGCGCGTGTAATTCCAATACGTTTATACAGGAGATTGGCCAGTTTCCGGTGGCCAAAAAAGAAAAGTCCTGCCTCTAACAATGATAGCCACTTAACGAGGATGCGCGACGCACAATGCGTGCGGCCTTCCTGCGGGTGCCGTTTCCGAAGGTGTGGCAAATAGAAGACGAATAGAGGGGAACATATCCTCGAGTATGGCGATGAGCAAACAATACCTAGTGAAAGTCCGACTGGCAGTGAGACCTGCGTGAGAAATCGAGGGCTACTTGGGTATTCAGGTTCTTTCCGGTCTACCCCAAACTAGTACAACTACTACTACAGAGTGGTTAATAAGGTCGACGTTTTCTGAGATCGCGTTACCACGCCTGGAGCAATTTAGCAGTTGCAGTGGTCTGCACGAGATTTCTTTTTACTTTGTTCACCGTTAGTTGAAACGGGAATAATACAAAGGAGTCTGACCAGGAAGGTTGAAAAAGTAGAAAAGCTAATCTTGCTCAAACTATCGAAAAACGAAAGGAGGCTTTAAAAAAATATAGTGAGAAATCAACCTGTTAAAAGAAGATCATTTCATTTTGACGTCAGGAAATTTCAAAAATGACAAAGAAAACTCCTTAATATACCAAAGAAAAAAATTCTGAAAGTCTTAATCTGCCTAACTCCCTAGTTTTTTGAAATATTAGAGCATAAAGCAAAAACAGCTTATTTTAAAGGACTTCGAGGGTTTTGCTCGATTTGATCGGTATCCTTTTACAAATTCTGAGACCTTCAAGATCCAGTTTTTGAAAAGTTTCCAACTAAAATTTGAAACTGATATCCTTGTGAAAAGTAAGCATATCTTTTTGATATAGAAAATTCAATTTTTCGGAATTTTTTTTTAAGCTGCCAGCTTCACTCCAAAACTAAACCGAAATCAGAAAAACCAGGAAATCAACTTATAGGAATTAGTGCAACCTGTATCAAATGACCACAGCAGGTGAGAAACAGGATACCCGATTGGTCTAGCAAGCAGGAGAAGCCACGAGAAATGGATAGGGGTAAGTAAGTAGGCGGGTCTCAAGAAGCCGTGCTAATTGGCCGCTCGGAGACGTTTGGCGAGATCGTTGGCCGGAAGGCTGATGGTCCGGCAGAAGGCATCCGTTACGCAACCGCCAGTCGCCAGGAAATATCGGCACGAGCCGGAGTCTCCCCAAATCTTACCACAACACGAGCACCTGTGAAGGTAGACGGCTATATAAACTGTTTTATCGTGTCCGATTGCTGTAAACTACCGCGCCGATCGGCTTTTAGTTTATTTATGAGCAGCTGAAGGTAGCAGGATTTTCTTTGGAAATAACAAAGATTATGAAAAAAGAATCAAATGGAGATATGGGAAGAGTCATAAAAACGTGGAATCTCCTGAATTAAAAATCTACTTTGGCTGTAATGGTCTTAGTTTTTAAAGTAAGCTAAATTATATTAGCACTTTCCAGGACTTGGTTCAATATAAAATGCATTACCATCCGAAAAGATAAGAAAATTTTTCTGCACACAAATTTGCATAAGCTCAATCTTTTTGAAACAAAGTTATTTTGTTGCTGCCAATTGAAAGTCCACAAAGGTGTTAGAAACAACAGTTGTCATGACTACAGTATAGAAAGTATCAGGTAGAACAAACTTCATAAACGAAAGTGGTGGAACAAAAAAATTTTTTTTGTATGTTTTTTGTAACAGAAACACCAATTTCGGATTTTTCGATGCAACTTTGGTCATTTTTCAACTCCAAAGATATTTTCCTGTCTATCCAAGACAAAGGCAAGCCGCGGAGATGAGCCGACGACTGTCACAGCGGACGCCAAATGCGCGGATGTCGGACCAGAAGGCGTGAAACACCGGAAAAATAAAGCATTTGTCACGCACATTGACAAATGACAAATGATGTTTATGAGGAAATGCGGGCAATGTTGAGAAGGGCGCTTGAAAAGACGAGCAGAAGGCCCGTTGCGCAAGCCGTTGAAACCTGGGCGGCATCCGCACGTCTTCTTTCCACCGGCTGATGGATGCATCGAAAACGCAAAAAAACGCCGCAAAAGGGCTTTTTTTGGTGAGAAAGGCTGGGCCTTTTTGAAAAAAAAATGGTCGTGCCTGAGAAGAGCTTGCTCCGTTTGAGGGCTGAGAAAACTTTTTTTCTCAAATTTTTCAAAATTGTAAAGACGCACATTGCATTTAGAACTTTCAGTTGTATTTTTGTTATTACAATATTATTAAAATCTCTTTATTTTAATGGACATTTGATAATTTCGGTTCCCGTACTTTTGAAACTTTTTCTTCTTCCAACTTATTCTTTTCTTTTCTGACGGTGACTGAGATGTCAAACTGTTTTAAATCTTACTAGGGAACTACTCGAACTTGTATTCGCGGATCGTGTTCAAACATTAGTGGTTTATAGATAGTCGGAATTCTTTAACACAAGAGAGAATATCTGCTAAACCCACTATAGAACTGAGAGAAAATTTGTAGAAAATGTGCAGATTTGCCTTGAAAATTTTCAGAAGCTGCTTTTTACCTCATTTCATATGATCCAGCTATGATAAACATTGAGAAAATTTTTTTCCAGCCAAAGGAAGGAGGAAAGCAGAAATTCGATGATTTTCAAGGCATTTCCAAAAGCTTTTTCTTGGCACCTTATTGGGTTTAGCAGATGATATTTCCTGTTTTCAAGTACTTTTACCTAGATCTTTAAACCACCACAGTTGGAACTCGATCCGTGAATACGAGTTCGCGTAGCTCTCTAGTTGGCAGTCTCAGGGGAAAAAAAGCCGTATAAAGAAACAGCTTGATAAATGATTTCATATTGAAGTTACCAACTCTGATTAGAAATGATATAGAAAATATGATCTGACTGCAAGTAACATGAGCAAGACTTATTTCAACAAGAAAAGAATGAACAGATTTTTCTGCAGATTTAGACACGATTTTTCTCCGTATCACTAATCAAAGCAAATAATTTTTTTTCTCGATCTCTTCGCTTACGAATTCTACAAAAGCTTAGAGCAAAAAGAGCAAATGAATAATCTTTGTAATCGTTCATCTTGCAATGATACAAAAGCTTGAGCCAGATCTGGAACATCCACATAAACTCTTTAGTCTGTGATTTTTTAATCATTCAAAATCAATAAAAAAATATTTATTAATGAATCATAAAGAAACAGTTATGCAAAATACAATAAGTTTCAAGAGCCATTCTGAAATCGAGTTGTAGAATATACACAAACTTTTAGAATCTTCGAGATAAAATGGCACGAAAGGCGTAAAGGCACAAAAATAAGAGCAATTTTTAAGTAGAAACCGTTTTTTTATTTTTAGAAATGGCTATATATTTTTCATAATATCGTCGATTTTTTTAAAGCAATCTCATTCACTAAAAAAACAATACCAGTTTGAAGGCAGTATTTGTCACGCGGCTGTACTAAACGAAGTCTAGCTCATGGACGGAAAAATGGTCATGGAAACAGTCCAAAAGTGAAAGCGGAATGTCATTTGATGCAAATAAATTACGAAAAAGTAGTATCCGTGGTGGAGAATGAGCAAATCATGGCAAGTCTTTGTAAAAAAAAGGTGCGGGAAATAGGTAGACATAAGTTCCTAGTGAACCTAAAATGTCCAAAAATGGAAAGAAAAGAGGCAACTTTCAAAAAACCTAATATCTAGCCGGACTGAAAATGTAAGTTTTTATTGTGGGGGAGTAGATAAAAGGTCTCCAATAAATCCACTGAGGCTTTTACTCATTTTGAGGCCTTGGACGTTGTTGTTGATCTGAGTTCGGGCAGCGCTTCCTCCAGGATTCACTCTTTCATCGATTTCTTGAAGAATCTGAGAACATAGAGGATTTCATTTGTACGAGAAGAAAAATCGCCCTATTAATTGAATTTTTATCGATTGAAACTTGGTCAAAACACTCTTAAAAAAATCTTGAAGAAAATCTTGAAGTTTGCAAGCTTTGTTTAAAAAAATTGGCTTTCAGGCTTGCTAGGAGCAGTGCAATAATTTATAGATCGAAAACGTTCATTCTGAAAAATGTGAAAAAATGAGACTTCAGACCAATTTAAAAAGAAAAAAGGACCAATTTTTCTGGAAAATGTTTTTTTTCATTTTGATGTTCACTATAAATTTCAATCTTCTTTCAAATTCTGTTTTTCACTCGCAGAAAAAAACTTTAATGTTCAGTGCAAATTTTTGTTAACCGTTCGTTCTATGTTCCCCCAAAATACCTGAGAAAAACGCTTTTTCGAGCGAGATGATTCTCCATTGTAGGGTCTCATGAACTGCTCCGTATTACGGAAAAGTTCAGATCCCAACAGAGTTTCTGGAAGTTTTGTCAGAAACTCGACAGAATCGTCAAAGTCCATCGCGAGTAACTTGGTCTCGTACATGCGCAAAATGCCTTGAACAAAAAAACTTTTTTTCCTCTATAAAATTTGAAATTACCTAGAGCTGTTTTGAACATAAATTCCTCATTGTCTCGGAAATAAACGTCCCAAACTCTGCAAGTGACATCCAAAGGCAAAGATTTTGAGAACATCGCGTAAATCCTGAAAAAAACGCTTTTTGAAGATTTTTACAAGAATAACTAATACCATTCAATGAGGTAAAGATCTGGTCGGACGTCTAATTTATCGAAATGTTGATGGAGGGCAGGTAGTTCTTGTTCCAAATATCGATCATATGCGATAAAATATTCCGTCATCTGTGGTTGCTTCAAGCCGAAAAATGCGCTCTGAAACACGAAATTGGTTTTAAAAATATTAATATTCATTCTTAATTCAAGATTTTTGTCAAACTTCACTAGATAGTACTATTTCTCGCACCACCGTCAAATACTAAACTCTCGAGGGTTTTTTTTGCGTTTCGGCCAACTGTCAGTAACTTTGAAGCTCCTAATTGTAGTAATTCTTTCGATTGTTCACCTGAAGAGGACGCTCCAAAAGGTTTGAAAAGGCTACGAAAGCCGGAAAAGGCTCCATCTGAATAAGAAGGACGGCAGCAATTAGAGCCATGGATTGGACGTATCCAACATCGGGTCGGAATATTGCATAGGCGGCTGAAAAAACTGGTTTTATCTATAAAATACTCATTTTTTTGACTCTTTCTTCAAAAATGAGCATTTAACTCTAAAAATTAAAAAAAATTAAGAAAAAACCTAATAGATTCATAAGGGGCGTGTAATAAGGGCCATCTCGTTGGAATATCCCCAGGTTTGGGAAAGTTCTCGACGCATCGAGTCCGATCTGGATTATTGGCGAGTCCATGGCGATTTCGCTTTTCTGAATTTTTCCTTTTTTTCGGCTCCATCTGTTTTTTTTTACCATTGCCTCTTTGAGCATCTGCTCAGCAATGTACTTCTCGGCTTTGTCGATCAAAGACTTGTAGAATTCTGAAATCAACTTTTTTTTCTTCGAGGTTTATTTACATGTGTTCTGTTGACTGAAAAAGTTCTATACTTGACTTTATTAGAGCCTTTACTGAAATATTCACATCTTTTGGTCAATCTCAGGTACATTTAATTTCAATAACCTTCATCCATTTCTGTTCCTTGCAATCACTAGGTTGATTATAATATTAAATATCATTCCTTATATTTTTTTTATCACTTTAGCGATACCTTCGGTAATTTCCAAGTCGTTTCCGATAACCAAAGACCAGACTCTTCCACGAACTTTGGCTGGAATGCCTTGCCACCAGAGTTCACGACATCTTTTGGTGTCTTTCCTGCAAAAAAAAAAATCATGCAATTGCTTTTGTTTCCATCAAAATCTCACATTTCAGACCATTTTGGAAGAATCTGTTCCGTCCAGACTCTACACGCAGCTGCGGCTTGCTCTTCGAGGCGTTTTTGTTCTGCTTTCGCTTGCCTTCGGTCCTTTTCAGCTCTTTGCTCCTTTTTCTTGGCCTAAACGCCAATTTGAACTTGCTCAAGACTGAATATTCGAAAACCTGCTCGATAATATCAAAATAAAGCTGCTTGTGATGAGCTGCTTCTTCGGCTGATTTTGAAGGAAGTCCGCTGAAATTTTGAGTTTCTTGATTTTCAAAAACTTCGAGGTATTTTTAAAAGTTCTTCTTGACTGTTCGGAGAATTGGTCAGCTCTTAAAATGAAAAAAGCGGGAAGTTTTTTCAGTATCATGTTGGGTTATATCAGAAAACATAGAAACAAGGATTTCTGAAAAGACTGTATCATGACAATTTACCTGGGCCGTTCCTCCAAAATGAGACCAGTTGTATGGACGACGCCAGTGTCCTTTTGTTTGCCCCCGAACATTTTCCATCCGGGTTTTTTTCAACCTTATTTCCTCGTGAGAAAAGGTTTCTAGACTTTCCAATAATTCAAAAATAAAAAATTTGAAAAACCTTGAAAAATTGAGAAAACGACTTTTGGACGTCTCCGGCTTGATTGGAGGTTCGTCGAAATCAGAAAGTTCACTCCTTCTATCAAGGGAGGATCTCTTCGAATCTGTTTCTGAAAATAGAAACGTTTGTTTTCGTTAGTTTTTTGTTGATCACCTGTACAACCGAGACCAGAATCCAATTGCTCAGGATCGCTAGAACTTGAAGAACAGTCAGTGCCTTTAGGGTTCAAGTGAAGGGAGCAAATCGCTTCTTCGCTGCACCTGCAACAAGAAGTTGGAATAAAACTGCCACTTATTTTTTATTGTGCTCATGGAATTTTTTTTTATCCAGTTTTTGTATGAACTCTTATTACTCTTTCAATTTCTGATTTCGACCATACAAAAGGGCAAAGTTATAAGATGACATGAGAAAAAATCATAACAACTTTTGCGCTCTTTGAAAAAACACATCAAGATTTGCTGGAAAACAAGTATGATTAAAAATTCACCAGTACTGAACCCATCTTCTAAAAAAGATTTCTTTCCCCCATGGTGAATCTGTTGATATTTAGAAAAGTTCCTCAAACAAGAAACTTTCATAATTATAATGAGTCTTTGAAAAATTTTAATAAAAAAATTCATTTCAACTTTTTGATGGAGAAAAAAATATTCCATAGGCCTTCAAAAAATAAAAAGTTGTTTTTCAACATGGTACAGAAAACCATTGAAGGTTGAAAGGATGCCAAATGGAGCGATAGATCGACGTGGCGAGAAAACGGAACGAAAGGAAGCCCACGGCGCTCCTCAAAGCGAGATCAATCGCCGTCGGTCGACTGGTTCCATCATGTCCCCTCCACATGCCCGTCAATTTACCACTCACTTGTCATAGTCATCCAACTTTTACAACCTCTCACGCAAGAAAGTTTTCCTGCCAATAAACTCTTATGTTTTATATTCACTTCACTTCAAAAAAATAAATAAATTTTTTTGGATCTGCGGATCGATTTCTTTTTTTCTAGCCAACATGAAGTTCTTCAAATTTAAAGCTTTGAGTTTATTGAATCTCAGCCGAAACTTTTTTTATAATTGACCCGCTGAGAGTCCTAAACTTTTCAAACCAATATTTTTTTAAGTAGAGGGTCTAAAATAGTCCAAAACAGGCTAGATCTCTTTTTTTCTTCGGGTCGGAGATTTTTGCTGCTTTCCCCAGCCTTTCATATTATTTCAAATTTCCAGGCCTTTTTATTATGAATAGAAGCACCTTCTCAGTTATGACAAGAACGAATTCTTTCAATCGAAGATTTACAGAATCGTGATTTGCCACTGAAAAAAATTTTTTAACTTTACAATTCTACTTATTTCTATCACAAAAGAACCTTCTAAGAAAATGAAGATCTATTAAAAAACTATTTTTTTGTTTTTTTGTCTGATAACTATGTTCATCATTTAAAAATAAGAACGTTAAAAGTGCGAGAACCCTAGCTCGTCCCCAGAATTCCATTAGCACGTTTCCAAAACGCAAAAGCAATCGTATGTTTACAAATGCGAGACTTTTGATGGATTACGTTTTGAGTGGTCCCTATAACACCGCCAAAGCTTTCTAATAATACACACAGCCTTTCAGAGTGTACGGCAGGAATATGCTCCAGGGTCTAATAAACGAGGCAACATTCCAAAAATTGTTTATTGAGGATTGTAAACTGCATGAGATGAGGGCGACGAGCCGTTATATTTCATGGTCGTTTTTATTTCCCGACGACCTTGCCAGCTTGTACCACCGTCTTTTTTTTCAAGTCGTTAAGTTAAGAATATATTACCCCGAAACGCTAAAGTAAAACTTTTGGTTTACAAATAAGATGCAATAAATTCGGACCGGTCAATATGTCAAAATGAAGTTTTTTTGTGGAAAATGGATTTGCCGCTAAATTGGAAAATGATACTTGAATATTGTATTGAATTTTTTTGAATTGACTTGTTTGGAACAAGTAATTAGAAATAGTTTCATTTTTATTTTTGAGTAATAGGGCTTTGAAAGATTCTGTAAATTATTTATTTGCTGTAATAAAAAAAGAGGTTTAACAGATTTTTTTGAGACGGCAAACTTCCTAAACGAATCAACTTTGATATAAACCCCTCTTCTTCACGCATCGTATAATTTGCTTCGTGTAGTCCTCAGAAAAAAACAAAAAAAGCTATAGTAGAACGTCTGTTGCTGTGCAAGCGGCCTGACCCAGCGTATGTTTAGGTTTTTACGCTCGCACTCAAACTCGGCGGATTATGTTGCAACAGATGCTTCTAAGACTTGCCAAGAAAAACACTCTTTCCAGTTCCCTTACGATGTCAGAAATGAATCAATTCGAATTAAAGGCCGGTTGAAAAACTTTGGGAAAAATGTCTTTTCAAGTTCTTAAATTTTGATAAATTGCGAATCATCAGTTTTTTTTTTTTAAAACTGTTTTTATTGATCTTCGGAAATCTCAACAAAAGAACTGCGAAATCCTCTGAATATTGAGACCAATCAACAAGATCATAAGAATTTAATTACACTCTCGTAAACAAATGGCAATGTTTATGTAGAAGTTTTCTTAATTAATTAGATTAAGTTTCGATCATCAATGTTCAACATGAAAAAAAAAAACGTACAAAGCTTCCGAAGGAGCAAGGGCAGGAGTCCCATTGGAGGTTGTGACCCTCCGAGCGAAGTTCAGCTGGATCTGGGCAGATTCGTAAGAACTCCGCCTGATGTGTCCTCGGCGGAATGGGCGCTCTAGAAAAAAAAATTTGAAAGATGGTTACGAAAAAAAAAAACTATGGCAGATCTAAGATTCGAATTTAGAAAAACTCGTTTTCGATAAATCTTTGTCTTGTTTTTGAACGGTATGGCATGGCTATGATTTCGAAATATATGTATGTTCCAGATTTTAAAATTTCTGTCGAGTGATTTGAATTTTTTTTTTCATTTTCAGTCACAAACAATTATTTTTGTAAAAAATCTTTTTTCACGGTGGTTTGGAATTTCGAGCTTTTAAAGTTTTTTTCAGCGATCATGCCAAATTTCCAACTTCTGTCATGGTATCAGGGCGTCTAAAAGAAAAAGTAAAAATCTTTATAGTGAATCAATAACGGAAAAGTGCTCTTGAAAGCGCGATCAAGACATACTGCCCAAAAATTGGTGAAAGATATTTCAGCAAATTTTTGAGCTTCCTCCGTTTGAAGCAACAAAAAAAATCAGAATCATGTGAAGTATAGTTCAAACCGGTTGGCAATAACTTTTTCCAAAAAAAAATTTTGATGTAAATAGAAACAGTAAACCACACCAAAAGAAGCAGGAACCGGTTCTGAGCCGACAGAAGGCGTTCTATCGAGACTTTTTGTGTCCATGTTGTAGGTGAGCGGAAGATTCTCGACGACGGTCGCCAGCGAGCTGCTCTGAGAGCAAGTTCGCCCCGCCAGTTTGCCACTCTGAAACTCTCCAGGTGTTTTTTGAAACTGAAATGTTATCTAGGAACGGCTTGCCCGATAACGACGGCAAAAAATGTTATCAAGCGTCTGACAAACTGATAGACTACTGTAGAGATAAGAAATTGAGGTTGCATAGAATCCTTTTTTTTCAATCGGCAAGAAGAAATAAGTTGATTAGTCTTAATTAGACCTTGAACTTTGTAAGGAAAAGAGCATGATTTCAATTAAAAACGAAAAACAATCTCAAGTTTCAAATTTTTCTCGGACTATCAGATGTTCAACAGAGCCAAAAATGTGACATTTCCAAAACTGCAGGTGGCGACTATAATGGATTTCCACAGACCCGTAGAGAAATTTGAAGAAATTTCTACATTCTGAACTTCAGACTCGAAAAGCTGACCCAATCAGGTGAATTACGAATGATGAGAGAAATTAGAGTTCAATCAACGAAATTCGCTCATTTGATATCGGACACCTTCCTATTGGTCCAAACCAAACGAGCAGGCAAAATTAAAACGAAAAGATGGCAGAGGGCAAAGGACATTTCATTTTGGATTGGGCGGAGCTTGGAGGCGAGAGGGAGGCGTTGCACGGAGTTTTGCACGAGATGCGGCCTTATTCAAATTCTATGGGAAAAACAATTAGAATTATTCATTGCTAGTGTAGTAAGTGTAATATTATTTTTGAAAGTATTCATTGAAAAGGTTTGAAAAGCACAGTAATTCTGTTTTTCCCTTTATAATTGATCTTCGATGTACTCGAAAAGAGTCTGGGAAGTCAAAGCCTTCACAACTTCACGCTAATAAGGTTTCTACGATTTCGACTTGAGAATTATTTCACGCGTGATCGAAAATTAGAAAAAAATAAAAACTATAAAAGAAAAGTGTATTCACTCTTTCGGCATCAACAAGAAATAGGGAAACTAGCGAAAAAGTTGAAAAATATTCGAAAAAAAATACTGATTTTGAAAATTCAATGAACTGAGAAGCAAAAATGATATTTTCGATTGGTCACGTCCTGAGAGCTGTTCGAAAATGCCTACATTTGAATTTGGAACGCCTTTATCTCGTGTGAGTTTGATTTTCTTAAACTTTTTCGCAAAAAATCTTTCAAAATATCACAAGTCATCTTATAAACTTTCCTTGTCGCTGCGTTCATCAAAAAGTTAAGAAATTGAAACTTTTTGTACGGAATACTTACGAATACCAGAAATTTCTGCAATATTCTAGGACCTGATTATTCGCATTTTTGTTTTGGAGAGAAGCTAAAAGTTTCGGCTTGAAAAAGAGGTGAAATGCAAAAAAGAGAATGAAGAAAAACATGAGACAGAATATTAAAAAAAAGACAGCGAAAAACAGGAAGGTGATGGGTGTGAACAACGAATTATCAGAGAAGACGCGTTTTTGCGCATTCTTGAAGAATGCTTGATTACGAACAATGACACAAGTTGATAAATTGCAAGTTTTCGCTCGAGAATCTCTTGAGACAGAGGCAAAAAGTGAAGGTAAATACTCAGGAATTCAGAGTTTGCGGTAGACTCACGATCAAAAATAGCCAAGGGCGGAAAAAACTGAAATCAGAACTGTGAAAAAAATTTTGGCCAGTGCGGTTTTTTTTTAGAATGAAAAGAATCACTTGCAATTTCTGCTTAGCGAACTTTTTTGATGGTAATCAAAAAAGCTCGAATGAAAACGGTAAGAACGAAAAACACTACTCTTCCAAAAAAAAATCTTCGAAACTTTTGAACTAAATCTCTAAATTAACTCGAATAACATGGACATGAGAACGGAAGAGAGTTCGAATATTCACCATTTCCTAGTCACATCGCGTCAAAAATTCATAAGAGAAAAAGAAATCTTTCTGAAAAAAGGAAGTTGAAAAATAGAAAAACAAATGAGTCGAAAAATCAGAAGATTGTATAAATTCGAAAACATAAATAATATTCCTGGAAGACCGCCTACAAAAAAATACTCCAAATCAAAGTTCAAAATAAAAAATTCTCCCCATAAAATAAAAATAAATTCTCATTGAATTCCGAAAATTTACGAAAAAGAAGTAAATATCTCACACAAAAAAAGCGGGAAATTTTTAAAAACTGATGGTTTCGAAAAAGAGAAAAAAAGGTGAAAAATAAAACCACAAAAGTATCTTGATATAAAATCGGAGTTAAAAAAATTCTAACCATAATAATGATAAGCTCATTCACTGCATACGATTCAAAGATGAGTAAATTAGAAAAGATGCACGATATAAAAGCAGTAGAATAGCATTAGGAAACTGCAAAAGTTTTGAAAAAAAAAGAAACTCACATGCGAAATGGTCGAAAACAACCCAAAAAAGCGAAACGAAACAAGTTTCAATAGGGGCGGACCGAGTCGAAATTAGCATAGGATAGCTTTGGAAAAGCTTCGTGCGGGAACCGAAGACTCGTCTCTTTCTTGCAACCCGCCCACACACGCATGTAAAAATCGATACGTAGCCCTCCGAAATGACCGCTGGATACACAACTGGAGAGCGGACGGCGGCGGAGGAGGGAGGCCGAGTAATTACAATGGATCGCGTCATTCGTGTCCATTTGTGTGTAACTCTTTTGTTATCTCGTTTCTGCTCGCTCACACAAAGGTAACAAATAAAAGGTGAAAGGTTCAAGTCAGCGGGAAAAAGGTTTAAAAAATGAGATTTTTTGTTTTAAATTGAGAAAACTGGCTAAAAATGATTGAAATCAGATTCTATCCGTGTAGAGCAACCATTATATGATTGAGATTGTTCACAAAATCAAAAATAACTGAATCACATTGAAGGCTGATGGCTGGTCAAGAAGTCAAGAAAAAAAACCTGCGCAAAATCAAATTTTTACATTCCTTGACTTAAAATTACGAAAAATTAAAAAAATCTGTATTTCCCTGAATTGAGAGCGCAAAAAAATTAAAGACTAACAGTTTTATTGAAGGTATGAAAATTATATGAAGGTTTCAAAACAGTATATATCAAAAAAAGTTTGCACTGTTTCAATAAATTCTGAACCAACCACCAAAACTACTTCAGGAATGATTATAAGAACTTTCGTTTCAAGCTAAACTTGAATAGAGTTCAAAAAAAGAAAATTTCTACGAGATTTCAAAATCTCTTTTCAAAATTGAGGAACTTCAAAGCTGCTGAAATGGAGACCTTCGACTATTCAAAAAGATCATTCGAGCAGCTGAATGTTTTTCCTAAGGTCAGGTTATTTCGTAGTAAAAAAATTCTAATTTGAGCCCACGTTTGATGAACGCCATTACTAAATTCTATTCAGAAATTTGAACGTTCAGCCTCACTTTATATGGTAATCAGGAAGAAAAATTAGAATAAAAAAAGTGTTCTGATGAGAAAAAAACAAAAATTTCTCATTTTGTTCAAAAAAATTAAAAAGGCTCGGGGGATGCAATAACTATTTTTTTGCTTGGTGGTTAATCAAATAAAAAAAGTTGCAAGTTTCAATAATCTAAAAAAATATCTCAAGAACAAAAAAACTTCAAAAAAAGGTAGAAACTTTGATCTTTACAGTAACCTTAACCTTCAAGACCCGCACAGGTGCCGATAATTCTTATCGCGTGGCCGAGCGCGTACAATCACCAACCCAAAAATGAAAACACGACTGAAAATTGGTAAAGCGTGACAAATGTGAGAAAAGACGGCCGACCTTCAAAGAGCGCGTCTTATCAAGCGAGAGATCTCAAACCGCGGTCAAGAAGTGTCATACTTTTTGTAAGACACATTTATCTTCCAAAGTCAAAGTTCCGCAGATAAATATGGGAAACAGAGACAAAAATTTGCGGGTTATGTACAACTATTACGATGAGATTTGAAAGTCTGTCAAACTTTTTTAGTGACGGCAATCCAAACCTAATCCAATTATAATTTTGGTGGACAGATTCAAAAAAGAGTGCGGTTTTTACTGTAGAAAATGTTTGTAGATAGTTTGTCTGTAGATCTAATTAGGTCATTCAATATTTTGATCGCAAAAAAAAACTTTCTCAACAAGAAGGAAACTTGTTATAGCCAGACATATAATTTTTTCATCGATAATGACTGGTTTCTGAAGTTGAATCAGAAGGATGATAATCTTTGGCGTGATTAATGAATAAATAAGAAAAAAGAAACTACGAAAGGAAATAGTAATTTAATTAAAAAAATAGCTTTTCGATTAGTTTTAATTTTTTGTTGTCCAAAGTATTAATGAGTTTGTGCTTTAAAAAGATTTCTCGGATTAGATTTCGGAAAAGTATAGTAAATTTTTTTCGTGGCGATTTTTCACGGAGTTCGAAATTTTCTGTTAAAGTTTCATGAAAATGATTTATTTTCGAAATGCAGTGTAAAGAGTTATTTGAGTAAATCATTTGAAAATGTGTCTACCGATATAAACAAAAAAAAACAACACTAGAAAGCGCAAAAACCGAAAAAGATGGAGTGTGAAAGTGAAGACTGACAAAACGGTCGAGAATCGGCGACGGCGTTTTGGCCTCATTCATTGGCCGGCCGCTGACCAGCAAAACAACAAAGAGAGGTGCATGGACCGGTGGTTCGTGTGCTCCCGCACTCCATTTTCCGCTGTCCTCGCCGCCTTTCATTTCCGTCCAGGCTTTTGCTCCTCTTAATGAGGTCCCTCTTATTGGGATGAATTCGATGACTTTGGAAAAAAACTCATTTTTCGCAGAAGACTTTTTTGGAAATTCTGATGTGCATTTTTCCAAAAAAGGAAAGGCCATTTCGGAAAATTCTTCTGGTACATCGAAAGATTTTCTGGCAAAGTTATAGGAAATTTTGAATTTTAAAGTGAAATGACCTTTCTCATACTTTAGCATTAACAAAGATAAAGATTAATTGGTATTATTACCTGTTTGCCAAAAGTTGAAAAATAGACTGAAGTTTTTGGGGCACAGTGTTTGAAGCTGCATGACTTGAATAAACGACAAAAGTGATTTTTTTTTTCTTATCTGAAATAAAAAGACCTAGAAGAAAATTCATGAGATGTTTCATTGAATTTTCAAATCACCACAAGCAAAAATTTGCTTTTAAAGTTAGTTTCAAACTGAGTCTGAGGGTTAAAGAAAGTTTGTTGAAAAAAATAAAAAGCGATAGGTTGAAAACCTGTGAGGATAGAGTGGGCAGAAATCGACACATGTTAGAAAAAAAGGCCGACCCAATGACTCATAAACTTTTTTTAGATTTTTCAATCTCCAAAAAAATTGTAACAGGGGTTGTTGGTAAGTTTCAGACCTGAGTCATAGACATTTTTGTGAATAGTTTCCTACCTATTCATTTCTTTCGAATGATTTGACTCAATAAGTTACGAATTTTTGAGCGCTGTTTCTAAACAATCTTTGTTGAGTTTGAGATCATTACGACCACGTAAAAACTTTGGGCTAAAATTATTTTTTTCAATGATTATTTTTTCAAAGCAGCACCTAAGATCGTTGGTATGTTGTTTTGTTCAGTTGAAGCTGAAAAAACACAGCATCGTTAAAAATACGTAGATGTCAAAACTTTTATTTTGTAAAATAATAATGGCAAATATTAATAGAATTTTTCGTCGAGGCAGGTGTTAGTGTACTTTTTTGACTTTTGAAAATGTTATCGAAACTTTTTGTATCGCGGTTTTCACTTCACATTTTTCGCTGAACACTAGAAAAAGCAAAACTTTTTTGGAACTCGGGTCGACTTGAAACGAACTCAAGAAAGCAATAAACAACGATGACAAATGGGCGTAAAGTCTGCAGAAAAGCAGCTGAAACAAAACCGAAGAATGAATGACAGGCGAGAGCGATCGACTGCGAAGATAAAGCGGCGGATGAGTTGGCAAAATATACTTCAGAACTACGACTCCGTTGCAAATGTTACGAAGGGTTCGAAATTCCTTGCTACAGCTGCAACCGCCTGAGCCTTTTCTCTTTTTGTTCCAAAACAGATGACCACTTGGTAGGAAACTATAGTTGTAAAATGAAGAATTTATCTAACTTAAACAGAGACTGAATCTAAAAGAAATGTTTAAAAAGATTGTCGCAAACACATTAAAAATTATGTGTTGTCTACCGAGCGATACATCGAAAAAATATGAAGAAGCAAAAGATTTAATAGAAATTATTGATGAGAGTTCCTTTTTCTTTCTCTCCAACTTTCTCAGCTTCAGCGATCTTGCTTCCGCTCAAAATGACTTGAGTGTAAACGGGAAAAATCGTCAGAATAGTCTGAAAAATATTTTTTTGTTCTGGTGCTGCTGACATTTGTTTAGGGCCCCCTAAACATTGATGAAAACCCAATTTTTCAATTGAAAAAACTTTCATTAATTTTCAAAATAAAAAAATATTTACATTCGTAGCCGTGAAGATCGCTGTGAAGAACGGTTGAAGGTGTTGAAGCATTTTCTTTCTCACGATCTTCTTTTGATCTCATCATCTTGTCTTGTTTGTCGGTCATTTCTCCAGCTAATATAGAAATCATTTCGTCCATCACAAAATTCAAAAAAAGCAAAATTCATCAGACCTCAATGGAAACATTATGCAAACGCGAATGAATTTTTCAAATTTCTCAAATTTTTTTGAGCGTGAGGATATTTCTTTTTTTCAGCTGAAAAAAATAAATTTCTCAGTAGAATTCGAATGAAAGGTTTGCAGTTCCTTTTTTTCAACTCCCCAGTTTTTTTCTCAGAAAAAAAGATTACTACGAACTCTTATCTGTTTCATTTGAACTGTTACTTCTAACACAATTTGAATTATTTCCATTTTCAAACAGGCAAATTTCCTGTATATAAAGTCAAAAAAACGTACAAATTTTTCTTTTTTTTCTTGTCGTCAACTCGCAGGTTATCCAATGATTGCACCAAGTTGTACGATTCCGAGGGCTCCATTCTTTGAAAAAATTATTGTTAATGATACCACCTAAATAAAAAATGAAAATTTTATAAACGAAAAAAAAAACACGACCATCGCTAAAATTATGAACATTCGAAAAAGTCATCTAATTTGGTGGTTGAGAATTTCCTTGAAATTTAACAGAACACTCATTGATGTAACAGAAGTTTTTTGAGCATTGTGCTCCCTTTTCTCAAAACTATAAAGTTCTGCAGGTCGAGACTTTCAGGGTCTTAATCTGGTACATTTAGAAGCTTCTGGCTAAGTTTTGAAAATTTCCCGAAGGTAAACTAAATCGACCTATCTCGTCAGTAATAAAAAAAAGTCAATCGCAGTTTCATTCAAAGAAAATCCGGAAAGTCCCAACGACTATAAAATTTTTTCAAATTTCCACAGAAAACTAGGCGAATGTGCGTTACGCGATGAACAAAACCTCCATGTAAAATGAAATTACTTCTCCTAAGAGAACTTTGGAAAATTCTGTGATATCCCTAAAAAAAAAAAAAAAATCTTTTTACAAAAAAAACAACAAAAAAATAACGCGTGAAAAAATCATCGTACCGGAAAGACAAGAAGAACTAAAATAAAGACTGCCCTGCAGTTAGCGAAACAACGGCAACATTCGCGCGCCGATTTGTTAGAGTTGATCTTCCTTAAAAAACACGTTTATTTGACCTTTTTGGTTTTTAGCAATTCAAAAACTGTAAATTACTTTCACGTTCATAAGGTAATAAAATAAATTTTTTTTCTCTATTTTTTTGAATGATATTTCAAGATAGAAAGGTGTTCTAAAAAGTCAGAACATTGATAGCTTTTCCTTTTTTGAGCTGAATACCAGTTTTACCACCTGTTAAGTTTAGAATTTTTTGAACACCCGATTCATGTTTTCAAAGTTTTGTTTCTTTCAGAGCATAATACGAAGTTTCTGATTGAACGAAGAATGTGAATCTTTTTAAAAATCAATTTTAATTTCATCTTGACTGATTCGGGCATTTTCATCGTTCGTGGAATTTCTCACAGCATTACATATTGTCAGAAACCTTCTGAGCTTTCAACACGGGTAAGAACTTTGACAGTCGGTGTCTTCAATCATTTTTTTATTCTGATGTTATTTTTATAATGACAATTTCATGAAATATTTATTTTTCTAGTGACAATCTGTACAGCTTTATTCGTTATTGGAAACATATACATGGAACCAGGGGAAATGAACACATTTTCTACACGTTAGATAGGCGGGAATGAGCAACAGATATTACAATCATTTTTTGTCCTCACATTTCCGACGCGAAACTGCAGGATTCATAATTTTTATTGGTAAAAAAAAAATGAAACTCGAAGTTTTCATGTGATTGTCTTTACTGTTGGACGCCGCTCATTTCTGCTACATTCGATTGAAAATTCAGCGATTTTTCAGGGTTTTCAAGCCTTGATGGAGCTTTCTCCTTCGATAGCCATTTGCCGCACCAAGCGACAGCGACAAATCGGAGTGAGCCGGTCTTTTTTGGAAGGAACCGAACTCTCGGAAGGAATGGTCCTTTTCCGTTTTACGGCTCTGATGTTCCCTGGAGCTTTGAAGATTGGCTTTTCTTTCTCCTCATCTTGGCTCGCTGAACGGTTAATCTGAATCAATAGTTTATCAATTACCAGCTCTGAAAAAGTTGGCGGGTGCTGATAGAAGAAAGAAAGCAGTTTTTTATCTTTCGATAAAGTGGTCCGGCTTCTCTCCTTCTTCTCTTTTGGCGGTCAGAAAAAAAAAAACTTAAATTGAGCTCTAACATGAAAGCTCTATTCAGAGCAATAAGTGATAACTAAAAAAAGCAAGTCTGTTTCACGTGGGCGCGTACGATGACACAGTTTTATGAGGAAAACTCGGGTTTTACTTTTAATATTCAGTTATAATTCAATGTTTATAAGCTCGAAAACATGCCTGAGGATGAAGAGAAACAAATTTTTCATCTTGTTCGCTAATGCATAGCACCTGCTCGTTGGCCTGAAAAATATAATGAGTCTTTCAAAATTTCAAAAAAATCGGCTGCGATACCTTCGAGTTCTGTGTTTCAGTAGCTGATAGCCGAGAAGAAATGTGAATCTTTTGCTGAAAAATCCATAAATCTTCCAAAAAAAGTGAGTCAACTTCTTCGCTGCTGCCGTTCTCTTCTCTTTCATCCTTCACCAAAGAAGGATTGAATCTTTCCGAGTCAAGCATTATTTCTTGTTTGCAGCGAATTGATAATTGTCTTACGAGTTTCCGTTGGAGCCCGAGCGCAGAGCGCGTTTTTAACAGCGTCACCGGGTTCATACCTGTAAAGGAGACATTGTTCTCGACAGGACAGTAATAAACGCCGGAATACACGCGGATCATGTTCGTAAGAAACTTTGCGGAAGTTCCAAGCGGATTATTTTTTGTGCGAAAAAATGAGAATAGAACATGAACACAAGTTGAACCAAAACGAATGAGAGGAGAACTGAACCGGAAAAAATGAAAACAATAGGGAATGCTTTCTCAGTAATCTTTTTCCTTATCGTTGCTCAAAAAGGAGGGTTCTGGCTGATATAACAAACCACGCGCCCGATGTTGTCGTGGCTTTCTCCAAAACTGTCCTGAGTCTTCCCTCGTTTTTAAATTCCGTCATTCGTTCGTTTTAAGGCGTCAGTCCTTCTAGAAAGGCCGATTTCAGAGGCTTGCTCCGCCCAGTGTGTAGTTTTTTCCATCTTCGGACATAATTATTCGGATTGAACGCTCAAATCAAAAACTGCAAAATAATTGCTACATCAACTGATTTTTGCAGATAAATTAGAAACAAAGCTTTCAGAATACAGAAAAATGAATTCAATTCTAAGGATCGTCACTCAACAAAAAAACGTTTTTACCTATTTTTCACAAAAAAATGGGATTTCTTAAAGAATCTAGTAGTGAAATAAGTCCGTCAATTTAAAAAGTAAAAAAAGAAATTCAAGAAAAAAATTAAGTTTTTTTCAATGTTGGTTCCTGTTAAAATTTAAAAAAAGAAAGGTCTGTTCGAGAGTTTTTCTTATGCTTCAATATTTTTTTCTATCTATCAGATGCAAAAAAACTGTAATTCAAAAACCTGCAAACTTTCTTATTTTTTTAAAAAAACCGTGTAAAGTTTTTCAAAAGTTCTTCTTTTTAAAAATAATATCATTTTTTTGAACTTGAAACTTATTTTTTTCCTAGAAACTCAAATCGTGTGCAGCTTTTTATTTTTTTCTAAAGCTTTTTTTCAAACACATCAAAAGGCATTTCAGACTTTTTCGAAAATTTCTCGAAAATCAATAAAAGGCCGTCCTTAAAAAAAATATAGAAAATATTTAGAAACACCTCACTGGAAGCTATTTATGGCCGGTTATCTCGAAAGAGCTGAGATCTTTGAAGTTCAAAAACCCAGCTCGTATATTACCGAACTAACGGCTACAGGGTACTAGACAATGGTAACTGCCGACTTTTTTTCAGAAATGTATATGAGTTTGTAGCAGGTTGAGAAGGCAGTCTCTTTGCACGCACGCCCACGGTGCCATTCTATTTTTTTTTGTTAGAAAGCTAAAGTTTGTAGCACCTGGTGTTGTGCAGAAATGATTAGAAAGACGGATAGAGGATAACCATTATGAATTCCAGCACTTTTGGCTTTAAGAAATGTCATCGAAAACAAAAAATATTCCATGCCTGACAATAAAGATTATTTGATTCTGTGATTAGGAGCTGCAGATCTGCAAAATCTTTGAAAAACTTTGAGATCCTTTTTTAGAAGATATAAATTTTGAGCAGTTTCTTTTGACTCTGAAAAAAGCCCCAAAAGAGTCAGAAACTAAATTGATATAAAGATGGTTTTATATTATTAATTCCATTAATTCCAGTTTTCTTAGAAAATCGACAAATTTTTATCGAGGAAGATTTCAGTCGCTTAGGAATGGACCGTAACGTTACAAATCGGGCAATATTTTGATAAAATTGAAAAGTTATGCTTTTTCTTCTTTTTTGGCTGTGTTTTAGACGCTCATCATAAGGCGCTAGAGCGATCAGACCTTTTAATCTGCGTGGATGGCGCATTCGGTGGTGCCAGTTTTGTTGATATTTTTGTGGAGGCTTGATTTCCAATAACGCAAATTCATTTTTATAATTTTTGAGGATTCAATTTTTAAGGGGAAATCGAACTTGACTGGTTTCAAATTTTAAATACTCCGTTTTTCGCAATTCGTAGTTTTTTTAATGTATCCTTTTTGAATATTTTTTTAAGAATTCCGAATAAGTTTTAAACTTTGAAGTATTCTAAAAATGAGATCCACGGTAACAAAAAGTTAAAGCATTAAAAAATCAAGTTTTTTTTATTGTTTTCTGTACGGAAAAGCTGAGAATGACAGGTAGCCCACCGTTATGCCATCAGATTTCATTTCATTTTTTTTACTTCTGTCCCATCAACATTTTCTACTCCGACAAGCAGTTCACTTGAAGAGCTCGTCGCTCTTGTTTTTATTTTTATAAAGGAACCTCGTGAAAGGGATTTTTCAAATTCAAATTTAACGCAGATGAATGAGCAGAAGAAAAATCGTTAAATAATGTTTCCAAATTTTTATTAAAAAGTTATTCATTGAAAAGTGAAATTGCGAGAAGTAGTTGGATTATTAGATATATCACATAAAAACACGTTTCCGAAAAACAATAAGGGTGAATATTCAGTTTCAGGCGTCATTTTCCAGCTCTTCAGGTTTTTGAGTTTGCAAGAATGGTGACAACAGAACCTCCTCGACTGGTGTACTGACTTTTTTGCGAGATAGAAAATCTGAAACATATATTAAATAATTCAGAGCATTATAACAGTGAGAAGGGTGAAAATTTAATGTGAAAAAATCAATGTTGTGGTAAGGTTATCAAAAAAAATTTTTTTGAAATTTGTCAGTGGAAATAAATTTATAAATAAAGATATTATATAGTGCGGCCGTTTCGGGTCTCAAAAATGGACGGCACAGAGGGTGACCCATCGTCAACATTTTACCCTAAGTTTGAATGAAAAATAATTTTTTCGGTAACCAGGTGAGAGCTTGAAAATTTGCAGAATGAGGTTGCTAGAACGCCTATTTAGAAATAATTGATCCCCTTTTGCTTTGTGGGAGAGCTTTTGAAAGCGCTAGAAATTTTTTATCGTTACATTGATTTTGAGGCTGAAAATCTGGACTGAAAAGCAAAAGTGCAGAAAAATTCGTGATCTGAAATTGAAAAACTTCAAAGTGAATTTTCGTGAAAATTTATCAATTTCTCAACCGAAAACTATCATACAAAAAATCTTCGTGAGCTTGACAAGAGAAGCTGACCCGACACCAATTGAACAACAATTGAAGTGATGACATTTGTAACAACTCCAATAACGCTGTAGTATTGGTACGAGATGGAAAAGATGGATTCCAATCCGAAAGGCCTGAAACTCTCAACCGAATACTAATTTTGATTTTTCACGCACAACTGGGTAAGAACAACACGTCCGAATGATCTCTCATCGAAATCTTCGGCATTGGAGTTGAAACAGTGCTCGTAGCTCGGGAGCGGAACAGGTTTCGACTGAAATATTTATTTGATTTATTCTATTTTTTAACCAAGTCTCAACACAATCTATTATCTGCGCACTCTTTTTTTTATAATTTTGCTTTTTTCTCTTTTTGACGTGACCGCACCGATATGTGATAAAATTATCAGACTTTTGAGAAACCTTTGAAATGAAATATAAAAAGCACGAGCTTTTGTATTCTTTTGAGCCTTGAAGTCATTCCCGGAAAAATGGATACAAATGTGATTTCCAGCAAATTCTGCCTACAATATAATGGAAAGAGCTCTTTTGTATCGGATTACAAAATGTATTCAAGTCATAAGGTCCTCATGAAACGTCTAGGAAAGAGATGTAGCTCTCCAAGAAAAAAAAAAACGAATTGAGCTTTCTTTTTAGTTTTTACCCAACACGCCAAACGTTTTTTTTTATTCTCAGTTTTGTGAAACTTGGAAATTTCTTTTATTTTTTAAACAATAAGCGAGAGTCAATAAATAAAAAAAGGGGGAAATTTTTAAGCTCGAGTTTAATGCGATGTTGGCGTGGCAAAAACGAATTCCAAAACTCTGAAGTGAAGTAATCAGTTATGACGAGTTTCTTAGACATTCATTAATGCGAACTTTGATGAAGTTTTTTGACATCACAGCCTAACGGCCTACCTTGTAAGCAATGAGTTTTTTTTGAAATTTTTTCAGCGCGATTTTTTCCAATAACCAAATTTTTCCAGAAAAGAAGAATCGCTCACTTTGAGAAGGACGGCTCCGATGGCGAAACTGAAGCAAATCGCGATGGACGTGATGAGACCAGAGAAGGCGGCGCGTCCTTTGACGAATCTCGTAAAGAAGCCGACAATGAAGGACCCTAGAACAGGTCCACCACCAGCTCCAAACACTATGAACGCCATCTGCAACTTCGAGCTGAATTATCATTTTTCAATTACAGTTTTTCTTAAGCGTTTCTGTGACATTTTTAGCTGAGACTCCGAATTACCATGACGAAAATTATGACTTAAGATCGTACCAAATTGAGAAAGACTTGATTTTAATTGCATTTCATGTAAATGTGATTTCTCGATTTTTTAAAAAGAGTCTGGTCAGCGTGTAAATTGTGTTGACCTGAAGAATGATGCTTTGCAGAAAGCTGCAGGATATAGCTAAAATGATCGAAACGACGGCGATCAGAATCGCTGAAAATCCAGCTTGAACCAGAGCAAACAAAGATGGAAAACGAGTTAGTTTTGACGCTTTGGCAATGGTTTCTTCGCTGAGTGGCGGTTTTCCTGTGCGTTCACGGTAGACTTTCAGAACGTCGTTGATAATGATTGAAGACAGAGCGTTGAAAGACGCCGATAAGGTGCTGTAAAAATGGCTAAGATTGTATAGGCTGGTCTTGAAGCTTTAAAAAGTCAGGTCTTGTTTTTGAGAGTAGAAATCAACCTTATTCCACCACTGTAAACGGCTGCCGCAAACAGACCAACCGAGCCCGGAATAGAAGAAACATTGTCGATAACGAATTGAGGGAGAAGCTTGAAAAATTGTTCAATTATTAAGCACACCGTTGATACCTCATTTGGATTCAGGTTTGCTGGGTAACATCCTTTGTAATAAGAAAAGATTATCAGCCCGAGCAGAACATAAAGAACGAGGATCAATGTGTTACACAAGATGTTCAACATGACCACTCTGAAAGAGGATCTCTCACTTTTGTTCTTAGTTTCAGAAATATTCGAAAATTTATAAAAATTTTTTGATCTCAACTTTTAAATTTTTTTTTGGTATGAGTTCAGTCCAAAAAGAGATTGAATTGCTAGAACTGTACATTGACTGAGAGATCGAGAAGTCGGTAATGACAGACTTAGGGGATAGTAGTCCACTTCAAAAAAGTTACATGTCGGAGACCGTAAGTCACTTATAAAATCACTTAGAGTTTGTGCAGGAAATGTCCAGATTTTACCGAATTTTCATGAAGTTTTTTCAAAATCCCTGGCCTGCAACCTCAAAAATCGAAGAAATTGAGCAAAGGTAATAATCCAACAGGATCTCAAGCTTTTTCATACAATTTCGGAGCTTTTTTCTCCCAGCAAACTTAATTTTGTTTTTCGTGGGCTCCAAAGACTGAATTCCAAACTCGATGAACTCCATTCTTTTCTGGTTTACAGAACCCACTAAATTCTCCTGATATTCTTGAAATTTTTCCTTTTTGGGCTTTCAAACCTTTGAGCACTTTTGAGGCTATCCATCGCCATATATCGCTGTATGCTCAACTGATTTGCAGCAAAGAGACTCAGAATATTGCCGGCTCCTCCGAGAACCAGAGTCCATGCCGAATGACGAATTGTTGGATCAATTCGGAAGCTCAAAAGAGATGGTATACTTTCGAAACGGCTGATGCTCACTCGTCCAGGATTAGACGTTTTCCTGCGTGGGCCGTTTCTAAAACCTCGGCCAAAGAAGTTTCCCGTAAGCCCGCCGTTATGATGAAACAAAGCGCAACGAAAATAAGTCCCATTTGAAGGGCTGATGTGTGGATTGCCGCTTTTGCTCCTCCCTTTAATGCTTTCAAAGTCGATTAATCAAAGTCAGTCATAAGATTTGTGGGCTGTTTAAATCTGAAAGACTCACGATTCCAATGTAAAGGGCGGATAGAGCTGCTGTTACAAATATGGAAAGAACCAGTGGAATTTTGATTATTGAAGAAATGGCCAGGGATGGAGCATACAAAGCGACCGAATTGTAGAGGAGGATCTTTGAATTTAGTTTATTGGTAACACTTTTTGCAAAATTCTCACTTGTATACAAAACAAAACTGTGGCAGCAAGTCTGCATTCATAGTTGAAACGGCGCTCAAAATACTGTAGTTTCATCATTAAGTTGTTGTTACAATGGAAAAAAAAAGGAAACCTGGTATATAGTCGGTAGCTTGAGATTATAAAAAACCGGGAGGAAAATGTAGGCAACGATTGGAAATGACAAAGCGTACATCGGAGCGAACCAAAGGATCATACCTCCTTGTGAGTACACCTGAGTTTAAATTTTGTACATAAAAAATGTTTTACTAATGCACAAAGGGTTTATAACGACAAAATTTGATTTTTTAAAAGTTTTTCAAAACTTTTTGTTGAGTATTTTATGTCTAGTCCTTTGCGGTGTCTTTGAGTGAATTGAAAGATAAACTTTAGTCCTAGAGGGGATTTTATAAGAACTTCACAAAACACTCTTTGGTGTGCTAGGTGAATGTTCTGACGATCATTATCTACTCAATGTTCAAGTTTTTTTTATCTTCAAAAGAATCCTTGGTTGAAAAGTTCATGACTATCATTAAATTTACCAGAAAGTGTTCCGCCGAACTTCTGATGTTATCCGAAGACTACAGATAACCTTATTTGAGCGTGCCGACATTTTTTTGCCTTCGTTATCAATAAATGAGATTTTCACTCACCTCTGCAGGAAACCCGAGCAACGAAATAGAGGATATGAAGCCTGAGCAGACCGACAAGGCAACGGAGAAGGTTGACGCACTGTAGTAACTTGTAATTCTCGTTTCTTCTGTATTTTCTTACCCGGAGCCTACTAAAAGCGATCTTGATCCATTTTCTTGAGATGTCAGGCGTGATTTGACTATTCCATAGACGCTGATGCCGACCAACAAGGAGATCAATACGGAGTAGTCCAACAGCTGCATTTGATCTGAAATTACGTATCAGTTGTATGATTTCTTTTTCAGTCGGGTCGAAACAAAGTTATAAAAAAGTCGAAAGCATAAAATGCTGGAGAAAACTATACAACTCAAATTTAATTCATTCTCAAAAAAACCACGCATAGCCGAAATAGGAGGAGGAATCAATTTTCAGGATAGAGAAACCAGGAAAGAGTGTTTGAAAAAAACAGTCTGCTCAGATCCATAGGGTACTAAGAAAATCCGAAAGAATCAGAAGGCTTTCAAATTAGTTCTCCTTGAATTTTTCAGCAAAAACTGTTTTTTCTAACTCAGTCAATGAGAATATCTCGCAGAATAGTTGTCACCAGAATTGATAGTCTTAGAAAAAGCATTTTCAATCTTTGTTTTGGTGAACTTCTGAACAACTTTTTTGGCAGCTCATGTTTTTGAACAGGCTCTTCTTTGAGTTGTTTCATTAGTCTACCATGATTAATAGCTGCGAGAGGCTTCCTAGTCAAAGTAGTCGTTTCGAAAAGTTCTAAAAGGGAAAAGGTGGTTTCAAGACCAAAAGAAACGCCTAACTTGTGTCAAAATGAGGAAAGGGCCAAGGAGGGACGTCGCGTGAAAACTTTACATCGAGCAACCGAACGCTCTTTGTCTCCTGTTGTCCACTTCGCGTCCACGCAGCCTCCGCAAACCTTTATCCTTCCAACTATTGCAAAGGGTTGTGCCTTTCGAGCCTTTTTGTTCGTAACTTTTGCCATTTCTCTGTTTCCTTTTTGTAATGTTGCGCCAGTTCTCAGAAAGGCCTTATCCGCGAGCCTTTATCCTTCCAACTATTGTAACAAAACGTGTCTCGTGAGCCTTTTTGTTGCAACTTTTGCAATACCTCTTTTTGTAATATTGCGCCACGTTTTCAAAGGGTTACTGTTAGTTTTATTTAAAGTTTCTTATTAATTTTTTTAAGAGGTTTTTTTCGGTGAGATGAGAAAAAGTAAAAATGACTCTGTTTGACTGAAATTTAGAATGTCTATTCAAATGCATATATATATTGAATTTTTTTGAATAAATCGATGAAATGAGAACTTTATATCAAAAAAATCTTTATTAAAAAAAAGTTGTCTGTTCAGAACCTCCTTTTTGAAACATTGAAACAGACTATTTTTTGCACATAAAATGTTCGAAAACGTTCAAACTATCTTTTCTTCACACAGTGAATGCTAATCTTCTAATGAGCCTTTTGAATGCTGTGTCAACTTTACGGGGATAATTATTGAATGCCACTTACTCAAAAAAATTTGAATATTTCTCAAACTAGAGCTTTTTTCTTTTTACCAAAACATAAAAAAAAATTAAGTTTCCAGATTCTGAAGGTTGGAAGTGTTTCAGACAAATATCACTACGTAAAGCACAGAAGGTGGCAATCCGTCATAAACGATGCACTTGACTGACCTGAGGCTGGCGATCTGTCAGAGGACCTCGGCGGTCAACACGAAAGCTCGTCCTGACGTCTGTGTACCGCTCGTATTAAAGCGTTCCCATGTCCCCCATCGCAACCTTTAATTACCAAAATGTCGATCTTACGATAGAAATGTTAGAAAGGAGAAAAGATGGGGCAACGATAACCTTTATATGACGACAAGAAAAAAAAAACGCGAGAAGAACAGCATTTGCAGAGAAGTTTTGGAAAAAGGACAAGTAATTCATGTTTCTGCGGGGGATAACCGAACATTTTCTAATTGAGCGAAGGATAAAAACCACTTCTTGAATCAAACTGTTCTCCACTATGACCTCTTTGCAAAATCACAGTTAACAAAATTAATACATCGATAACGGGAAAAAATATATGTATTCACGATTAGGGCACTATTAGCATTAAACTGTACAAAAATGTTTCACTTTTTTTCTTTTGAAAAGCAAAGTAGCAGCGAATCGAAAAAAATTAAAAAAATTGTCGAAGATGACATTTTTACGCTGTTTGCTTGACCGCTAACTGAATTTTTGATGGGAACCGTGAGAAAAAATTATTCTGAAAGAAGCCTGAAAATTTATGCACTAGGATTTTTCAAGTTTTTGAGATTTTGGAGTTTTGACAGGCTATAAATGCATTCAATTCATCCGGAATAACTTGTGGCCGAGTAAAAAATAGTTCTGTGAGGCCGGTACAAAGAACACGTAATCTTGCTTGAAAAAAACTGTTATTTTTTTATTGTGTAGGTCATTGTTTAATGAATGATGCAATACTTCAATTTTTTTGTTTTTCATAAATACATTTTTTTGATATTTTGGCTTCTCAAAAAAACAAGGTGGTCAGGGAAAGTTATTATTCGAAATTCTATTCAAGGCAGAATCCTGTCGTCATTTCCGTTGTCTCTTTTCTAATGAACGCGCAAGGGCACGATGAGCAATCCCAAAGCAAATCGATGCCTAGTGTATTCTACGGCGTCCTCCCATCCCTCTCACGTATTTCTTTCATCCGGCTGGCAAGCAGACAGAAAAACGAGGCTTTTCGTATGGCTGATTAAATAAAAACAGAGGGCAGTTGCAAAAGCGGTCAGACAGCCACCCCGCTGCCAAGGTCAAGCTCCTGCGTTTTGGCTTTTCTCTCGTGAATTTTACGTTTTTAGGTCGTTCAAGACAATTTGCCGTTAATGTGAGGGAATATTTTGTGGTGGTTATTGGTTAAAAAAAGATTTTGTGAACAAAAAAAGGATGCTCAAAAGTCTCAGTGAATGTTTTTTTTTTCACAAACTCAACAATGGATCGAGCCGCGAAATTTTTTTTTTGACTTGTAAAAACCATGAAACAACTCTTATTATTTGACATTGCGCTCCACACAAACCGTTTATTAAAGTTTCCAGCTTTTTTTCTACAGTCAAAGTCTCTCTCTGAGTTTGAAGAAGTTTGGAAAAAGTTCTCTATAAAATTTTTTTCAGAAAAAGTTTAAACTATACAAGTCATAATTCCAAATAACATCAAATTAGCAAAAAAATTTTATCAGGAGTCATGAATCTCAATTTTTCAAGAAAAATATATAGTTTTAGCTTTTTTTCCATGATTACGAATAAAACAAGAATTTTTTTGGAGAATATCTTTGAAAAAAAATTATTTTGCTTTTGTTTCTGGTTCACTTATTCGTCTACAGTACTGCCAGATGGCTGAAATTAAATAACACATTGCAGTTTAATCACCACCGGAATGAGAAAATTTTTGACGATATTTCTACACGATGCGCGAATTAGTACACGAAAAAAGTTTATAACTCTCCGTAATACTTTTTGTCCCCAGCTGGCGATGAGGAGACCTTATGGGTTCGAGGGCGATTATTTTAGAATTTTATGATGCTCTTTCATGGGTTTTTGCGTTTTTCCACATTATTTCATGTTTTCGATTTTTTTGAGAAAAACATTTGAGTCTTTTTATCAACATTTAAATGATGGACGTTTTTCTTTTTTTCAATGAAAGTAGCTTTATAAAAAAATGAAAAACATCTCAAATGAATTTTTAATTTGATTGACCTCAAAATCAAATTAAAGCGTTCCGTAGACTGCGTGTACTCGGGAAAAAACCTTTTACCGTGGACAAAGACGTTGATTCGGGCAAGGACGACAAATGGACGTGAAGACAAAAGAGCCGCGGATCGATGCGTGACGCGGCGAATGGCCTGTGTCCGTTCAGGATCTGTTTCTACGCCAAATGCCGCTCGTTTCGTTTCCCAACAGCTCTCAAGCAACTTCTTCCTGTTTTCTTCGTTTTTTTTTCTGACTTCGAAAAATAAGCAGAGTTTATTTAACGGTATTTTAGGAGAAACGTTTCATTACAATTTTCTTTTCACATTTTTCACTCTGGTAAGTTTAATATCACTTCTATTAAGACTTCAGTGAATGACTGCATTTTTATTTTATCGATTTTTTTTATAATGCTGTGAAAAGTGCAAAAAGTGTGCTATTCCTAAAAAGTGTGAGTATAGGACAAAAGCGCCGATTCCAAGAGCGCCGTTCAAATTGAGCGCCAGCCCGCAATGCGCCGTCGCGTGTATGCGCCGTGTATGCAGACGCCGCTTTCTTTTGCGCCGAGTCCGTTTGCGCCAAATCGTTTTGGGCCGTTATTTCAAACTTTTATTTATTCGCTCTTTTTATATTATTTTTTAATAATTGTTTACTGCACATTCATATACGACTCGAATAATTTTCGCGCCATCCGTTAATGATGAGTTTTAGGTCCACTTTGGTCCAGGTAAAATATTTTTTCCCCTTTTTTCTTTTCAAAGTAAAAATAAAAAAGCAAATATGCTTTTCTGATTTCGAAAAATACAGAAAACGTAAGGAAAAGAGAATGGATAAAAAAAAATTATTGCTTTAAACGACATATTGAGTGAATTTTTTTTGTGATTGCAAATTTTCTGCGTTAGGTAAGGCAAAGTTTCAATTCTAGCAGACGTGAAACAGCAGAAAATCGTTTTTCGTAACGTTGAACTCATTTTCTTGGAACAATAGTTCGAGTTTTTTCGAAAATGCGGCAGAAAAGTCCATATTAACAGATGGCGCGAAAATTATTAGAGTTGTATATGAATATGTACTACACAATCAACAAAAAATGATAGAAAAGAGCGAAAAAATAAAAGTTTGAAATAACAACCCAAAGCGATTTGGCGCAAACGGACTCGGCGCAAAAGAAAGCGGCGTCTGCATACACGGCGCATACACGCGACGGCGCATTGCGGACTGGCGCTCAATTTGAAAGGCTCTCTTGGAATCGGCGCTTTTGTCCTACACTCAAAAGTGTTCTGGAAAAGTGCTCCGATTTTATTTAAAGCTCCTGAAAACAAATGACAATCAAACTCCGAAGTCAGCGATCATATAACCAGCTTATCATTCTTCCAGTAATCTCATTAGGGCACTTTCGGTATCAACCGAAAACCACAGAACTCGTATCTGTCAAGAAGTCAGTTCATCGGAACAAAATCCTCTTTGCAATTTTGAAAAAAACTGCGATACGTTTTTTTTTTGAGGTTCCTTTCCTTGCAACGCAGCAAAAAAAAAAACAACAACGCCGTGAATACTTACCCCGCGTCGTAACTTTTACTTTTTGTAGGTTTTATTCTTTTGCTGTTTCATTGCGCTCTTTTTTCTTCTTGAAGTTTTCGAGAATCATTTCTAGAAAAAACTTTGTGGGACGTCTTTTTTTCTCGAAACTAGAAAAACTTTGTTCGGCCGCAAACTTTTGATAACAGTTCTTGATTTTTTTTTGTTTCACTATTGAAGTTGAGTGTAAGCTCTAAGTTTGAGGTCTTGAAATTATGAGACTTGCACGAAGTTTTTGGAAATTGAATTTTAATAAGTCATTGTTTGAAAAATATTATTTCAATAATCTCAAACTCGAGAAAATGCTCCAAGTGGGTCGTTAAACGTTTTCCCAAAGGTTTTCCAGCTGCCAATAAATAAAAGTATAAAAAATTAGGCCTGGAAGTTTTCTTTTCTCAAAAAAAAAAGTGAAGCTTTCGGTAGGGTTTTCAGAGCTTCAGAGCTTCAGAGCCCCTACTTTTCATTCATTTTTTATCTGCCTTCCTCTTTTCTCGGGCGGTCTTATTTTATAGCTTTTTTTGATGTTTGTTTCCAGCGCGTACATTATAAACAGAGTTCTCTCGAGTATCGTATTTCTTAGGCCGCGAATCCTTTCAGTTGACATTCTTGTGCACTAATATTGGTCAGTAGGAGAAATGAATTCACAAAAGCTCTATTTTGCATGTCAATTCAGGATGTGAATGAATCTAATTCGATTCTTAAATGTGGCCATCGCAAGTTTTCCTACTTTTGAGAGCTTTTCTCTTGGAAAAGTGGGAAATTCTCAATTTTGAAATGTCATAAACTTGATCGCCATCAGGAAACTCCTCAATGAACTTCAGTAAATTTTCCAAGCAAAAGAAAATATGATCTTCAAGATGAACATTTTCATTTGAACCACCTTTCCAGCTTCATTAATATGATTCATTCGACTTCGGAAGAAGTTTTACAAGGACTCTTTTTTCGATCCTTTTCGCTGTCTCACTAGAATTTGTCGCTTGGAAATAACACCTTTAAAGTACAAACTAAACATGCGGAGTTCAAAAAAGACTCCTTCGTTTTGGACAAACGGCCCTAATCTGTTTGGCGTTGCAGTTGACCTGCGCTCACCCTCTCTTGTCCGCATTTCCTGTCATTAAGTCGTTTGCTCCACCTACTACACTCATCCGTTAGCGCCTTTGCCAAGCCAAGAAATCTTTTTTCGACACTTTACTCACATGAATTCATCGGAATTAATTGACCCGTAGAGAAATTAATGTGATTTTTTGTTTCCGTCGAACCTTTTCTGAAATTTTCTCGGTGGCCCATTAATTACCCTTTTTTTTTGCTTTTTACGACCGGCGAAGTTGGGCGGAACGTATGCCGATACTTCCTATCTGTCTGGTCTCCATTCTTATTTTACAATCCAGAATGACCCGGAACTGTTGCTAACGATTTTTAAAATTTGAAAAGGAAAAATTTCTTCCTATTCGATCTAATAATGAGTTGCCAAATTAAAACCACATCTTTCTGTTTTTTTATCATTAAAATTTTTGGCGATCTTGTGATAGAAATTTGAAAGAATACAATAAAAAAATAATTCATCGTTTTTGCTTTTTATTGGAAATAAATTATTAATTTCCTCTGTGTAATATTTTATTGATTATATTTTCATCACATCTACTTTTTTTCAGGCTTTCTATTTCGAAATTTTAATCGCATGCTCTTTAAATAGTTTTTTTTTCCAGAAATCCCATGGCCTTAGCAGCCGAAAATGAGCCGCTTAACTCCCCGGCAAAAGCGAACAAAGATCCTGAGGTTAAGAAAATATTTCTCTTGAGCTAATATTTTTCTTCAGGAACATGGAACCAAAGGTCTTGAGAAAAACATGACCTTGTTCAATGGCGTCTCTATTATTGTGGGATGCATCATTGGATCTGGAATCTTCATCAGCCCTACAGGAATCCAAGCGAGTAAGTTCTGCAGCTGTGAAAACCTTTCGCTTACTTTTTCCAACTGACTTCGCGGTTTCAGACGCGGGATCTGTCGGTCTTTCACTTATTGTGTGGGTTCTCAGTGGAATATTCGCGGCGATCGGAGCCTACTGTTACGCGGAGTTGGGCACCTTGATTCACAAGTCCGGTGGAGACTATGCCTATATTATGGAAGCTTTTGGGCCATTTCTGGCTTTTGTCCGTCTTTGGATTGAAAGTATCGTTGTGAGGTATGTTTTGGCTGAAATGCCGATTGAAACGGTTTTCAGACCTTGCACAGCAACGATCGTCGCCCTCACGTTTGCCATCTACATGCTCAAGCCGTTTTTCCCGGAATGTGACCCACCGGCAGGGACAACTGAACTCTTGGCAGCAATTCTACTGAGTAAGTCATCTCAATGATGGAAAACTGAAACAAGCTGGAATATTTAAAAACTAGAAGAATAAGAAAGAAGACTTCTTTCAGCTTCATTTTTCTATCTTCTATCCGAATTTTCTAATAGCTTACAACACCTTTTTCTCTCTTTCGAAACCTTTGCAATTTGTTTATAAATTTTTTAGTTCTTCTAACCGCCATCAACTGCTGGTCGGTCAAATGGGCGAGTAAAGTTCAGGACGTTTTTTTCGTCGCCAAAGTTTTTGCCCTCGTGTTGATCATTGCCACTGGAGCTTATTTGCTGCTTACCGGTACCTCTATCTCGAAATCATCCAAAATTTTTTTCTCAAATATTTTCCAGGAAAGCCTCAATATCGTGACTCGTTTGAGAACATCTTTGAAAACACTGTCAAAGATTTCCAAACCGCTTCTCTCGCTTTTTACTCCGGTCTTTTTGCTTATCAGGGGTGGAACTATCTGAACTTCATCGTTGAGGAGCTTCAAAACCCTGAAAGGTTGGAGAAGAAGACATTGTGTTCAAGAAAGAGTGCAACTTCAGGAACTTGCCCCTGGCAATCGCGATTTCATGCTCTTTGTGCACGGTCATCTACACTCTGACAAATGTCGCATTGTACACCACGATTTCTCCAGATGAGATGTTAGCAAGTCCCGCAGTCGCGGTGGTGAGTGAGCTTAGCTGAGGAGGAAAACATTTCCCTAGTCCCTCATAATTAGGGACCGCAAAGCCACGCCCCTTTTCGCGATAGAAAAAGTGGCTTTTTTTTGGTTTTCAACTTTCATTTTGTTGTAGTTGCAAAATATATGGAACTGGATAATAAAATTTGACACACATGTACAGAAAAGCTTCCTCTTTCATTTGAAAAATATTTCACGCTTTTTTGATGCGTTCTCGCGGAATGTCGTACAAAAACGTGAATGGAACTAAAAAATGTTGTCATTTTTTGCTTTTTCATGTGTTTTCAGGTCGAACGCACTCTTTCTTTTTTTATAAAATGATTTTGATTCAAGTAACGGAAATTTTTAAAACAATAAAATAAAAAAATTCGTCTTTGCCAAAAAAATTTTAGGAAGTGCCGAAAGTCATAATTCAAAATATCGTTAATAAGCGAATATAATCGAGTTTTTTTGTTTTTTTCAAAATTTAGACCATGGGCTTACTTAAATATTTTCTCCACAGCATATGTGCTTGAAAAAAAGTTGTTTAATACGCAAAAAAATGCTCTTGAAACTAGAGAATAAAAATTAGCGGCGTTTATCACACAGAAAGAGGTCGAACGCAGGTTTTTTTCAAACGATTATATACATTTATTAGTAAAAAAATCTTTCAATTAAAAAGAATAAAATAAAAAAATTCGTCTTTGCCAAAAAAATTTACGGGGCCGTTTTAATGCAGCGATCGTTAAACGAGGCAAAAAAAGCACTAAAAAAACAGCTTTTTTTCGAAGTGAATTTTTCCACGGAAAGTTTAGGTAAAGATTTGCGAACATATTCTGATAAAAAAATAGCTAAATTTCTTCAAACTTTTTATTTTTGTAAAATAGGCAATCTGTGCTATCCAAACGGCTCAAGGGTAAGGGGGGTGGAAGCTCCCCTCGCCAGACCTAACAGCTTGGCGCAGCGCGTCCGCTGCGAATTTTCATTTTGAGGTCGCGAGTTCGATACCCGCAAGCGTCAGTTTTTTGTTTTCTGGAAAATACCGACTTTTTCGGCAAACTAGCTGATTAGCATCATTTTAGCACTCTATTATGATTTGTTACATCATAATAGACCAGTATCAAAACTTGTTCTAGAAGAAAAAAATCGAGAAAAAAATGTCAAAAAAATGGATAATACCAAAATTTCAGTACTAAAAATGGTGCGCGGCGCGCACATTTTTCGTCATAACTTTTTTCAACCTCAACCTTTTTCGAAAAACTGAACGGTTCTGAGTTTTAAATCAAAACAGCTATCAAACCATACAAAACTCGATGCTGAAAAAAAATTTTTGAAAATTCGTCTGCGGTCCCTACTCATAATATTCCGAATGGGTCCAAATTATTGGTATAAATTTATTCTTTTAGATAAGGTAGATAAGGCACACGGATTTTGCAACACTTATAGTTTTTGAGAACTGATCGCTGAATTTTGAAGTTTCTCGAACGATTTACAGAAAAGCAACCTTCGGTAGATACATCGAAAAGAAACTCCGTTCACAAATCAAAAAAGTTATCGTAAAATCTTGAGCATTCTTTGAAGTGTGAATTGATCTAAAAAATGAAACGGAGCTTTCAGTTGTTTGCTGAGAAGAACTATGGCTACTTCGCTTTCGTGATGCCCATCTTCGTCGCCTGCTCAACTATCGGATCAGCTAATGGAGTTATTTTGACGAGCTCGAGGTAAGACACAAAAAACCCATTTAACCGTCTTTATTTTTGTCAATGATTAGAAAAAAAAACCTGAAGGATCGGACAGTAAGACGAAGAACATCATTGATCGGAAAAACCGCATCAATTCTTTTTTAATTAAGTATGTGTTTTGTGAAAAAATGATACATCTTGAATGAAAAAAATTTGAATTTCAAAACATTTTTCTGAAAAGATAGGGCGATTGTTAGTAGGTCTTTAAAACTTGAAAGATATTCCGTTCATTTTATAATATCAAGGAATTTTTCCTCATGAAATTTCTTTTTTCTCAGACTTTTCTACTGCGGAGCTCGTGAAGGACAGATGCCACAGGTCCTCACTATGATCAACAAACAGACCAAAACGCCGATTCCAGCAGTTTTGTTGACGGTTTTCAAACGAGTTTGTTTTGCATTAAAATCTGATTCATTTCAGGGACTTTTGTCTCTGTTCTACTTATTTTTATCTAACAACATATACTCGCTCATCAACTACATTCAAGTGAGCTACTGGCTGGCCATCGGAGCTGCAATCGCGGCTCTTTTCTACCTCAGAAAAACGATGCCCGACGCTCCTAGAGCTGTTAAGGTTGGATCGCTTTTTGTTTGTGTTTATTTAATTTTGGTTTTAGGTCAACTTGTTCTTCCCAGTGGTCTTCTTCATCGGATGCATGGCTCTGGTGTTCGTTCCTATCATTGGAGCCCCTAAAGACACGGGTGAGAGATAGCTTCCGTAAACGTTTTTATATGCGATTCGCACTCAAAACGTTGTGGTGACGCTGTCTAAAACGATGAAAAATGAATATTTGTTTCTGGTACATTTTGAAGATTTTGCTAGCTTTCCTTGTGTTAGAGGATGACGCTGTTTCCCAGTAGTTTGCGGTCAGGCGCTCTCACAAACTTGTGCAATTTTCTTCAAAATTGACGCGACGCGTTGAGTCATTTGTGGCAAAAAAAACCTTCCAAGCTATAGAACATAAACCAAGATGATGAATATTCTTAGCTATCGGAATCTTGATCATGCTCTCTGGAGTCCCAGTCTACCTGATCTTCATCGCTTGGAAGGGCAAACCAAAGTTCTTCAACTCCATCATCAGTAGGAGCTTTAAGAAATTTGTTGGATAAAAATTTATTCAGATCGACTGACTCTCTTCACACAAAAACTCTTCCTCGTCGTCGATGCCAGCAAAGAAAACTAACCACATAAAGGGAAACTTGAATTTCTGAATCCTGCCATACTTTCTTTTTCCTTCTTTTATCAAGATTTCCATTCCATGCGCGTACAAGCTCAGTATTATATTTCTTTGAAACAGTAAAAATCCTTTCCTCTCATCCTTCGCCATATGCTCTTTAAAAAGAGTCCATTTCTCTATTCTCTCTTAGCCTGCTTACTTAACATTCTCCGGTTTGCATTCTTATCTCTCGAGTTTCTTTGAGACTCTCGATCAAAGAAAATCAAATAATCAAAGCATTTGCTGTTGTTTTTGTTTTGCTGGAATAAACAAATTTCATGGTTCCGAAAAAAAGATGAAGCGTTCGAAAAACACTTAATAAAACAGGAAACAGCCTACAGATAAGAAAAATCAACTATTTTCAGTTCCTTTACTGTTTAGAAAATGAAGTTTAGGGGTTTCATGGAGTTTTCTCATTTTAAAATACGGCAATACAAAAATAAAAGTTCTCTCAATAAGTTCGAATGGGAACTGGAACCTTCGGTGAACTCAGAAATACAGTAAAATAGCATTTCAAAAAACATTTTCTTTATTTATTTTTTGCTTTTTGAAACTGATTCAACGAAAATAACCCAATGTTCCAGATAGTATTTACTCTAGAGAAAATTCTCAAATTAAAAAAAACTGAATGAATGAACTGAACAATTTAAAATAATCGAACAAAAGAAATGAGAAAATGTTACATTTTCTGAGAAATCAATAAAGGATCTGTGCATACACGACACCGGTCAATTGCGGACAAAACATGCCATTTTACTTTAATTTTTTTATCATTTTTTTAAATCTTGTTTTAAAGTTTTTCAGAATAAATGAGGTTTTTTTGAGCAGAAGTGTGACCAACTTGACAATAGCGAACTTTTTTGGTTGTTGTTCGTGAATTTAAAGAATGCCTCGGCGAAAAATTAAGTTTTTTTCGGTGGAGTCTCCAAGAATCAATCAAAGAACTCGGTCTTTTTATTTGCGATCTGGAAAGGTGAAAAAAAGCCGGCAATCCTGGTAAGCTTCTTTTTTTCTAATTCAATTTTATTTTTTTCGCATTCATTTAAAAAGAAAAATTTCAGTGTTTAGCCCGCAAAAAAACAGAAGACGTGTCTGCACAAAAAAACTTATAGAATCGATTTTTTTAAAAATTGCTTTTTCGCTTAACTTTTTTTCGGCTAATATTATTAAGAATAAACATTCACTTTTAAATTTTTTTGTTTTTCTCAAAAAGGTTTTTCCAATAACGGCTCTGATGAAATTTTTTTGAATCATTTTTTTCCATAAATTAGTTTTTTTCTTTCACAAAGTTCGTTTTTTGTATTTCCTTTGTGTTTGGAAATTTTGTCTTATTCTCAGTAGGAGAAATTCCGCATTTGAAGAAGACATTTTTGAAATTATTCTTTGGTCGAATAAAAGGTCAATCCCAAAGAAATCTTTTCTATTTCACCAGATTCATAAGAAAGGCGAAAAATCAGTCACACAATATTTATTTCATTTTCAGAAAAAAAAAACAGTCAATAGAAGAGCGTTTTCTCATATAATGACAAGTTGATAGTTTATTTTTCTACGTGAATAAAAAAGAAACTAGCAGTATTATGATAAGATTGCAATCATTCGGGATATTGAATCACTGAGGAAAAATTGAAACTGGGTTGATAATAATTAATTAACGAATTGAATTAATAACGAGCAGCTTTGCAGACTTTGTCGTAGACGTCGGGGAAGGCTTGAGTGCACTGGTACTTGGTCCGCAGCCAATCGTAAATGGAAGAATCGAACATTTCCCAGAACTCGGAACGCGTCATGTAGGTGTCGGCGTACATCATTTGGAATCTGGAAAGTAAGCTCTTTTCATTTTTAAAACCTTATTCCGAACACCAAAATCAAATCTCAATTTTTGAAAATGAACTACTTTCGGTTCAATTTTGAAAGTTTACTCACCCTTTCGTGCTTCTCACAAAACTCTCTAATCGTCTAGTAGTTTCAACTGGGTCATAATTTTTTTCTTCTCGGTGATACCTAAAAAAATTCTTCTTCATTTCAAGAAAAAATTTAAAAGATACCATAAACACCGACATCGACGTACATAATCGATTTTCCAGACCTTTGCCGGACCATTCCTGGACAAGAAGGCTGATTGAAAGGACACAGCCAGATTGGGTACACCTATAAAATTGTAATAATTCATTAAAAATTTTTCAAGGACAGAGAAATAACGCTCACTTCAACTTCTTTGTGAAAAACGTTGATTGTTTCGTTCAAGCGGTCTAAAGGAACCAGCATATCTTGAAGAACGTGCTTCCGATCGTACAGCTTTCTCAAAGTCGGAGGAGTGGTCAGCTGAAAATAATCGGTTAATAGGTAAGCAAAACGTAGGTATTTACTTTAATGGGCTTCCCCAAACTTTGTTCAAAAGCCCAGATTAAGATTTCGCTAATAAAAGCGCGAAGAGTCTTTATTTTTGAAACTAAAGTTTTTTTATTGCTTCATTTAAAGGTTTTTTTCGATATCGAAAGATCTTTCTTCAGAAATTGAAAGTTAGTGGCTGAAAAAAAGGTAGAGACATTATTTTTTTGAGCTGAGAGCTATTCTTTACTCAGCGATTGTCGAAGAAAACTTACAGAAGAATTATTGTACTAATCGACATTTTTTGTCAGGAATTTCAAATAACACCTATTTGCTATAATAAATTACATGCCACTTAAGGTTTTGCAAAATTTTACCTTTAACAAGGAAATTTTAGGAGGGCACATCCAGCCAAGAAGCCATCGAAAGACGACATTGTTTCCGAAAGGTACAATTTCCTTCAGCTCCCAGAAAATGCTTTTCGAATGCCTGTGGTAGTACTCGCGCAACGGGATGAACTCAGTGTGCACCTGGGTTAATAATCGTAAAAATTTCTTTTGAAACTGAAACTTTTCCAGTTTTTGTGAGGTCTTCAACGTGGGTGTAGAACCACTTCTTATACCATCTTCCAATGGAATTTATTTTTCCCGTATTGTCAATGGGGCCGTCGGAGAATCTGTAAAGACGAGCATTTTATTACGAGTGAATTCTGTTTTAATGGAAAAAAAAAATCAAATTGAATGAGATTTCTATCTTCTTATTTTCTGAAACGATGAAAACCAATAAAAACCTTCCGCGCATCACAACTCCGCGATCTTTTGAGAAAAGAAGGCCCTCCACAAATTCATTTTCTCGGTTTTCGGCCTCTTCCCGCAACGTAGCTTCCATTTCCTGAAAACCCGTTGGTTATCCTGTCTTTTTCAGGGTACATTACCTCCAAAGTTTTCGTAGGATAGTATGTGAGTTTCACAAAAGGTCGACATGGGATGATTCGGAGCGTGGCTGAGACCAAGAAGCCGAGAGTTCCGTGACTCCATGGGATACCAAAGAAGAGCGTGTGCATATCAGTTTCCTCTTGGGTCGACGGGTTCTTGAACTGAATGAAATTTAATTTTTCTAAAGTTTTGACAGTTTCAACGTACCTTTTTAGCTGTCACCAAACTACCATCAGCCATGACAAGCTCATAGGCGACGCAAATGTGCTGGAACATGCCGTATTTCCGTCCCGATGCTTCGACGCCACAGCCGTTGATCATCCCTGATATCACATTTATATCGGTAATAATAAATTTCATGAATTAATACACCCTGTCTTCGCAAAACACGGCTCAAAACAGTGTTTTTGTTTAGAAAACGAATTTTCAGGCGCCTCTATTGGAGGTTATTATCTGTTGTCTAAAAAGACGACTAAAACTAACCTCCGACGGTCAGATCGTCCAGCTCAGGGACAATCGGAAGAGTATATCCCAAAGGAAGTAAAAATCGCGTGATTTGTCCCATTGTCACCATCGGCTCCACTCTGACGGTCAGAGCTTTCTCGTCAATCTGAGTTTCAAAAAGTTGACAAAAAAGTTTGGAACGATCACTTCAAGAATGTCTACAAGCTGATCCGTATTGATCTGCGTCATGTTTTTCTTGTAAAGTGGAAACCGGAAGCTCATTGTTGACCATCCCGATCGAGCAGTACACATTTTCGTCTTCTTGCCGCTTTCGTTCCATTCTCGGACCTTGAATTGAAACTTAATTTATGATATACTAAAGTTTACATTAATTTAACGAAAAAAATTATTCTCTGGTTCGTTTCTGGATGGATACACATAGTGTTGAAAAGTCAGGACAATGTCATAATGTCAATCAAACCTGTCTTTTTATCCGAGCGACCTTGCGCCCGTGTGCCCGCGGGGCTGATTGCAATTTGTAGATGAAATAATTTCGGACAAAGTGGTAGCTATCAAAGATGAGACTGGCTGGCAGGAGGAACAGAATAACGAAAATCCATCGAAAGCGGAACATGATCCATTCAACCTGCCTCTCGAAGGCGTTCAAGGCCGACGGCTCCTTGGCACTCATTCCTGAAGTGAATCATCGATAAAGAGACAAAGAAATAACAAAGTACAAAGAACGCACGAAAAAAGTTCAGAATCATTGTAACAAATGGGAACTTGGCTTAGAATTTTCAATGAGTTCAATATTCTCGAAAATTTTGCCCAATTGTAACAAAGAACAAAATTTAAAGTCTTAAAAGAAAAGTTTTGCGAAACTTTCGAGTTGAACAAGATAATGGAGTTTGCACTGATAAGCCACTTTTTGCCGCAAAATGTTGCGAATTGGAGATAAGAAATGACTTAAAATATGCTTATTTTCTTTAGTTTACACACAATTAATTGATAATTGTGGAAAAAAATTAGGAATTTAAAAAAAGCAGTTTGTTCAAGGAATTCAATACAGTCTGCGGAGTTTGTTATCCATTTTACTCAAAAAAATATTATTATTTGAATTCAATAAAAAAAATTTTTAAACAGGAAATAAATTGAAAAAAATTGTTGGGGGAGTATTTACCAAAAGTTTGAGAAAAATGCTAGAAAAAAAGGAAAGAACAGAGAACAAGCGATCGAGAACCGAACAAACTAAAAAAAAAGGAAGAGAAACTAGGAGAGTGGGCAAGAGCGGCGGATGTTCCGCGGCAAAATTGATCACCTCTTAGCAAAGGTCAAACTTGCCGTCAATCCCACATCGACCGGGAGCGTAGGTCCACTCGTTCCAAAATTTTGTTGGATGTACAGTGATGTAAAAATGATAGATTTCAAATTATGGGGGGTTCTCAAGATTTCATAGGCTCTCGAGTTTTTCTGTGAATATAATAAAAATTCTGAAAGGTGCTCAGAGCTCAAAACAACTGAGTCTTTGATTTTTCTATGGAGAGACTTCTCTAAGAAACCTGAAAAAGTTCTTTTGAAATAAAAATTTGAATCTTTTTCAAAATGAGGCAAATTCAAAACGGAAAACAGGAACGACTAAAGATTTCTTAGGAAGTTTCTTCTAAGCCGTTAAACAATTTTTTTCACAATCTGAAAAACTTTCATAAAAAAAGTACCAATAACTCAAACCAGAAATAGATACAATAAAAAAGAGATGAGCTGGAGTTTTTTTATAACTCATTTTTTTCATACATCAAATCCTGATATCCAGAAATGATCTCATGTAAGATTCTATTCAAAAAAAGGAAACTGAAAAAAACTTGGTTACAAATAATTAAGTAAAGGAAGCAGGCAGAGCGGAATTGGGGGTAGAACAAGATTAAGAAAAAAACTGAAAGCTACGGAGAATGTTATAAAAAAAATATGAAGAAAAATTTTTCTAACTCACAACAACTCCCTACTACTAAGAAACTATCATTTTTTGTTCTCCTCCTAAATTTTTCGTGATTCGACTTTTCAGTCATCGTTAGTCAAACTCAGAAACATTATCGGGTTTTTCAGACTTACCATTCACACTTTTTTTTCCAAAAAGATTTATTGTCAAACTCGTCAGAAGCTGAATTTTGAAGAATTTTTTTGAATGTTGATTAAAAATTTTTTAGTCAGTTTTTACAACGTTCACATGGAGACAGGTTCATTTTTTTGTGAATTCTTGTAAATCAGAAAACTTCGCAAAAATATACTCAATGATAAACTATGAAAACCGAATGGAACTCCCGCAGTTTGATAGGCCTATTGATTGTATATCAATGATAAAAAGGCAACATTTGCGTTGCAATTTTGAACCTGCGACCTGAACGAGAAATAATTTGAATATGCTAACACAGAAGACTAAAAATCAGAAAAGGCCAATTATATAAATAAAATATCGTGTTTCATTCAAGCCACTTCCCAACGCAACTTTCAGTTTTTTTTCTTTTCTCTTAGGTGAAATTTGATAGAGATTATTGTTGCTTTTCCAACCCAGGCTTTTTTACTGAAAAAGAATTGAGAAAAAACGGAAAAATTCATTTTATTATTGCTCAATTCATATTTACTTTCTTTCACAGAATGAATAATGGCTGTGTTTTGAGAAATGGACGTCTTCATCGAAAAATATTGAGAGTTTTTGTATCTGTTTTCCAACTGGGATATTTGAATTTCCAAAAAATTACGCTCCTATTGAGCTTGCTGCTCATAACTTGCATCTACCTACGATGCTGAGATTTCAGTTTTTTTCTTGAGGAGAATTTTTTTCGATCTTTAAAGGTTAAATATCACTATTGTTTGATTTTCTCCCCACTTTTTAAATATATCAAATAAAAAGGGCTCCGTTTGAATAAATGGGGTTACATTGACCATTGATGATTTTAGGAATTTCTAAAGAAAATTTGAATAACCATGAAACTCTTTTGTTGAAGAACTATTCTGGAACACCCTCATATCTGAAATTTTCATCAATCTGGAAACGCTTTTGCTTGATTATTTCACTTTCGAATAGCTTGCAGGGCCATATATGAATAAGCACTTGGTCTGAGAATTCTGAGAAGTATTCTTTTACCTCGGAAGGTGACTTCTCACAAATTTCGCACATTTTTTGTCTCGATTTCTCATAATTCTCACGGCTTCAGGCGGAAGTTAAATGCTTCTCTCGCAGATAATTTTTTTGAACTACAAAAAATAAACGAATCATTATTATTTCCCACCGGGAGTTTTTTGCAGTGGGCAATTTTCATGGGAATGACATAACAGCGATAAGTTTCTCAGTCGTGGGTTGCAGGCGTCGCAGGTGGCCGAGTTTCGTTCACTTCTGGAAAATCGGCTGCCCTCGACATGCCGCTTCTCGTCTTTAGAGCATTGCCCTCCTTTTTAATACTCTTCTCTGTGCACATCTTCTATATCCTTGTTCTGAAAAGGAAAAAAAGTCGTCGGCCAAATTGGACTTGTTGGCAACGTATCTTTAGATTTCGTGTAACCTGACTTCGAACTAATGACTCGCGAGCAATTTAAAATTGAACCCAGTGTGTTCCCACAAAATTTTCTGTTTACGAGAGTGAGTTCTACTTTTTGAGTTATCCAAAGCTTCTAGAAACTCAGAACTTCTTTCCAGCTATGAACTAAGCTTTTTTTTCGATGTGTTTTGAAGCTAGCAAATATTTAGGAGGAAAACTGAAGCCTAATATACTTGGAAATCAAAAAATTAGTTTTTGAAACCGGAAGGTATGGCTTGTCTAGACTTTTGAAGTACGTTCTAGCAAATAATTTGAAATCCAAATTAATATCCTAAATTTTAGTTTTTTTGTTGGCTCAGTTTAAAGAATTTTTTTGCAAGAATATCTCGAGATATTTTTATTCCTATTCAGAGTTAAGCATTTGCGCTATCAATTTGGAAAAGAAAGGAAAGTAGGGTTTTTGGGTTTTCAAGTGCTTATCTCTCTACTAAGCAATACATGTTGAAAAACAAGGTTAAATCTGAAATTTTGCCAATTTCGAGTAAATAATCAATGGCCAAAAGGATTTCATAAAAGACCTTCTTTGTGACTTTCAAAATTAATTTTGGAGATCATTCCGCTTTGAAGGAAACATTCTGACGCCGAATATGTCGTCTCCATAACGCTAGATGAATTTTATAGTGGCAGTGACGTTTCAATATCAACGTTTTCAACCAACAATTTTCTCATATGTGTTCAAAGTAACACACTTGATGTTTTCTATGTTTGGGAATTGAAAAGTTTCATTAAACTAGCCATGTTTTTTTAAGTTGTCTGATTTTTTTCAAACGGAAGATTTTGTGCTGGAAACTTGGAAATAAGCCTCACCTCAAAACTCCACAAATCTTTATCTCATTGACCTTCCTAGAGATCTAAAATGCATTTAAAATGATCGAAATTTCTTTCGTTTACACTTTCTACAAGCCTATTAGTAGTATTTTTATCGCTTTTTACAGGACACTCAAAGATGGTTCGCAGCAGTAGAAGTCAAAAGTATGACAGCTCGGCCGATCAACGGCTGCCTTTATTCCATTCTCCACCTTCGAACCAGGTTTTTTTAATGGTTATCTGAAACTTTTTCGTTTATTTTTCTGAGTTTTTTTTCACTTTTTCTTCCAGTACAAATAAACCCTCTCATGATCCATTTTGCAGCTCAAAACGCCCTAAGGAAATTTGTTAATAGTAGCCGGTGCATCTTATTAATATTTGGGCACTGGCTTTTTTTGACGTTCTCATAACTTTTTTGATTTTTCTTCGAGAAGGATGAGTGAAATTCGAATTTTCAGACTCAGTACTTGACAGTTCCAACTATGGAGTCTTTCCGAGGAGCGTGCACAGCTCGTGAAGAATCATTGATGGTGGAATCTGAACCTTCTACTGTATTCTGGTAAGGAGTCCTGTTTTAAAGGAAACGAATCGGATTCAACGTGTTTTGCCAATTTTGGCATTAAATAGCAATTCCAAAAGAAATTTTGACACATGAAAAATTGACCGTGGCCCACATTTTTCGGAAAATCGTGTTAAGTTAGCTTTTATAAACATTTTTAATAGTATAAAACATTTGAAAAAGTTCTATTTGACTGTTATTAGGCGTTTTTCTGTGATACCACTTTACTTTTGAGCAGAACGAATTGAGGAACGACATTCCGCTGTGCCGCTGTGCGTTTTTGCAAACTTTGGTCGTGCTTTGAATTTTTTTATCTTTTTATCAAGTTACTCTACTTTCATATGCTCCCATAGCAATAACAATCAATTGAAAGCGTGACCCAGATTCGAAAAACGCTTCGCGAACACACGCAGCGGAACAGCGGAATGTCGTTCCGGGAAATTCCAAGTCGTGGCACACAAACTATAATATATTCAAAATAGTTTTAACTTAAGCTGACTGTAAAAAAAGTAAATAAAAAGAAACTATATTTGTTTTTGAATTTTTTTGTGAAACGTTTCGTACCCAATCCTAAATTCAATGTACCTTCGAAGTATTTCACTAGTCTTTTTCCAGCATGAAAGCTTGCGGTTGCATCGGGATCGTCTTCCTTTTCTGCTTGCTGACTGTCTTCGTGTACGCCGTTCTCATCGCCAAGTACAGCGCTTCTCCCAATATGGGACAGGGCAACTATTACGTTGTCGATGAGGATCCTGAGCAAAGATAATCAGTCAATACACGAAAAACCCAAAGATTTCTCGTCTTACGTTGAAAGAAAAGCCCTGTGGTTGATTTGAAGAATTGTCTTACAATTTACTGTAAATATACATTTGTTTCTAAACTGTACAGATTTTTGTTCCATAACCTCTGTTAAATGAATAAACTTGATTATTAGTCAAAAATAGTGATGATTTCATCGGAAAGTCTAATTTTGAAATAAGAATTTCTAGCCCAAAAAATGAAATGTGTTTAACATCGTCTAGTCTCGGTACAATCACTAAATGAAAAAGTTTTCAGCCACCTGAAAATCTTGAAAGGGCTCAAAATTATCTCCCATTTTTATTATTGGGACGCAAACTGACTAGGTTTGAGACTGCTGAAATATCTGTCCCGATAAATACGGACCTACCTTCGAGAGCTCAGATATATTCTCATTGTTTTCAAACTCATTCAAAAACAACTTTCCTGAGTCTCCGTGGATGCGATGATCCCGAGGAATTCTACAGGAAAAAAAGTAGCAGAAGATTCAACAAAATTCTGTACTTTTTGTGAAGTTTTTGTAGAGCGTTTCATTATCTTTGACCCAGGTTCTTTATATGAATTTTATCTAAACAAACGGGCCGAGCAAAAAAATAATATTGAACTTTTTCAAGATCAAAATTTATAAATGGCAGCTCGATTATCATAATTCTCTTCTTATTTTGTTTCAAACATTTTTGTCCATTCTCGTTTCACTCCGTGGTAAATGTACCGAAAAACTCTTTTTTGTTCTGGAAATTTTTATAAAAAAAAGTTCGTAATGTTTTTTCTAGTATTTTTTTGATCAAAAATTCTGAGCTATTTTTTTCAAATTAACTTGTTTTTGGTAATAAACTTTCTGTGATTCTTTATAATTGTTGAAAAAACGGGAAATAGTTCAATAAGTCTAATGATACAGTAGTCCTTATTATCGTTAATTAATACTTTCCAGAAACAATTTAATTTTTTTTCAGAATGATTCAAAAGATTCTAATCGAATCAACTTTTCCTACTTTTCCATGACGCTCTGGTTTTAGCAGCTCTAAAATCTAAGTATTGTACTCTTCTTGCTAGATTTTTGTACTTTCTAATGCCATTCGAATAACTTACTAGAGCTATCGGAAGTTTATATCGTAGCCTTCGCCTTAATACACTGCGTTCAATAAGGATAGGACCCCCCTCGATTTTGGACTTTCTGGCAAAATACGGAAAGATATCAAAAATCTGTAAGTGCCATTCGATTCAGAGTACAAAATAACCCCTAGAGCCAAAATTTCATTATCCTAGCACTTTTCCTACGAAAATGCCATCGAAAAAACGGTTTTTCGACCGTTCAATAAGGATAGGACCCCCTGGAAATTTTGATTTCATTGGTGGTTTTTGGTCAATTTCTCTTTTTGATGAGTGGTTTTTTTGTTTTAATATTATTTATTTTCAAGTTTTCTACGGTTTTTCTTTCATATCTTCCAGGTTTAAAAAATATTTTATATCAAAAATAGGGAAAAATGACGTTTTTTGAGTTTGCATCATAATATTCGAGCGAGTGATTTTTTCCAGTACTTTGAGTGAACTTATCTTATTAATAGAGACATTTTAACATTCAGAAAAAAATAAAAAGTTTGAAAAAAACATTACTCTAAAAAGTTAGAAAACCAGTTACATGATGGTGTATCGTGACCAAATTTCAGACGGTCGTCGTTTTCGACCGTTTTTCTTTCTGTAAGTATCCGACTGACGGTCCAACTTTTTTTTGTGAAGTTGCTCCAACCACAAAAAGACACTTAATTGGATTGGATAAAAATTGGTGATCCTCGGAAATCAAAGGAATAAACACCCTTCCGACTGCTACTCGAACTTTTTGCGGTACTGTATAAATAAATCATATAAAAAGTCTTATTTCTAATCAAAATTGTTTTATTGCACGTTTTCAGTAATGCTTCATTTTGTTGACAAACTTAAAACCCGCTAAACGCTCTATTTGAAACAATACTTTCGATGAGCGCGGGTACCAATTTCTCTCCACATTTTTCTCGGCATTCTACGTAGTAAATAAAAATTTTTTTAGATTATCTTGTTGTTAAATTATGTTCATAGGACCTTCGCAAATCCTCAAAAAAAGTCGAACCGCCAGTCGACTACCTACAGAAAGAAAAAAACGGTCGAAAAACGACGACAGTCTGAAATTTGGTCACGATACACCATCTTTTTAACTGGTTTTCTAACTTTTTAAAGGAATGTTTTTCATACTTTTTTTTGTTTTTCTGAATGTTAAAATGTCTCTATTAATAAGATAAGTTCACTCAAAGTACTGGAAAAAATCACTCGCTCGAATATTATGATGCAAACTCAAAAAACGTCATTTTTCCCTATTTTTGATATAAAATATTTTTTAAACCTGGAAGATATGAAAAGAAAACCGTAGAAACATTGAAAACAAATAATATGAGAACAAAAAAACCACTCATCAAAAAGAGAAATTGACCAAAAACCACCAATGAAATCAAAATTTCCAGGGGGTCCTATCCTTATTGAACGGTCGAAAAACCGTTTTTTCGATGGCATTTTCGTAGGAAAAGTGCTAGGATAATGAAATTTTGGCTCTAGGGGTTATTTTGTACTCTGAATCGAATGGCATTTACAGATTTTTGATATCTTTCCGTATTTTGCCAGAAAGTCCAAAATCGAGGGGGGTCCTATCCTTATTGAACGCAGTGTATGCATTTTAGCTGTCTCTTAGTAGATCATTAAAATGCACTGTTTGGGACCACAGGATTGTTCATTCTTTGATGATACGCGGAAAAAGATTTTTTCTCGGTTTTTTTCAGTGAACACACTTCGACAAAAGTGATTTAAATAGAGAATTTGGGTTGAAACCTTTATTGAGCCTTTTTAGAACATTTTTGTCCATTTTTTTCGTTTTGACTGATGATTTTTCTTGAAAAGCGTTATTTCTAAGAGCAACCTGCACAAAAGGTTACTAGAGCCCTTTGCTTTTTGAAATATCACACGTTTTTTTGTAATTTTTTTCAAATTTCTTTCCCCTCTCAAAAAAACAAGGTGACTCAAAAAAATTTTTTTAAAGTTCAAAAAAATTTTTCTTGATCAAACAAAGCGGTTTCAAAAAAAGCATCCATGTGGAAAATTCAGGGTTCACATGGTAACATGTTCTGAGGGATGAGCGATTACGAGCGCTTTAAAGCTAATAGGCCAGCAGAAAAAAACGGCTCTGAAATCCTACAAACAGAACCAGCGTCTTTCTAAAATTTTTTTATTCATATTCTAGATTGTAAATCTACTTGATTTCTGACGAAGAGGCGTGGCTTGAGCTGGATTTGAGAGCAGCCCTCTCAGTTCCGCATTGTCGATTGTTCCACGTTTGAAGGCGCTCGTCTTCTTTCCGAAAATGGCTTGTTGTGAACAAAAAACAGAACTGGAAGGTTAAATCTCACAGTTCATTATTGGCTTGATTCTACATAAGAATGATTCCAGTGAGATTGCTGAAGCTTCTTGAGATTGAAGGAAACACAACTTGTGCCGATTGTCATGGGATATCGCCCAAGTAAGTTCCGTTTTTGGATTCTAAGACTCAAAAAACTTTTTTTGTTCGATTTATGACAAGAAAAAACCTTTTTTGAGATGGGCTGCGTGGAATCTTGGGGTTTTCATATGTATGCGATGCGCCAGTATGCATCGGAAACTTGGAGTTCATGTATCGAAGGTATTCCACTTTTTTCCAGAATTCGCTCCCTTATGAGTATGGCAAGGTTCAAAGCCTGCGTGAAATCTCAAAACAAAGAAAAATGCAGCGGTATATACATTTTCGAGCAATTTTTTCTTCTCCTTTTGAACTGAGCTTTTTGCAAGAAAAAAAAATAACTCCGAGGTTTAATAATTTATTGAAACTTGGTCAAAAAATGGGGTCTGTCATCAGATTAGAAAAAACCAGATTTTCATACTTTTCTAGATGATTATTTTGAGATTATTTATATTAACTATTTTCTTTTGAAACTCGAAAATGCAAAAATGTCCTGTAAATCCGAATTCTCAAACTAGCAAGGTCGTATATTAGGACACTTTTGGTCGTTTTGAAAATTTTGAAAATTGGAGAAACGGATTTCTGTTTTTCACGATGCACCAAAAATCTTTCAGAAAAAACGTTTTCAATGTGTTTTTTTCACTCACTTCATCCATAGTAGTGTGCCGTTCTCTTCCAAAAATCTCGAGAAACGCGTGTAACAACATGCGCCATTAGGGAGCAAATGGGCTAAAAAGGAAAGCTCTGCTCATGTGCTCTTTCCCAAAGTTGAGCGCTTTTCAGGTCAAATCCGTGAATCTTGATTCTTGGACCGAAGATCAAGTGAACGCTATGGAGCGTATGGGTAACCGCAAAGCAAAGGTGTTATTATTCTTGCCTCATAAAATTTCGCATTTTTGATTTTCAGCAATTATTCGAATTCGACTTGCCGGAACATTTCAAACGACCCACGAATGCGAATGCGCTCGAAAAATTTATAAGAGCAAAGTACGAACACAAAAGGTTCGTTGAAACTGAGGCGAGGACCAAACTTCTTTCTACCTTGAAAGCTGCGAAATGTTTAAAATAGGAGCTGAAACCATTGATTTTGAGAGAAAAATCTCTGTAGCTCTGATCTCGTTTTTTTTTTGAAAATCGTGACAGATTTCATCGAAAAATTTCTGAATGAATGAGCTCTTTCACTCTTTTTATTGTTCTTTTTCATTGTGAATCGAAAAAAACACCTTCTTGTTCACAAAAAAAAGTCATTTCATTCAGGACTTCAGATTAATTCGAAATTCAACTCAATCTTTTTTTATGAACAGTTTGAAAGTCTAAAAGATTCTTCCAGGTCGATTTCCGGATTTTTTGAATGCTTAGAAATTGTCGGTTTTCCGTTGTTGATTTTTGTTTCTGTCTTTCGAAGTTCTAATCGCTCTTTCCTAAACATAAAGCAGTATTTCCCGTAGCGTCTTTCTGAATCCACTTATAGTTTACAGAACTCTAAATTTTCTGCGGAAGTTATTTTTTTTTTAAGTTTCCATGTTTAAATACAGTCAAATCCTAGATACTTCCATCACCAAGGCTCTCACGCAACGTTAAGTCCCGAAGCGATGATGTCTTTTGCGGCTCGACATGCCCCAAAATCCCGTTTGTTCAGATCAGAAAACTTATTGAATTTTATGAAAGTCCTTTGAAGTTCTTAAATGTTCTCGCGAATCACCACTGAAAAAGTTTGGATTGTCCTTCGAAAAGACACCGAGCACTGAGATTCTGGTTGATGTGGCAGGTCCCAGTGAGACATCAACAGAGAACTACACTTGCGCTATAGTGAGAATTTGAAAAGTCCGGAGATTCGTCCAACTTTGAAATCTTTTCAGCGTTCTCCGTCGTCTGAAGTGCTCGCGGCTGAATTAGTAGGAATTGACTTTGCGGCTTCAATTGTAAGAGAAGAAGAAAAAGTGGAAGTTTGTTTTTACTTTTATAATTTTTTTCATATGCATTCGTTCCAGACATCCACTCCACTTGCCCGAACTATGACAAACAATGAAATCATGTCTCTCTACAAAAAACCGGTATGACTTTATCTTATTTAGTCAAGTAATGATTCACTTTTTGATCCCTCAACACAACCGTGGGAACAGCGTCGCAAGCTCGCCCTTCCTCACTTCTTCATCTAACGACTCTGTCGATGACTATGACGACGAGTTCTTTTCTGAATTTGTAAGAATGCGGACGAAAAAGTGTCGTTGATGAGCTTCAATCATAGTAATATTCCCTGTTTCATGATATTGTGTAACTATCTCTTGTTTCAAAAGTCACCTCTGTACCCTACTTTCACTTTATGTTATCTGTTTTTTTTTATTTCTTCCTTTTTCACTATTTCGGAGTAGTTAGAACGGCAGGACAATAATGAAACACAAAAATCGTTGAAATTCTAAATATTTGAGCTTTGAGAACGACAGCTACGCTTGCAACTATTCCAAGGGCGTCCAAATAATCTGATTTATTGCAGGAAAGTCTGAAAACTGACGGCCAGCGTCTTAAAACTAAGGATTTTATAAAACTATAAGCTGATAAATTAGGATGTAGTTGATTGAAAATCATTCTCTCCGGTTATTCACATCATTCCCAAGGAAGGTCTTGCCAGCGCGAGCCCTGAGACCTGCAGAAATCGCAAGTGAAGAATGTAAAACTCAACTTCTAAATATTAGGTTGTTCAAAAAAAAAATCATCGCGGTTTTTCATATTTTTGACTTCAAATTGCCCACACTTTGCTTAGAATCTATCGTTCTCCTCGGAACGAGAATCATCTTATTGAGTGAGCAGGTGACAACGGAAAAAACAAAATAATCAGCCAATGATATCAAATCCTGAATATTTGTAGGCTTTGAAAATTTCGAAGCCCTTCTTGAAATGAGTTCAATAGTATAAAAACTTTTGAGCTGGCCCAGTTTTTTCGTATTTTTTTCAGCATTTTTTTAATATAAAAAAATGCAATTATTATAAATATTATCTGGTATATTCATATTACTTTTTTTCTTTGATTAACTAAGTTTATATTTTTCATTCATATTTTTTTATCATAAATTAACAACTAGGACTTTAAATATGAATTAAAAAAATCTCTCCATCCAAATTTATCAAAAGCTACTTCATAATTTTTTTCTCTGATATTTTTCTTTGTTCATTAATATTACTCAATTGTTTTATTGTTAGAAGTTGAATAGCGATTCAAATAAACCAGTTTATTAATTAAAATTTACAATCCTTAAGTAGATTTAGTGAAGATGGTTTGCGTAAATATAAACACAACTTTACTGATCTCAGTAATGACCAGAACGCCAAACTAGTATTTCCTTAACTAACCTTAAAGAGATTTCTACGCCTCCGAGAGGTTTTTCCCCTTCAGAGCTTTCTCAGTAAGTTTTTGGAAAGTTCACGTCCGGTTTGTCTCCAGTAGAGAGAGGCGGGCTGAGCCACATCACTCTTCCCAGCTGGGCTGCTACAGGAGAAGGAAGGTGGACCGGCGGGCAAGAGCCACAACACGGTTTTCCGCAGTCGTCTGAGCAGCTTCGACAGAGAGACACGACGAAGCAACGCTGGCTGGGTCCTTGCCCCTCGACGACTCTCGTTTAGTGAACACTTAAGTGTTCGAGGACTTGCAATTCTCAAGCGTAATTACGCGATTTTTTATAACACGAACACGATTCCTTTTCAAATACAACTCTTTACTAACTTCCACCAATTGAGTACGAAAACGAGGCGGCTCACAAACTGTGCAAGGATTTGAAGTAGCTCCCACGTAAACTATTTGGGAGGAAGTAAAAGAGAAGAAAAAAAAGCTGGACAAGTCCAATATAAAGGGATGAATTTGAAAGAAGAAAAAAATGTTTCTGATTAACAATGCATAAGTCTATAACTCTCATGTTTTATTTTTCAAATATTTGAATAAAGATGGTCGGGGTTTGAAAATATCAACGCTTAACTTGAATCAACATTTCGTCCCCAGGCGCATTTCAAAAACCTTCATTCTTCTTACTTACAGCCATCTGCTGAGGAACTAGACATTAGTGAAAAATTAAGTTGGAAAAAATTTGAACAACACCAATTTGTTCGACATATTGAACAAAATATTTTTCTTTTTGAATGAAAAACTTGCTGCACACCATTCCTACAGATCAAAAAAAAAATACTGAGAAAAGAGATGGGGCAAGGTTCAAAAACATCCAATATTGGGATATTGAATGGAGCAGACGCGAAACGGAGAAGCGTACGGCCGCGACGCAGCCGCACGCAAATATACACCATCGCGGTGTTCCCAATACAATTCAAAGTAAACATTCCGTTCTTTTTCGCAACAGACACAGAATTTCCTTCGTGCTGTGAAAGCGAATGAAACAACACCTCCTGAAGAATCCGTTTCTAAAGAAAAATATAAGAAATCCGCTCACCTGGCCTTATCTTAATTGGGTCTAATTTTCGAGCAAGCGTTTTCTAAATTTCATTAAATACCTAGTGAATTCAAATTTTTTTGAAATTATTTTTCATAATGAAAAAAATCATCCGTATTTTTTTACACAGGAAATCTTTTTTTGAAATCTCAGACTTGAAATTCCGTTTTTGAATATCATAAAAATAACTTATTTGAGCGGTTTTGAAAAATGTAACCGGTTCAAAAAAATTTCTCGGCATTTTCGAAGGCTTCGCAGTTATGACTATATAATAAATTAATCTTTATTTGTTTTGAAACAAAAACGTTTTCAAGAAATGTTTTGAGAAGTCCCTAAAAGCACAACAATACAGAAACTTGGAAGATTTTTCCACTCACCACAAGCTTAGGACAAAAAATGTTGCAAATAGTGAAATGCTCTTTTTTCAACATTTTTAGCTGATCGTGGGGAAAACTGCACAATATAGATTAGTGATCTTTCAATTTTCATAACCTCGAAGTCGTGTTAAAAATTAGTTCGATGCTGAGCTGGCGTCGTAAAAATTATTAAAACGAAAAAAGAAGCAATTTGCGATAGTAGATTTAGCGAAGATTGTTTACGTAATTATAAACACTACTTTACTAATCTCAGTAATGACCAGAACGCCAAACTAGTATTTCCTTAACTAACTTTAAAGAAATTTCTACGCCTCCGAGAGGTTTTTCCCCTTCAGGGCTTTCTCAGTAAGTTTTTGGAAAGTTCACGTCCGGTTTGTCTTCAGTAGAGAGAGGCGGGCTGAGCCACAACACTCTTCCTAGCTGGACTGCTACAGGAGAGGGAAGTTGAACCGGCGGGCAAGAGCCACAACACGGTTTTCCGCAGTCGTCGGAGCAGCTTCGACAGAGAGACACGACGAAGCAACGCTGGCTGGGTCTAAGACCTCGCCCCTCGACGACTCTCGCTTAGTGAACACTTAAGTGTCCGAGGACTTGCAATTCTAAAGCGCAATTACGCGATTTTTTATAACACGAACAACGATTTCTTTCAAATAAAAGACTTTACTAACTTATACCTAGTGAGTTTGAGAAACGAGGCGGGCTCACAACTGAACGAAAAGTTAATAACGCGTAATTATTAAAATAAAAGAGTGGTAATCGTTTGAATAAGGAATTACTTCAAAAACCGAGGTAGTTACAAATAACTATAATAGATAAATAATAAAAAATAAAAAGTAAACTATTTAGAAAGAACAAAGAACTTAAAAGAATAGCAAAATTACGACGAGGAAAAACTGATGAAAATTGAGAGGGGATAACAGAGGGAAATTTGCCGCATTTCTTTGACTCGTAGATCACTGTCGCGGAAGATCAACTTCCCCCGGCCTTAGAGAGGCCCGCCCCGGGCCGGTTTTCCCCGCCTGCTGTCCGATGCCTGTGCTTTCGCCTCATGAGGCTTCACACGATATGCTGTGCGCTTTATCCCGGGATGAAAATGGGTCCTCTGATTTTTAATGCCGTGCCAACTTCCTCGTTCTTGATCTTCTTCTGGCAGTTCTTCCGGTTTCGTTCTGAAGGCCGGCAAGGACGAGAAAATCATCCCCACCGCCTTCGTCCAAGTCGGCAGCACTTTCTTTGAGGGTGTAGAGGATGCGTTTTTGAAAAACTACAGCTGTACTGCAGGATTTTCTGGTAACGCTCGTTTAGGCAAAACCACGTTTAACCTTTTCGCATTCGCCCACTTTTCCATTGTGGCGACACTGCAACCGATCGCCGCGGCTTCTGCGTGGAAAGGAACGACGATGTAGTTCGTGCCGGCGTGGATGTTCTCACAGCTTTTGGCGAGAGTTTCCGCATTTTCTTGGGTCCACCGCACGTTGATTGGCAGCACGATCAGAACTTCTGAGACCTTCGAAAAATCTGCTCCCATCATGAACTTCGCGAAGCTTTCGGACGTCCTATGTCCAAAGCTGGTGTATCCCTCGAGTTGGATTTAATTTTGAAGTTTTTCGAGTACGAGAAGAATCCTCGCGTGATGTAGGAGAACCTTTTTCGGCTCCCAGTGATCTGTCCAATCTTTTCGCAGGGATTCCACTGCCGCCCAAGCGTTTTTTTTCTTTCTTTTGCTGCGGCTCGGCTCCACTGGTCCTTGTGTCGAACAACAACAAAATTTCTCGCACCGTTAGTAAGCAAGTCAAGCGAGCTTGCACTGCCAATAATTCTTCCATTGTCAGGATGAGTTCAGGTTTCGCCGCGACTCGCGCCAACATCCTGAGCGCTCCGCACTCTGGGAATCGCTCTTTAGCTTTTTGTCGTTGCGCCAGTTCGGAGAGGCTGGGGATGGTTCGTTGCACAGGCGCACGTCAATGTTTTGGAATTGGCTTCGACCACCGCTAGGCATCTGCAATTGGCCACGTTATGCTGAGAATACTGAAAACCTTTGATTTTTTGATCGTTTTTTCCTCCCGTTTAGGTATAAGGAAGCCACCACCACCGGTTTTCGTCCCCTTCTTTTCCTTTTTGTGTCCATTTTGACATTTTCGGCGACTTCTTTAAGTACTATCTTCAGGTGGTCGAATGGCACAAACATCGGGTCTTCTTTCCATAGTATAGGTGTTATCAAAGCTGAAGTTCCTGACGTCTCCTTCTCTCGAAATGGTCCCGACCAGCCGCTCACGAGCTTCGGGTGCTTTGAGTTAGCTGCTTCGGTAGGTACACACAGTAGGACTCGGTCTCCGACTTTCGGAAACGTTTTTTCTTTTTTATTCTTTTTATCGAACTGTCTTTTCATGGCTGCTCCTTCTTTGAGGAGGTTCGCCCTGGCTTTGTCATGAGCTTGATATAGCACTTCCATTAAGGTGTACTTGTATGAGTCTAGATAGTTTTGAACCCATTTTGGTTTGAATTTGTCCTCGATTTCGCTTGGAATTCGAGGATCTCTTCCGTACATTAGGAAATAAGGGGATTCCCCTGTCGTGCCATGTTTGGTACTGTTATAGGCAAATACAGCCGCCGGCACCAACTTGTCCCAATCCGTGGTAATAGCCATTTTCTTTTTCAGGATACTTTCCAGCGTTCGTTTGAATCTTCCCACGCATCCGTTTTCACGGCTGTTATAGCTTTTGGTCTGGACGTGCTTGCTTCCCATCATTTTGGTGACCGTTTCCATGAGATCATTTTTGAATTCATTTCCTTGGTCTGTCAGGATCGTCTCCGGTATCCTTCCTTTCCGAAGGAGCCAGTTCTCTGTGAGCGTAGTTGCCACGGTTTCTCCAATCTTGTTCTGGATAGGATGAGCTGCAGCGAATTTCGTGAAGTGGTCGATAATCGTGAGGATGTAACGATTCCCAGAAGCCGCTCGTCCCATGTCGATCAGATCTAGCGCGACTATTTCTAGTGGTTCGCTGGTTATGTAAGGGTTCAGGGGTGCTGTAAGTTGCGGAGCATCATTGAAGAGAAGGCACTTAACGCATTCTCTTGACCATTTGTTAATTTTTTTCCACATTGACGGCCAGAAATAATTTTCCTTCAGCTTTTCCTGTACTTTCTGAGACGCCCAGTGTCCTGCCAGTGACCCCGAGTGAGCTTCTTCGAACAGCTTCTTTCGAAAAGCTAGTGGAACCACCTCTTATCCCTACAACAATTTATCGCCTGAAATAGGAATAATTGTAATTATTCTATTAATTTATTTTTGAAAAAAAGTCATAAATTACATTTTTTATGAAAAAAATTTATTCATAAATTTCAGACATATTCAGCAGATAAAAAAACAATACGAAGATTACTGCTCGCTAAATAATGAAATTCAAAAGATTTTTGATAATTTTTCCAAATTTTTTTGTTCAATGTACTTTTTTTCAGTTGGTCGGTGGGACTAAACTGCAATAGTCGCTTCTTGAAGCAATTTTCTAGGCTTTTAAGGAGGGCTTTGGTTGGATCGTGTTGTTCACGAGCCAAATCGATCTTTTTTGAGAGATCTCACTTATCCAAACACACTTTTGCGATCTTCAACCAGGAGTTGTCGTCGTGTTGATTTTCACAGCAGAATTTTCTTATTCTCATCCTTTATGTGGAAAAATTGTCACCATCTTGCTTTTGATATCTGGATAAACTGCAAAATAGTTTGTCGGCGAAGTCAACAATTGCGTCGTGCTTAGTCCTTTTCCACCTTCTTAAAATCAAAAAATCAAGTATAAGTTTTTAAGACTTTGCAACAAACCGCAGTTTTGTTCATGTAGATGAGAAATGAATAGAAACACTCTGAGCATAAGCAATTGGAAAACAACATCAGCGCAAAGGCTCTTCTCATCAATAACGTTTTCGAGAAGCTCAAATTTGTCGTGCCATTAAGTGCCAATGTAACTAAAATACGCAAAAATGTATATGTATACGCAAGGCTGTGAAGTCCTCACGTGCTTTTTTTTGGTTCCAGTCGACGTGTTAGGAGGAATAATATGAGATTCGGAGCCGACATCGATTAATGCTAATAATTTATAGCAATAGAATCCGGAGACGTCCGGCACCTGACCTGAGATTGTCCCTTCCGTGCCATGATGGTGGCATCTGAACATCACAGAAATGCATTTTGAACAAACGAATAGAAAACATACTTAACTTTGAACTTTGAAACGGAATCTTCCCCTTGAATCCGGACAAACGCAAGTGTGTTCATTGACCTGTTTTCTTACTCTGCGTCTCGTACTTGAAAATAACAAACGAACCAGGAATATTCATTTCCTTTGTTTTGATCATGAAGATTGTGGAAGTACTGCGACAAAGTTGCAAGTTTTCTCGTATCGACTTACCATATCTTTCATCCAATTATTTTTCTCGACGAATTGATTCTCTCCTCATATAAGAACACCGCAAATATTTATTAAAGAAAAAAACTGATATAAAAAAACAAATGACAAACAATATTTAACAATTTTTACATGAAAGAATATTAGGATATTGACTAGAAAAGAGATCATACAAAAAAAGAATGAAAGCGCTGAGACTTTAAACCATTTTTTTAATTTGATTCGGATGTGCTCAAAAAAATAATTGAAATATTAAAGCATGATTGAACTGCATAAAAAAAAGAACGTGATTTTTCGAAACTGAAAAAAATATCTCCATCAGAATAGTTTCCTGAATTGAATTTTTGAATTATTTAGAGGTGAAAGCGTTAAAGCACATAGAAAAAAACTATTCGTAAACCCAATAAAAAAAGAAAAAAATAGTCCAGGGTCGTTTTTTTGAGCATTCAAAATGTACGATTGAGCAGAAAAAAAGTTGACTAGAAACAATACTTATTTTTTTCATCAATGTATAAAAAGGCCAAACAAGTTTGAAAATAAAAAAAGTGAAATATCAAAAAAACTACTTTCAAAAATGACTCAAATCAAAAACTGACCAGCATAATGACATGAGCGTGTTCTTTCGAAACAGTAAACTGCGGGCAAGAAAGGCCAAAATTTGAGACGACAGCGTCTTTTCCACCTAGAGAACTGAACGCCTTTACACTCGCAACTCTTTCTTCCAAGGCGTTCGTTACAAATCCATCAACGGATGTGGAGTCCTTGACGGCAGTAGTTAGATCTTCCCTGAAAAAAATTCAGCAAGAGTTGTTTTCTAGAATTCAAAGGAAATTGCTATTTTGAGTAATCTAAATGGCAATTTTTAGTACAAACCTGACATAAACATCAGAGAAACGGGAAATGGCCACGTGGTTGTCCATATAATCTCTGTTTACAAACTGCGGATGTAGAGAAGATGAAAGATGTACTCCAGCAATCTGGCAAAGGTTATCTTCGACGAATCATTTTTTTTAAACAAACTGAAGATGAATTGCTGGCTGTTTGCGGCTCGTGGATACCGATACAAAGACTCAAGTGACGTTCAAAAACAACGTGAGAAACATATTCTTTCTGTTGCTTTCTTCTCACCTTAAATGACAACGATTTTTCAAAATTATCAGTAAAAAATAATAGAATCCGTAATCCAATGTTTTAGGACGACAGAAATCATATTTACATGCAACAAATTTTTTGGATTTTTTTTTTGGCTCGGCAAAATATGAGGCATTTTCTTTTCGAATGTCGTTTTTGAAGAAAACAACAAACCTTATCCACAAAAGTATTCAGTCGAAGACGTGATTTAGCCGCAGCAAAACTGTCCTCAGCCGATGGAAAAGATTGCCTTAATCAAAACATACAATTGAGCAGAAGGTCCCGCCATTGTTTTTTGTAAAACTCTCACTTCAAGTTCAAAATTTTCAAAGTAACGGTTGTTTGAACCGAAGGCTTGAAACGAATTGCGTCGCGTACAGTTCCCCAAGAAAAACGACGCGCGTCGTGCTGTTTTTGAAGATTCGAAAACGAAAGAACATTAGAAATTGAAGGAGAAGCGGCTTCGTTTTTCTGAAAATTGGGATACTTTGTTACTGTTCAACATTAGAAAAAAGCAGAAAGGTTTCTTAGTGATGGAAATTTTACGAAAATAAGTTTTACAGGCGTTTCACAACCATTTTCAATCAGAAAATTATCTTGTTAAGAGCAGTTCTCTTACGTCTGGTTCTGAAAAAATAACAAAAAATGAATGAAACATTTATATATCATCAAAATATACACGAAAAAAAAAACTAACCGGAGCAACTAGAAGTCGGACCAAAACACCAGTCAACACACAGACGAGCATGTCATCGCACATCGAGTTTGTGCATTGAGCATTGAAAATAGCATTTCCCAATGGATATATTGATTTTGCTTCAGACATTAGGTTTCCAATGAGCTCGTGATCCGCATAAGGTAGAGCCTAAAATTAAATTTGTATCTAGGAACGAAACAACAAAAAACTTACATTTCCAACTTCTGCCGCATATTCTGAAGGATCACTCGTGTCACTGGTAAGTTTTTTACAGACCGACACCTGTAAATGGAGACAAAAAGTATTGACAAAAATAAAATGGAAGAAGGATAATTTTCTAACGTTCTTCTATAAACCGAACAAATTCTTTCCTTTTTTTCTACCGAAAAAAATTTTTGTCAGAAAAAAATGTTTCGATCCAGTACTTACATTAAATTTCAAATCAAAGTCAAGAAAAGTTAGTTTTTCCGGAAAATCTCTCAAAACTCTCACGGAGAAAGCTGAAATAAGCAGCATCGTCTGAGAGTTCACATAGGAGAGTTCATATATGCGGCCACTCCCCATGCGCCTTTTAATGAGAGTCCTATTTCATGAGTTTTTTTATTTTTGTATTTTTGTCAAATTACCTGGAGTCGGAAAAAAAGCAAAACGTAAAAAAACTGAATGTAAGATGAAAAAAAAAAAAATGACAGCATGGAGCTCTAGTTAAAGGCATAGGGGCAGTGAAAAATGGCGTTTTAAATCAAAACAGTATTTTGTAAAGCTTTTCATTGCAAATCGAACGGTGAACTTGGAAACGTACAGAAGTTCCTAGTTTTGAAGAAAAAATTATTCAAAGTCGGAGAGAAGAAATATTGAGTTCCCGCAAAAAGGGCGCTTTGCAGTAAAGTTGCTCTATGGACAACAGGCTTCGCCATCTTCCAAATTTTTGCTTTTTTCTTCGTTTCTTTCAAATTCCAATTTTTTCTGTTATCACCAAAGTTCTTTTTGTCACAAACGCTTTCTATTCATTTATAATTTGCAAACTTTGATCGCAAAAAAGCGTTTCTGGTGAAAAATGATGATTTTACACAGGTTTCGATTGGGTTAGCGTTATTTCGTGTTTCCTTTATTAACGGTGTGTTTTTTGTTTGACTAAGGATTTTTTCAAAGAAGAAACCCTTAATTTGAAGCAGAAATCCGGTTATTTCTCACAAAACGCGAGTCTAATAAGACGTCCGCAACATCGCGTGCACGGCTACTATAACCAGTTGTCTGAGCACCGATCCAAAACTTTTTTCAAAATTAAAGGCGGGAAAGTAAAATCGCTTTTTTTTTTCAAAAGTGGTCACATCTGTAGTTTTTTTGAGTTCACCATTCGATTCGCAAAAAAAAACTATAAAAGATAATTCTTTCACTTGAAACCCCGTTTTACTGCCCTTATGCCTTTAATGGCGCGTGGTTGCCGGGAACTACCTTCGCGAATTACAAAAATGGCGCAGTTTGAGAAATGAGGAATACTATTTTTCAAACAACTTGACACAATAATACCAAATAAAAGCCACCTGAACAAAGTTTCTGGGTCCAGCGTAATACTGTGGAGGCGGGCATGGGGTTGTTGACAAAATGAATTCCGCAACTTGTCCGTTCCTTCAATTTGTCTTTCATGATGTTGATCAGTTTGGTCATGAAAGTCTTACTTGCAACATGCACATTGGGCAAGCTTCGTAGCCATCGGAAAGCGACTTCCTTCGATGGGGGAATGGAATTGTGCACATCGAAAGTTTCGTGGAGTTGAATCGGACCTTCCCCGCGTGTCTTGAAGTTGAAACTAAAAGAGAGTATGATCACTGATAAAATGTAAACCGCTTCACTTTGAATAGTGCTTTTTTGTCCTTGATTTCTTTTTCAGAAACTTCCCGTATGTGGCTAACAGGACTGTTCCGCGAGTTGCTGTCCATGGAAGAGGAGAAAGCTGGAAATTGGAGAAGACTTGTCCCAACTGATAAGTTGACTGCCGTTCCAGAACAACTCAACAAAGCTATGCCTGATAAAAAATTCATTACTGGTTGAAAAACGATAGAAAAACCTTCATTGACTGCAAATTTTTCAGTGTACGCGATGATGACATTGCAGCCTATAGACCTCGCTTGTTGATAAAGTTCTGCTCGCATAGTGCTCCAGTATCTTCAATATTTGATATTAAAACATTTTCTCTTGAGATCAAACTTTTTTTAAAAAAAGAAAAAAACTATGGAAGAGCCAAAAAAAGGCCCAGATTTTTCGAATCAAAGGGAAAAGGCTCCAAAATAAAGTAAATTACCCTTTGCGAACAGTTTCCGCGTCTTCATCCTCTCCGAGGACTTGAACTGTTCTAGTTGTTACTAAAGAACCGATGCCGATTTGTCTGGAAAATTCACTTTTTCAAAATTTTCCTCAACCTCACCTGTCCATTGGCAATCTATCCATCGTAAGAATAGGTTTCTGAGGTTTGGCGTAAGGTAAAAGCTTGAAAGTATCGGAAACGGCTCGGACGGCGGTTCCCAGGACTCTACAGGTCAGTAGATCAGAACACGAGCCTTCCATATCTACATGTTCTTGAAACCTGAAAAATTTTAATTTGCGGGAATATTGGTGAGAAAAAAGGACCCCAATATGATATTTGCACCAGCTTTATCGGCTTTGTGAGCTAAGCCAATGATCGCTTCGCGCAACGTTTCTCTTATAGCTGCCTGCCGCGCTTCATTTGTAGCTCTTGGCGTTCGAATTCTGAAACAAAGTCTTGATCTTTTTCATCACATAAAATGGAGACCAAGTTGATAAAGAATGGATGAACTTACTCTGAAGCCTTTAAATTTTGCATTGCCGGGAAATATGAAACTGGCCAGAATTTTAATTAAAGCTGGTTGAACTGTTGATGACTTAAAATTAGAATTTACTCTAGAATTTATTAAGGATCACAAAATTCAAAAATTGAATCGGAAGTTTTTTTCATTTTTTTGGAATGAGTAGGTTTGGAAGTATAAATAATTAAGCCAAGTTTTATCAAGAGTTAAACACCGCAAAACATATCATCATGAGTGCAATAGGCAGATAAAATCGAACCGATCAAGCCATTCATAGTCTGGATCTTTTTCACACCGGATGTTGTCGACCAATCCAACAATTTCAGCAAAACGTAAATGCGAAGGTATGTTTGAACCTGAAATAACATTCATCTTCATGTTCGTCTTAAAAAACTGACCGCTAAAAACTTGTACGTAGTTTGTGAAATCAGTGTGCATAAGCAGGTGGATCCTTATGTTGATGGTCAACTCTCCACGGATGCCTAGAAAAGGAAATAGTTTGAGAAATTAAGATCAAACTAACCGTAGATGGTGTCGTAAATCTTGAGCGCAATATGTTCGTCGATTAGGTCAACTTTGGTCATCCGCATTCGCTCGATAAGCACGTTGCAATCCAAGCTGACACGGCCGATTGCGTCGTTTGCAGAATAGGTATCGTGATCCATCACACTGAGAATAATAATTATAAATCTTTCATGAGCACAAAATAATATGCCAACCGAAACTGAAGCCATTCTTCGGTGATATCTTTCTCGTCTGTCTCGAAAACGAAGAACTCGCTGTCCCAAACAGGATTCAGGCTGGTCACTACTTCTGTTTTCTCAACTTCTTCCAGAAATCGAACTTCCACAAACGCATCGGTAGAGTTTATAGACTGTCAATCATCAATGTTCATTACAGTTTAGCTAACTAAAGGGTTACTTTGTTCATAACAGGTAGAGCTTTCGCTGAAACTATCGATACTTCCAGTCGCACTGGAAGCCGTTCGCAACAAACGGGAATCAGCATTTTTCAAACAGTTATTTTTGAGATTTACGCCATTGAAACTTCTGAAATCAAAAAAAAATTGTGCGATCCTCCCGAAACTACACATATAACTTGTAGAAAATAACTTATTTTTCGGCCAATAACCAACCTTATGAACAAAATTAAAAAATTATATTCTGTATTTTTTCAAAAACAGAAAACATTAAAACAAAAAAATTTAGCAAAATTCAAGAACAAAACTGAAATCAGCAAAAGAATTGTTTTGCAAAGCAATTCGGGGCGTTTTTCAATACAACTGAGCGCTATTGAGCACGAAAAATGAAAATTCTCTCAAGAAAGCAATTTATAATAAAGCAAAGAAACATGGAGAATATGTTTGACAAAATCCAAAATATTCTTAAAAAAAGTGCGGCAGGGCGCACTTGCCCAGAACTTCCAGTTTCTGTTTACCCGGACTTTCCGATAAACACTGGAAGTAAATGTTTTATATCAATTCTAGTTTTTTTATTTTTCCAATAAGATCATCTGAATCAATATTAATCTACCGTTTTACAGATTTTTTTTTTTTTGGTCAATGTATAGTGACTTCATATGAAACGATTTCAAAAAGTTTTTTTATTTTTTATTGCAATAAAAACTATGATATGACAAAGACTATTGTTTGTTATTTTTTTCCCAAGTTTTATTTTTTTTATACAGCAACCAGAAATGATGACGCTGCCATGTAAAAAAACAGATCAGTGGCCTCGATTCTCCTTATCTCTCACTACAACGTATCCTAACTTTTAATGGCGGATTTCTTTCAATTTTTCAATTTTTGCTACAATTTCTAAACTTTTCAAGTAATTTTCAGATATGAAGAACGTTTTACAACTATCAGAGAGGTTCTCCCGATTTCTCATTCGATTCAAATCATCTCATGCAGAAGAAAACTTGAATCTAATCGAGGAAGAAGGACCTATTGTTGTTCCTAGGCTGTGGAAAAGCTTTCTGAGTTTAGAGAGAAAAAACGACAACGAGTTTCGGTATGCTGAAAAAAATTGTTGAGACATTTTTTCCAACTTGCAGCGCGTTTACATTGTTAAGAAGCAGGAGATCAATGCCTCACATTTACGGGGGTCAGGTAGAAAGCAAGAAATGGTATTAAATGGAGATGGAGTAGAGATTCAGATCGTTGCCCAAGCTCTGAAATCTGCTTGCCTTACAGTCGGCGAAGAGTTGCCCGTTCATTCAATGCATAGCTACTTCATAAAAGCAGGTGGGTGAGAAATGGGAAAAAAGAAGGCTGAATACTCATAATCAAAAATAAGCTTGTTTTTTAAGGAACTTGTGATGAACCAGTAGATTATCGAGTTGAAAGACTTCGTGATGGTCAAAGTTTTGCAACACGCGCAGTTCGAGCAATTCAAAACGATGAAATTATATTTTCATCTCAAGTGTCCTTCCATGTGAGTTTACGGTTCAAAGAAAAAAGTTTTCTGGAAAATTTCTGTGAAAAGCTTTGGTTATAACTAAAAGCTTTTTTTGTTTCAATAAGGATTTTGCCAGTCCAAAGTCACAGCTTCCAATTTGCAGGCAAAATCTCTTAGGCGTGTCTTAACAATTTTGTAACAAAACAATTTTCTTTCTAAAATTGACCTTCTAACATTTTTTCTTTTTCAGAAAGTGGAGAAATCGGCCATGAAGCATCAAATAAAATATCCGATGCCTCAAGGACCAGAAGGATTTAAAACCCTGCGAGAGATCCTTCAAGAAAGGCTCGACTATTATGATAAAAACGCGTCGGACAAGTCCAGCGATGAGGTCACCAAATTTTGGCTTGGCTACAAATTGTTCGAATTTCCAAACACTTTTCATGGAATATTCGAGGTACTTTTCCTGAAACTGATCGCATTTTTGAAGTTCCTTTCAGGTCAGACCCGTGAATCAAGATTTGTACGATCCAAAAAAACCAGGCGCCAATACAGATCCACAGTTTGATTTTTGGGTGAGGCCAACGATCCCAATAGGTTTGTACGAAATACTCGGTCAATAGATGGTAGTAATTTGAGGAAACGATTTTTTCGCCCAAAGGCTTTTTGCTGCTTACATATCGGATTCGACGATGTTGGAAACTGCATTGATCCCTCACATTGTGAAAGGATATGTTCTAGGAATGGTAGAGAGTTTTTGAGAAAATCAGTGAAAAGACAAATTTAAGGCTTTTTCTTTGGACCATTGCATGTGGTTTCATCAGCCGAACTTTGTCACGGACGATTGGATGCTGTGGGAGCAATTTAGCGAATATGCAGGTTTCTTTTTATTTGATTGCCTTTCCAGTCGGAAGTTTAGAAAATCTCTTTGAAGGCTTGCGGAAAAAAAACTTTATTATTTGTTATTTTTTTAGGTTTACATTTTTTTGGAAATGAAAATGTTCACGCATTTCTTATCATCAATATACTCCATTCACCTTCTGTAATTTTCGATATTTTGCATTGGAATGTTTGCAGTCTTTGAGAAAGTTTCAAAACGAAAAGGTTGTAGCGATTTTCTCCGACCGGGTCTAGCTGTTTCTAAATTTATTCGAGCAAGTTCACTTGGAATGCCAAAAATGAATCGATTAAGGCGGCAACCGATCCACAACCCGTGGCCGACTCTGGTCTAAAGATGGAGACTTGATCTTGTCAGCCATGCAGGAAGGAGTTTCTCGTGCCGTCCGAAAAGTCAAATTTTGAATACTTCTCCATTTTTCTATATTTAATAGATACGCAATAGATTTATATGCATTGTTTCTCCAGCCTCTTTCTTTGACGATCAATTTTTTGATCTCGGAAACTTTGACAAAAAAAAATAAAAAATTTCAGGCAACATATGTTATTGTGTTAATCATCAAAGCATTGCTTTTTTGTCTGGAAAGTTGAGAATTAGGCGAAAAAATTCATTCTACCATGAGAACATTTTTATTGATCCAAGCTATCACTTTTTGCTCATGCGGCAGCTTCTTCAACATAGGCCCATTTTCAATTCAAAATCCTCTAGAAACACATGTCAGTGTTCATCTGAAAATCACATGCGCCTATCCTGCTGAAAAAAGACCAGTAGTGTTTCTGATGGAAGAGGATTTTGGTGAAGGTGAGCCGTACATAAGAAAAAGTAGTTTGAATAAAAATCAGGCGATGAGTTCTATTCTGATGAGGACGACCTGCTGGACCACGCTATTGTAGAATACAATCGTTTCCACACGTTTGAGGGCAGCGAGCTGGAGTTCGATGGGATCGAGCCGTACATCTTTATTTCTTACATTTGCAATCCAGTGAGTTCTGTTTTTTTTTTTTTGGTTCTCTTTCATTTGGTGAAAACAATAGTTGTTGCGCTCAGATTAAAATATCCCGAAAATGACATGATTTCTTTCAACTTTCAATGGTCATTATATTTGGACTGGAGGAGTTTTTTTCAACTAAGCCTTAACCAAAATGGTGTAAAAAAAAATGTCGAAATCATAATAGCGTAATTTTTTTATTTATCGAGAAAAAAAAATCGGTAGAAAAAAAAGAAAAATTTTAATATAAACAAGTTTTTTATTTCTTTTTTGATGGTTTTTGAACTCACTTTTAAATCAGTATTTTTTTTATTTTTCAGAAAGACAGAAATTTGGTCGAGAGCAGGAAGATCTACTTGGACTCTACAATTTTTTCCATGAAATACACAGTTCTTGTTGATCTTGTCCCTTTCAAAGTAACAATCACTTCCGCCAGGACAAATTGAAGCTTTTATCATCTTTCTTCTTCAATTGAAACAACGGAATGGACGTGGAGATAATGAATTCAGTGTAAACTTGTCTGAATAAAACAACTGGTGTTAGTGCAAGAGCTAAAAGGCCTCAAGAAAGGGTACAGATCTCATTGGGAAGTACCAAAAACGTATTTTATCATTACTAAAAAACTACACTAACACTGATTTCTCATCAAAAACAATCGGTTAAGACATGTGCGTGGTCACGATATTGGAGCAAAGATACTGTAAAAAGACAATGGGTATTGTAATCCTACAATCGAATTCCAAACTTTTAAATCAGAGCAAAACTAAATTTCATCGGGTCCGAGAGTAATAGATGCTTAGCGAGAGCATCTGGTTGTCAGGAAGAAGAAAAAAAATGCGAAAATAAAAGAAATGGAGGGCAACAACTCGTTTCAACCCAATCGTTCTGAAAAACGAACAACGGAAAATACATGATAATTGTATTCTATAAATATCTCAAAAATGAGGGAATAAGCTGCGTTTTTAAGGGTGAAATCCGTTCGGCAGCTGAACTCGGAGAACAAAAGGCAGTGATGACGGGTGATACCGTATATGATCCTTGAGAGAATCGCGGACAAATTGCAGAAATGGTTTTCAAGTCCGAACGGAGGAGGTAGAAGCTGGCGAGGAGATGCGGGAAGGTCCCGCCTGTTCTTCCGATTCGAGCTCTAAAAATGCTTGATAAATATTCTCATCCGTTTAAACCGGATTACCTGGTTCTTCATCGATGAAGGGGATTTGCATAAGGTTGAAGGGCGGACTTGGTAAGCCGTGTTGGAACCTTAAACTCTACTTGTTGGCTATTTGAAATATTTTACTTTTTGTCCATTCCATATCTTCGGTCGAAATGTTTATTCTTGTTTGCTTTCCAATCAGAATGAAGAGACTCACGGAACTTCCTGGCTCAAGCCCAGGTACTGAAGAGACTCCGCGAAAGCGTCGAGATTGATGACAGTGAAGCCGGCTCTAATTGTCGTCCCATCGTCCAAAACCACGTTAGAGTACAAATTCCCTTCTTCTTGCCTGGAATTTCGAAAAAATGTATCATGTTTAAAACAGTAGATACCAAAAAATTCTATCCAAAATATTCTCCATTCGTTGCTTTCTAAACAGTCAAACGTGTTTTTTTAGTATTAGTTTTGAAATTTTTTTCAGAGTCATTCTGAGATTCACTCAAAAAAATTTCTGATTACGATAAAAAAAGAAATTTTTTTCTTTTTGGAAATCAATCCGGCTCTTGAAACGATTCAAAGAACTCAAAAAGGTTTTTTTACTACCATGACTTTTTCGAAAACTTTGATGCATCTAATTAGAAAGCAAAAAAAGTTTTTCTCAAAGAACATCTCCGCGAAACTTCATCTAATGTTTGAATTATGGCTTTTTTTAAAATTTTTCTTGTAAGTTTTTCAGTCACTTAAACTATATCTCATACCCTTTCCGACGGAAAAAAATAGAAAACTGAAAAAAACATGTAAAGAACTTTCCACGAATCAAGAAACAGAAGAAGAGATCTGAACCGAAGCAAAACGTACCGGTTCAGGTGGCTTGCCCACCATACGTCATTGCGTGACATTCCCCAAGTCTTGCATGTTTGCGAGTCGCGCGATTCCATCGGCGACGCGTAGAAGATTGTTCTCAACTGGCAGATGCGAACCGTCCGTCGCAACTTTTTCTATAAGAAAAAAATGTTGGCACTTCATTAAAAAAACCGACCATGTGGGGAAGATGAACATCTTCCATTCGGAACTCCGTTCTCGGATTATAAGTGTAGTAATATTTGACGTGGACACATCCGTCGGCTGTTACAGCGACAAAAGGATCTTCATAAACTGAAGGCGCATCTGGGACAAGATTGAAAGATTCCCGAGAGGTCGAAGCAATGTCACTACCTGAAATCGAGAAAAGAATTAAAATGGAAATCAGACTCACCAGCTAAAGAGGAAACCCTTCGTTTGGCTGAGGGCTCTGTCAGTTCTATCGACGTTGTAGTCGAGCTGCTCTCAGGTGCTGGAAAGAAGTTTTATATATTTTATGAACTGATCAAAATGCTTAGGAACAATTTCTTTTCCAATCTTCTAATTTTATAGATTTTGTATCCGTTTTGGGCTTGATGAATAAAAAAAAATTTAGGGTTTTTGCTCAAGAGTTATTCACAGCACCACTTAAACGTTAGAGGAGGAGAATGGCTGCTCACTAGCCGCCCTACCTGCCCAGCCAAAAGCAGAAATGACTTTTTCAAAAGTAAGTCAATGACTCATTTCTATCGTTTGACTAAATGGCTTGTCTTGACAGCCAAGCCAAGAGGTGCCTTTCCAATCCTCTTCCCTTTGTTAAAAGTGTTTGAATACAAATGAAACTGAATTCCGTTCAAGAAGACATTTTTTCCAAACAAAAAACTTTATCGCGAAGCTATCAAGTGTCATTGAACTTAATTTATGGGCCAATTAAGTTGGCTCATTATCATAAAGTTCGCAAATTACATGTAAAATCACTTTCCTTGATATGATGAAATATATTTTTGCCCCAAAAAATTCTTCTTTTGTTATTTTCAAACATTGCATTCGGTTCCCATGCCATGCTTTCCCAAGCTTTCTTGATCCCATAAAAAATCATGTTAGACAAGGAAAAAATATTCTGCGGTTCCCAGACTCCATTCAAACAATACCATTTGATCGGCGCGCTATTCATTCAAGCGCGTAAACGGTTTTTCTCATCAAAGCCCTTTTGCATCACGTTTTGCGGACGTCGGCGCTGGGTGAACCTTTCGAAAAGACGCCCTGCCAGCCGGCGTCTAGACAGCGCACGCCGTGGAACTTACAAAGAATATGAGATCGAAAAACAAAACAAAGAGACTTCAAAAGGAAGAGAGACGTTTGTGATGTTGTTTTTTTCCTTTTTCTAACTTTTTCGAGAAGTTATTCAAAATCGGAAAATTCTCTCAACTTGGAATATTTTCTCTATCAAGCTATTTTCCAGAGTTAGCCCATTAGAAAATACAAAAGATTTTCAAATATTCACAAGCTTTTTGAAAGCATTTTTCCATCTAGACTAAAAATGGCTTCTCTCATACCACAAAAAAACATACACCTTTTTGGTGAACATAATTAAAAAGAAAAAAAGAACTATTATGATCATCTTTGGAGATCGAGGAAAAGGGATATTTGGAGAAATTTAAAATATACTTGAGCAGAAGCTGAGAACTTCACATTAGAAGGTCCAGCTTGCTGAATAAACTGACCATTGCGTTTGTCGCGGAAGCTGAATGCGCGGCGAAGGATGTTCATGAGTAGTTTGCAACGCACTCCGATCTGCCCTTTTGTCTCGAGAACTCCTAATTCCATGGCATACTGAAAATGTTCAAGGTTTAATCAATCGTGAAGCAAAAAAAAAAGCGAACGAAATGGTTAGTCATGATAATCGTATAAGAGCTGGATCTTAAAAAGTTGTAAATGAAGTAATGAAACAAATCGAAAAGAGTTTTTATGAGCTAAAAGAGCGCAGTAAATCACGGTTCTTTCAACCTCAAACCAGTTCACAGCTGTTAAACACTGCATTCCTAAAAAAAATCGTGGGTTTTTTTTTATAGAGATTATGAGTTCTCTGAAGCAAATTAATGAGGTAGTTTGGAGCAATATCAAGTTTTCACTATCTAACTGGATAATAAAAACGAAGATCAAAAAGACATTTTCCGAAAAGAATTTGTGCGAAAGAATAGAGTGAATAGAAATATGTATACATAAGGATTTTTAGAACTTCGTCCTGAGATCGACATAAGTGCGAACTAATTAGCTTGAGAAAATTTTGTTGGCTAGTAAACATGACGATATCTATAACTTTACAGAAATCTATCTCGTTCACAATAAAAGGACCATTTTATCATCGTTTGATCTTCATCACTAATTTGATAAGATTAACTGGAGCAGTTTGAACATCTTTTATTTTTATTTTTTGAGTTACCGACGAACCACAAATTTTTTCTATTTTCCGTTTTTTTTCCTGTGTTTGAGCAAGCTACTCAAATTGTATAATCACAACTCATCCTTATTGTTATCGAAAAACTGGCAAGTCTCCGAAAAAGACAAAAGTTAATCTGACGGCTTATTTGAACGATCGGCGTTCACTCGAGAATAAATTTATTGCCTCTCGACTTCCAGTTTTTTCAAACTCAACATTGTTACGGAAACGGCCTTTCAGTGCACTTTAACATTTGGTCAAACTGAAATATATTTGAAGACTTTGTTCGTGACCTCCACTCTACAGTTCATTTGCTGCTGGCTTAAGAAAATAGTTTTTTAAACTCCTCACGGGGCGATTGGTGAAATAGAAAATTCAGAAATGGCGACAGCTTGAAAAAAGCTTCAAAGTCTTGGAAATACAGTAAGATTTGCTGAAAATGATTCAAAGATATCGAGTGTTTCTGTTCCTGTAGTGAGAGGGCTGAAAAAATAACAAAATCTTGGGAAAAATGATTAAACGCCGTTTTTTTGGTATGAGGCTGAGAAGAAATAAATATTTTCTACTCATAGTTCAGTCGAATAATTATCTTTACAAACTTTGGATTTGCAAGTAAGGAATAAACGGAAGATCTCCAGTGACCATTGATAAAGCAAGCGGTAGCTTATCAGCGTGAGTAAGCGTGGCTTCAGGCGGTTCATAGATAAGACCTGACCAGAGACGGTTTCAGAAAAAAGACTCACGTGAGACTGATTATGGCAAAAATTGCAACATTGCCGTGGCGAAGAGAGCGACGGCAAAAGAGAAGGAGTGCAAATAAACGTCGGAGAACACGAAACTGTAAACAGGCAGCGGGTGACGGCGGCACGAAGGAGGCCCCGCTTTGCGCATGTCACTTCTCCATCTCTTCACTTTGCACACCTCGAGAGATGCCGTTTTCAAATTCAGCCGAACCACCCGAGCACTTCTTTTGCATGATTATTTCTGTTTGGGTCGATGAATAAAGAAAAAATAAGACCTGGCTGATAAGAAATAATCTCTTTACAGTGAGATTTCCTATAACGCTTATTGCAAAAAAAAACCTCTCTCAATATAAGAAAAATTATGTTTAGAAATGTGCCTTCAGAGGCACCAAGACAAAGAGTAGGCCATTTCAGGACAAAGTTAGGATATTCTTTGTCTTTATCTTTAGACCTCCACGTGTTATTTGCTCATAGTCTCTAATCGCGCAAACTTCCAATCCTAAAGATATGATTTCTCAAAGGTTTAACTAAGCTCTGCCGAAAGAGCTGCAAGCATCAATTCAAAACTCTTTTTTGGGAAATCTTCGTTCAGATTTACAAAAAATATTTTTAGCAAATGCGTAGTTTCCATTCCCTTGGTGAAAACAACTTTCGTTGCCTTTTTCAAAGACGCTACATGTCCTTTGCTCTTTTTTGCAGTGGATAGAATCATGTGAAAAACGGTAAACCCCTGGAAACCTTCAACGAAAAAATTCGAAATTCATGAGGTAAGCGCACAAAAATTTATAGATTCGATTTTGCGAAAGCAAGAAATCCCCTAAAAATCTATTCTCAAAGCATATGGAAAGTTATCAAAAATCTAACTAAGTTCTCATCACAAACCCGCCTAATTAAATAATCAACAAAAATGAATAAAAGATAATTGAAAAAATCGATAGTTTCGAAGAAGAAAATGCAACAATCACTTCAGGTTTTGGGCGGCAGAGAAACAGAAGGTCGGAAAACTGAATCACTTGAGGTGAGACGAGATCGGCGGTACAGTTGAATACTTCTTTTGGTGATGCACTTTCAATAGTGCGAGTGTCATAGGATGCTGACGGTCGTGGTCGGAAAAAAAAACTCAATCAAAAGTTTTTCTTGTGAGCGAATAAGATTTTTCGAAAAAAAAAAGAAATGCTGATTCCGAGCTTTGAGAACTAGCGTAAGATTTTCAATAGCCACCTCGTGAAACCGAGCGAAAAATACTGGACATCAATTGATTTAACTTAATTTTTTTTTCGATCTCTACACTAGACTTTTGGCGGAACGATAAAAAAAAACGGAAACCATTCCTACATCTTCAGGGAGAAACGAAAAACAATTTCAGAATACTTTCAAAGTCAGGAGGAGCACGCTCCAATGAAAACTAGTAAACTTTGAAGTTTTTTGTTAGATAAGACATCGTGACAAAAAGTTAAGGTTTAATGAACTATCTACAAAAATCTTCAAATTTCGAAATAATGAAGAGAAAAACCAAACATGAAAAAAAAAACGGCTGGCAAAACCCAATGAGACGGCGATGAGAAAAGTGGCGCAATTGGCCTTTCGAAGCAGATGAAACGACGGTCGGACAGACAAAAAAGGCTCACCAAAAAAGCTGTGACATCAGAATAGGTTGGGTCCGGTTGTCTTTCGCATTTGTTCCCGCCTCTTGCAAGGCCCATTTGCATGTGCACTGACATTAGCACACAAAAACACGGCCGCTCTGACCAAGGCCTTGTAGGAATCGAGCAATCAAACAGCAACAGAAGGTCCAGCCAGTCAGAGTTTTCTCAACAAAGAGGGTCATTTTCGGTTTAAGATCCCTTATATCTAAAAAAATTGTTCATTAACTTTCAAAGACCTAACGAATCGTTATTCTTAGTCGCTACTCACTAGTCAGAAACACAGTTTATGAAACGGGACTTTCCAAAAAAATTTATGTCAATCCTATAATAAGGTTTACTGCCCAATACTGGTTATTTTCAAAGTTATTATCATACAACTAAAAGTTTTTGCTGCTAGCAAAAAAGGAGTATTCATGTGAACCTTTTTTGCGAATTCTTAAAAAATTCGAAACCTCGCTTCAAAATGACCATAAAAAGGATTCAGGACTGAAAGATGACGTAGAAAAAGAAAAGCTAGAATTAATTGATTTTTTGAGCCCATTAGCAATCAAGCTAAGTAAACACCAAGAAAACAGGGATAAACACGAAAACGTTTAGAGAAGATTTTTTTTTAATTGACAGGATGATGATTTGATGTGATGAGTCATTTAAGGAATGAATAATCTCTTTTATAAGAATATCCTAAGATTTCTCAAATTTTTGAAACTATAACTAGCCAAGTAAATACCCAAAAAATTTGAAAAAAAAAGAATTCCATGCAATGAAAGGTCACAAAAAGACAGAGTGCATTCCATTCGGCTCATTGATCTACACTGAAAATCACAGGAACTGAAATCCACTTCATCGAATTTTCCTGAACCGTGATGAAAACAACTGCCGTAGAATTGAGTTCAGAGCTAAGAATAAGAAGCGAAAAAATGGGTCATCGGACGGTTGGCGGTCACTTGCAGATCGGCCGAATCGTCTCAGAAATTACAAATGGAAGGGGGTTCCTTTCGGAGCGATAACACTAAGGAATGCTTATTGATTTCATAATTTCTAAGAAAAATCTCGAATCGGTGGCTTAGAATTCGATAGTTTTGCTAACTTCAAAGCCAAGGAAATGTTATGGATGAAACACAAACATCTGAACTTGATCAATAAATCGCTAAGAATCCGTTTTTTCACAGAAAATTGTCAAAAGCATCCGAAAAACTTCAAGATTCTGCTTAACGAACATTGCGAAAGGCGATAAAAAGCTTGAAAATTGGGAGAAAAATTTGGCAAATTGCCGAATCGAATGGCGGCGGAAAACAAATAGAAGTAGGTTCGCCAGCTCTATTCAAACAAAAATAAAGCAAAACAAAAGTGAGATATCTAAGGAGTTTCACGGAAATAGACTCTGTCTAAAAAGCAAACAAAGTGGGAATTAAGAGTCAAAAAGATATAAAAAGGTTGGTTTTAAGATAAATTTACATGGAAGCTTTTGTGCTTCAAATATTCGAATGGAAGAGAAAAAGAGAAAAAAATTCGGAAGATAGCGGAATAATCAAATCATTGTCTGCATCGTTAGCTTCAAATCCCTTTGACCTCTTTGGGTTTTTGGGAGAGATTTTTTTCAAAAAAAAGAAGAAAATAAAAAAAAGTTCAAATTAAAAGTAGACATTACATTAAAAACTGTGCGAAAAAAATATTAAAAAAAATATTTTTCTTTATTTTCTTCGATATATTTGGTGGAATACAAAACTCAAGCTGGAAGATTAAGAAGTTGAGAAAATGAGAAATTCTACAGTTGACTCCAAATTTGAACAGCGAAAGCATGCAAAATTAAAAATTGGCTTTTTTTTTTGTAAAAACGAGTCTGCATTTTTCTCGGAAGTTTCACGGAAAAAATAGGAAGTTACGGAAAAAGACATGCAGACGTGATCAGTAAGTTCAGACAAAATTTGCCTCAGACGTTTCCATCCTTAGATGAAATGTGATCAAAATAAAGTCAGTTCAGATAACAATAATTTGATATGAATCTTTGAGGAGATTTCGAATACCTACACATGAAGTTACAGAATGGAACGGTCATTAATTAAGCAGGGAAACGGCATAATAGCGCGTCAGGGACAAAAAGACGATTGGAGGCGCTGGTGTCCTCACGTAGCCCTTGCACAAGTAGATCCAACTCGAAGAGGTTCGATCACATGGTATTGATCGCGTCGGATGCAAGTATACGGCAGTGGGCGGGACCAGGCCTTCTTGAAGGTTGCGCTGCCGTTAGCGCGTCTCTACACGCACAGGCAACTAAATGTGTCGAGAACGGGGAGAATGGTTCGCAAAAGATTGGGAAAGCAGAACTTCTGACCAGTGGGTTGGATGTTAAAATTGTACAGAAGCTCACAGAAGAAATTTTTCCAGGAGGAATCTCGGAATCTTCTTCAGTCTATGTAAAAATACGAAAAAATCTCATAATAGTTTCTTTCAGATGTAAGAATGTTGCAATTGCAGAACCAGTTAAACTATTTATTCTAATGGTGAAGCTTCTTCGAAAAATTCAGAATTTGAATAAACCTCTTCTGTCAAATTTTTGAGCATGAGATCAGACTCAAAGTGAAGCTGATTTAAAACCTAGAATATTTTTCAAGAAAAATAGTTTCTGTTCTGTTTTTTTAATTTCTATTTCTACTTTAATAGAGATTTTTTTCTCTTTCTTCTTTTTCATAATTCTATTAAAAATTTGTAAAATTAAAAAATAAGAAGAAGCTATTCTATCAGTCATGAACTTAAAGTTATGGAAAAATAGTCACACATTGAAACCTTCATAAAACCTTGACTACTAAAAAACTTTTTTGGTCCTCTGTCACCTTTTGTCCCATTTTTTCACACTTTGTTCCTTTTTACGCTTTGTCTTTAACTTGGTCCCTGCTGGATCTGAAAACTTTTTGCAATGGTTTCTAATTGAAAAAAACTTTATTCAAAGTTGAGAAATGATAGAAAATAAATGAAGCAGTTGAAAACCCGGAAACCCAATACAGTAGAGCAACAATGTAGTTCAAACTTTTTCGATGAGCAACAATGTTGGCAAGAAGCCAACCTTTCGCGGCCTCTTTTTAAGTCCGAGTAAGTGTTTGCCGACAGTCAATACTGCAGCCGGCTGACTTTTTGTTTCTGCTCAAAGTTTTCGCAAGTAAACTTGGAGATAAATGAAGGAAAAAAAAGAATTGCTGATGATAATGGGTTGAAGCAGATTAATTCATCAAAACTTGGAGAAATCTGTCATCACGTGGACACCTTTTCGAGCTGATAGGTAGTCGATGACCTGAATTCAAAAAAAGTTAACTTTGATAAATTTTTATTCTCAATTAAATGGAAAACATCAGACTTAAAAAAAAACTTTTTTAATTTTTGAAAAAATTGGAGCTGATGAGGTAATTTCTGAAACTTGGCTAGAAAACTTCTTTTCGATTTACGTTCTCAATCTTGTTAGTTTTCCAAAAAAAAAAAACCCTTTTCAAAGTTTCATGAAAAAACCGTTTGTTTGAGATCGCGAGCTTGTTGTGAAGTAATTTTGACCTTTGTTTGGAAGCGGATAGTCATCTGAAAAAAAGCAAAGGAAAATAATCAAGAGGTCAGAAAAAAACCTTTTTATAGAAGTTAGAAGCATTCTCAGGGTTTGTGCTATTTATGCGGTATGCCACAATTTTCCCACTCAGTCGATATCTGTTTCCGTTGATGTCAAAGTAAGGCCCAAAGTCTTCAACAAGGATTGACTCGGGTTGGTACTGAAAGTTCACGAAATTGGAGAAACTCAAAAAGAACAAAAAATGACTTCTAGAACTATGCTTTTGTCGTCACACGCAATCAACGACTTTTCGCAAGCTGCGCGGACCTGAAAAAGTATGAAAACATTTTTCCACAAAGTAATTCGTAAAACATTGATGAACTTTGACTTTTTCAAAGAACCAATAGGCAAAAATCCATTAAAATAAAGGCCTGAAAAGTGTCATCATTGACAAAACTCTAAAATTCTCATGATTCTCGAAAAAATGCAGAATTTTCCAACCGAGTTATGAACAGAGTTTTGAGCTTTTTATCATCATTTCTCGGTTCTCGAAAAGCTGAAGACCCACAGCATCTTTAATATCATCTCCAGCGTTCTCCAATGCATTTTCGGAATCAACAGCTTGGTCTCCTACACCACAAATCGGCTCACAGTAAGTCCAATTCATTGGCGGAGAAAGCTCTGCGGTCAAAAGAACTTCTTGTGTGTTTTTCTGAAAGTCCTGTTTGCAACCTCTTAGAAAATATGACTTACATAATTAACAGTAGATACGAGTTTGGGATTGGCCCATGGCCGGAAAAAATTGAAAATCGGAGCTCGCAGTCCTATTGGTTCGCCGCTCAAAGGAAGGACCGTGTCCCTGAGGACAATTTTTAAAACTTTCAAATTCTGCAGTTGCAAATGAAACTTGATTTTTTTTAGAGCTCATTTTGGATTTGTATAAACAGAAAAGCCTCACAAGGAGTTTCTCAGAAATTAAAAAAAATAACTTAGCTTTTTTCTAGGCAATAAGTTTCAGACTTTTCTGTCCTATTAACGTTTACTTACACGAAAAGCTCATATAATTATAAATCTGAGGCTCCACGGATAGATCTAGTTTCAGAAACCTTTGAAGTGGCATAACAGTGTCATCTTCGTGCTGTACATAATCATCTGAAGTGAGCTGTAGATTTCGCGGAACTTCAGGGTTGTTCAAAATCTTCGGTAGGGTTAGTGTAGGAAATCCCAGTTGTACAGGATCTGCAAAATGAAAAAGAATTTTTACCGAAGCAAAAGTACTCGAGTCTAGAATAAACTCAGGAAAAGAGTGTTTTGAGAGTTTTCCATTTAGTAACTCAAAGGAAAATTTAAAGGGAAAAAACCAGAAAGGGTGGTTTTTTTCCGGCAATCATCGCCTTTTAGGAAAATTCGAAGGTTTTTTTTTTGTGAAAATCTTTATCATGTAACAAATAATCTTGTTCGTGAATGAACCGTTTACTTCAGAAAAATATGAAATTACTAATTTTTAAACAGACAGGAACTTTTATTTTTTTTAAGAAAGTGTTAACTTTGAGTTCATTCCAAATAAAGTTACCGAAAAATTGTCGTTTTATTCTACTTTACTAGTATTTCTTGAAACCCCTTCTCGGACAGTTTTGCGTGATTTTTGTTCATCCGCCTGGAAGAGAAAAAGTCATTTTTGGCCTGAACTCGATGGACCCCCGAAACACGACCATTCAATTGTTCGGCGAAGAGGTTTCCATTGTCGACAAGCCCAGACAGTCCTTATGTTTTCTTCTCAAACAGCCACTCACAGACAGCGGCCGAAAGATTAGTCTCGACCACCGAAAGGCTAGAAGTGGCCTGTACATAGTTTCATGCGTCAAACACGCTACTTTTTTTGAAGATTCTATAATATATCGTTTTGCATTAGAATCAGAATCAATCAATTTTTTCGCAACATCGGGATGGTATGGTGATGCAAGGAGGGAAAAAAAGTCCACTAGGTGGATTGACTAACCCCACCTGTGAAGAAAAACATTTTTTTATGAAAATTTTTTTATTTGACAGGTTTTTTTGTCTCGCAAAAAAATCAACTTGGCTATAGGAAAAAAACTTCGATAGTTTAGCCCGACACTGTTTGATTTACTATATAAATATCCTAGAAATTTCAAAAAAATTACAAAAAAAATCTTTTTTTCGAGAAAAAAAGTCTCAGCGGTTCCCCCATAACTTTCTTTTTTTCTTTTTAATTTTTCTTACCATTTTTTTCAAAAACGCGACGAAATGTTTCTGCAAGTTTTTTTAAGAAATCAGAGTTGAGGGAAAAAAATGAACGTAACCAACTTTTATAGTTTATTCAAAGCTAGCTTGAGATAAAAAAAGTTTATCGCAAAAGTTTTTTTATTTGAGTGTTTAAACTTTCATTTGATTTTTAAAGTGTTGAATGGAGTATAACTTGTTTATGGTAGATAAGACATATAACTGGCTTTGATTTAAAGAAGAGCTTGACCAATCGATAAAAACTCACTATTGATAGGAGCGCAAGCTTTTGACAAGCCCAGGATGAGCGGCACTACGCAGAACCAAAGCATTCTCCGACCTGAAAAATAAGAATGATTCTCGAAGGCGTTGTACCCGTCGTAAAGGTACCAAACCTTTACGAACGTCAATTTCGACTGGAATATTTTACGAGTAAACACTTCTAAAGATTCTGCAGAATAAATAAAATAGAAATTCATTTGGAAAACTTGCCCGACGTAACTTTTTCCTTTGTAATTCTGAATTTTTGAATCGGTTCAGACAAGAACTTTGAAAAACTGTGTACAAACTAGAATATTTTTTTCGAAGGTAAGTGTGAAATTTCATTTAAAAAAACACATGTTTTTCAGAAACTTTTGAGTTCAACTGAGTGCGAGAATCACTCAGAATCTCTATCAGAAGAGGACTTCTGAATCTTCCAGAATAATAAAAAGTTTTCAGTTCGTAGGAGAAGCCATTTTTGAATTTTCGACTCTTTAAAAATGGCTCTACATCAACTTTGCGCAGAAATGCATTTGAAATTTTGAGACGTGATTTTGAAAACCTAATTCCATCTTCGCACTTATCTTTCCTGAAGCGTAAAAATAAAGAAGGGAAGTGTTTTTGGTAACCGGTTCCAGCTTGGTGAAACTTTTCTGAAGTGAAATTCAAGACTTCTACCTCTTAGAACTTGAATGAAATTCTAGTTATCAGACCGAAAAAATCCTCCGTGGGAGTCATCTCTGAAACTGGTCCATGTTCCTTCAAAGTTTTCGGTTGTTTCTTCATTAGTCACCCATAAAACTGAGAGTGATGCTTTTCGAGCCAAACCTCTCACTTTTTTTTTCGAGAAGGTCAACTGTTGAGTTCATCTGGCAGAAATAGAGCTTGTCTCTGAACGCCTGGCCATGTGTAAATTTATAAATATCCGTGCGTGCGTGCGTTTGAAAATGCTCCGTGTTGCGGGAAGTCAAGAGCTCCCAAAACGTTTGAAACATTCACAATCAATGAGCTTTTTGCTGGAATCGGGACTACCGCCTCAATGTGTGTCATCCAACCTGGCTTCCTTGTTTTTATTGTTTAATTCGATTTATCTGTTGTTGCCTCGTCACACTGCAGCTTTTTGCGTCAAATTACTTCCGAGCTGCAGTTAACTTCCTCTTTCATCCAAAGATTGTTCACAATTAACAAATCATGGCCTATAGTATAATATGTCAACTTCTCGGAATGGATCGGCCGATTCCAAAAACTTCATTAATATTCCTGGTCAATGCAGAAGAAGCACAAAGATCCCTCTTCAGGTTGCCTCGTTGTTTGTTCTCAACCTGGCCCAGTTCCGTGTTATGAGCTCTCTCCTTCGTTTTCATTAATCCTCCGCGTCATTTGAAATTATTTACTTTATTCAAATTCGAAAAAAAAAATTGTGAACAGAGTTTGCAGCTGTCACTCGACATTACTTTATTTGGACTCGGAATTTTTCTTGGTCGTTGGCTTAAAACTTGAGAAATTTCGCATTTTTGTAATTCAAAATATCTTGATTCGGAAATAAATTTTTGTCAAGTTACGAAATCTCGAAGTTTTTGTAATTTCAATTCGATGAAAGAAATTAAATTTTTTGGAAGAACCCTGAAATGACTAAAATGGAATTTCGTTGAGAAAATTTTGTCAAAATACTCAAAATTCGCTTGTTTTCGAGAATTCTATCTGCTCGAATTTTAATCAAAAAAGTCCAATACCGATGAAAGCAGAACCGATTGAAGTTTGTGGTTCAAAAACTCTTTTTTACCGCCTGTCATAAAATTTGAAACAGGAAAAAAATCAAATTTGCATTCAAGTATGTCAAAAAAGAACTTGCAAACATTCACAATATTATTATAATCCCTCTCAAACAGGCTAGAAAGTTTATTTAGAATGAAACTCGGTTCCGCGTAGAAAATTTATATCATGTAGAAACACCTGCATAATCTCATTTCCTCAAGAAAAAAAGTTTCTCAGAAAGCAGATTACCAGATTTCCCTTCGGTTTAAAAAAAGTTGAACTTTTACGTGCTGTTCGATAAACTGTATTTGTTTGCGACCGACCTTTAGCGGTTTTTATTTGCAGTTGTCGTGTCCACAGTGCACTGAACTCCTCAGTCTCTTGGCCTCCGCACAGTTCCACGTGTTTCGCGCTTTTTTTTTCGTCTGCACTTTTGTTCTGTGTTGTTTCGACCACCGTAATCGTCTTTTCAACCTGATTCCCTTCTGGTTTTGCTTTTCGATTGTTAGTTTGCGTTTGAATGTGGAGAACTCATTGAGAGTCATTCATGCATTTTCCATTATTGATCTAATTGTCAGTTGATTGAAGTCCTCTTCGAAGTTGAACAGTTCGTGAATTTAATAACCTTCCCTGTTATATTTTTTCAACTCAACTTCAAAAACTTTCAGATTCCTCCACACGAGAGTCGTTTTTGCGTTAATGTGTAGAAAAAACGCGTACTCTTTCAATTTCCAAAAAGCTGTTGCATCTAACTTTTCTTTGGATTCGTTGTGAAATCAGAAAGTTTATTGGTTTTCTTTTTCAAAGTAATTTTGTTCCATCTAAGCTTTTTTCACAAAAGGTTTATTTATTATTGAGGTTATTAAGATTTTTTTGCACACTAAGTTGAAAAAAATTTACTGTTCGTTATAATAAAAAAAATGTATTAATTTTTCAGATAGCTTGAATTATAATTGGAATAAAAGGCGATGACAAAAGAAACGACCTATTTTTATCCGCTCAGCACTTTTTTGTAGTTTTACTTCATAAATACTTTAAGAACGCTTTTGATATTAATTCAAAAACCCCTTTTTGCTCTTTACTGTGAATTCAGTGCGATGGGCCAAACACAAGACAAATAGTTGCATCCAAAGTCACGCGTCTTGTCTCTTATTCTTCGAAACTTGGTTTCTCTCTCTCTCTCCTTTTGTACTCTTTTTCCCGTCGTTCACTTTAAGACAAGGTTATTCTGATAAATCGAGATCTGGATCGTTCGCGCCAATTTTCCTTGGTAATCGACGCAAGCGTGATAGCTCTTATCAAGGGTCTCTATTTGATAAACCAGTGTAAATATTTTTTCTCGACACTGTCAAAGCGAATCGTGCTTTAATTTTTGTTCAATCTTTGGTTTCTGTTGAAGTTCAAACCCGATTCGGTACATCGGCATTAACTTTTGTTTTTATTCTTAATGTTTTACGGCTTTTTCATGATGATAATTTTCCCTCATTTCTCAAATTCCGATATTTGAAAGAACGTTTATAGTTTGGTCAAACAGTTTTCTTGAAGGTCCTTTGCACGAACCAAAACAGAATTGGGAACCGTTCTTCGCTTCGAGACCTTTTCAAAAGTTCTAAAAAGTTAGTCAGTCACCTCGAAAAGTTTTCAAACGTACTACACAATGTAAAACGCCTGAAAAAAAAGCCAGAGCCTAGAAAAAAAAATTCGCAGAAAAACTGGATAAAAATAAACTGGAAAAAAAATTTTTGAAAAAGAAAGCAAAAGAAAATTCATAAACGTGTACAAAATTTGAAAATTCCAGAGTCTACGCTTTCTTTTTTCGACATTGTCCTCCAACAAAAGCTTTGTCGTGCTTTGCAGCCCCGTGTTCTGTGTGCTTTCTCGTCGGTCTTTTTTTCTAATCAATTTTTTTCCACGAGTTTCCCTTTTTAATATTTTTTTCAAAAAAATGTTTCTAAGAATCAGCTAAAATGCAAAAAAAAATTTCTTTTTTTACGAGAAGTGAGAACTGAAAAACTTTCTTTGTAAAGAAAAATTTTTTTTTTCTGCAAAATACCACAGCAAAAAGTTTCCCTCGGAAAAAAACCTGGATACGCCTGTTTCAACCCGATTCGCTCGTTCATTTATCCGTGCCGACGTTCTTCTCGGCCTTTTTTCTTTGCCATGAACGTTCGACCGGGTCGCCGCTAAACTTGGGAGATTTTTTATTCTTCTCTTCTCCCGTCGCTCCACTTCTTCGCCAAAATTCTGGTTCTGGATTGTTTAAAGTGCGTGGACCGTGTGTATTGCGCAACGCGTTCGACCGTCTTTTAATTGTTATTTTATTCGACATTTTCGCATTTTGAAATGTGTCTGATGACATTTTTCTCGTCCCCTTCTGAATTCATTGACAAGAACAATTTGGTTGTGCGTTTTTGGGTGTGGCTGCCTTTTGAATGAGTTTTCGGCGGAAAGAAATCGTGACTCTAGTGAGTTTTTCTCCGTTCCACAATGAAAAAGCGATCAAGTTAAAAAAAAAACATAAAATATTGTTTCTGAGCCTTAAATCACAGTTTCATATAAGGATTCTAGGTACTTTCAACCGAGGGAGGATAGATCCAAATCCGGAAGTTTGAAATTTTCAAACCACCGCAGTCTTATCTGTTCTGATTGAGCATCGGACAGTTTTTTTCTTTTTTTATATTTTTCACGAAAAGAGGAATTTCCTAATAGGAAGTATATTCTGTGAAAAAATTGATAGGTTACAAAATTATCAAATCATCAAGGTCGCCCTGTTTAAATCATATCCCTTGATATGAACTCTTTTTTCACGACTTGTTAATGTTATCTTTTTTTCTAGTTTGACAATTTTTATTTCTCTAATCTAATAAATGTCAGCTTTTTGGTTGAACGAAAAAAGTCCGTAGCTTTGAAAAAATTGTCGAATTCTCGTCGAGAGATTAGTTTTCTGTTCACCTGTGTCGCGATCTTTTACAATTTTTCTCTTTTTCTTTTGTTTGACTAGACTTTTGCTATTTTCGTTGTTCTGTTTGCCAAGTCTCTTTATATATTCGTTTTACAGTTTTTCTTTTATTTTATGAACTTTTCGAATGATCTGAGCTCATGAATCTTTTTCTCCGAAATTTTTTCTCCGATTTTCTACAGTGTTTGAGATTTTTTCAGTATTGAAGTCCGTTGAATTTTTCCGAAAAATCAACGTCAAGTTGTTGTTGCAATCATTGCAAAGGCTCTCATCCTTTTTTCGTGCAAAATGGAGAATAGTGAGATTGAACTTATTCAAAAGCATTTTTTCAGGGTCCGACTAGAGCTACAAGTACCTGAAAATGCAAAAGTGAATGATTCCGCGGACACAGCGGAGATGCCGAACAACAGTGAGTCTTTCATTTTTGGTTTTTTATTCGATTTTCTTATCATTTCTCAGATTTTAACGTTCTTATCTGTCGAATTGCGCCCACATTAACTTTCAATCCAAATTTAAGAAACTTGTTTCTAGTTTTGATATGAATGAAAGAAAAAATTAATTATGAGAACTGCAAGTTGACTAACGCCATGTCCTTCCCACTTCCGGATTAATGCTGCCCACATGGAACGTGAGAAGCAGGAAAAAAGTTTCTCGTTCCCGTGAGAGCGCTAACGAGAATGAAAAGTTCACTGAGTAACAGGTTAAAAGTCAATGTATGCGTTGGGAAAAAGCATTGTATTAATATTCTCCGATTTACAATCTTTTTGGACTTTTTGATAGATGTGCAACCTTCGAAAAAAACTTAGAAAAAATCCTTTTTGGATGTTTTCGATCATTTTGAGCTCCTACGCCTTCAAACTTTCCGAAGGAATTGAAGTTAAAATACAAAGTTCAAATTAGAAAATCGAGGGATCAAAATAATTTGATTTTTCTTTTTTACTCTGATTAGATTGAAAGTGAGCGCTTTTCATGATACAGTGCTTCCACAGTTTTGAGCTCCAGCTGTGAAAATGAGAAGCCATGAAAAAATTCATTTTTTTTGTTGATAGTTTATGATCATCTTCGAACTAGCGAACCCTTTTGATAAATGACGCAAATCTCAACTTTTGAAACTCAGTAAACAGTCCAAGTTTACATAGTGGCAGCAGGGAGAAAAAAATCGTTGTACCTGAATCGATTTTGTCAGGGCGGCCAATTCTCTTCGCAACCTTTGGTTGAGACCCGACACGCCTGATCTCCATCTCGAACGAGTTTTTCGTTTCGTTTCGCGAAAGGCTGTCTGGCACCGTTCAGGGCATTCCATCACTCAAAAAAAAAGAAGGATAACCAGAGTAGAATTTGCCGATAAGTGCACCATTCTCAAAAATGAACTGTTTTATGAAAATATACTCCATAAGGTTAATTGATTCATATTTTTTTTCAAATTAACGATTACTTCGATTTATGATCAGAACCATCAAGATAAGAAAAATAATCAGGATCCGGAGTTAAAAAAGTTGGTCGAAAGCCAAAAAAAGTCTAGTTTGTCAAACATTTATCAATCGTTATCATACAAAGCGAAAAAATCTTTTTGCTCTAAAAACGGTTCTTCTCAAAAAAAATCATTCTTCCAATCAAAAAAAAACAACTTTTGTTCAACCTTGAATTTCGAGTTCCGTCGGAAAGTGTTTAGCCGGAATATCATCAAAATTACAAATGGATTGACGTTTTTTTTTAAAAGCTACTCAAAGAGGGGAAAGTTTATAACGGATTTGTTCTCTGCAAAACGAGAATCGACGTGAACGCTAAAATAGAGAATTCCTGCGGCGAGGAAATGTTTCGAAAAATTTTAAAAGTGCGTGAACTGTTTCGATTAATGGCTGATCAATAAAACAAAGGCAGATTTCAGAGGAAATTGTGTGATAAGAGAAACTGCCCGGTAGCGATCGCAAGTTGTTTTCCGTGAGAAAATTTCGAGTTCCATACAGAAAACTATCATCTCTTAGCTGAGTTTTTTCTGTTTTTGAACGCCACTCGTTGAAGTCTACGTCATAATCACCGTTTTAATTGAAAAAGAATGAAAAAAGCTTACTTTGACGCGCAGGGTCTTCGAAAGATTACTTGTGAGAATAAAAGCTTTCGAAAAATCTCAACTTGCAAAAAATCTTCTCAAGCGTTCAATGAAACTAATTTGGATACGTCGAGCTGTGAGGAAGTTCCCAAGAGCGCGATTCGCTTCCTTGTTCTTTTGAGACTTTCACAAAGCGCATAAAAACCCGGATAAGCCAGATTCCTTCCATGATTTAGTTCCAGGAAGCAATTTTTACGGATAATTATTTTTCGAGTGATTCAACTTCGTCATTTATTCACGCAAAACAATGATTTTCAAATTGTATGAAGAGAGTTAATAAAGAGTTCAAAACTCAATTCAAAAAAATAAGAACCTTTTCCTTGAAAAAAACCTTTTGAGACGGAAGTTTTTGGACTCGATTTAAACCATCATTTCGAGTTATCCATAACATCCGTTCACTTATTTGGTTTAATTTTCAGGTCAAAATAAGTGTATTTGAGTTACTGACAAAAAACCGAAAGATACTCACCATTTTGCGCTACTGTGTATGTAGTAATCAGAAACACTAAACTGTAGGTTATGTCATTAGCTTTCCGTTTGAAGTTTTCAAAATTGTTCAATACATGGACACCAAAAAAATCAGTTAAAAAACTATACTTTTGATCCGAATAAATTTTGGTCTATCGAGAAACTACACTGTAGTCGACATTTCGTAGTTTGATCAGACACATAGCTGGATGTTAACTTTTTTCTCAATCTAACTTATTTTTATTCTCGAACCAACTGTTTTTAGTCAAAAACAGTATCTGAATTTTCAATAGCCAAAAATTTTTCCCAATTAAAAACTGACGAATTTCGGATTTTTTTCATTGAAAATGTAATTTTTTGAATAAAGCAAACTTTACGTTGAAACGTCCTGAATTTTCTATGGTCCCAGAGCTCGGAGCGAGGGCAAGTCCAGCCTCTCTAGCGTTTTTTTCCCTCTGGCGAAACAGGGAAGAACAGCCGAGAGCATGTATATTGCTCTCGGCTGTCTGTGTCCCGTTTCGCTGCTTCTCTGTCTGGCGGTGAACCCGACGTTTTTCTCTCGCCGCCAGTCGCCGCCCGCCCGCTTCCTTCTTCAACATCCGACGACTCACTGGAGAGAGACCACCCAACTTGCCCTCTCACACCACTGAAACCATCTTACTTGCCACCTGGTGACGGTGCCATGCTTGCTCCGCCAATCTCAATGGTCCTTTACCACGAAAATCTTGATCTCAGTCCTATGAAAAGCAAAAGTGAGTGTTGTTTTTGCCTTTTTTTCAACCAGGAACTTTTTGTCGGCTTATGCCTTTTCCTTGAAATTTTCATTGGGAAAATGATGATTAAATCTCGAAAAATTTCTAAATGAAACTTTTTCAAGTCATCCGGAAGAATCTTCTGTTTGAATATACTGTAAACTTTTTACTCTCCTTCAGATTTCTCAACTAAAAAAACTTTTCCGTGAAATTCCGAACTCAAACAAAAACATTCTCATGCAAGGAGTAACCCTGATGTTAACTTTTTTTGAAGCGGAAGTTAATGTCACTTTGTGCGAAATTATACCTTTTGTTCAAATAGCTTGAATCAGAAAAATTCTGTTTTTTTTTTCTAGTTATTTTTCATTGTTCGAAAGGTTTCGCATTACGTGTTTTAAATTCATTTTTTTTCACTTTTGGCTTCAACTTTTTCTTAAAATGCGTATTCTCACGTCGATTGCTTATTCCACCATCCGGGCAGAAAATCTGAAGTTCCAGACAAGAAATTAGCGCAAACTTCTCCGCGATTCCGTCGCTTCGCACTTTTGAAAAGTCCATTGGCGCGTTCTTTATTCTTTGTGTACAGTCGCACGAGTGCTTATAGGATCTTTATCGGCGTGTTGATAGTTTTTGGTCTTCCATTAGTATTTCCAATAGTTTTCAGATAGTTTCTTAAATCAAAGTCCCATGGCTCGTCTACTGTAGTCTAAAGACTGATTCTTTTTTTTTTGTTTTCATGACGCTTTGGAGGATAAGGAAGTGAGGCGATTATCTGTTCTTGCTGTTGCGTGAGAAGCCCATTTCTCAAATCTAGAGATTGAGCTCGATTGTTTCTTCAAAGACTACGATCATATACAAATTGAAGTTTTTTCGACAAAAAGCAACCAGAAAAATGTATTCATCCGGTTTTTTTGCAAACTTATTACTCACCAACATGTAGTCAGTGCAAAACACACCGCTCTGAGAAAAAATAAGTCACGTTCCCACTCTTTTTTGATTCAGGCTAACTACAAATTGACATATAATTTTGTTTGAGAATAATCTGGACAAATAAAACGACATTATAATAAAAAGAAACGAAACAGGGAAATGTAATAAAACTTTTCTATTACCTTGAATTTTTAGAAAGAGAAAAAATTCCCGAAGGAACGTTATGCGTTGTCTGCGGCGATTTGGCCAGTGGAATCCACTACTCGGTGGCCAGCTGCAATGGCTGCAAGACTTTTTTCCGTCGAGCTCTTGTCGTAAGTTTAACTTCTTGTTCTCTACCAGCTTACGGAAAGAAAGTACCAGAATATTTCTAGTTTATCTTGTTTCAATACGGGTTTGAATATTTCCATGTGGTGAATAAAATCCACTTCCTTCAACTTTCTGATTCGAGGTCGAACAGTGTTGAGAGCCGACATCAAGCAAAACACAAAACGTTATGTTTGGTTTCTAAACGACAGTAGACTGCCTCTTTCGGTCGGACCGCCCTGCAAAGATGTTTGCTAATTCTTTGCATTGTCCAGCGCAACGTGTTCACTTTGAAAAGTGCAAACCTCGAAATACTGCTCCACCTTTTGCGCTTTTTTGCGGTCGCACAAGATGAATAAGAAACACAAAATAAGCCTCAAAAGAGTCGTTTTCTGGAGGGCGTCTTTTGTGCCAGATGGGTTCCAAATATATTTTTTTTTCTCAAATTTTTTTGTTAGTTGCCTTCACACTTTGCGCTCATACGTTGCGTTGAGGACGATGCAAGGCAAAATTGGTGAGGGCAAAATGGGAGAGAAACAGCGGAAAAGATAGTGCTCGAAATGCTGGCCGATGCAACATTGCGAGACACGACGACAGTTGTTGAGCGTGTGAAATTTCTGTCTGTCCTGAGGAAACAATTGTAGAATTTTGTTGTAACGTGTGACCCAAGAAGCAGCCGCACCAAAACTCCAGTCTCTCAGGCTCACGACAGTTGCACTTTCCTTCCGATAAAGCTCGAGATTTTTTTTTATGGGGAAAAGTCACAGTATCATGTTGAGGAGAGATTATTTCCTTTTACTTTTTGATATTAGAGGCTTCCCAAAAAAACTACTTCAGTAGATAGAGGTTTCATTACTAATGCAAAAAAAAATATGGAACGGCGTAATCCACTCGAAAAAAAAATTTCAGAAAAAGATAATCTTTTACGCAATTGAGCCGAATCCAAAAATAAAGAAATCTGCAGGGGTATTAAGTGTGACGTAAATCTTTTTTTCATATTTACCAAATTTTTGAAATGAAATTAAAACAATTAACTTATTTTTTACAGAACAAGCAAACGTTCACATGCCAATTTACCGGTGACTGCGTCGTTGGAAAGTGTAGGTTATACATTTCCAGTTTCCCATTAATTTAATCTGGAATTGATTGATTTCGATTGCTTTAAATCTTTTGTTTCAAGATACATTCGAATTCCTTTAAAAGAAAATTCAAGTTATCAGCTTCCCTGTCTTTTTTTTCTGAATTCGAGTTTTTATTTCACATTTTTCAGCTGTTCGATGTGTCTGCAGAAGCTGCAGGCTCAAGAAATGTTTCGATATGGGAATGGACCCAAAAGGTAAATTCATTTCTTTCAGAGGGGAATGATTCATCATAATAAGTGCAACCTCGGCAAGACAAAAGTACAAAGTTTATTGATTTCAAAAACTCGAAATATTCGAGAAAATTTGCCACGTGAGCCATAATCTTGATATGAAAAAGGCCAAAACACATCAATATTGTTTACGGCAAAACCTTCAAAAATGAAAAAAAAATCCCAAAAATAAAAAAAATGTTTTTTTTTTCATTCAAAAGGGATTTCGATAATTGTTTTTTTGGAAAGTCTTTGAAGTTCTTCCTCCTTAAAAAGGCAAGAAGCGCGACACTGCCCTTATTAAAACCTCATTGATTGAAGCGTCAAAAAAAAAAATAGAAGGAATAAAATGCACCGTTTCCGTCTTTGTTTGGGTTCTTAGAGTGGCATTAGAATTGCACCGCCTAAATAAGATTTGTGGCGTATTTTATTGTCGTACATGACGTCCTTGGTAAATTTTCAGTACCGAAAAGCTTCTTTCAGTGTTTGCTTGAGGATTCATTGAAGCTTGATCTCAAACCCTTTTGGTGCACTGAACTACTAAATTTCTCAATTTTTGAATTCAAAAGTCTGTTTTCCTTTGAGTTTGCTACATCAACTGTAACTTCGAAAAAATTTTTCTCAAATACTCAAAAAAACTTTTTTTGTAAATAAAAAGTTTCTTTATGATTATCAGAAAAAGAGAGCGAGATGCAATGAGATTTATCGCAACACTAGCGTTTCGCCGTTCATTACGCATCGCAGCCTAATGAGTCTTTCGCATGAAACTTGAGCAGGATTGAGGCGGAAAAATCTCCTTCCGTGTGCAAATTCCACACATGATTGCCTTAATCATCAAGGGGAAAAGAGGGGTTACTCAGCTCATGTTGATGCTAATTAAATGGCAGTGCCGTTTCAACTATAATCTATCATTTTTCAGCAATCCAACATGACCGGGACAAGATCCGTTACACGAAGGCTCTCAAGAAAAAAAGAGAGGAGGAAAGAAGAATAAAGGAGATTACTCTGAAGGAAGAAGTTGGAAGCCCTGGAAGTACGGTCTCGGATAATTACATCAATACTTCGACTCCTTCATCGAGTACCATGGTCGCAGTGGAATTTGAAAACGCCGGTTTCGACGCAGATCTGCAGGTTTTTGACGTCGACCCCATTTTAATTCAACATGGTCGTTTTCAGAGCGACGTCAAGTCTTTGATTGAAAACCTTCTCGCACTTGAAGGAAAGGTGATGGCTGTTCGCATCGCTTACAGATTTGAGCCTCATACTTCCGCTACTTCGTGCATGTACAATCGGTTTGTTTTGTCTTCTGTGAAAAAGGATCACCAGAAAATGTTTATAACAATTTCAAGCTATATCACATAAAAAGTTTGAAAATCGACATTGCGCTGCGCCCGACTTTTAGTAACTTCTCTCACCTGTACATAAAAAATACTGAACCTCAAGTTTTAAAACTTCGGACACCTATTTTTTGCGCAAATTTTGTAGTAATTTGAAGTTCTTAAAGTTGGGTGTAATTTATTACATAAAATAACGCTCATAAATTGTAATGAGATCTATTATCTATTTATAAACATCGGAAGACTCAATTTTTTCGACGAAAACCAACTGATGTAAATAAAAATGCTCTGCGAATGTCACGTTGTCGGGCTCCCGACTGCACTTTCTTTTGTTCTAAAGATACCCCGCCTGCCGAAAGATCCGATTTTCTCTTTTTTTTCCTTCCTATTCCTCTCTCTCTCAGCGTTGAGGCTTCTCTCTCCCGAGATCTTTGCTCGCATTCCACAACCGCGTGGCTTTTGTTGTGCTCAGCCCAAACCTCACCTTATGAAGACTGGGAATTCGTGAAAATGTCGAATTTCGTGCACTAAATTGATACCAATGCGTTCAGTGTAAAAAGGCGACCGGAACAACCAAAATGCGCTGACATTGAACGAGTTTAAAAGACTTTCCGTTTGGTCGAAGAAGAAAATTTAAAGAATGACGAAAACTGGCGTATTTGATCTTTGTGAGTAAATGTAAAGTTGTCTCCTTCCTATTTTCCTTTCGGAAAGGTACTTGAATCGATTTGAAACCCGTTTGCCGTCACTAATTTAAAAAAAAAGTCTCCACTGAAAATTTCTCCTTTGCATCAATTTGAAAATCCTCAACAGAAATATATGGGTGTTTCATCATTGAAAATTATTACCAAGAGGTTTTTTCTTCAGGTGCCTGTTTGAAGACTACACGTGGCTGTCGCAGAACTCCATTCCTCGGGTAGAGAACATCCAAGATATTGGGCGAAGAAAATGTTTGTGCTGCAGGGTTTACCGAAGACGAAAAGCCCTTGCACCTTGGAAACCTTGCGAAGCTGGTTCGTCCGCGATCTTTCTCTAATGATGGAGTGGGGCAAAAGCTTGCCAATTATGGAACGGCTTCTGCTTAATGATAAAGTGGGTTTATCTCAGATTAAACCTGTAATTAACCGTGACTAATTACAGTTGGCTCTGATGAAAGCGTTCGCTCCAATATTCCCATTGATCCAGCTCACTTACTACACAAACAACCACGTCGATCCTATGGGGCTCATCGCAAGTAAGTTCAAACTTCTCAGCAAGTTTCTATCAACTTCATGGCCTTCAATCATGAATTGTTTTTCAGAGCAAGAACCAGAACCCGAGGAAGAAGAATTTCCCGATAGACTCGATTACCCCGACGGAGCTTTCCTAGAAAAAGATAATCACATTCACAACACGTAAGTCAATCTCCGTTACTACAAAATCGAATCAAACAATTAGAGATAATGAGAGTTCCGCTTGAAGGAGAGAAATTCTACAATATGACAATCTTTTTTCAGAGAAGAAATGTGCGCGATTCTCATCGATGGTTGTTTCAAGCTGATGCGTAAACTTCGCATAAAGCAACCGACGCTCGTCCTGTACAAAATGCTGCTTTTTCACAATCCCGGTACATTGCCAAAAAAGTTCCCAGACTCAAATTTTTCTTCCAGACGCGGAAGGCTTGTCTTCAACAGGGAAGAAAACGATTGAAGCGGAAAGAATGAGACTTCTTGCCCAACTGTTTTTCTACCTGAGCAGTGAACATGGAAAAGAGGCCCAATTGCTTTTCTCAAACCTTCTGATGATGTCGGCCACTCTTAACGTAAGTTTTTTATCTGCCATGGAGAGTTCCAACAAAAGAAGTTAATCATCTCTGAAAGTCAGCCAAAATAAATGCTAAAGAGCCAACTGAAGATACTGAAGTCTCATTGTGCAAAGTTATTTAGTTTTTAAGAAAAAAAACGCCCAAAGCTATAAAATTTTTCGTACAACCGGCGTTTGTTATATTTTCAAGGTCTTGGCCCGTCCTTCATAGAGTACAGGATGTTAGGTTGAAATGTTTAACATAAAGATGTTCTGGCCACTTTTCAAATATAGAGTGAAATTGCCAAGATCCCTGCGCTTTGGACATCAAACATTGAAGCAACTTTTTTCGATTTCAACATCTTGAGCAGTTTTAAATTCTAGAGATGATCTTCAGAAAATATAGTCGAAATCGCCTTCTTCAAATTCAAATTTTTCAGCGAGTAGCGTCATTTATCAAGCGAGTTTTCGACATCAACCATATTTTCAATCGTACCAACGACCTCATAGACCAGCTTATCATCGTTGGACTATAACTTTCTTTCTCGTTGTTTTTTTATTGTTAGATTGTTAGAAAAAATACCGGTAACAGGGAAACAATAGTGGTTTTTTGTATGCCATTTCATGTCTAGTCTCGCTTCAAACACCTCTGTTAGGCATTGAGCTATTTAATAATTGACTCGGTTGGTTTTATGTATTTTTTTCTTTCGATCATTTGTCCGATGTTTTCCGATGATCTCTTCAGTATACCTACACAAAAAACCTCACGATTTGTGCGTCTCGATTGTGCAAAAAAGCGATTCGGTTTCAGTTTATTCTTGATAGCCCTTCTAGGCCTGATAATCTGCAAATAGCTTAATTTCCAAAAAACTCTGTTGATAAATTTCTAAAGTGTATGATACTTTCCGGGTAATCTATTCCAAAATCAGTCAGCATCATTTATTGTTCAGTTAAATGGGAGCATTTGGTCAGACTCCATCCTCATCTCCCAGAATGTTCAAATTTTCTCGACTTGCCACTCCCACAGTTCGTTTCTTGTTTAATGTGTCATCGGCCTTGTAGAATTGTCCCAATTGTTTAGGACATTGTAAGTATGGAATGTTTGACTGAACTCAGAAAAATAAAAACTTTCTTGACGGAACAGTTTGTACAAGTTTTGAAAGAAAAAATACAAAAGAGTGACTGGAAAAAAGAAAGAAAGCCATAAGCTTCATATTCATAATGAATAAAATCCATCAAGTAAATTACCTTCTATTTTGAGCAAAAAAGACCACAGAAATGTCTAGAATTTGTTCTTTCAGTGTATCTCGGCTTGTGAAGACCTCAAAAAATGAAGTTTTCAGTTAACATCGGCAAAGACGGGTGTCAGATTGACCAGCATAAAAGCGCTGAAAAACTTCGAAAAACTACAATTTCGCGTTTTGGTAGAGGATTGATCCAACAATGAAAGTGAAACAAATTTCGAATGGAGCTGAGAAAAATCGGAAAATGATTAACTGCCTAAAAACTTTTTTTAATAAATATCTTTTTGGGAGAATAAATCGTCAAAAAAATGTTTTGCGGTTCAAGAACAGAAAAAGCACGTAATTTAATCAAAACTTCTTTCTACTTGAATATTTCATTTTTACTGACATAATAAAAAAAGAAGCAAGTTATGTTTTTTTCCTGGAATCTGAAATTTTTGATATTTCACTACATTTCGAACAAGTATTCCTTAAAACTTCTCTGATTTTTGAAAAGTCCGAAAAAAGTTTCAAAACAGTTCGAAGTTTTTTTTTGTTTCAAATGGTTGTCGCATTCTTTCAAATTCTATCACATGAGCTTATTTATTCTTCACAAAAAGAGAGAACTTTTCGGCAACTTTGGCAAAAACCCCTTTGAACATAACCAACAAAAAATTTGAAATTTGGCTTCTCCAGAAGTATCTAGATGGATGATTATACTGACTCCGATATCCGCAACGCCTGGGGGCATCCACAAAGGAGTGTCGTCCTGTGGATAAAGATCGAAGTCGGTCGAGTTTTCGGTGTTCTGATGGCTATCGGCACTGTACGTACAAATGCGTACATCCCGCCCTGTGAATCTTCAGATATAAGCAGTGGCTGTCCGTCTTTGTCGGTTCTTTCTTTTCGGTAGAAATCCTCTCTAAAAAGTTTCATTCTCCCTTTTGGGAAATCCCAAAACTTACTTTTTTTTTGCAATTTTTTTTCAAATCTGGAGATTTTTCGAGCGTCTGTTGAAGCATGTTTAAAAAAAGTTCTTATTAAAAGCACTCGTAAAAGAGTTACAAATTCTAAAAGTCTCAATTAGCGTAACTTTTTTTGGTATTTCAAAAAAATAGACTCGAAGGGTCAATTTGAACCATTTGGTGTTTGATTTTTGAAGTCTTTCCTCGAAAAATGGGGAGTTTTTTTGAGACTCAATATTTCACGTTTAAAATTTAGTACAAAAAAATTTGAGCAAATCCAAAGTTCTCCAAAAAAACATGTGATGCCTTTTTTTAAAGAAAAAAATCAAGATTTAAGAAAAAAAGTTTCTGATTCAGTTTTTTTCAAAAATTCTCAAAAGAATTGACGTTCAGTTCTAAATTTTTCAAACTAGTGTTCATCCTCCCGTCGTTTTCTTAGTCATAAAATATAAGTTTCTCTAATGCATTCGGTTCAGAGAAAACAATGGAAACCATTTGCCTGTCTTCCTTGGTAGAGAACTCGCTGCCGGTGACGGCTCTGGGGGCGTCGTTCCTTCCGATCAACAACAACTCCGAGTTTCTGAAAAACACCAGCGCTCAGACGGCCACTATTCTCGACGAACAAGGAAATAATCCAATTGCTTTTGGTTCTTTCATCCAGTGTAACGGCAAGCAGGTTCTACTATGAGTTATTCGTACAACATTTGTTAAATTTAGGCTTACTGTATGCTTGGAGAAGTTGCGAATGAGTACAAAGACGACAGTATCTGCGTCAAAGAAGTGGAAAGCGATGGAAAGCTGAACTCCCTGTACCAAGTTAGTCTTGAGTCGTACACAAAATCCTACTCAGTTTAAATATTTCATCAGTAGAAAAAATCTTAAAAGTTCCAATCTATTTAATCATCTAGTTTTTAAAAACAGCAGTCGCAGAGTTACGAGAGGTTTATTTTTGAACTTCATGATTTGATTTTTAAAACCTGGAACGCTGGGCTGAATGTATATTCAAAATACTCTATTTACAGTGATTCCTGGTTGCGAACAGAATAAATTACTTCCAGTGATTAGAAGTTTTTTCCAATGAAAAACTCTATTCAGGTCACGAAACGCGAACCGATGCCTGATTATTCCGGTGAAACACTTTTCGAGCAAGTTTTCGCTAACCGTGACAACAAGTATGAGTTCTTCGTGTTGTTTTCCAACCAAGATCTTGATTTCAGACCAGTTCATCTGCATTTGCTAGACTCGCTCATCGAGGCGAGCATCGGAGCTCAAGAAATGGACGTTTGTAAAAACCTGACTGTCGACATTGTCACCAACGACGAGTTTGTGTTTATAACAGGGAAGGATAAAATTTTCTCTACTTCAGGAAGACCAAAGCCAATCTCGCTTCTTGGAGGGACACCGTCGGATTCGTCGTCTCTGATCGTTACCTGTACGAAGGCATCACTGTCAACAGGTTTTGTCATCAGATAAATTGTTCACTACGTTTCTTTCTGAACAGATTCGAACTTCTCGCTCTTGCCAAAGACGACAGCCAAGTGAATATTGAGGATTTGAACGCTGAGAAGACGTTCCCTATTCTGGACTATGATGCGGAACTGACCATTTTTGATCGAGCGGATTATCTCACTGCTCTCCTCCAAACGGCTGAAGTTGGCGAACTCAATCAGAAAAACAAATAAATGGAAAATTTCAGGTGAAAGGAAAAGTTGCCATGTCAAACGGTTTAGTCAATGGCTATGTACTGACCCTGCGCGATCGAATTCTTCAGTGCTACGGTGAAGACGAAGAAACTACGAAGTCAGTTTCAAACCACGGTATTCAGCATTAAACTAAATAGTAACCATTAAACATTTGAATTTAATTTCCAGCATTAAGAACAAACGATAGACTTTTTTGTGAACTTTTGAGAAGGTGAGAAATGTGTCTCAAAGCGCAAAGTGGCACTTTTTTCACCTGCTCGACACTTCTCAACGGTTTCAGTGCACTTTTGGCGGCGGCGGCAGCTGACATGGCAAATCCGGAAGTGAGCATGTACGTCCGCTTGGGCAGTTCCGACACTATCGACCAACTGGCCCAGGTTTTCGAAAAAGTTTTCATTTTTTTGAAAAAAATTTAGAAAAAAAGAGGGTTTTTCTAGATAGAGGCTTTTTATTTTTTTGAAAAAGTTAATTGGTCCCTCTGGAAAAAAAGTTTCATCCAGGAAACTGAAAGCTAATTTTAAATATTATGAAAAACTGTTAGGAAATGTCTTCGAATACAGATTTCTTTTGACTTTTTGAAGAGAATCGAGTAGTCGCTGATCCTGATTGCAAACTTTCAGAACGCTACATCTCGTGTTCAAATCACTCGTCTTCACTCCAGAACAATCGTCAGCAACGTCAAATGGAACAAAGTCGCCTGCATGAACGTCGGACTCCATCTTTTCTGAAACATAATCAAACCAGATCCTCGCCACTTTATTCAGTAATAAACCAATTTTACCGAATGAAAAATTAGGTGAGGATAAGATAATGCAACCGGGGAAACGAAAAGTACCACGAAAAAGCAGTATTCGAAAAATTTGCGATTGGAATATTTGTTACCAGATAAATATAAATTCAAACATAATTGGAAAAATGGGAATTATTTGCATTTGTCAGTGGAACTCCCGGTTAGAAGGCAGCTTTTTGAATGAGGTCCCTGACGATAAAATGCAAATTCTGCACTAGAAAAACTAGTCGTACTCATCCAATAAACCAAAAAGGGCAAAAAGGGTATTACTTATGAGAATATGACAGCATTACGAAAGTGCTGTGGGCGTCACAGACAAAAAGGATTGAGCTTTTAATTTCATGCGTGGAAATGAATCGGAAGTCATAACAGAAGTTTACTGCAGAATGAGGAAGAAAAGTATGGAGAAAATGAGAATGTATGAGATTTCGAAGAAAATGCCATTTTCTGGGCCTCTTTTTTCCCAGTCTTCCGTCAGCATCCCTTCGACGTTCGACCAGCTCCCATTGTGTGGATGGGCCGGCTCAATGCTCAGAATGTTCAGCAGCATCTAAAAGGATAGATAAATCTGTGATTAGAAAGTACAAAAAAATGAGGGAAAAAAAAAGGTTTTCAGTCAGGGTAAATTACTCTTCGATTGAATAGCAATAGAAAGTTGCTTGATGCAAAAATAGGATCACATCAAGCGATTCTAAGAAGCTTGAGCAATTTTTTTTCTCAATAATCCAAGAAGGAATCTAATTTCATTTTGGTATTGTCAAATGCTAAGGAATTTTAATCCTTCAAAAAATTTCAATCTTTAATTTCGCTACTTTTCAGAGTTAAGGATTTGTAAAACTGCTCTGTTTGCAACTCGGAGTTGTTCTTCTCTTACTATTGTCAGATTGATTATAATCAGCGTAAAAATCTTTTCAGCCAGACACTTTCTCCTCACCATCTTGTCGACCTCTTTTTCAAAAACCAGGCTTACCTGATAGACATCGACGATTTCAATAGGACCGAAACGCTCGTTGACACGAAAAGCTGCAAAAGACAGTCTTACGAGATCAGATAACGCAACGCACCAGATCCGCGTGCGAAGAAGATTCCACGCATCTCCTCGTGACTTGGCTCCCATCCCGACGTCTGGCGAGCGTCGATCGACGGATCCCCAGCGTTCGGAACCGTCGGCAGTTCTTTCTACAAGTTTTAAGAGTGGGAAAAAGGACCTTTAGGCCGTTTGTGAGCTGTTTCCGAGAGCACAACTTTCCGGATATCATAAGCTTTTTTTTCAACAATGAAACTTGAACAAGTTACGGTCAAAAATTTCGATTTCATAATCAAACACTTGATATGTTTATCGTCTGATTACGCGACAAAAATTAGTGTCATCTATCGATAAGACTGACAAAATATGAACGTCTTTCTATCACTTTTCCGATTACTTACCGTAACAACGCTGGTTCCCGGCTTGGTGATGAGGACCACACCGCTCATGAATCTCGAATTCTTCCAATGAAGCTCTTCTGGTAGCTCGGACATCTGCAAAAGTTTGCTAGCTAACAAACTGAAGGGAAAAAAAAACAAACTTTGTAGGTTTTGACAAACGGCGCGTCGTTCTCATCATAATCTCCCATAGGGGACCACAGCTCGCAAACGCTGAATTCGTAGTGAACCTTAAGTTTTCACTTTACTGCAGGATACAATATTTAGAATAAACTCACCGTTCCCTCATCTTCAGGCTCCGTGAACACCATGACGACAGAATGAGCGTTGACCACTTTTTTGACCTGAAGAAGAAATAAGAAGGGCGATCAAAGAACTTTTAAACCAGTGAGAAGTCCGGCAAGCACTGTTCCAGGAAGAATTGCTCCTCTTTCGCCAAAGGAGCGTAACCGTGGTCGGAAAGAATAACCACATTGGTGGAAGTGAACAAATCTTTCTCTTCCAAGGTTTTCTTCAAAAGTTGAAACTCGAAATGAGCAGGAATGAAATTGCTTACGGTCAAATCGGCCACCACTGCATCGAAATCTTTGATAGCGTTTGTGATTTCAGCCGAGTTCACTGGGTTATTCTTTTGCGCTTCTCCAATCTTGGCATATCGCAAAAGGAACATCTGAAAAGCTTTTGAATTAAAAGGTAAAGAAATATTCTTGTTTCTGCAAAAGGAAGCAATTAAATTTAACTAAACATGAATCAATTTTATTTTGGACGGGAAATCTTATACCCAGTAGATTTTTTTGAATTTTTATTTGGAATCTGCATCAAAGTGTTAAGACATCTAAAAAAAAGTCAGATCAGATTCAGACTTTCTGACATATTTTTAGCATAGAATCACATTCAACGGGAAAAAACTGCATTTCCTAATTTTAGTTTCATTTAGTTTCATCCAAAAGCTCCGCCGTGATATGAGATAATTTTAGGGGACATATAAGAAGACATTTATCATTAATTATCATTTATTTTTTGAACTTAATTTCCTTTTAATTCCATTTTTTGTTCGATTTTCTTAAAAACCTGAAAATCTAGCAAAGAAACACCAAACAGATGTTCTTTTCCCTTGCTACTATAATCGTTTAAGACTTATGAAAGACCTGTTGTTTGTAGGACTGGTACTTGGTGATCCGATTGACGATTTTCGGGAAAATGGAACGGATGGAATCGGTTTGTTCTGGGATGTCGAGATCAGCTCTGTACTGCTCTTCCACCAATGCGATGACGTCATAATAAGGCAACTACAAAGATGATTGAGCTAAAGGAAAGAAAAAGTAACTGACATGGCAATGAGCGAACCAAAAGCATGACAAATCGACTCCAGCTTTCGCCGCCGTGTACCAGAATGGAGCTTTTGCGTCCAGCCACCATTTCTCGTCGGTGTCATTTGGTCCTGCAACGACCGTTTCAACATGGAATCTGTTTTTCTTTGTTATGCGAAACACTACAAAAGTGTCTGATTTGAGCATGGCTGGTCCCATTCAAAATATTATAATATAGTCTTAAAGAAATCTGGTCACAAAAAATTTTACTGAAGGCTTTAGAGTAACAATAAACCTGTCAAGGATATGTAGAGGGTGCTACGACAAGAGCGAGTTTTCCATTTGCGAGCAGTACTGTATGCGGCAAAGCGCATTGCGTGCATGCACTCTGCGTGTTTACACTTTTGTGGCGTGACGTCATCGCGCCGTACATCTGCGGGTTTTTTGCTTGCGGGTTTTTTTTTCGGATTTTTTTTTTGAATTTTTTTTCCGGCTTATTTATTTTTCGAAACAAAAAGAAAACTTTTTTTAATTGATGAAAACTCTGTTTGTCAAGGGGGCAGCTTAGGAAAATGTTTCTTTATAGATAGCTATTAGGTCAACTCCACAAATATGGAAAAAAAAAGAAGTAAGCTAATATTGACATTTCAAAAAGGAAAAATATCAAACAATTGCATCATAACAAATACCAGTAATTGAAATAAGTTATATCAAAAAAATAAGAAAAATAAGAAAAATAACAATTTTTTTACAGAAAAAAATCGTATCAAACAAAAAGTCATTTTTCCCAGAAAATCTGCAAGATATTTTTAAATGTACATTGAGAGATTTGAAGGGACTTGTCAGAAATTTTACGAAAATTGGATTTTTGTACAATACCGGTGTTGAGGGTAGAGGAGCAGGGACACCTTTTTTCGCCAAAACTTCCTTTGTGATTTCTTGTTGCTTCAAAATTGAGTCGAAAACAATGTCGTTAACATAATTGTCACTTTCCATCCTGAATTTCATTCATTGCATCACTTTTTTTCATTTCAAAATCTGAACGAGAAAAACACGAAGATTTTTTGAGGACAAAGAGGAGCCTTCTTATGAGGTAAAAAAAAGTTTTCTTTTTGTTTCGAAAATATTCGCACAATCAAAACCAAACCGGAAAAAAAATTCAAAAAAAAAATTCCGAAAAAAACATTGAAAAAAAACCCGCAAGCAAAAAACCCGCAGATGTACGGCGCGATGACGTCACGCCACAAAAGTGTAAACACGCAGAGTGCATGCACGCAATGCGCTTTGCCGCATACAGTACTCCTCGCAAATGGAAAAACTCGCTCTTGTCGTAGCACCATGTAGAGAAAGATCTTCTTCTCTTTTTAAAAAAATCTTCTAGCTTTTTTTAAAAGTTAAAAAAACCGTGAAAAAGTTTGCGTATTGCCCCTAATTTTTTTATTATTCGATAAAATGTGCACATGAAGTGAAGCTCAATTATAAAATTGTAAATAATCCATTTTTTCAGTCAGAACCATTTTAGTATTTTCTCTCAAGTGAACTTTCAAAACTAATTCGTTTGAAGATCTGTTCAGGTGTTTAGGAGTTCTGACTGACCTGTTCCTCTTTCGAAGGTCAGATTGCTCTTGCGGTCCCACATATAGTCAGCAGTAAAACCATGGTTTTCGGTGTACAAACCTGAAAAAAACAATGTTTCTCCAGTCGTTTTTTTCAGCTTCTCTGTCAGACGAACAAATGCTCAGACTTTGGAAATTGCGTTGCAGGCAATTTGTTACGTGCCGCCGTCTGTCCGACTACATGAGAATTACGCACTTTCAGATTTAGTATTGTTATTCAAAAAATCATAGCTTTTTTCATGCCTCTATCGAAACGTGATCAAATTTGTCTTCCGTATTAGCGTCGCTTGCAGTTGGGACTAGAAGTTTATCAAAAAAAAAAAATCATGAAATGGAATTTTTTTAAAAATTTTATCAAGTTTCTTGCTACAGCATTATGCTCCCACAGGATACCTAGACGACATCATGTTTGGGGAATTTAAAACGCGTTGAATTACATGCTCAGCGCGTTATTCGATAGGAGTTTGGTGAGATTCTATTCCCACAACACATGTTTATTCAAAACTGATGATTCTTCTGCAAACTGACTTGAATTCAGAAATTCTCCCAAAGCTTTTGTAAAAGAACCAATTTTTATTATGATTAATTCACAGCATTTTGTGGATTTTGGAAGTCTGAAATAAAGAAGCTTTTTTCGCTCTCTTCTCTGGATGTTCAGAATTGCTACAAAAGGAAAGTTTCAGCACCTGTAGCCAAGCTCATCCACTGAGGCCACGTGTGGGTCGGGAACACTGGCGTGACGTAGTCGGCCTGAACGCCTTTCTCTCCGATTTCCCTCAGTGCTGAAAACAATTTGCTCTGATCCTTAGATTTTTAACGGTGTCGTCAACTGGAAACAGAAAATACCAATTTGCCCAACAGCTATAAATTCTACCCTACTTCTTTTTTTTCTTGAATATATGAAGTTTTTCTGATTTAATTTTAATTTTTGTGTGAAAAAATCAATTATTTTTAAAAAGGATATTTTTCGAATTACAAGCTTTCGGAACGGAAAGAAAAACATTTCTGAATTCATCTAAACGACGCAAATTTTTCTAACTGATTGTTAAGAAAAAGATACCTTTGGTTGCTTCAACGGGAGTGTTGTTGAAAAGATGAGCGCCGAATCCATCGACCAAAATTACGATGAGATTCTGCCCGGCTGGTTCTTTACCCAGTGACTGAGCAATCAGTAGTCCGAAGAGGACCACTTTGATTAGCATTTTCTGAAAGTTTAGCTACGAAAATTGGAGAACGAAAGCAAGACAGATTGGAGCACGGAGCTACAGGAGAAAACCGTAAAAATGAGGAGAAGTGGGGTTTTGCAGTGTACCGAAGTATAAACATACCCCTAAGATGCGAGAATTAGATAAGAAACACTTCGAACCAAATTGAATTATGACTCAAAAAAATTGACAAAAAAACAACCGAGAAAAATAATTTCTATTAATTCGAAAAATCTATTTTTTTATACTTAGCTTAAAAAGAAGGAAACTTTTTCAAATGCAAAAAAATCCGGCATTTCTTTGAATCATCAAACGCAAATGACATCAAAAAAATTGTTAACTACCATCACTCGTTTGGAACTTTGATCAAAAATTTCTAACTGGACACTTGAGAAGATTTTTGATATTTCTTCAAACAATAAAAAAAAGTAATCTGCAATTGAGTACCTACAATTTTTGACAAGGCTTATATGTTTTTTTATCCAATAATTTCTCAATAATTTTGAGAAAAAAACAGACGTTTTTGAAAGGATCATTCAATTTCATTCAACTGTCTCTCGACTGCTCTGAAAAACAAAAAAAATTTTTTTCATTGAAAAGTTGAAGCGCACAATTTGAGCTCTATAAATTTAGAGCGAGTGAAAAATGTGGTAATCCTTCTTCAGTTCATTTCATCCTCGGCACGGTGTAAAGCACAGCTCGCTCTCACGCAAATCACTCGCGGTGCTCTGCATGAGATGTGGAAGAGAGCCATACAACAAAAAATTGTGGAAAAAAAGAAGTTTGAGACGTCGAACCAGATGCTCTTTCCACCGTTCACCTTGGGAAACAAGGCGTTCAAAAAAAGTACACACACAAAAATATATGTTTCTCGGTTTTCCGAAGGAAAGAATAAAAAAATTTACGGAGCTTGATTTAGTGGAATTGGGTGACAATTGAAAGCCTGAAGTCAAAAAAAGGAACACTCAAATGCAATTTTTCTTGAGGGAGAGAATCCTCGTTTTTTTTTCGAATATTTTTGCAAAGAAAGGGAAGTAGAATACCGAAAAATTGAGATGAAAGCAAGCGTTTGTTTATTCGAATATGAGAAAGATGAAGAAAGGTAATTCTGGATGCAAAGTTCTTGAGCCCACGACTCACTCATTAGTACCACAAAAGCTTTAATTCTTATAACATTCTGAAAAAAACTTCGTCGATTGGTGTTTTCAAAAAATTTTCAAAAAAGCTTTAATTCAGAATTGACACATTTTTATGATGGAAAAATGAAAATGTGAAGAAAATAAGAAACTCAGGAAGTATATGACTGTTCGAAAAGATTTTTTGGAAAATCAGCGAACTCTGAAAGAAACAGCTGATGCGCAGAACGACGGCAGTTTTGCGAACGCGCCGCCCCGTTTTCGACACTTTGGGCTCACAAAATTGAACCCATCCAGATCGCGTGCTTACGAGTAACCAAATTAAGATTGCATATGAGACAAACGAGCCGAAATGCTCTTCGCCTTTCGGATCGTAGGAAGAGGATTTCCGGAAAGGAGCAGGAGGATATCCGAAAACCAGTAAATTTTTAAATGTATTGGACTTCAAAAAAAAAGAATCTGTATGCCGCTGCTAGCTTTTTCCAGTTAAAATTTTCACAATAAACGAATTTGGATGCCGTCGTTGCGCTGTAACTGTACAACGAAGTTTCGAATAAAAGAACAAAAATTTGTTTAAGAAGATGATCAAGAAAATTTTTCTTACGGAGATTCATTAAGTCACTGGCCTAATGATGCTCAAACTAAGGAAATAAGAACTGCTCTTCTCTGGATAAAAAGGTCCTTTTATAGTCTTTCCACCGCTTTTTAACAGTTTTCACGTGTCTGCGTCTCACCATTCCCTCAACTGTCGAGTCAAAGAATCATGAAGATAGAACGGTAACATGAGAGCCTTGCCAAGAGACGAGGGTGCAAAGAAGTCCCGCCTTTTCAGGTGAAGGAAAACTGACGATTCTTGGTTTTTTGAAACTTTTGAGAACCATTTCTTTTTCATGTACTAGAAGTAGAATCCATGGCCAACTTCTGCAAAGTCAAAGTATTTTCCAACGGTCCAATTTTTCAAAAATAGAAAATTTGCATGAACAGCGACCATCCTAGAAATTTTTATGTCCCTTTATAAAATTTATAGCTCGAATGGACTTTATTTTTTTCAAAAAAATCTAAAAAAACTCCACCCATTTTTTTCTCAAGTTAAAAAAAGACCTGCAAATCAAAAGGAAGTGGGAGTACATTAAGAAGCAAAGTGCCGAAATGCAGATTTGCTCCATTACACTATGCAGAAGTGGAAATGACAACAGGCGTGCAATAGAGGGTGTATGGAAACACAAGAAATTATGAGGGCTCGATGTGCAATCGGGCTAACTCGTTCAGAATCTGCGCAGTGATGGATTCTATCACAATAGGCCGCCACGCAACAAATCACTCCCAACAACTGTGTTTTATCCTAGTCGTCGGGGTTTTAGGGTCAGAAATAAAGTTACAATGCTACGTGAGAGAAAATCAGCCAGAAAAGCTTCAAAAGACTGTAAATTAAAAAAGCAAAAAAATCGACTGGGATTACAAAAACACCCTGCCTGGCTGGTTCTTTCCCCAGTGACTGAAAAATCAAGGACTACGTTGATCAGCAATCTTTTTAATTTTTAATTTTGAGAACTCGAAAAAGAAACAAGAAGTATTGTAGCACGGAGCTACAGGTAAAACGAATCGTAAAAATGAAGAGAAAGTGGATTTCTGGGTTGTACCGAAAACTAAACATACCTCTAAGATGCGAAAACTAGATAAAAAAACACTTAACACCAAATCAAATCATGACTCAAAAACTGACAAAAACAACCGTTACTTTATTCGCAAAACTGGATTTTATAACCAATTTTTGAATACACTTTTTATTGAAATTACATGAAACACAAAGGTATTGTGTTCGTATGTGATAAAAATCAAAACTTCTGCTGTCATTTTTAAACCTAACCAAAAATCCTATTCGATCAAAAATATTCAGTATGACACGGTTGCAAATACATAAAAAGTCAATTATAAAATGATTGATAAACAAGATAACCGTCAGTCAGCAGTGTTTTCAATAAAACGCAGTAGCTATTCCAATCCTAGAAAACGAAAACAATCAAAATTTTAAAACGAAAGAAAAGTCATAGATCTTTCAACAGAGGTTGCGATTTCTCATTGAAAACTGGACGTAAGAAAACTGCATTTATGAATTCCAGTATAATCTGAAAGAGCCCTGATGAGCTCAGACTTAGGCTAGTGAAAAAAAATCGATAATCAATGATCATGTTCAGAAAAAAAAATTGTGGTTGAGAGAGAAGGTTACTGAAGTAACTTTTTTTTTTGTTACAATTCAGTTTGAAACACCTCGAGACTTAAACTTTCATCTAAACGTTCGCTGGAACTCTTGGTGAGACTTACATCAGATTATTTTCACCCAATACATTTCAAATTGATAGTTGCTCGAAATTTCGCTCCACTTGGAAAAGCCGATGCACAACGTCGGCGCATTTGTCATTGCTCGGAAGCAGGAAAGAGCTTTTTTTTGGCCCAAATAGTCCGCGGAGCAGCAGCCAATGTCGCAACGAAGAAAAAAGTGGAAAGCAAGGACAGACCACTGAGAAGAAGATGTGAAGTGTGTTTTCAGATTGTTTAGAGCGCTGCTGGATGCGTCAGAGATCATGAAAAAAAAAACGTCGTGTCTCCTTTTTAAGAACCAGAAAAGACAAAGTTTTCAGCTCTAACTTGAAAAAATTGAAAGTTCCACAAAAATTAAATTTCCATCTCAAGAAATTTTTTCTAAGAAGAAAAATGAGTTGAGGATATATGGAAAAAGAACCAATGAAACTTTGCTGGAAAACCTCACGCCACCCTGATTCCAAATCAATCTAATAAGCTTGCCCATTTTACTTTTTAATAGTGTTATGACGCTTCAAATAACCATTGAGTTCAAAAATGTTCAAATCGGCATTGCAAAAGGTGCATGGTTGGCATTACCATAAAACTCCACTGAAGGATACTTTACGACCCCCTGATTACAAATAAGTCGGAAAAAACCGCCTTTCCCACCGTTTATTAGAGCTAAAACGTCTTAAAATTTGAAATCTACTGTTCATTGAAGCGTCATACCTCTGCTAAACGATGGGAACGGCGGTTTCTTCCGACTGATTTCAAATCAAGGCGTTTTAAAATACGCTTCAGTGAAGTTTTATGGTAATCTTAACCGTAACCCTTCTGCGATTCCCTTTCAAACAGGTTTCGAAAATTTTAACACCGAGTTATTTCGTTCCACAATGCCTTTCTAATAAGTTTCTTTTTGAATCGCGTCAAAAATTTTGGGTTTAAGAGAAATTCATTCACGACTGCCCACTTTTGAAATAATAGAGAAAAAATTTTCTCCAAATAACCCGAAACTGAAACTGGGCACATCGATCGCCTGATAAATTCGACTTTGATCACTGTTATCCCTGTAACATGAACCCTTGCAAACCACTTCATTTTTTCATGAAAATTTTCCCTTGATCGCGCCGATTCTCATTAAGTATTGTCGAAAGCTAGCGGTCAACCAATTATTTTCATAGATTTTTATTGAGCGGATATTCAAAAAACTAGGCCGTGCAAGTTTTGGTTTTCAAAACTTGGAGGAAAACACTTGAACGTAGTTACATGGAACAACCGTGATCCAGAAAAAGTTCAAGGATGTTCAGTAGGGCAATAATAAAGCACAAAAATAGCCGCAAGAGCCAAGGCGTTTGTGGTTGAGCACATGGACGTGGCAACCTGCCGCAGGGACCAAGACAGCTGCTCTGTAGTTGAGTTGCCAGAAAGACGAAGCAAAAGAAGAAAACAGATTGCGATTGCCTGAGCCGCCCTCGGCACTGATTCCGTCGATCTTCAGCGCGTCGATCAAAACAGATGGACTCTCGTAAAACGCTTCGTTAGCCTGTTTTTTTGGTTGTTTATCCATTAGTCGCTCACTTTCTCAGGTAGATGATGCTTTAATGATAGAGGAGTTTAAAAAAGACTTGGAATTTGTATCGAAAAATGCAAAACACTTCTTTGTTTTTTATACAAGTTTCATGATTACTGAAGGTCGATCAATTTTTTGACTTTTTCTGAAAAATGTCTTCCAGGAGGAAATGTTTGCTTGGAACAGCGAAGTTCAGCGTTTTGTCGAAAATTTGAACTCCATAGTATTTCTCAGAAATTTTGATAATTTTTTTTTGCAATGCCTGAACTTTTCAGAGCATTCATTTTTGAGCCGGTCTCACAGAATATGTGCAAAGGAAACCTTTTTCCATCGCTCAGACATTTTATATTGTGTAAGTTCATTAGAATATACAAAAAGCGCACAAAAATTGAAAAGCAGAGGGCACACCCAGCATTTTTCCCAAATTAGAAAATTGGCTATTTCCAAAGTTTCGCAAAAATACTAATACTAACCATTGTTTCGAAAGGAACTTTCGAACAGAAATTCAATCACGAAAATTTACCACAACGTATTGGTTGCTAACATGGACAGTGGAAAAGTGATTACATAACCAAACTAAAAGCGGCCAAACGAATGGAATGATCACGATGGTCGAGAATGAGATCACAAAAAGCGTTAAAATTGAATATTCGATTCATGTGGAAGACCTGGAATTATTAGTTTTCAAATGGAATGAAAAAAGTTCAATTTTTCATTAATAGACGGTGTTTATGGATCGAAGGAATTCAACAGCGTCTTTGTCTTCGTTTCGACTTGCAAGGACTCCAAGAACTTCTTTGCCTGTAATCTTTTTTTACAAAACTGTTTGGAAATACTAAATTGACTCATTGTACCCTATAACTGAAAAAATAACCTTCCTCGTAAGAATTAAAAAAAAAACATACTGTTAGATACAGGTTGAATCAGAATGAGATTGAACTGTCGGAGCGTGTTTCCACCAGCCGATCCAAATCCAGGTACCTAAATTTGTTCTGTAGATTTCGAAACTACAATTGAAACGCACATCAACCAACTCCAGAAATGCTTCTCCGGCAAAGTCATTGGAACGTAGATAGTCATGATCCATCACGGTGAAGTGCAGCATCGCTGTCGGTGGAAGATGGGGCGAGATGTGGCTGAAAAAGAAAAATGTGGAAGATCATATGAGTACTTATTACAATTCGAAAGTCTCATCGAATATTGGGTTGAGGCTCTTGCTGACGACTTTCGTTTTGACCACGGGAACTGTTGGGAATCGGAATTTCGGAATCAATTCGATCACAACGAATGGGTCAGAGAGACCGTTGGAATCCAAGGCTATGATTTGCTTCGCTCCGATGACTGGAAGCAGAAGTTGCAAGATCGAATGGTTTCAAATTGACGTTACCATCCAAAACGAGAGTTTGTGCGTTCGAATTGTAATAGGCTCGTACATTCAAAATGCCGAACTTGCACTCGGTCACTTCGTTCTGAAAGTTTGGAAACGCTTTTTTCGAAAAGTTCGAGTTTTGCGTTCAAGGAAGGTAAGATTTTACTGAAAGCACGTGAAAGCGGTGAGTTATCAAATTGGCACCCTTTCACATGCCTCGACATAGAGAGGAAAACACTCTTGACGATTTTGCCATCCGAAATCTCTACTTGGATTTGCATGCAATGTATAATAGAACGATAACAAAAGCAATTTTTCCTCGGCGCAGTGCAAAAATTGTCCAAGCCGATATTTGGCACAGCACAAAAGCTACAGGCTACTGTACCATCAACGCAGCCGGGTATCATCGAGTCATTTTTTTCTTTTCAGTTCATTTCAAACGAATTTTCTTGCTTGGTTTCAAGGACAATATCATTCGGTTCTAAGCACAGCAGCTGCATTTGATACAACTTACTCCAAATTGGTGATCGGCAAGTGCCTAAAAATGTTTTGTTGAAGTCAAAGTAATACGAGCTTGATTGTGTATGTGGAGTTAAAGCGACCAAACCACGAGAAATGCAGCGAAAAGTTAGAAGTGAAATAAAAGTTTGAGTGCGACAGGCGAAGAAGTAAAGAGTTTCTTCAATTTTTTTCAGATAGGAAAGAAAAATATCTTCTGACAGGGCATATTCTCAGTTCACGTTGAGGTTTTCCAACAGAATTGAAACCGCTGGATGCGATTTTTCAAGACTTTTTTTCTCGAAATTGTATAAAAAAATTGTCGTGAAAATCTTTTTAAAGGTCATAGGCCATGAAAATTGAAAGAAAAGCCAAAAAAAAAATTTTTTTCAGATTTTGTCATCACTGATATCAGCTTTGTACATCAAAAAATGATGATCTCAGTTTGAAGTGCATTTTTGTCAATTTTCACATTTTTTTTTTGACAAATTTTCAAGGCAATAAAAACTCGAGTCTTTTACGAAAAAAAATCAGCAATTACGGTTCCACTTGTTGGAAACTTCTACTGTGAAGTCAAAAGTCATAATGAGCTGTGACATAGAAAAAAGCGTTTTTGTTCAAACCTGCTGCTTCAATAAATCTTTGTAGTATTTTTCAATAAGTTGTTCTGTCGACGTTTGGTTTAGTGAGAGAACTTTCACCAATCTCTGAAACGTAAATATTAGTTTTTTCAACCTTGTCCCTGATAAACCACATGCTCTGGGTTGGTTTCAAGCGCGTCCATCGAGAGGCCTTTACCCCCGGCGTGGAAAAAATCTATAAGGACATGCCAAGCTTCGAAAAGACGATGGTAAAACGTAGGCTCCAGCTGAAATGACATAAGTTTAAAACAAAAAAGAAGAGAATAATAAACCCCAGGGTTTTCGTTCACACAGTCCTGTAGCAAACGAACGACGATGCTCACTTGAGCAGACATTATACGCAAAAAGTTCTTGTGCAGTAGGTTTTTGTGGACCGCTGATAGCTCGATGTCCAGCTGTAAATCTTGCGAATTGAACGATTCTTTCTTTTCCAACTCTCACCATGTCTGTGAGCGGCTTCAGAGAGTCTTCTACTGGATGAGCAGCAGGACTCCATGCCAAATGGAACACGTGTTTTTTCATTTGAGGCACTAGTCGGCTAGTGAGTAAGTGAATGATTCTATCAATTTCTTGGCAGATAGTTGCGTCACAAGCTTCTAATCGATTCTCGATCTCCGCTTTCCAAAGCGGGGAGCCCTGAAATAAAAAAGTTTATGTTCAAAAATTCTTTATGAGAACGGACATTTCCCTCGCGCTCAAAAGCAATCGCCAAGTCGTCGAGGTGGAGTTTCTCATGAACCATCAAGCTTCTTCGAACTTGCTCGCAATTATTGATGGCGGCACACAACTGAAAAGCAAAACTTCCAATCCAGAAAGTCCTCAAATGGTGGGTCTTACAGTTTGAAAAATCTCTGTAAAATAATGATTCCAAAAATTTATTCGTAATCTACCTTCTTGATCAGGAGAAAAAGCTTTGAAATCTTCGAATTTATTCCTTATTCCTATTTCTTATTCTTTTTAATTTATTTACAACAAATTTCAAAAAAATTAATACCAGTTGCAGCAACTGTGACGGAACAAAAACTTGGAGCTCATTGGTGAATCCTTCAGCTTCAAGACTTGAAATGATCTGAAATTTTGAATGAATATAGAAGTTCGACTAAAAAGTCAACCTTTTGTGAATAAACTGTGACAATCTCGCACAAAATATCGACCAGAAGCTTGGTGTAGTCGATTTTCAGCGGAAGCTCGCTCACTTCCATTCGCTCCCAGCACACGGTCATCTGAAATTTCAAGAACTGAAACTCTGAAAACTAAGATGATTGAACCTGTTCTACAATGTGGCAAATGTCGATGTGGCTGCTGGAATGACGCATATCGTTTGAAGATGTTGAAATCTTGAAGAAATGGGATTGTTTCTTGAACTTTTCCGTTCCAACTACCGGCATGTCCAATTGACAGCTGAGCTGCACGCGAGCCAAGGCTTTTTCACGAGCCAGTTCAAAAAACTTCTTGATTCCTTTGTTGAAAATGGCGTACCACTCGCTCTCGTCTTTCACTCTCCTGAATGATACACAATCAATTTGGGTTTATTCCCAGTTCTATTACACTCGATTGGCAAGTCTGTAATTTCGAAGCTCCACAAAAGCCATGTGGATTCGCATCAAATCGACAAGATCTTCTTCATTTGGAGGATCTTGTGTAGCGGACAATCTCATCTTAAAAAAATCCGCATAAAACATATTTTTGAGAACTAGAACGAAGAATCTTATACGGCTTTTTTATTCAACATTCTTCGTTTTTGCATCTTTTTCTTTAGGAAGTAGAATCCTGGATGAATATTCTCGTGTTTCTAAACCAGTACGTCTTTGTGAGGATGATTAGAAAGAAAAAAGCGGAAAGAGTAAAATAACCTACCCTTCAAGCCGAGTCTGAGATAGACTAACATTAAAAATCTCAAAAAGTACAGTTTCTAGAAAAGTCGCAACATAACTTTTTTTCATTTATCTTCAAAAAAATTATGGAGCTATATTGAGCATTAAATCTTGAAATGGAGATTTTTCCGGAAAACTATTTTTTCAGATTTGAAAATCATGCTCTGCACGTTAGTCCCAGGTCTCACTCGATTTTTAGCTTCAACTTGAACCGCTGCTTTATTAGAACATGTCAAGCTAGTTGAAATACGACCAAAAAGTTTCCAAATTCACGCTAAAAATAGAAAACCTGCGACTTCAAGTCCATTTTCTTCTCGCTCATCATTTCCGATGTTAGATATTCGACAAGCTAAAAAAAATAAAAGATCTTTCAAAGAAGAAAAATTGAAATCACCATTTTATCAAAGGTACTCAAGGTAAGTTGACTGTAATCAATCCTGGCGATATCGCGAATCACGGCTGCAAAGTGCAGAAAACGGGCGCAAGCGGCATTTATAACATTTAGAAGCTTCAGAAGTTCCTTGCAAGGATCCTTGTCTTGCACTTCCTCCACTGTTTTCTCAATGAACTCTTCCGCACTTTTCTGAATGGACGCGAAAGTTGAAAGCGGTTTTTTGGAAAGCAAACCACAGTGAGAGATTCGATGTGGGCATGAAAAGGTCGTTTGTAGGGGAGATACTTCTGATAGAACGGGGAGTCTCTCAAAGCTTTCATGCATCTGTAAGATCATTTGGAATTGGAGTAAATGGATAAGAAGCTCACTTGATCAAACTGGCAAACTCTTCACCACTGTTGCGCTTGTTTGGTGCAAACTTCTCTCTGTGATCGAGCATCATCCTTTTGCAATATGAATCAAAAGTTGAAAACGAATCAGTCAGCATATCTTCTTCTTCCTGAACACATGTAACTTTTTCATCAACCGTTTCATCACTTGCGATGCCTAGAAGTCCCAAAAACTAGCTAAAAGTGTCACTTTTGAGTTATGTTTCCAAGTCAAAAAAAAATATCAAACTTGGGTTGAAATCACATATCTTCGGCATACTTCAAGCTAAATTTTCCCTGTAAAAACAGAACCTTGTCTAACGTCATCGGCTGCCATTTATCGATAACTTTTTGCAGGGTCTTGTAGAGTAGCGAAAAAGAAATGTCGATTGGAATCATGGAGTGGAACGCCAACCATCGGCTGAATAAAAAAGTTCGATAAGGGAATCTACAAAATCTAACTCACCACATAGCTGTGTGAACTTCTGTCAAGTCTCCCTGAATCGCGTGTTGCCGAAGAATAAGCATGGCTCGTTCCGGATAAACTCCATCCCAAAACCTCACAGGTGCCTGAGAAAATCATAAAAAATCAGAATTGATATTCACGAAAACTCCAGTTTGACGAATTTCATAAAGAGCAAATTGTCTGAGGAGCTCAATATGCTCTCTCACGTCCAGCAACTCGTCTTCTTCGCCCGCTCTTCCTTCTTCTTTCGTTGAAAGCCACATCTTGAATATGATCTTCAACCGGATAAAATGCAAAAAAATTCACCTTCAGGCGAACTTGGCCTGAAACTTTGCTCTTATCGGAACGAGGTTGCAACGTAAGCCATTGCTCGATTCCATCCGGAGGAATTTCCTTCAAAAAGTTTTGTCTTCTCATGGGAAGTTATTTTTGACAAACGCTGAGTTTCAAGTTGATGCATCCAAGAAAGTCATCAGTGCAGTCATCAGAATCGGCTCGAGCACTTTGAGTGACTTCCTTGAAGTATCGACCAAGGCCCTGAAAACTACTCTGTAGCGTTTTTTTTTTTCAACGCTTTTGAATGATTATATTACACAAAACCTTTGAAACGCTATCAAAATTTTCGAAGCAACCCACTTTGAAACCGCCAGATATCTGATTCAATGACGTGACGGCGTCCAGGACAGATTGTTCCTCATCATCGTGGTCCCTAAAACTCCCATTAAACAAATCCATGTCAATTTTCCAAACCAAATATCAATGTGGAAAGTGTCGCGGTAAACATCTTCCACTATGAATTGAAATTTCTCGTTCCACTTCGGGTTCAAAGTCTTTTTTTGCACTGAACTCGCTTTGATCAGTTTAGCTGGAATCGTTCCTGTGTCTGAGATCTATAAATTCATCGTTTGCAATCCGGAAAAAACTCTGTGTAAACTTTTCCTTTCTTTGTGCCTACTTTCCTTCGAAAAGAGCCGCCAAACCGATGGATTAAACCGCCATCTTTTTTTGACTGAAACATCTTGAAACATGAACGGAGATTTATTGAACTTACGGCGTTCCTAGGGGATTTGATTTCTTCATCTTCTTGAGGGTGGACGTTTTCCACGGCGATCGCGTTTTCTCTCCGGCCCGGCACCAAGCCCATCATTGCGAACGGGTCGCTGAATCCTGAAAAAAAACACAAGATATAGTCTGTGGGCCATGACTTGAAATTTCATGGAACGGCATTTCGCTTTTCAGAAGCTTTTGGAGGACAGAAAAAGTTTCTTTTCGTTGGGAGAAAGACTAAAAACTTGAAGGAAAAACGGGCGGCTAAGCGGAGAATGACTTCGTTGTCGAAAGAGATGAGAAGTATCTCTTTTTTAACGTTTTTTTTTCGAAGGAAAAACATTTTTCCGCTGTCTTTTATCGTTAGCTCGAAAATGGTTTGTACCGAGAATCTGGAACTTTCTTTTTTGCAAAAAAAAAATTTTTTGATGTAAATTTGCAGGAAATAACTTTTTGATCTCTAGATTGCAAACAAAAAAGAAATTTCTATAAATTCCGTTTCAAGTCGAGTTACAGCTTGGGAAAACACCAAAAATATTTTTTTCCAACAAACAGTTCATGGAACTAAATAAATCTAACGAAGCGCAAAAATTTTTTTCGGAGATTCTTAACCAGTTGAAAAAAAAATTTTTTTCTCGATAAATATTTTTCTTTAAAGCGCAGAGAATGGATAACTTGACTTCGATTTAAGTAAAACTAACCATTCACATCCTTCGCAATCAAGTCTTTGGCTTCAAGAAGCAAGACGTTCAGAAGAACGACAGGAGGCTAAAATTACATCTAAAATTGGAGATGTCCTGTCAACCCACTTTCGTCTGCTTCGCCTTCTCCATTAGATCATGGTGCAAATTCTGGTCGCCTTGAAAAGCAGATCGGACATATTTGTAGAGGTTATCTTGGCTTTCTTCGGCATCTCCTTGCCCAAGTTTGTGTGCGATTGTGTACAAGGCTTCGACGTAGAGAGCCTGAGAATCCGAACTTCTTTTCGTTTTTTCATTAAAATCGAATTACACATCACTGCGCTGATTTCAGCCATACTTTTTCTTACTCTAATAAGCTAGTCAACTCAAACATGCATGTCTCATTTGTCATTCAATGCGCAAAAATCAGAATGAGACGTAAAAAGCGCGCAAAGAAATACGATGAGCCCCCGAAAATGAAGAAATGCATTCTAAACGAACATGAGCCTTGCGGAGAGCTCATTTTCCTGCTGACGTATGAACTCGTTTCAAGAAAGAGAGATATGTTTAGCTGTTTTGCGAAAAGACAAGCCCTGTACAAATTCGATCTTCAAGTTGAAAAAAATCGCACGGACGCTAATGATTAGTTATATCTTTTTTTTTCAAAAACTAACAGCTTAAATTAGAAAGAAGGAAAAATGAGAAAAAAGCTATGGTTGAATTTAGAAACTACTATGAAATGAATCGGGTTTTGCATTTTTCCGCATCAGTTTCGCGGTTTCTGTTTAACATTCCTTAAAGTGGATAATTTGAAGACGGCTCGACATCAGAGTTTGAAAAAACAACTAAAGTGACTAAAACGTTAGGCTGTTTTTCACTTCTGGAAACAGAATCAACCTCAATTTGCTTCCGGTCTCCATTGATGGTGAGGTTTTTGATGGTGTAGAGTTCATCGTCCCTGCTGCTTTCGGCGTCGCTCGGCGCTGTGATCTTCTCGAAGAAGTTGCCGTCAGACGCTTGGACTCTGAATTCAATTTCAACTTATCTTCAGACAAACATCCGCTTTTCTCTATTAGTTTCCTTTAGCCCCCACACCATTTCCTCAAAAGTTCCAAATTCTTCGTCATTCGCCTTTTTCGCCAATTTTAAATTAGAGGCTTTTCGCTTAAATTACAATTTGAAGGGGTGAAGTCCAGCTCGTGATGACGTTCCGGCTTTTTTACGATGGCAATTGAGGATGGGTTGCAACGTGAAATTTGCAAACAAGCCCTATAGCCCGGATTTCGTTCTTCTAGCAGCCGATTTGAATCATACGGCGGAAAGAACTCCATTTCGATTCGTAGTCAGCCACACATTGTGTTAATGATAACATTGTTCGAGACCGCGTGGGTACAAATTCGATTTCATTCCCGATAATTTGATGTAGAGGTGCCGATGAATGGCGCTCTACTCTCACTTTTCAAGGAAAAATCCCTCTTTTTGCATATTTTTAGTTGATAGAATAGAGATCCAATTGAGACTCTGAAACACATAGCAATCCCGTTACACTCTTCAAAGCATTTTTTCGGCGTTTTCTTCTGAAATTCTTTTTTTATTATGAGAGTTTTCTATGCCTAACAAGTTAGTTTGGCTTCCAACAACAAAAAAATATTTGATAGACAGGAATATTGAGCTTAGAAAAATAAGACTGGAAATACTCAGAAAGTAGTCAAATTTCGTCTTTCTTACCATAAATGAAGCTTTTTTTAGGGATACTAAATAACAAAAAGTTTTTTTATTCTGGTTTGCAAACGAAGATGCGTGAGCTTTTTCACAAAAACACACTACACGTGTCAGCTGATGTGACGAAATTGGGATGAATATCACTCATGAGCACGAGTTTTTCTACTCTACAATCTTTTTATTCTAACAATAAATAAAAAAATTTGCGAATTTAAACTCGACAAACTATAAATGAGGACTACAAAAATTCTCCGCTCTAAAGAGATACAGCAGGTGTGTTGGAGCATTTAGTAAACTAATAAAATATTTGAAGTTGTTACCAAAAAGGAAAAAGCCAATTAGCGTTCACCTGTACTAAAAAAATATCGAAACCAGCCATCTTTTTTTGAACAGGCTCGGTAAATACTACGTTTTTTTGAATTCTTACTTCAAATCAATCGGCTATTTTTTTAGAAAATTCATGGAAAAAAATATTTCTAGAGATCGCGCTCTGAGTGAAGCTTATGTGCAAAACGATAAGTTTGACCGCGTTTCTATCTATACAAAATCTCGCGATTGAAGTAATTTCGCTGATCGCTTTATCAGACAATCGGAAAAAAAAAACGAAGCTTACGTTCTGCGGCGCTTGTGCCTGGAGGCCGAGGACCTGCGCGGCTTCATCGCCAAAGTCTGAGCGACGCCACGCCCACCGGTTGCGGTTCCAGTGGGTAGGCGCAGTATGAAACGCAAGGCAAGTCCGCCTTCGGACAGTCACTCGTCTTATTAATTGGGAGGTTATTAAGTTAAATGAGCACGAGGCTCATGCAGCTTCACGCTAATTGGACGAGCTCCATTGCCACAAAAACACAGCAGCTAATGGGCCTGACTTTGTTGTGGCCTACGAAGCGGAACTCAGCTTGGAGCAATTTTTCCCTTTTCAAAAATTGTGAGCTTCAAAAAAATCTTTCATTAGCAACCCGAAAACAAAAAAAAAACAACAAATTCTTCGCACGTCTCCTGATTTAGGGAAATTTCCAAAGCATTCAAATTTTTTTATTAAATCGGACTTCGCCGACTCACTTTTTGGAAATACGACATACACTTTTTTTATAAATCATGTTTTTTTGAACCTTTCAGAAATTTTTAAACAAACCACACAAATTTATTGATGAGCGCTTCTCGATGAATCATAAACTATTATTATTTTTTTAAAAAAATGGCGCTTGTAAATCTACATAACTAGTTATTGTCTACTGCTGTGTTACCACCAATATTTCAAGGAGAAGCATAATTCATCGGAAAAAAATTAACTTTTGACAAAAAAATAGCTTCTGAGCATATTATTAAACATTACTCTTCAAAAAAACTTGCATACTTTAGTGTGTGCAAAAAGGCCATGACACTACTTGAAAAAAATTTGATTTCTGCTCGCCAGATAATCTAAAAAAATTACTCGTTTGAAAACGTAAGACTTTTTTGCGTTGCACTTTCAAATTATTACTAAAATGAAACGCTCCATAGTGAGTTACTTGAAAAAAATAATGAAAAAAATTCAAAACAAATTTTTGAATATTCTAGTAGCTTTTTAAAAAGTGCAGCTCGAAGCTTCTTGGAACTGAAGCTTTTTAAGAAAAATTAGTGAAGTTAAAAGACTTTCCTTTTTGAAAAAAATTTTTTTCAGATCATTAGGATAACTCCGAATGAAATTCCCATAGAAACTGATATTTCCTGTAGGTCGCTACTCTAAAGATAGTCATCAAAAAAACATCAAATTATTTTTTTAATTGGTCTCTTGACGATTACAATAAAAAGTACATCAAGCTTCTAGTTAAGAATAAACTAGACACTTTTTAAGTTTTTCTCCTTTGAGTAAAAAAATCTTGAATTCATTAAAAAAATTCTTTTTCGAAAATTTCTTGCCAGAGCCTTTTTTTGATATCAAATTAGGTTGCGTTCCTACGTCGCAGAAATATCAGACGTAAAAATATACTCAAAGTCAGCACCTGGGCTAGAAGTTTCCCCGGATGGAAATTTAGTGAAAATGGACGTTTGTGAGAAGTCAAAAACTTACTTTTCAAAACTAGTCATCCTCATTCCTCTCTTGAGAAAAGTTTTAGAAGCAAAAAAAAGTAAGAGGGGTTTCTTATGAAGGTCATAAAAATTTGAGCATCAAGGTTCGGAAGAAGATTCACACTTCGAAAAAAAAAAATTATAATACAAAAAGGAAGAGAATTTTCGGGCAAAATGTTGCTAAATTCATAATTTCGAAGCTTTGATGAACTTCTTATTTGAGAGAAATGGCTAACTTCTTTTTAGAGGCTATTACTCACTTCTAGTCAATAAAAAGGTAGAATTGGATTTTCGTTCTTCGGCTTTAAAATCCCAAGGGAATCGCTGCGCCGACAACGCCAAGATTTTCGCGTTCTGGATAACCCAAACTTCAAAATGCGAAACGAATCAGACGTTTCATTCAGAAAACCAACGTTTAACTTTTTCAAAGCAGTTAATTTAGAACTTTCCAAAATGGTAACATTTGAAGATTTATATATTACAATTAGTTTGAGAGATATCAAATTTTGAATTCTTTTTTTTTCTGATGTTGATTTTTCAGCGGGTGGTCGTTTTTCTGACTTACAAGCAGGCTTGTGCGAGGGCCGGCCCGTCAACCTCTCGGCCACCGGTTACTTCCCAAGCCCGGCCCGCCCCGGCCCTAGGTTGTTCTTAAGCAAAAAAATTATCGGCCCAAAAAAACTCAAATTCTCTTCAAGTAGAATTTCTCGTTTTTTTAACGAGAAAAAAATTATATTTTTTTGTTTATTTTTTCCCATAGAGTTATTAATAACTATGATTCAACAAGTAAAAATAATTTTTCCGAGAATTTTTCTCAAAATGAAACTTGAAGTTTCTTTCAAAGCCCAGCCTGGCCCGAACCCACGCAGGCTTTTTTTTTTCAAAGTGTAAGCCCAAAGCCCGGGCCAGGAAGGCAGGCCTTTTGCACAAGCCTTCTTACAAAACCTTGATCTCGGGTCTTAAAATTACGTGAAAGTAAAAGGAAAAAAGAGAGTTAAAATTTTTAGTCTGTTCAAAGTCGTTCCTGAGTCGATAACACCAAAAATTAGGTTTTTTTTTCACTCAAGTCAATCATCCTTTTCACATTTAGAAGTTCATTCAAGCACTGAGAACCGAATCATAAAAAATAATCGCAGTAGAAAAAGCTTCTGCAAACTTAACCATGCATAAGTATCTATGATTGGTAAAGTTATTGGAAAAGAAAGGAATATCTTTTTTTGTAACGACAGAAAAAGAAGACAAAACGTACTGTAGACAAATTTCGCGTGGATCAGTTTGAGAAACTGAAAGCTCTCGAATGAACTGAGAGGCGCGGTTGAACTGTCGGCCAGCCCAAGCTTGAGCATTCCGAACCTTCTCGACGTGACCGGACACGAAATTCTGGCCCAAGCTCATGGCACAAGCCGAGGAGAAGCGGAAAAAACGGCCAGAATGTACCGACGGCTCCTGGGTTCATCACATCAATGCAAATTAGGAGCAGTCAAGGAAGAACGACGACGACAACGGGAAAAAAAAACGAAGCAAACTCAGGAGAGTAACATCATCCGGAGCAGATTTGCCCCTTGGGAAGTCTGGCAGAAAGTCAGAAGAGCAGCCTCAATTTCCATTGTTTGAAAGCTTAGTTTTTTTTTGACCCCGTGAAGTTGCAGTAAATAGAGCATATACTAAGATAACCTGTTCTTAGAAAGAATTATTTTCAGTTTCAGACAAGAAAAAACGTTTTAAACCCCAAAAAGAAGAAAAAATTGCTGAAAAAAATGACAAACAAAAGATTTTTTGATCTTTTTCTTTCTCTTAAGTTAGCGAGAACTACGTGTTACCTAAACGCTGAGTGGCGACCAAAAAATCGTGTGAGAGTCTCACGAAATCGAAGCAAAAAAATCAAAAAGTTAAGCTTTCTGGTTTTTATTTTTTTCAGCCAAAAAAAGTAGAAATAAAAAAAGGACAAGAAATTTAATAAAAAAATTTCTAAAAAAAGCTGGATTATGATATGAATTAAGACAAACGGACAGACAAACAAAACAAAGATTTTCCATCATATAAAGATTAAGCTTAATTATTTTTCAAAAAAATCATAATTCATTAGAGGAAATCTTTGCCGAAAAGAATCTGAAAACAAAAAAAGCAAAAAAATAATTCTACTCTCAAAAGGATCTTTTTCAACCTCCACCCGATTTCTCTTTTTGCAATTATAGTTGCTGATCATCTTCAATTCTTCCAAAAAAATAGAAATTCATTGCTTTAACCTCTAACAGTTGTAAATTATTTCATATTTTTCTATTTTTTTAAATTTGGAAAATTCTAATTTTTAGGCGGTTTGGCTTTTTTTGGGAAAAGAAGTCTGAAACTCAGAGCTTTTATTACAAAAAGTTGAATTTGCTTGAAATAGTTTGATAATGATACTAAATGAATTACGACAAAAAAATTTAACAATAAATAATTCGATGTGAAAAAAATGCCAAGAACCTTCGCTCAATATAAAGTTAGTAGGAGAGTTGGTAACATCTGCTGGTCAGGTGAACTGATGAAAGTTTTTTTTTTTTGCAAAAATGTCATCTGCTCAGTATTCTTAACTTCTGATAAATATTAATAACGTTATCAGTTGAGAGAATCTCCGAGAAACTGTAATGATAACCATCTGGCTTACAAAAAAAATCTGGAAAAAATGGGGCTCTTGGTCGCCGATTGATAGTTTTCTTAAGCTTGCAAAAACGAACTTCGAAGTATCCTGATTCCAACAAAAAAATTTTTTCGCCATGTGAAACAAGTAAGAAGCTGTAAAAGTGCGAGACCAAAGGGACATTCTGATGAATATTGCAAGAGGAACAAGAAGTAGAAGCTATTAATGATACGAGACATGAAGAATAAGCACGTGAAGCCATTCGAGTCTTTTACTCGTCGTTGGATAGCCGCGCAGCTTCTCTAATTTGTTTTTCTCCAGCCATTCTTATTAACACCGCTTTAACTTATGTTTTGAGTTATTAAGAATTTTTTTGAGAACTATAAAAAAATTAAAAAAATTTGTTTTAAAGACTATCATAAACTTTAAGAAAATTAATTTAAAATTGAGAACTCTTTTCCCCGTTAATTTTCCTTCCATTTTTTGAATATTTTCATAGCGAGGAAGTGTAGTTCCAGTATTTCAATAAATACATTTTCCTATTCTTTCTCGAAGTAAAAAATAAAAAATCCCCGTTACTATTTTTTGAACTAGATGGGAACGTTTGCGTTGGTTTTTGGTTAAGTGCTTGAAAAACAGTTTACACTTATGAACTCGATGGAAAAAAAATTTTCACTCACTGAAATTTTCCACTGCGTTTCTTATTTTTGCTCTAAAGTTTCTTGCACTCTTCTCAACGCCGACTAATTTTTTTTACTTAAAGATTTGGCCTATTTGAGGGTTCTGACTTTTTTTCTTCAATAAATCGACCTTTGCAAAGAAAGAAAAAGCTATTAAAGAAAAGTTTGAGAATCGAATCAACTTAAATGTTGAAATTTCAAAAAAAATTATTATTTTTCTTCAAAAAGTTTGTTGATAAGTTTCCCGATAAAAAAACTGTTTGAAAATATCTTATAAAGAAAAAAATCTCGTGAAAAGGTCGAAAACGGAATGGAAGGAGTTTTGAATAACTTAGCGTGTTGGGACCTATTTCTGAGTCTATCTATATAACTTCGCAACGAGAACAACTTCCGGACAACGATTATGAAACCGAAGTAAGGGAGAAAAAGCAAGTAAGGCAAAGAAAAGAAGGCAATCCGGCGGCCCGCCAAACGCGAATTGACAGAATAGCGAGCCTGAAAAGACGAGGAAAAATTGGAAACGAGAAGAAGCTGAGCCAATTTGCGGTAAAATGTGTTGATATCGGCGCCTGCTTCTGATTTTTGAAGTGCCAACGAGAATCAGAGAAAAATCGCGATGAAAAATCTCAAAAATCTGGTGCCTGGTAGGTTAGGAAAGTAGTTTTAAAACGTAATTAACTCATAGTCGAAAAATGCTATTCTTTTTTTTCTGAAATATAATGAGAATTTGAGAAAAAAAGTTATGTGATCCGGCAACGAAGTAGCGTGGAAAAAGTTCATGGTTTTGAAATTCGAGATAATCAAAAAAATATTTCGAATGTCATACTTTAAAAGTTGATTTGCCATTTTTTTGAGGGTTTTTTTGATTGAATTTTTTTCTAAATAAATGTTTATGTAACAGCATTACGCTCAAAGATTTCAAAAAGTGGATAGAGATTTTTCTGTTTAACGAGCTCGGCTACATCTCGGAATTTTGTGCTCACGTTTTCCCAGTCACAGAAATTTGGAGTGAACCTTCGAGCCAGGCATAAACAGAAAGGTTTGTTTACAGCTCACAATATTTCTCGAAACTTGGCTTTCGCCTTCAAAAAAAGACCAGCCCGGCTGAAATGAAACGCGGTCTGCAAACCAGCAAAAACCAACTGAAAGTATTTCTGATGTGGTTTGCACTTGGCAAATTCACATGGATACCAGCCGTTTCCCAGACAATCTCATTTTTCTAGCTGAAAAGCGTCAAAAAGAGAAAAAAGAGCCAAATTTTAAAGCAGAAGCTTTGTACTGGAAATGAAATGCCACAGAAACGCTCCGCTTGGTGACAAAAAAGGACGTTAACCAAACGCGATACGCTCAATTGGGCCGTGTCCCGCAAGAACAATTAGCGACGCTGCCTGGAGCAAAAACTTTGAAAAAATCATGATTTTTGAGTCGGCTGGTATTTATGTGAAAATTCCCCAAAAACTTGAAAGTTTTTATTGAAAAATGTTTTCCGGTGCTTTTCACAAACGCATCTTTCAACACAGCTGTTGAAAGATCAATAAAAACAGTTTTCGAACTTGAAAAAAGCTTATTTTCAAATGTCCACTCCTTGCTGCCCTTCTACGTTGTACGACTGATTTTTTGAATTTTCTTATTTAAAACATGACAAAATTTTGGCCAGTATTGTCCACTCCCAAAAACAGTATTGTTCACTCCCAAAACGTCACTAATCAGTTTTATAGTTGATCAGAAACAATTTATTCAGACCACACAAAAAAATCCTTCAAGAAAAAGAAGCATACTTAATTCTGGCGGGCATCTTTGCAAAAATCCGTTAAGCAATAATCATAGTGTACTGTCAAGTTTTAAACTATTTCAATGACAGAAACTCCACTGCTTTTTATTTCGTAGGACAAGCCTGTCTTTAAAAGAAAACTTTGAAGAAAGATTTACGAGTGAGATGATCTTTTTTCCAAGCAAAAAGGCAGTTCGCCAGAATGAAAAACTTTCCAAATAGTACAGAGAAAAAAAGCTCATGAGTGGAGCTATGCTGGAAAACAAACGAAAAGTGCACATAAACCTATGGAATACCCAAATATAACCTTAACTCCGTCATGCCGTCCTTTTTGTTTTATAAAATGCAATAGAATTTTTTTCGACTGGTTTCCTCAACAGCGGAATAACTCACAAACACTCTACTTTACCTCTGGAATATCTTCTGAAAAGTTCCTGTCGCGTTTATTTGAGAAATATCAGAAACTTGTAACTTTTTATTATAATTTTCTTACCGTTACAGCCCTTTTTTTGACAAAGTAATTTTTTAAGAAAAAGTGAAAATTTTTTTCAAAAATACTTTTTCGCTATCAATACTTTTTTTCCACCATTCCGGTTTGCGGATGGGCTATATTAAGCTATCAGGTAACGAATACAATTATTTATTTTACTAAAAATCTCACGAAAATTTTTTTTATTGGTTGGTTGGGAACTTTTAAAGCTGGACTTCAAGCTTTTCTAAATTCGGTTCATATTTGAAACTTTGTTGAAGCAAAACGTGTGTGCATTTTTCTGTCTTTCGATTAAGGAGACTTTTATGCACATCCCAGCAACGTTTCATTAAATTCCTAACCGGCCACAAAAGACGTATCTAGTTTGGGTCGGCCGCGTTTGAAAAATATCTTTGAATTTTCAATTTGAGCCGCAGCCCACTTTGCATGCAAATATTGATTCCACATGCTACCAAAAATTATCAAGTCAAGTCCAACGGAGTATTTCAAAACTTATGATCGAGAGATCGAAATTAAGTTTTTGGGTCTTGCTGAGTTTGCGAGAAAGAATCTGCTGATGAACAAAAGTAGCCACCATGAATAAGAAACACTTGAACAAGATGCAAAGCAACATAAGCCTTGAAGAACTCCAAAAAAGAAACGAAAGCCTTTGGGTGGAGCGCGTGCATATATAATTCCCGAATACTTCTCGTCTCATTGGCGGGCTCTGTTTCATTAGCTTCGCCACATTTTTTTTCCCTCCAACTTGTTCTGCCTTCACAGATATAATGAAGACATGACACGCAAGCCACTTAAACGTTGCGTGCAGGCTCACGGACAATTTGCACTTTTCGAAAAAGACAGAATTGCGAGAAAACGAATTTTCGAAAAAACTGGAAAACTAACCCAATGACAACTTGTGCGCCTTGAAAAATTGTGTGATCCAACTTTTTGATTTTTTCTATCGAATCAAAATTTTCGGTTGACTCTTGAGCTTTTTATTTTTTTATCTAACTTCCATGGAAAAAAATTTTTTTAGACTTTCAAAAATTTTTTTGAAGCTCTCGTTTAAAAAAATTATGTAGGGATCGAGCAAAATTGAAAAATTCGTAGCGTATAGCTTTTTTTGATTATTTAATGACAATTTCATTTCATTTATTCAGACATCAGAGAAGTCAATGAAATGAAATAACAACATATAAAAAAAGCTTTTTTTATGGTGAACAGTTCTCGGAACCATTTCTGCCAACAAGAAAATCAACCTTTCACATCTTTCAACACTTTTTTCAGAACTTGTCATCAAGAATTTCTTGCGTAAAAACCTAATTTGGGATCAGTGACAAAAATTCAATTTGTTCATTAATGTCTCATTTCGAGCCCTGACTCGAATAAATTTGCGTAAAATTTGTTTTGGGCCGTTTAAAATTAAGCGTTATATTTCAGAAGTCGGTGAGCTAAATCAAAAAAGTGACTTCAGTTCAATAGGAACCTATAGGAGAAGTTTTAATTTGTTGTTAACAGCGATTTTGAGATTTTGAAACGTCGCTCGAAATGCGAATTTTTTTGAAACCAGTTGGAAATTACATGTCTCAATGCGTGTTACAAGATAATTTTAACATGCTGAAACAAAAAAGACTGAATCTCTGAAAAAAAAACCTCTGGCAACAAAAAAAAATTGTTACGTATCCAGTTACCTTATATTTACAACTCCCCTCCTAGAAATCTGGAAAGCCAAAAAAAAAAGACTCACCTGCGATTGATGAAATCTTCCAAGTCTGCGAGTCGTTGTGCGTTGGAAATTCGACGGCGAGTCGACCTGATTTTATAAAGTTTATGAATAAAAATAAAAGGAATCGAGTGAAATTGAATGAGTCTGAAAATATTAGCTAATATAGGAAAATTTGGCTAGGTAAACGTAATTATTAGATCGAACTTCGGAGTAGTATCTTTTTTTCCTTTCTGATTTTACAATGCTTAATCAAGCAATTTGCCTTTCTGAAACTCGTAAAACGTGCTCAAATCAAATTTATAAGGACAAAAAAACTACTTCAAAGCACCGGCTCTCAAAAAAATACTGAATATTAAGATTTTAAAATTTTTAAAAATCTTTTTTTATGAATTGGTAAAATTGAAAAAAACTTTCAACTGGAGAGACCAAAAATCAAAACGTGTAAATTTTAGAGAAAATAAAAATTCCAACCTTCTTCGGAATTGATTCTGCTTGTTATTTCGGTAGTTGGCGAGCTTCGTGCAGTCGCCAACGGATCCCGTGCGAGTTTCCATCGCGCGCAGACGCGCCGCCTGAAAAATGAGTAAATTGAGAATATATTTCAGTGATTTCCGAAAAGGTAGTGTGTGATAAATTTTTTCTATTTTTAATACAAAAGGGACCTGTAAATTATTGATTTTTTTGATGAAAAGAGGCTAGTATCTCTCGATTTTGGAACAGAAGAAACATTCGTTTTTTCACTTTGAAGTTCAAACTATGGTTCAGCCACAACTCATCACAGGTTTAATCTGCCTTTAGAAAACGTTTCATTTGTTTCCAAACGAATAATACGCTTCGAAAACAAATTTTCACTGGAAAGATTTTATTCGAAAGCTTACAGTTACACCATTCATGTCGGAGTCGCAATAGAAAAGTTTCAATGACCAGAATCCAAAAAAAAAACGTTGAAATTTGGGATGACCGACCAGAGCTGCTGAGAGGATATAATGGCGCATATCCATTATGAAAATTGGCAGATAGATGAGCGTCTCAATCACTGCGCTCCCTCAGTAGCTTTGCTTTCTGTCTCATTCTCCGCGGACAAGTTGAATTCACACATATATTTTTTTCAAACCACTATTTTCTGTACATTCTGACAGTAGTTAAAAAACAACAGTAATTGACCTATCATAATTGAAATAACAAAAATCAGTTTGCCCTCAAGAAAAGTTAAAAAGGATGAAGTGGATCCTCTAGAGCTCAAGGATTTTGTGAACCTGTCAACATATTTTTTCATAACATGAACTTCATATTAAAAGTTAGAATAGTTTAGAATATAGATTATCTACTTTGAATCCGATAACTGTCTGTTTTTTTACTCGACGCTAACTCATTAGAGCTTGCTATCATAAAAAAAATAAAAAAAGTGGGTGTTAAGACATTTTTAGCGCCAGATTTATCAAATCAAAATAAAACTGTTTTTATTCTCCCACACAAGTACTAAAATTCAAGAAATAGATGTTAGTTTTTGAAAAAAATGGAAAAAAATTTAAATTCAATGAACATCCCACCAACTTCTAGATCTGCTTTATTTTTTTGCTTCAAAATAAATTTTCGGTTTACTTCTTTTTCGAAAAAGTTCATTTACAAAAAAATATGGAGACGCCCTTTTCATTTTTTTGCTCAGAGACATTTTTTTCAAATAAATCAACAGAAATCGAAGTTAAAAAAATTGCCTCCTTTTATTTCTTCACAAAAGTAAAAAAATTTTCTTTTTAGCTAATGGGTACTCATTTTTTTCTGAAAGAGAAAAAAACAGCAGGGGGAATAGCTCAAAGCCATCTTTTTTTCGGGAAAATATCAAGGACTGACTGAATTATATGAAAAACCCAAAAAAACTGAAAAATTGTTTTTTTCTGAAAACATTTCAAAATACATTATGAAAAATAATTAGAAATGTATTGTTCCCATTTTTTTGAAAAATTTTTTTGAGAAATACTTCGAAAGTAAAAAAAGGTAAAAAGGTTGGCTTCTTTCAAAGTCAGATGATGAACTTTACTGACTTTTTCTACTGGGGACTTTCCCATTCTTAAACTCAACTTGATAGAGAATTCGATTTTTTGGGCTTGAACGAAAAAATATATAAAAAGTGAGCGATTGATCAGGTAAAATTGAAAATGGTTTTCAAAATGCTTCCTTTTTTGATTGCAAAAAAATTCACGGAAAGAAATGATTTTCTTGAAGGAAGTAAAACAGAACCAATGTTAAAACGCCGACGGAAGTCATTGAAAAAATGATGAGGATTGTTTGATTTATTCTACGAATAAGGAAAAAATAGCGACGGAAGGAGATTTTTTTTTGAATTGAGGCACCCGACCGTGAAGCGGGGCCAGCCAGGATTTTTGGCGACACCCAAATATTTCGCCACTTCATTTTCGCCTTAAACGAGGAACCTTCGCCCGTCGCTGTCACATAAAACGAGCACCTCGCCAATTGGCTTTCACGTCTTCACAATGGTTTCTTTGCGTCAGAAACACCTGCAGACGGCGTTTTCCAACTTTTTCTATAAGGTTGAGCAATGCCCAAAGTGCTTTTCAAGTTCAGGAAATGCATCGTTCCAGGAACTAATTCATATTTCTGTTTTTTTTTTCCTTCGGAGTTCAAAATGAAGCAAATCTTCGATTCTGAAGACAAAGCTGTTCATTTTTTTTATTTTATCGCATCAGGATTCTACCACAAGTGTAAGAAAAAAAAGGACAAAATAGTGTTTAAAAGAACCTGACAATACTGTTTGTGAATTGAAATCATTTACTGCTATCTCTGAACGGAAATACTGGAAATCTCTCCGTTTTCGCATAGTTTGAAAAATACACTCTGAAAAAGTTTCAAGTAAGGTGTGAAAGTTCAAGGATTTATGTTAATTTTATTCTTGAAAAAGATTACTAAGAACTTGTAAACTGGCCTCTAAACTACTTGTTTTGTCGGTCTCACGCGGAAGCAACAAGTTAGAAGCTTCTAGTTTTCTGCTCGACATACCGGTCTACTGAGAGCAGAGAATGTTAATTCAAAACGTTCACTAAGTTTTTGTAGGACAGGACTGCTTTAAATTGATTGTCTCTCACTCTAAAAATAACAGAAACTATTTTCAAACCCAAAAAAAAAATTTAAAAAGCCTGAAGCCTTGGAAGGCTCTGAAACGCCTACGAGTTGACTACAACCCTATACTAGACAACTTGAAAGCGCATAACAATTAAAATAAATCCGAATCATGATTAAACCTCCTTCACAGCTTTCATAGAAGGACAGCGAGTAACGAAAGGCGACCGAGAGAACATTTGACCACAAGCCCTACATTTTCTCTGGTTTTGCACTCCCGCCTTCCAAAAAAAAAAGAACGACCTCCAGGTAAAACTCAAAGAAATCACGCAAACTCGTGCAGGTTTTGCTCTTCCTGTTAAATTATTCTGTCATCGGCACTCCGCGACAACGATTTCTCGTCAAACTTTCTAGAAATTTCAGATTAAGGACACAAGAAAAAATCCTTAATTATAGGGTTATGATAATTGTGGACTATGTGGAAGACGTGAATTTGCGCATCGCTGGTTTTATTATGAAAATGAGCTTTTAACAGGGTAAGTGTTTCTGGTGATAGCTCTTCTGCTGCTGTTTTTTAGATTCTCGTATCAATTGAAAGAAGAAAAAAGGTTTGCTATGAATTGACTTCGAGAATCGTTATAATTTGATAAGCGTCGCTATTTGTAATCGGAGGATTTGAAAATGATCTGCAAAGTTTCATTGGAGTCTCAATCAACCTTAATAAAGTGTTTCCTTCAGAAAAAAGCTAGGAATAATTCTTCATGTTTTTCGGAAACACGTCAGACTGTTTCAAGTTATTGCAAATGGTGTATACCAACGACCAAACGGTTTGATGACCTGTATCAAAAAACTTCTTGAATCGTTCACTATTCGAAAAAAAAAAGATGATTAACATTATCTGACCTCTTCCTCGCTCCAGTCAACATGCAACATCATTTGGTTCAGACGTCAGGTTGTCCTGACCGGCAAGCCGGACATTCGCGGAAAGATTCTGGAGACGACTCGCTGCTACAAAAAGCCGTGGGAGAGCAAGACCAGCGTGCGAAGAAAAAGCGCGCAGACGACTTCTGAGGCTCAATAAAGCTTGAAAACCAGAAAATTCAGAAAGCGAGTATCGGATGTTCTAAACAAAAATATATAAAGAACTGAGGCAGAAAAAGAGAAATATGAGAAATATCATCACAATTTTAAGTTTCTGAAAGTTTTTTTCAAACCCTCATAGTTGTTCTCTGTACAAAAAAATTCCTTTTTAGAATTCTTTTTTCTTTTCCGGAACGGAGGGTTGCAAAAAAAAAACTTTTTTTTTTGGCAGGTTGGGTTCGTCTCTGATTCCAAAAGAACTTTTTCATAAAACGAAAAGAATCTCGATCGAAAAGTTAAAAATATGCAAATTGAACTATAGGAGTAAAAAAAACGTGCTCCTTCAAAGGATGTAAGCTTATTCAAAGTGAAACTAAGTTACCGCATACTATCAAAAACAAAAAAACGCTAGGAAAAATTCATAAAAAAAAATCGAGTCATCCTGAAAATTGGCCTTAAGGAAGCAATCAATGATTCCAATTAACAGAGTTTTTGAAACTTGAAAAAAACTCTGTTTGATAAAAAAAGTGATTTTTTTCGGGATTGGAGCTGATATCCTGCACACAACAGTCATGAATATTTTCATACGGAAGCAAAAAATTAAGGCTTCAGGGCCGGTCGGAATGAGAAACGAATGTGGGATTCCAGTTGGGCGCTTCTGGGATTTCAATATTCCGCCGCACAAAATTTAGTGAGCTACCTCGACGAGAAAATTTTTTCTAGCTTCATCTTTTTTTTTCAATGATTCCTTTTCTGGCCATATTTTCCTTTAGAACTACACCTATCGGTCTTTTTTTCGCACAGACAAATATGAGAGACTCTTAGAGAATGGGGAAAAGGGTGAAAACGCATGAGAAGTGAAATACCCATTTGGTTGTTCGAAGGAGCAAATATTGAGGCATTCCGAGTGCTCTTCACTATGAGATATATGCAAAAAATAAGCATCAACACATCGGGCTGAGGTATTCTCATTAGGGCAAACGCAGTTATTGAACCTCTCATGTGAAATTCTAGACCTACATGTTTTTTCTCTACTTGCCTTAACTTCAAATTCATTTTCAGAAAAAAGACCAAGAGCCCTTTTTTGAAAAAGTAACAAAAAAGTAACTTAAATTTACTAGAATGAATGAGATTTTCTGAAAGTGTGCATTGTCTGAAAATTTGTGGTATGGGCCTGATGAAAAAAAAAAGAATTCAAATGATTGGAAAACGCTATAAAATAGATCTTGTGAAGGTATGAACTCAATCAAAAGAAAAAAGGTAGTGAAAAATTTGAGCGCAAGTTACAGATTTACTTTTCTAACTTCAATGGGCAAAGTAATCAGTCAGGGATAGTTTATTTTCCCCACTTGAATACGAAATGGGTATTTTGGAGAAAATGAAACGTACTGCACGCGGCTTTTTAGCGGAGAACTCGAAGATAAAGAATATCATCGGAAAAAAATGTTAAAAAAATTTTTTTATATTATATTATATTTTTTTACTGTTCAGATACATTTTTTTCATAACCATGAAGAGGTAGAAATTTTTTTGGTAAACTGTCAGAATAATTGCTCGCGCAGGAACTCGAGTTGCCCGCCAAAAAAACCCGCGTCGCATACGCAACGCGTAATCTTGCCAATTACCCATTTCGCCTTTCGGGTCGGGAAGGAATGACTACATCAATGTAACCAAAAAAAAAAAAATAAAAAATATACGCAACAACTTATGTTCTGGATATATGTATCAAATATATTCAAACAAAAAAAACTATTGAACTTCAAATTTTAGTCACAGATAAAAATCGAAAAATTTCAGCCCAATGGCTTTAAGTTTTGTTGGCGAACTGAGATGTACTTGTTTGATCCAAACATAAGGAGACGAGAAGGAAACATAGCACGTGATGTGTGAAACGGATAGTTAGATAATGGGTTTAGATGGACGCCTGACCGGCCTCATATTCAATTACAACGAGTGCCAGCGCTGGTTTGAATAAATTGAAACAATGAGGCCGGGAAAACTCGCCAGCAGGGGCATTCCATCAAAAACGCCTCGAGCGCTCCTCTTCCGCTAAACTCTCTTTCTTGTCTTTTCCATAGAAAGGCGTGAAAAAAACCTGATCTGCTCCGATGAACTTTTTGCTTTTATTCAATTCACTCGCTCAAAATTGAATCAGGACTTCTCAGAAAAAAATTATTTCAAATCGACAATAATTGACAAGGAAAATGTTAGGGGCAATATTTAAATCAAAAAAAGAAGTGAACTTTTAAATCTGACTATCGGAGCAGACAGAGTTTTTTTAAAAAAATGAACTCAGGAACCAGTTAGATGAGAGTTTTTTTGAAACAAGCTTCTGTTAAATCACTTAAAAAAAGAAAATTTCTCAAAAAAATAATAGGTTTTCGAAATAAAACTTCACCCATAACGATCAGTGAAAGTTCAAACTTTCAAAGTGTCAAAAAAAATGGAAAAAGCGAAATGAATGAAAAGGTTGTGGAAATGCTTTTTCTAAAACATGAGGGAAATATTTTCAAATTCAAAATTTCGACTTCTTTTAAAAATGTATCTCGGTCTGATGGAACAGAACATCTAAGTGAAGTAACGTTCGCTAGAAACGGGGAATAGATGTCAAGTTGTGGTTTTTTTTTCGAAGTGGATATGCGGAAAACTCGGAGCTTCAACCCGCCCCCCGTAGCTTTTGTGCCGGCTGTGCTGTTCCACAATGATGGACGCCAAATTGGCAGGCAATGAGTACAATGGAGGTCCCTCACAACTCGTTTTCGACAACAACCCATCAGGACATTTAGCAGAGTCTCCAAAACGCTGAAACTCCGTTCTTTTCATCTAATGAAGTTTTCGAGCGACAATCCAAATCTAAAAACCTTATTTGAATCATAATGTTAATGTTCGTGACTCAAAAAGAGAGTCACAGCAAAATAAAAAAGATCGATGAAAACCATTGATTTCTCGACCGGAACTTAAAGGAAACTCGCAAAAAAATGAAGCCATTCTTGAAGTTTTGTATTTGTTTAAACTGAAAGCGATGTTCAAATCCCTCATAAAAAGAAAAGTGTTTTTTTGCTTTTTTTCATAAAATTTGTTTTTTTCGGTCTCTTCCATTCAAACTTTGCAATCAAGAGGTCTGCATAAACGTCAAGAATGAAAACGCTTGAAAGTTTCGGTGAAATACGAGTAGAAAAGCGGCAGCAATCTTTTTTCAGCAAGGAAGAGGACGCCGCAATAAAATGAAGGGTGTTCGAATGAGAAAGCGCCATTTTTCAGCATTTTTTTAAGCACTTCGAAAAAACGAGGTAAGCCCGCAAAACACAATTCTGGAGCCATTTACTCCAAAAAACGCAATTGAAACCGACCAGCCTTGTTGAAATAAATTAGACAGAGCACAAATTGCAGCCGACATTTTCTTAGCTCAAAAAAACCCTCCTTCTGAGGGATGACAAACTGTTTTGAAAATTTTAATAGGGGAGAAGGATAATAAATTCATCTGAAAAGACCGCTTTATACCAGAAAAACCGGAAACGTAGAAATTGCATGTGATTTTTCAGAGGCACTAACAATTAAAAATTTGAAAGATGGGCCAGTAAACCATGAAAAAAGAATGGATAGTCATATTTTTCAAAACCAATGGTGAAATATTTTTTTCTTGTAACATGTTATTGGGAGAAACAATCCAACCCCGAATATTTCATTCAACACTGAGCATTTTTTAGATAATCGACTATTCTAAATGTTAGGAGCTGAAAAAAACGTTTTCAAAAAACAAAAAAGTTTTAAAAATTCAATCTGGTGAATATCCTTTGAGACAAATATTTTTTTCAGAAAATAAGAAAAATTTTTTTCTTGAATAATAAAAAAATGTTTAAACCCATTTTTGACATCATCTCTTATTTCTTTTTTTCACTCCAGCAATTTCTCATTAATATTCAATGGAAGTCGCACGGAATTCGGAGACTTGGCCACTTTGTTGAATTCTTATTTGTGCGTATTGTTTGTGAGTTGGCCTTATTTTCTTCCTTTTCTTCAAGCTCAAAAATGGGGTGTAATCCGACTTTTCGGAGGCAAAGTGCCAGAGTTCTTCGTCTAACAAAAACCTATTTGTCACGGCTTCCGAGTATCTAGCTCTTCTGTCAGCTTTTTCTCAGAGATTCGCTGGTTTGGCTGATTGCCTGAACATTTGAAACCACCTCATTAACAAAAAAAAACAAATCTTTGAACATCGAATATTTGTTTTGAGATGTGAATAAAATCCTGGAAGTTAAGCGAACAGTTTTCGAGTGAAATATATCATTTAAAAACACGATGATTAACCGTTGTCTTTGTCATCATCAATAATTAGAAATTTGTGTAAGTCTTAGTTTTAAGATTATCTGCATAGTCCTAAAAGAAAAATTTTCAAAACAGTTTCGAGAAAGTCCAGAATGAGTTCCTTGTTAGATACTCCTGGAAAAAAAAAATGTTTTTCTTGGTCGAAGAAACGAGACCTCTTACCATTCATAAATGAGTTCAAAAGAAGACCCTGAGATACTCAATATGCAAAGGCCATAACTTTTTCAGACCTCAAAGACGGTTTTTGAGCTTGTTCGAATTGAAACTATAGCATAAACTTCGTCCATTGTACATATATTCCTTCGGATCCTAATTCAAACAGAAAACACCCCTATAAGGACAAAAAAGAAAATATATTATGGTGACTCGTTCAAATTTTGATGAAAATGCAAAAATACTGAGATTTGTATATATTCCAAGTCCAAGGAGTGAGGAGACCTCGAAATGCATCCTTGCAAAAATTAATCAAACTTTTAACAATCTCAAATGTTTCTTTTCGGAGTATACCAGGACAATGGGAAAAAAATCATATTTTTAGGAAATGAAGCGTTCTTCTCAATCTGGACATCTGAAAAAAGTAGAAATAAGAAGAAAGCAGGTTTGAAACAGAAATCAAGAGTGAAAAATGCCTATGTATAAGAGCTCATGGCCCGCAAGCCTCATGGGTAAAATCATAAGTTGTTTTCATCTGAGAGCAACGTAACTGAAACGAGAGTGAGCTCAAAAGATCGATGTAAATGGGGCTAAAAGGCATTATTCGGACCTGTTTACAAAACAAAAAGGGCGCGTATCCGATAATAAGAACAAGCTTTCTTCCCGGCATAACTGGGTCTTGGAAGTAATTCTCGACATAATCAAACTGATGATTGAGAAGAACTTGAACTGTGCTTATAAAGAGAAAGAAAACGTAGAGAAGACCTAAATTGTTGACTTTGTTTGGTTCTTATGAAGCAACGTCAGTATGCATCTATTTCAAGGCCAGGAAGCCCTGGCAGCTGTTTTTTTATCCTGTCTCCACAACTCACAATTATACTTTTCTTCTCAAAAAAAACATTAGTTTGACTTGACAGAAATACGTTTTCACTTTAGAATGAACAAGGCTCTCCTAGGAAAAATTGAAGTTCCTAATAACTGATTGAAAACGATTGAAGACTTTTTTTTAAGAAATGCAATGTTTAATCGCTATTTCAGACAGGCGATCCACAATTTATGAGAACAATATTTGAGCCCGATTTTATCAGAATTGTTTTCTCGTATGTACCTTACTTTCTAATGTTCTTCATTCTTTGTTTTCTTATGTTGATTATGCGATTTTTGTATTCCACGCAAGAATAATGAGTTTCAGCGCTGCTGAAGACGAACAGAAACGCTTGAAAAAATGTTCGAAACATCCATTTATTAGACTGACATACCACGTTCTTTCCGTTGGTCTCTTCGACAGGCGACGACGTCGACCAACGCGACGCGGGAGAAATGGCGTCACGGACGCGCCGCGGCGCCGACGCCGGGGCTAATGAACGTCGCGGAAGTGGACGAAGCAGTTTGTTCCCAAATTTCTTCAAAACACGCCATCTACTTTTTTCAACGACGGAAAGAAGGTCCAATTACATGTACTGTTGAGCAGCTCGAAACAACGAAAAATAGATTTCGAGTTATTTGCAGGAAAATTGGCTGTAGTTAATTTTGATGAAAGCTTGCAAAAAGCAAAATTTGAACTTGAGGAGAGCCAGAAACCTCTTTCGGGACTTAATAATTCACTGAAAAACTGAAAAGTGATTCTTTTTCTATGAACTGTAACCAGTGACCTCAAAACGCAATAATTCAAACTTTCATCAAAATCTCAATTAGTCAATAAAAAAAGCTGCTCCGATCAGATCAAGATAACAGATCCTTTGCACTCTGGAAGTATGATGAAAATGGCCCAGAGACGCTTTGATGACCTCAATGAGTGTGAGAAAAATGACAAAAGAAACAGCTTGAGAGAATTTTCACTGAACATGATATGTAAAAAAATTCTGAACGAAATTTCTCAGACTCAATCAAGACAAAGAAACAGATTTTTTTGAAAATAAATTATTTAGTATAAATCAAATCCTTTTTTTCTTGAAATAAGAAAAAAAATAAAGTTGGCTTGAATTGGATCGGATTGAGAGGATTTCCTCCAAAACGAACAATTCAAAAAATATTGAGAACGTGAGAAGAACGGGTCTCTAACTTGAGTTCGAGTATTTGCCCGCCAGAAAATATGGAATAATTCCCGGAAGAGTTCGGCTCAAATTTTTTTCAGACGTTATTGTCCGCATATCGCTTCTCTCATCGATCATTTTCGCTTCCTACAGAGCAGAGAACAAAATAAATCAAGTTTAAACTTTTTGAATAACATCATGTATTGGATCTAAGATGAGCAATAGGAACGAGATTTTATACATTTCGCTCAGTATTAACAATCTCGAATGTTGACTGCGTTGATGAATTCAAAAAAAAAAAATGATCATAAACAATTGGCAGATTTTGGAGCAAACTTTCAAAAATGAAACCGAATCTTTTCTCTCTGTCCGTGTTGAAGTCGTCTTCGAGCACAATGTGCCCTTGATTTCGGAGGAAAGAGAGTTTCGCCTTGCCTTTTCTCAATGATTTTTCTCACATATTCTTGAATTTTTTGGGTGCTTGTCTTCTTAAAATTACTAGCTTGATAGAAAGTTACCACACAATCAAATTTTTTCTTCTCTGAACTTCATTATCAGTAACATATTTCTCAAGACTTTTTCAATTAAAAAGGCGGAAGCCGATGCATAAAAATAAAGGTGCATGAATAGTAGTTTCAAATGATGAAAAATACAAATTTGGGGAAATTGTTTTTATTACAACAAAAGAATAACGTTCCAGTATTCAATCAAGTTGAATAGCGACTTGATTAACAAATTAGTCAAAAAATTTCTGACCTAATTCAAAAAGAGTGACATCGTTTTTCATGAATTTCACTGCATATTTCTTTTCATTCGCGAAATTGATAGTAAAACTGCAATCGAGAAAAATAAAAATAGACGAAGAAACTTCGAAAGGAAGAAAATGAGTCTGAAATTGGGAAAACAACTTGTTTAGAACGCGGCAGGGCCTCTTATCCCAAAATGCGGATGTAATCGTATTATCAAACCGCTGGGAATATTTTTTTCATTTTTCAGTTGCTAAAATTTCCTTATTGATGAGAATAGAAATTTAAAGCCATTATTATTTCACATTAAGAAAAACTTGGAAAAACCCAAAAAAATGTTATAACAGAAATCAAAGAAATTCTCCAAAAGTCAGGTGCTTGAAAACAGGTGCCTTTGCGGCATTATCAAATAGGAAGTGGGACAGCGTAAAAAATTTCGTAGAGAGTAAACGAAATTGGAATACTCCGAAACAAAGTTTGCAACATCAAATCATTGGACTGAACACGAAAGCTGTGTTGAAGGATCAGGGGTCGTGAGAGTTTTTTATGCTTTCAAAAAGTTCAGGTGAGCGAAAAAAAAAGTCGATTGGATAAGTCTTCAGTTCATTCATGTCGCAGCCAAACAGTTCGAAAAAAAGATGTGAACATATATATCCGTTTCCTTAGCGGTCACTGTCGGTATCTGATGAGAATGAGCAAAAAGGCGAAAACGGCGTCAAACAAAAGGTAAAACTCTCCATCTAGCAAACTTTTCTCTATGAGTTCTGTCCATTTTTTTTTTGTCTCGGAAGATTTTTCTTCTTGATTTTATGCGTTTTTTGAGTCATGGTGCAATAACTCGCTGGGATTTTTTTTTAGCATATGAGTATAAATTTAACTTTTTTTTTTTCTTTCTACGTCTTTGTACCGCTTGAACGGCAATCGGCTCCCCAAGTCGATTAGCCGAGGTCCTATCCTGATTTCAGTTGACTTGCTCCAGGTATCTATCCGTCCTTGTATGTGACGGCTGGGGATGGTCGTGGTTTCCCACTACCAACCTTTCTTAAACCCCTTGGTTGGGTTGAGGCGGGAGTCGAACTTGTGACCCTGTGGACCGTAGACAGGCACACAACCTGTTGCGCTACGGCGCCCCACGAAATTGATTTTTTCCGATTGAATAAAAGGTTTTCGGGGGCAGGTTTTGGTCAGCGGAAAAAGCATTCATTTTTCTGCCACCTAGAATCTATCAAAGTTCGGATTTTACTTTTCTTTTTTTTCGAAACAAAATTTTTTTTACTAATCGGTCATTTTCAAAGTGATCATTTATTTTTAAAAACTCACAGGTTCATCTTCGCTAGCACTTCGTTGCGTTTTGCGCTCAGTTATGAAGTCGATGGATTGCATGCTCGTCTGTTCCATCACCGTCGCCATTCTTGTTGGGCCGCTTTGTCGTCGGTAACGGCGCTCTCTTGGGTCAGGCGAGCTGAAAAGTTTATTTTCACTTTCAAAATCAAAGGTTAAAAATATTTTGGCTCTTTTTGAAAGGTTTCAATAATTTTGCTCTACTTTCTTGGTTCTCAGGGAAGAAATGTAGTTTTCTGAAAAGATAAAAATTGATAAAAAGCTCACCTTCCAATGACCAGCGCTTGGAAAAACGGTTGCGTCTGCTCAACAAGTCGACGGACATCGTCGAAGATGCTGTTCATTGCTCACAATGAATTGAAAGAGCAACTTGTCTCAGGTACCGCCTCACATCCCGTCTCCAAGCAATTACAACGCGTTTCTAATTAGTGGTATCTTAATCAAAAAGTAAATAAATGTTACAGGAGATTCACGTCGGACTTGAAGGACAGCAATTAATCATTGACATTCCGTATTAGATAATTACGGTATATTAATTCGTTATAGTGAGAAGTTTTTTGAACAAAGGCTCCCCTGAGATTTCTTTTCTCAATTAGCTTCTACGCTTCATTGTTTGAAAATGCACTTTGCAGGAAAGTGTTATTTTCAGATAATTGGAGAATTCCAAGAAATTAGAGAAAGTTTTAATCTGTGATCTGTTCCGTTTTTTCGAAGTTCGAAAAACAAATTAATTGAGATGAATTGTTTTGAAGTAATGGAACATATTAGGGAGAGTTTTTCATAAAAAAATTTTTCCAATCGGACGTTTAAATAATATTTTTATTACTCTATATTATATGCTCAATTATTGAATGAATCAAAAACTCACAAATTGAACGACAGAAAATAATATAGCAAGAAAAAATAGACGAAACAGCCTTTGGAATGAATCATTTGGCATTCAATAATTGTGAAAGTTGAGATGCAAATTTCTTCGATTTCTCTCTCTTTCCGGCTTCCGGTATCATCTTGTTATGAGACCTCGAAAAAACATTCCCGAAAACAAATCCAACTCGCGGTGATCTGAACTTTAAGTAGTGCGATATTTTTTTTTGATATTAAATATCTCCATTTTATTGAGTATAACCCGAAATCAAACAAACACGTGTATTCCCATTTTTTATGTAAATCTAATGCATCCCTCCCCCTCAAAATTGTTAGCTGCGCAAATTCTGAAAGCTTGTTGAGTAAAATATTAACCCACAAAACCCATTTTTAAACTGCAATTTGAGCAGTTCAGCCTTTTTGCAGTCATAGGAAAAAAACAAAAAAAAATTTGCTCAAATTTTTTTCAATTTCATTTTTCCTTTATTTCATTTTTCCAAACCAAAGTGAGCCAAAAAAATCTTCAAAAACAACCAAAAAAACAAACATTTTTTTATTTTTCGCTGCTGATGGAGTACAGAAACAAAAAAATTTGGAACAAAAAAAGCTATTCAGGTAATGGAAATATTTACTCAGCGCCGCCATTTGAAGAAAAATCAGTGAGGGAAAAAAATAATATTTATATGGCTTTTTTTGGGAATAAATATTTTATTAATATCAGGAAAATAAAGTTAGTTCCATTTTTCACAGTTTTGAAACGACGTGAAATAATTTTTAGATGCGTCCGACCCGGATGGTTTGCGCCCATCTGCAGATTTACCACGCTGAAATTGCAACATGCGTAAAACTTCTTGCTGTAAATATTTCAAAGATTATTTTTTTGTTTCAAAAAAATTGAAAAAAATTTAGTTTTGAGAATAAACTTCTTGAAGTTTTTCTATATGCTCGAAATCTTCCAAATATAGCCTATCAACCATGAAAAAAAGTTATTCCACGATACCAGAAGCTGAATTTCTTTTTCGCTGTGTGCTTTTTTTGAAATTTGAGAAGTCGGATTTAAAAAAAGAAATGCAGACGTCTCATTTTTTTGACGCAATGATAAAAAGGGCATTGAATTCTTGAAACCGGAATGAGGTTTCAAATTTCCTCTTATACACTTTTTTATTCTGAACCAAGGAAATTTGTAACTTATGACGTTTAGTGGATGTGATGATATGCTTCGAAAAATCGATCTGCAGAAAAACTCAAATTCCAGTTCGCAATTTTGTTTATATCACGGAACTTAATTTAGGGTCTTTTTTTCGAAAAAAATATTTGGAAACCAAAATTTGAAAAAAATTTTCAGATAATTGCAGAAAATCTAAAAAAACTTTCTTATGAAAATGATAACCTTACTTTTTTTCTGGACTGAAAAAAACTATTATTCGCCAATTAACATCTTTTTCGATTATTTTTTTGCAGTTTTTCTATTTTTTTAGAATTTCAACCCTTGAGGCCATCAAAATATACTTGACTTACCACTGCTGCGTTGTTTGTTTTGTGCGCAGTTTTGTCAATTTGGTGGATGAAAAAAATTCGAGCCACATTAGGCAAAAAAACTCTTCAAAAAGTTTTTCGCTTTTTATCGATAATAAAAAAATTGAGAAGATCAGAATGATTTTTTGATTGAATTTTTTTCTGAAGTCATTTTTTTGAAGTACGATAATTATCAAAAAAACATGATTATATTGCAGAAAAGCGCTCTTCAGTGAAACATTTTTTTCTCGATAAGGAATGATTTTTTTCCAAAGAGAAGTTCACGAGGGAAAAATTTTTGGTATTTTTTTCACCAAAATAAATAAATTATAATAAATAAAAAAATTTTTTTCTCATTTTTTTCCTTTTTCTTTCAAGTTTTTTTCTACCCTGAAATATAAAAACATGAAAAATTTAAATACGATCTGCAAAAACCGGACGCTATTGCGGTAAAAAAATGTTCCTTTAGGTTCAGGTTGAGAGGTTTCCAAACCATTGACTGATCAATAAATCTTCAATTTTTTCCATCTCATTTATTTGTTCTCAATTCAGCTACATTTTTTTCACGATTATCGTAATTTCTTAACACTGTATACAAGCAAGGGAAGTGACCAAAAACAAAAATCAGCCAGGATTAGGTTTTCCGAGCTGATATGGAAAAAGATAACATGAAAAACACTAAGCTTGAAATCAATCAAAAACTGTTTTTTTATACTCTCAACTTTATTTGGTTCTTTATCAAGCGCAAAATATCCAGAGGAAAGTAGAGTTTTCTGTATTATCAATGAGAAAAATCAGATCTCAAACCTTAAACTTTAAAAAATAAGACCAGGAAAATTCTGATCTAACTAGGGAACTACTCGGACTCGGGTACGCGTTTCGAGTTGAAACTTTTGTGGCTATTAGACCCGGGTAAGAGTACTTAGAAACAAGAGAAACTATCTGCTAAACCCCACAGGCTTCTGAGAAAAAGCTTATGGAAAATAAAAAGTTTAGGCTTGAAAATTATCAAATTTTCTCTTTCCTCCTTCTTTTTGGTGGGAAAAAAAGTTTTTTTAGAGTATATCATAGCCGGATCGTTCAAGGCGATTGTATTAAACTAGAAAATAAGGTAAAAAGCAGTATTCTGAAAATTTTCAGGCCTAATTTTCACATTTTCCACTAATTTTTTCTCGGTTCTCTAGTGGGTTTAGCAGATATTCTCACTTGTTTTTAAGTATTTTCACTTAGGTCTATAAACCATTAAAGTTTGAACTTGATCCGCTTACCCGAGTCCGAGTAGTTCCCTAGTAAATTTTTCTAAAAGCTTTGAAATCTGTACATATGTTGATGGAGTAAAGAGTTCTTTAACTGACCGATCATTTTTCGAAAATCAGAAAAAAAGCAGTTTTTTTGGAAGTGAACGACAACTGAAAGCCTGTCAGTTTCAGGCTTGTGTACTTATAAAAAAACAGTCTTTGATTAATAGAAAAAAAATTAGTCACATTGTACAATTTCTAAACTTTTTTTATTTGAAAAAAATAAAAAAATCAAGTTATTCTTTTTTTTTCGATTCGCAACGGGAACTTGCAGATTTCATAAAGGGCAATATATTCTCTGGGGAACTGTTGCGTTCTCGAAGTTTTTACGAAGTCGCTGTAAAAATAAATTTTTTTATTATTAGAACTTTCAGTTGTTCTCCTTTAAAGCTTTTAGAGAAAAATTTTTTTAGATAATCATCGAAAAAAAGAATTTTTCTAATAAAAAAATCAGTGGTACGCCCATTAATGCTAGCCATCCCAAAAAAATGTTCGAAGTATCTCGAAACGACTGTTTTTTATCACGATCGGTGTGATCTGAACCCAGATCGCTTACCGTAGAGAAGCTCCGCCTCTGTGAAAGGGCGTCGCGGCGCCGCCCACATCTTTCGTCTCGCATTTCGTAGGCCTCAATTCGTGCTGCTTTGGTTATTTGGCCTCCAATTGGGAGCAATGGTGCGAGCAGTGCCGATCTCACCGATCGCTTCCTACACAATCGTGCCGCTGAGCAGTCCGTGGCCGCCTGAAAACATTCGGACACCAGGTCCTACTCCTTCTAATCACAAAGTCGTGCTTGCCGTCGCAGTTCTTGTCACAATTCTGCTCACGACCATCGGAAACGCCTTGGTCTGCCTCGCCGTTCTGCTCGTCCGGAAGTTGAAACAACCCCAGAACTTTCTGATCGTCTCTCTGGCCGTGGCTGACTTCTTCGTCGGCCTCGTCGTCATGCCACTCGCCCTCGTTGACCTTCTTTTCGACGAATGGCCTATTGGCAGGTTTGTTTCTCATCAAAATAGCGATATAAAAGTCAATCGATACACCGAAACTTTTTATTGACGAGTTTTCGAATTGTTTGGGAAAAACTCTTTTATGCATCATTTATGCACCGATACGCCTCCAGAAACCTTGTTTTGCATTTTTTTTTCAATGCAGTTTTGTTTTCAGCGTGCGGGACTGTGTACAGCAGTCTTTAAATACACTTCAAAATAACGTATCGTATAATTTTTTTTTGAATGAACTGGTCTCATTTCAGAATTTCTCTCTCCAGTCCCACATAAAACGCTTTTTCTCCATTGTTAAAAAAAGAAAAAGAAAACGACAATAGACAATAAATTGGAATTTTTTCTGGAAATTATGTAAGAATGGAGGTCTGAGACCATTATTCGAAAGAAAAAAATATTCTTTTCTCGGAGGCGAAATTGTTTTTCTGAAAGTTTCTCAGAGACCATTTGGAGGCAGTTCACAAACGCCCTTTATTTTATACGAGTTCATGAGAACTATTTTTTGTTTCTGCTGTAGAAGATATTCTACGAATTAGAAACGAGAAAAACGTTGTTTTACACATTTCAGAGAAGCATATTTTTAGAGTTTCTCGCAAAAAGCTGGAAAAAAAAAAGAAAAAAGCACAACACACAAACAAAAGGTCGAGCTTGAGAGTGCCGAGTTTCTGAATAAATTTTATGAAAACAACCGAATCTGGAAGTTTGAAACTTTGAGATAGCGATTTCCTGTAGTTCTTGCAAATTCGGGATTGTGTGTCTTCAACACAAAGTTTTCCCATATTCAAAAGCAATAAAAGCTATTTTCAGCTTTATGTGCTCGTTCTACACGACGGCAGACCTGACGCTGTGCACAGCGTCAATCGTAAACCTGTGTGCGATTTCCGTCGACCGCTATTTGGTCATCTCCCGTCCGCTGAGATACTCGGCTCAGCGGACCACCAAGCGGATGTTGGTGTACATCCTGGCAGTTTGGGTCGTCGCCGCCGTCGTCAGCTTCTCGTCGCACATCATCGCCAATCTTCTGTACGACGAGAAGGATTCGATCGGCGTCACGACTTGCCAAGTTGGTTGTTTTTCGTTAACTTCATTCATCTCTTTGATTCGATTCTTTATTCACAATAACAACTAAGGACGTGAAGTCAACAAAATTTTGCTTGGACTAGGTCCAATATTTTTTGATGAGTTGTGTGTAAACCCCATGAAATGGAAAAGAAGAAAGATTTAAGCCTTGAAAGTCGCAGAATCTATGAAAATTTGGTTTTTCTTTTAAAAATCGTTGCTGGGAATTTTTTTCTCCAGTAATTTTTTTTTTAGAATTATTTTTCTTTTCCAATAATATTTCAACTTTGAAACTCTGGAACTGAGTTTAGGACTAAATCAACTACAGAGTCTTCTTAACTTCTTTTTTTTGCATCGACCGTGTAGAGAAATCCATTGAACAACATCTCAAGCCGAAACCTAAGCCCGAACATCACCCAAACGTCTTTTACTTGAAGAAAAAGTAACATCTAACCGATTTCCTAGTTACGTCACTCGGAAAACCTAAGTTTTGCTTGCATCAGGGTCGAAACTCCAATTCTGGTGCTGCCTTTGAGCCTTTGACCGAATCTAGCAATTGCCTTTCAATTTGCCCGTTTCAATTGTCGTAGAGTTTTTGCTGTACACAACAAAAGCGCCAGATGCCGTAGTTCGCCAGGGAAATGAGGCGTTAAAGATGGTCTGTGAATTTCGAGACCAGAGATCAACGGGACATGATTCCTCTTCTACCGAGAATAGTATGAATGTGGGAAAAGCATGTTTTTGGAGCCCTAAGAAAAAATACCAGCCGAAACTGCGTGCTTCATGACGATTTTTGTTTTGCGAAAATAACTTTTTTCATTTGTTTTCCTCTCATTATTAACTCTTTTTTTGCGCGGTTCGTGTATCAGCTCACTTTCAAAACTTCTGTTCCCATTTCACTTCATTTTTATTTTCTCTTCACCGCCACCAAAGCACCGGTCGTGCAATTATTTTTGCGTGCTTACGGACGTTTGCCAGAAGAAATCGTTTTTGCTTTGAACGATGTAATAAGTGCGGCGCGTCACGCGCAAAACTTTTCAATCGCTGCTGTCCTTCAAATGAAGTATTCTTGGGATTCCCGAGCTTTTTATAGGCTTTCGCCACTTTACTGGGAACGTCGCCAAAAAGAAAACGGAAGACTGAATCCTAAAAAAAAAGTTAAAACATCATTTATTCATCTTTGAATTAAGTGACATTATGACAAAAAAAACAAAAAAAGCTTTTACATAGATCTCTAAAAGATGCGTAATGATGTCTCTTAACAAAGGTTACAGAGTTATTCATGCGTGAAATCTTTCGAAAAAAATATCAAAAAAACAGGCTCAGAGATATTTGTTTTTCATTTTGTTGAAAAAAATTATTACTAATCAAACTAACGGAATGAAGATAAGCTGGTTCCTTTTTGAAAAGATCTCAAAAAATTTTAACTGGGGGAACATTTCAATTCCTAAGATCATGAAAGACGAAAATAAAGCCAGCTTTTTTGCATTTTACAAACTTCCGAGACTTGAAACTATATGTGAGAGAAGCTGTCCAAAGAGATTAACTACAAATTATTCGAAACACGGAGAACACTACAATCGGGAGCAGGAAATTGTGCATTAATCTCGCTAACTCACGGCATGTTTTTCATACCAACCGAATCGAAACCAAACGCAGAAAAGGCCTCTACCTCATCTGCCGTAAGTGGGTGTGTTCTTCAGGCCTTTGAAATTTTTTTTTGCTGTGCTCAGAGATCTTCTCGAATTGGGCGTCTATTTTACTGCTGGGAAGGGCATAAATCAACGCGTTGTTCCGTATTCGTTCACTACAGCGCTCAAAGCCATATGGGGGCTTTTTTGGTCTCAAATTGCGCTACTTACTTTTTTCAGGCTTTCTTAGGAATGAAGAATAAAAGGTCCGATTGATTCCTGGCCAATTGCAGCTCTTACTAACAATGGAACGCATTTTTTGAATTGACTTCTTGTTGATTCGAAAATAAGATTTTCATTTCGAAATTCATTACATTCGGTTTTTCTTTAGCGAAAAACACTCAGCTGTTTTTCATCCGCTTTTTCCCATCAAGAGACTTCACCCAAAGTCGGAAAGACGTCTGGAAGAGTTTAGACAAAAACAAACATATGCAACACACTCCTTATGTGAACGCGACGTTTCATTTCGAAACGTGATAGCCTGGAGGCCAGGGGGCTTGAAGAAATTTCGGCTTCTTGAAAACGTCCAGCGGAAATCGGCGTCAACGAATTGGAAGACGCCAAAGTCGCCCGATTTTCTTCCTCCTAGTTCTACGGGACACAAACATATGAGAATATGAGCTTGTACACAGGACCTTTTCTAAAGGTGTATTATCGGCTTTTGAATAAAGATAGCATATTTCGAAAACGGGGAGTTTATCCTTATTAACATTGAACTTCCGATTTGAGGTGGTTAAAGAGCGAATCGGTTCAACGATTTTTCTAGGTATCTAACTGTTGAAAATGATCTAATTTACTATTTGAAAACATTCAAAAAACAAGCTCAAAAATTAAGACCAAAATGAAATTAGCGGGACTTTAATATTTTTACTACTGAGGCGTCACTCTATCTACCCTTCAAGAAGCTTCATTTGAACGCTGTGAACCTCATAGACCTGATTCCTTGCGACGGATTTCTGATTCCCGAACTTTTTTCAAACTCCGAAACCGCCCAAAGCAAAAATACGAAAGTGTAAGAAAGTGATGAAAAATCTTTTACATGAACCATATTTCTTGACGGACGCTGTAACTTTCTCTTCCCAAACACCCAGACACCTGAGAAGCCGAGCAATAAATTTGGCTATCATCACTTTTTTCTTTTTTTTTTTTACTGAGTTAGCAGTTGACCTAACGTCAGCACCAGTAAACGGATTCTAGGCGACAGGGATTTATTTTCAAAGTTGTGAGCAGCTGGCCGAGCAGGACGATACATGTGCTCAATGTGTCACGTTGAAATGAGAACGGCCTAAAACGCTGACTTTGTGTCTCGCAGTACACCTTTGTGTTTCTTCGGCGGGAAAAAAACTGCGGCCTAAATGCAGATTTAAGCCTTTTCCTATTTTTTGCTATCGGAATTAAATTTTTCGAAATTCTCTAGTTCCGCTTCAAAAGGAAATATGGGAGTTTACCGAAAGCTTTATGTGTCCACCATCTCTGTGGATACGATAACAGAGGGCTTAGTAAGAAGTGAAAAACATATCAAAGTTTTGAAAGAATGAGTTATTTTTTCAAAACAAGCCAGAAAAAAAAACAAAAGCATCTCAAACTGAAGAACTCTTAGAAACGTTTCAACGGCCGGCTGGTGTAACTGGATACCACGGAACATCGCATAAGTTTTTCTCTTCATTTCATTTTTGCCTCGAAAGTTGAAGCAAAAAAAGCTTTGTCAAATCATTCATCATAGAAATTAAATGTGATGCTCAAATTACAATCGATCAGAGTAAATATTTGCTGAAAACTTATTCTATTCAATAAGTTTATTGCCCACAACAAAAGTGCGAAAGCTAGCAGTCCTTTTGCAAAAAAAAAAGAAACTTCCAGGTTTCATGAGGAATTACGCAGGAGTCGTTCGAAATTTCAAAAAAGATGATTGCTCAAAAACAGGGAAGTCCGGCTGTTTGAAGAAAAAGAAGTTATGGCGCAATAAAGAGGGCAAAACGTCCGCACGGATTATTATCCTTTCTGCGGGCTCTTTGACCGAAACTCCTTTGGACGATTTCGGTTTTTTTGGTGGATTAGTGAGAAATAATGATACAGTATGTATTCAAATAATCTATTTAGGCCGGCTCGAGATGAGATTCCATGACGTTTGGCAAAGAATTATGCAAAAAAGAAATGTTTTGAAGCTTTCGAAGAACTTTTCGATTCAAGCTAGAGGCGGATGGACTATGACTCAAAAAAAAAAATGGAGAAAACCATTTAGTTGTGTTTGATAACCCGAGTTGTACTGAGAGAGCTTTTCTGGTTTATGCTTCTAAATTTCTTTCTTTTTCAGGTGGTACCTCACTTCATCTACCAGATCTACGCAACAATCATTGCCTTCTACGGACCGACCTTGATCATGGTCATTCTAAACATCAAAATTTGGCGAGCCGCCAAAAGACTGGCCAAACAAGACAGAATCCTCTCACATTGCAATTCTGTGGAAGTTGACCGACCGACGAACAACAACACAAGTCAAACTGAGCATTCTGATTTACTACCAGAAAAAGAACCGCAAGCGCCGACGATAACCAAAGAAAGAGCCAATTCCACAAATTCTCGGCTGTTCAAACTCGAGCGGAAGTATCTTCATCGGCCAAGCCAGTTTTTCAACGCCATGAAAGGACCGTTGGTCAGTTCAATTTTACTGTCTAACCGGGTTTAGTCGTAATGTTCTCTCCTGGAATTGTGTTAGGCTAGAAAACTCAAATCTCAGTATATTTGTGTCGTCCCAACCAGATCTTTCTCCCAACTTCGACAAAACAAAAGCTTTTTTTTTTTGAAATTTCAGAAGGTCTTAGATGAATTATGAGTTGGAAGCTGCGATTACTCAATCTCTTTAATGTTTTTTGAGATGAAGCTTTTTTCGTTAATTTTTTGATGGAAACGGACTAATTTTTGAACAATTATTTTTTTGAAATTTTCTAAGAAAGCTTCTGAAGCCAGTCCGCGAAAACGCATCCAGACTCAATTCATAAGCCTCCCTATGAGAATACACCTTTTTCTGTCGCTTGTCTACCTTTAATTCTCATTACTAGCGTAAAAACGCTTGCATTTTCAATGATATTACTCTCGATAATGAAAAAATCTTTGACCAAATTGGAAAAATTGGGTCAAAAATTGGAAGAACTGAAAGTTTTCCAGTAGATTTGAGTTGCGCCGCATAATCGAGCTGTTCATCTCGATCAGCTGCTGGGGGAAAAGCTACCCCATAAAACTTTTTTTGTGCGTAGTAGCGCGGAGGAGCACATAAACCAGTCTCTCTGCATGAAATCTGACTTGGGGGCCAACTTTTGTCAAAGAGGATTCAATTCGACTTTTGCTATAGAGAACTTGCCAGATGCGTGAAAAATTGTCAAGCGGGGTTATGAATAAAAGTTGACACAAGCTGAATGTTAGAGTTTTTTTAAATTTTTGAAAAAAATAAAGTTCCTGATGGTTTTTTCTTTCACAAAGAAAGTCATTTTTCTTTTTTTTCCAAAGTTTTTTTCGAAATATTGCGAAACTCTCCGGTGGAATAGATTTTTTTCACAATCGAAATTCTCGAACTTTTTATCACAAAAAAAAAGCAGGAAATATTTGAATTTTCTTACTGAATCATTGACTTTTCTTCATGCGTTTATCTCTGAAAATGGAAAGTTTTGATAAAATTAAGGTTTCGCTACTTGTCTGTAAAAGTTTTGTGCAACGATTTTCAAAAATTTCCTGAAAGAAGCAAGAAAAATGTGTCGATTTTTTGTTTCTTATTTTGATTGAAACGGTTCATTTTTCTATTATTAGTTAGAACCGTCTTTTGACTCACTTCCGTATATTCCATTCACAGAAACACCAAACGTCATTGTTTGAACTGGTTCCGTTTATTTTTAGAACTAAAACGCCGCTCTCACCAGATGTTCACGGCGAGCTCAAAATCCAGAGAGACCCAGCCCAACAAAAAGCATTTTTTCTGAGTAAAATACAATTTTTTAAGGATTGGAGAGGGATGGGAGCGCCCTAAATGCGTTTTCAAATGCTCTCAAAGCACGAGAAGTGCTGCATTTAACCGACGTAATATATGTATTTCGTAGGGGCTGAAATTTCCAATTTGAGCTCATAACGTGGATGTTTCTAGGAAAATGCTCTGGTCTATCAAAAGAAAAGGAAAAAGAATATTTCGATATTTTTCCGTCTCCTCAAGTTTTTTCCTGTTTTGCGTAAAGGACAATATGGAAAATTAACAAATACTTATCAAGTTAATGAAGAAACTAAATAAGTTTTCACATAAATATTTATGCTACTAATAAAGTTAAACTTTCATATTTAATTGAAAGTTTGGAAAAAGGGGATAAAGCTGTTCCGGGCCACTTTTTTATAGCAACTTTGCTTTACAGTTTCAGGTCCGTCACAACGAAAAAAGCGAGTGCAAAGCTCGAAAAACGCTAGGAGTCATCATGAGTGTGTTCATTATCTGTTGGCTTCCATTTTTCTTCTTAGCCATCTTAAAATCTTGTCTGGACGTGCAAGTACCGTATTGGCTGGACACTTTGACCCTCTGGCTCGGATATTCCAACAGGTTGATCTGCGATAGCGGCCGCAATCTTTCCATTTCTTTCAGTACATTAAATCCGATGATCTACTGTAAGTACAACAAAGAGTTCCGCGTGCCTTTTCGAGAAATGTTGGCCTGTCGCTGTTCAACACTTCAGTCGGTTATGAGGCAGCAAAGCTTCACCAGTCGGTATGGTCCGACAGTGTGAGTTTTCTGCTTTTTTTTATAACTTTGACCTCTCTGTTTCCTTTATATTTATTTCAGGAAAGAAAAAAGTCCATGAAAACAACAGGAGCAAACAAAAAAGATAATCAAAAATTCAAAAAACTTCAAGTACTTATGAAAATTAAAGCTCAAAGTTCACAACTTGTGTCTAGTATGTTTTTCGAGTCTACAATTTAAATAACACTCTGTACAAGGATTCATTAATGGGAATTCTGAAGGACAATTGAGGTAAAGAAAAAAATATGGTTTTTTTCTGTTCGATCTTCTTTCCAGCTCAGAGGCATTTTTCAAAAAGGCCTTTTTTTCCAAAACAAATTTTTTTCCCAATTTTTTTGTTTTTTTGTTAAAGATAATATAATAATCATTTTAATTTTTGTATGTTACTGCCGGAATTAGGGGAATTTCGACGTCTTTGATGCGCCAAAAACATGAAGGAAAGACAAAATCTTGAAAAAAATTCCCCGGAATGGAATCATAGTATATGTCAGCAGCAAGTTCTTATAGTTCTATGATCCCACTTTATATGAACTTAAAAATTGTTCTATACAATTTCACATCTGGTAAAGTATTTTCTATGTTTTTTTGCTCATGGTTACAAAAACTTCGGCGAAATCAAAGAGAGAGGAGTCAAAAAAAAAAGTAATGAAGAGCGTTAAAGCGAGCCGTCGCGACGGGTCTATGTGATTCCGACGGAGACCGACACTAGGGAGTCTTACGCGTAGAAATGAAAGGTGGATTTGAGCCTTGTTTTTGAACGGGCTTTTGCAGACGTGAGCGCACGCAGTCATCAAGCTATCGTCCGCTTCTGTGAGTCCGAGTGACCGAGTCCCCTTTACATACTACCAACAAACAAAAACAAAATCTGGGAAATGCTTCAAATGGGATAAAAAGAAAATGCAAAAAGTTCGTGAAAATTCAGTTCAAGACTTTCAACTGAACAATTTTGTTTTAAGGAAAATAGTTCAATTTTTTTCCAACTACAAAAACTTTGGCCTCAGTCTACCTGGTCTTCATATATTACAAGAATAAAACACATACAAACTTCGAAAGAGATTGAAATAGTTTTTTGTGCATTAGACAGATTCTGATCTTATTTTTTTTCACATGTTTGTGTAGAGTGCAATCTTTTCCCATCTCAGGATCTGTTTTGAAGCAAGCATGACAAAGAACATTATTTTAAAAAGGTTCCAAATTTTCTTTCAGATTTTTTCACATTTGAAGCTTTTTCTTTCGCACGATATTTTCCATAACTCCTTTTCTAATTTTTTTTTTGTCCATTTTCAATTTTTACTTTGAAGTGTCGTGTTTTTAATAATTTTTTCCAACTCACCTCAACTTTCAACCTCGAAACTGTTTCTATCACTAATTTCTATAATCTCCTTCAAACACCATTTAAAAAACTATGCGGTAGGTAGCATTCTTTGGGGAAAACCGATTTATCATTTTCGGCCGCATAAGCCGTTAAATCAAAACGAAAGGAAAAAGTCAACATTTTTTGAGCCGTTTTTTGGGCTCGGGAAATGTTTTAGAACGTCCAGTAAAACAATTTTCCAAGCGGCTCCTTGGAGAGATGAAAACGTTTTGACAAATGGCTCTTCCTTTAGGTTTATTCAGCCTTGTGGAATAAAAAAACAGTTGGCTGGTTTCGCGAAAAGAGAATGAGAAAGGTTTTTCGTTCAAGGGACCATTAGTTATCGGGAAGACAATTTATGCGCGGAGCACTTTCAGTTTTTAATGACCATAAAACTCTGCCTGCCGTGTGCCAGCGTGTGCTGTGTGAATGCCTTTCGCTTGGTTATTTAGATTGTATTCAATCGCAGTTTTGGAATTCCAGACCACGGCGCAACGACAGCCACGCCGAGGCTTCTGATGTCTGAAATTCGACAGTAACCATTGGAAGAAAAGTCATTTTTTTTCATCGATTTCTTGTATTTTTTGTTCAAGAACTGGGTCCTGATTGAACATTTTTGCAACAGACAAACTTTCGAGTAACTTCTAATTACTCCAACTATTTAAATAGGAAGTTTCATACTCCCCTACAAGATATACGCCATTCACTAGCTGGTTGTATTTTTTTGAAAAAAATTATTTGCGAATAAAAAAAGCTTTCTTAATAGTGAGAAAATGTTTTTTTCATGTACATGCGTTTTATGAAAATGACCCTGAACTTGTGTTTCATTCAGTGATAATCTTATTCAATTAAAAAAATTGTTCGGCCTCATTCTGAGATTTATTTCAACATGACTTTGTGAACGAAACGTGTTTTTTTTTCTCTATTTACCCATTTTATTATTATTGTTCGCTAGTGTTCTTGCTTGATTTTCATTGTTACAGTTTGATGCGTGCTTCATTACGGGAATTTAGGAACTTTGCTTCTGTCACGATTCTGAATGAATAACTTCTTTTTTCAAAATGAGAAAAATAATAAAATGAGAATAATAAAAGGTTTCTTATTCTTTTGTGAAGTACACAATGTCGATAAAAAAACTTCAAAAGCCTACTTAATTTTAGGCTTTTTTGCAATGAGCAGAAAATTCAGAGCGCAACCACCAAAGAACAATTTGAAATTTTTTTGAGAGTTTTTTTAGACGTGTGAAATGAACTTGCGATTCAAATTTCCACCGCATTTAGGTCTCCGATATCAGCATTTTCCACAATTCTAGAAGCCGAATGACGCCAGCGAAAGACAAACAAAACGCTTATTACAGCCATCAAAGAGCCAAAAAGCAGCTCTTCGTCGAAAAATTCTCAGAAAAATGTATTATGTTACACCATTTATTTCAAGTTTTTTTTTCTCTATAAAATCTAGGTACAGGTTCTTTTCGCCCTCACTAAAACTAAGTATAGTGGGAAAAAGTATGAAACAAACGAACGAACCGAAAGCTTGAAGAAGCTCGAACAAAAAGCTGAGGCAATTTTATGACTATCTCTACTCGCTAGAAGTTCCGATATTCGAAAAATAAAAATCAATGAAAACGAAATATAGAAAACACATGATTTGACAAAAAATAAGGAATTTCCAAACTAACAGAAAAATGAACCAGTGGCAAAAAAGTTTCAAACAAAAATAGACCGGAAAAATTAGTAGGTGGAACGAATGGAAGAAACGGCGGCGTGAGCAACGAGAAGCTGAGCGAGAAGTCGCGACTCGAGATAGTTTCGAGTGTCGACGACCCAGTCGTGGGACAGTAGCGCCGGCTGTCCTCGAAGAAGCTGAACCACCCGAACAGCCTTGTCTAAGTCGCCGACCTCGACGTAGTGTTTCGCTCGAGCCAGAACCTGAATCGTTTTCTGTGGTTCTGGAAGGGCAATCTACTCTCTTCAACATTCCTCGAAAATCTCTCCAGATTGAAAATTCCGATCGATCAATTTCTTTATGCGTTTTTATCTGGTTTTTCATTAACTCACTTATTTTCTAGGAACTTGAAGCTTTATGGTGAACCTCTCTTACGCTGTTTTCGTCATTTCCCAAAAAAGGACTTTTGCGAGAAAAACACGAGTCATGCGAACGAATCAAAAAATCTCACCTCATAGTTATCAACAGTCAAAGGATCGATTTTGTCGGCATCCGTGTAGACCCTCGGTAAATCAACCAAGAAAATAGAGCGAACGTAGGACCAGAGGTATGAGGTCAAAGTTCCTCCGCTCTCACCCACAGCCCCAGTTCTTTTTCCAACGGTATACAGCTGAAAAAAATGCTTTCACCACTATTTTTTGAAACTGAACGGACTTTCTCAAAACGATTTCTAAGATCCTGCTCTGTGTATACACCTTGCGTCGTTGCTTGCTGTGGGAAAGCAGCAATGATTGAACTGACGAAGCTGTCTTCAGGGTTCACCTGAATCTTATTTTTTGACTTCGAAAATGTTTCCTTTTTCACCTGATGTAGAATATCAAGGGAATCCTTCAGCGAGAGTCTGCGGCCCTCCACTGAATTGCCAGCTTTGTTTCCGTGCTTGATGGTGTCAATGAGATTATGGCAAGCAATCCAGAACTGTTTGGCACGACGATTCTCGTTGTCCTGACATGATAAGCTGATTTTTAGGTTAAGTTTCTTTTCGTTATACCAAGGCAACTCGGCTGCCCAAAGCTTCTTCGATTCCTTCCAATCTGCTTATGGCGGCTCCAACATGACGGCTGTGAAGCTCTCGCTCTCTGATAATAGCCTTAAGTTTCCTTGTCAAGATTTTATCTTCAGGGAATTTCAACCTCTTCAACTTTCTGGTTGTGCTCAATTTCGAAAAGTTGCCGCTGAGTACGAATAACTTGCTCCAGATGCTCAGAGTGAGCGGCCGACGTTCGTTTGAGTTGATCTTCAAGTTCACCCTCCCAAGAAGAACGAGTTTCGAGAACCTGAATAATTTTTCGAACTTCTTGTAGCAGAAAGAAAACTCACAGCCCGTTCAATATCGACTTCCTTCTGACGGGATATTCTCGAAAGCTCAAGAGACAATCTCTCATTCGAAATCCTATCGTCTACAACACGTTGATCTTCCAAGGCTTTTGCGATGTGTTGCTCCTCACGAACCTAAAATTTAGAACGATTATCAAACAATAAATTGATTTATCTTTGTACACGACCTCATGAAGGCCCTTATTTTAAATTTTCCGATCCAAAACAAAAAATTCAGTAACAAAACACCTCAAGACTAGAAATGAATAAAAGCTTGAATTCTTACTTGTTGCTCTGTGAGCTGTCTTCGGAGCTGGTCGACCTTCAGGTGAGCGTGAGCAATGAGAGCGTTCAACTCATCTTCGTTTAAAGTTTTGTCCTAAAACCCTAGTGAGACCACGATAAAAACTAAAAATATACTTTAGCATGAATATCGACATTGGGCAAAATGCTTTTCATTTCCAAAGCAAACTGCTGACGACTCTTCTCAATCAGATCCTTGTACTGCGTCAAAACTTGCGATTCTTGTCTTGACTAAAAATTTGGACTTTTCTGTTGTTTTTTCTTTAACGGGACAACTTTGAAAACAAGAGAGTTAAGCTCGTCGAGCTGTCCGGAAAGCTTGTTGGCGGTTTCCAAAGCGTTGAGCAGCAAAGGGTTTGAGGCTGTGATGACGTTGGCTTTTCCGTCGGAGACAATCTGACCGAAATGCTCATAAATCAAGACAATATATAAGATTCCACTTTTTTCAAGTTGTCAATGTAGTTGCGACTATCGTTCTCAGCAGAACCATCTTTTGAAGAAAGAGCTTCGACGTTAGAAAGAGCGGATGTAACCTGAAAGGACCTTGATTCGACTTCGCATATACATTTTTTGGACCTTCTCCCAGTCAGCGTTCTGAGAATTATCGACTGTAGACTTTATCAACTGAGCATGAGCATTGATGGCCTCAATTGTTCGCATCTTCGCGCTGGTAGCCAAGTGAACACGAGATTCCGCCGATTGGATTGCGTCTTTCAGCGACTGCTCCAGTTCTGCAAGCTTTTCCTTTTTCCTGTTCCTGATGATTGGAGTTCGCTGTGAAACAGTTTCAAGTTTTATCCAAAACATGGTGGAAATATTTAAATCTGTAGGAATGTGATACAAAAATCTGCCCGCATTTCGGGAATTAAAAATTATTATATTCCTCTAAATTGAGCTCTACATTCATTTAAATGACTTTTTTTCAAATTTCCGGCAAAAAAATGTTCGTTCGAATTCAATAATTTTTTTATAGCTCTTTCTTTAGTGGCGTCAGCGCTTTCAAGTGATTTCTAGAATCGCCCAGGAAAAATTCGAACGATACCAAAAATTAACACCTACAAAAAAGAGACTCTTACGTTTGTTCTTCTGAACCACAAGTTCAGGGCTTGGCTTAACAATCGGAGCAATCTCTTTCCGAACATCAACCGCATCGACGTAAACAGGATCCTTACGTTCAATCGGTGGCAAAGTTTTCAAAAGTGGTGGAAGTGGCTGAAAATTCAGGATATTGTGACATTCCATGAATAATAACCTCCTCTTTTCTCTTAGGGATAGCATTGACGACTTTTTCCTTGATGTCCGCCACCTGTTTTTTGGTCTTGCTGTAACCGTGTTTGACATTAAAAAACAAAGAGAAACGGAAAAAATAAAGTATTTTTTTTTTGGAAAGGGGTTGAACTAACCTCAAGTTTGCTTCGCCCAAAATGCTGTCGAATACTTGTTTTGTTGGCGGAATGGTGGTTTCTACCTGAAAGGAGAAACAAAGGTAAGCCTTCAGTCTAAGAAATTATAGAAAAAAAAAAGAACGGAAAAAAAGAACCTTGTGGCGAAACTCGGGATCGACATAGGCGTATCCGACAACTCCTCCAGCTCCTGCAACTGTTAATCCAACAAGAGCCAAGCCCTTTCCACCGCCGGACTTCCTAAAAAATGAATTATTTTTTAAGAAAGCTCAAACTTTGAATTTTAATGCATTCTTTAAGTTTGAGTTTCTAATATATTTATGGTTGATTTTGAGATTAACGTACTTTTGCGCCGCTGGAATAGGAGCGGATCTTGGTGTTTGAGTGGACTGTTGGCGCGTTCGCCGCAGACTATGGTGAACCGACTTTCTCTGGAAAACAAATTTGCGTAGTTCAAAAATATTCTTCTCTGGAGAACTCACAGCTGCGTAACGAAACATCCCGTAGTTGTCAGATTAACCCTGAAAAATTGAGAAGTTACTTCAGAAATCTTATTTTCTTTTTCAAACGTTATTGAAATGCATTATAATAAGAAATAAAAGTTTGAAAATTGCGTTCTCTCAGCAAAAAAGTTTTGAAAGACAGGAACTAAAATAATTTTTTTGAAACTTTTTAATTCAGTTGAATGTCTCAACGAACAAACGACAAGCTTCAAAACGATGAGCTATCGAAATTGTAAATAAAAAGATTATGGCGTTCATCAAAGAAACGGAACATGTTTCAAAAACGCAAAACAAGTTTTGGCGCTTCAATTTTGCTTTGAAACAGTACAAAGTTATGTTTTGGAGCAATTTTATTGCGTTTTGAAACAAAATTCATCTTGTTCGATAAAAAAACGTCACTAGCAAGATATTCTTGAAAAAAAGAAGTTTCTTGAAAAAAATGAAAAAAAGGAAAGAGATCAGTTTCTATCAGAGTAAATAAATGTCCAAACAATGTACGCGAAAAGTTCGCGGGACACGCGATAAACGCCAACCCAAGTATGACGCACTTTCGGTGCCTTTGACCTGAGCTTAAGTGACAACTTAAGGGATGTAAAAACATTTTTATTGAATGAGGTTTCTAGGAAATTTCCCATAACTGCGGTGGATTGTACACGTATTTCTGAAAAACTTGGATTTCACGCTAAATATTATTTAAAACAAACAAAATTTATTTTGTCATTAATTAGATAAAAGTTTCAGAACAAACTCGTAGACAAATTGAACAAGCTATACCCGAAAATGTTTCGCATCACGCATCTGATAAAAATTTACACAATAATTCTAAAGTCCAGAAATAGAAACAGAACACGTTGTATCAGACTGAGCAAACCTTTTGAGCTAAATAAGAAAAAAATAGGAGTATGAAAGAAATTTGGCTTGTCATGAACGATTTCAAGAATTTCGGGCATCTCGAGTGATGGACGGGACGACGACTTCAATTACCTCTGCGTCTTTATTTGTAATCTTTATCTGAAAATGATCACTGATTGAGATTATTTTTTGGCTTCTACTTGACATCCAAGACGAGAATAATCGTTCAATTCGGGAGCCATGTCCAGAAGGTCAAGCTCTTCTTCTCCAGCTGGATTCAACTGGAAAAAAAGAAATGGTGGTAATATTCAATCAAATCAATTTTACGATTATATTTTTACTTTTTTTGGCGTTTAGATAATGGGGAAAAGCTGGCACGGAATGGACTAACACTACACAATTAAAAGACCGCCCTTATGTCCTGGAATTTAGGATATGAAGTTTCAACGCTTCTAATAAAAAGTTGAAACATATAAAAACTGATGAGAGACAGACTGACTTTATCTTCTCGTTCGTAATGGCTTTTGCGTAGGATAACGTGACATGTGCAGCACGCCAAAGTGCCTTCACAAGCCCCAAAACCTGGAAAGCGACCATAATTGAAGTTCACCAACTTCTCATCACAGAAGGAAAATGATAACTGACCATCTAAGTCGAGATCGTGCTCAACAACGACGTCCAGTAGTGTTTGTCCGACCTTCAATGAAAAACTTTTCAAAAAAAATATATTCTTTGAAAAAAAACCTTTCCTCTAGCTTCGAATTTGCGTTCGCCGTTCAAAAATTTTACATTTTTGGTGTCCAGATTGCTAAAGAGCTTTATTTGCGGCGTGGTTCGTACAAATCGCATTATCCTGCTGATATTTCTAATTGTGAACATTCTGCAAATTGAACCTTTGAATTTCTACAGCAGAAGACTTTGAAAAGTATCAAAGGAAAATTAATAAAATGGAAACAAATTCATAGCAGAAAACGTTGAAAAAATGGCGTAAATCGTACTGAGACGGGTCTTACTGCGAATTGGATTACTGTGGCTTGTATTCACACGTGCTGCAGGCTAATGAAAATCGATCTCTCCGTCTCTCTCTCTCTCTCCCTCTCTTGCTGTGAAGCAATCTTCTTTCGTTTATGTTTTGAATCAGAGCTTTTTCCTACCTTCAATTACCTTCATGTTGTTTTTCAGGTGGATGGCACTTCGAAAGAGATGGCTCGGGAGCATCGATCTAAGTGAAACAAACTTTTGGGCCGCTTTTTTCCATCTTCTGTCTGCCAGCGTTGTAAGTGAATTTTTCTCACTCCATTGTGATCTATTTGATCAGAAAAGGGCATTTCGAAAAAAAAGTTGAAATCAAAAATTGTCAACCTATAAAGAAAATTACTTCATAGATTCTTCCAAAAGCTGTTATTGGTTTGAAATTTTTCAAAATCGATAATATCAATCGGAAATCATGGACATAAACTTTTTCTAGGCCATCGCCTCACTCTTGTCAAATGAATGGATTCTGATTGACGAAGATGCGGCTGCCGCTAACACCACGGAGCCTGAAAAAACTCAGCTTCTTTATGAAATTTCGGCGACGGCCGATAAGTGCAGGAGCATCGGTGAGATGGATTTGCATAAAGGAAATAAAATTGAGTTAAGGTTGCCGAGACTTTTGGAAACCAGCCCAATTTGGCGGATTCGTCGATCAACTTGGTCGGCCTCATACGGCCTTTCGCTATGATGGAAAAGGTGAGATCAGAATCTTATGAAAAATTAGAGGGACAGATCAGATTCGATTATTGTTTGTGAAAATAAAGTTGATGCTGTTGAGGTGGAGCTCCACCTTTTCTTTAAGAGCTGGTCAAAACTAGACGTCTGATATGGCCTTCAAAAATGCGAGGAAAAGCTTTGATAGAAACGAAAAAATTTCAACTAAGGAAAAAAATATTCCCACTGAGCCATAAAAAAGGCTGAAATCGGTGCCCAAAAAGTTTTTTGAAAAGTATTGAACTTTCTTTGAAAATAAAATCAAATTACTCGTTCTAGTCGTTCTCGACTGCATCACTCCAATCGTGGCCAACTTGTTCTACATCTTGATCGCTCTGTGTTTCGTCATCTGCTTGACTTCGACGCTGTGTTGCGTTATGAACGTGCTGCCACCAACGCATGGATTTCTCCATTGGCTACGCACAAATACTATTTTGGAAATGTCAAACAGTAAGTTTACTTTCTGGAAAATGTGGAGAAAAGTTCGAAATGAGGAATTTTCGTGCTTCTCCCCACTTCTATCCAAGTTTTTAGAAAAAAAAAAGAAATTTGATAAACATCAGTTTTCTGCTGTAGAGTTCGGTTATTTCCAGTGATGTTGACGTTTTGCGCTTGCGTGACTGCCATCGTCGCTCACACCGAAGTCTCAGCCCTGCGTCCAGACGCCGAAGTGACCATCGGCTCCGGAGTTTTCTTCAACTGCCTTGCCGGCCTTTTGTCTTTCCTTGCAGCCATGGCTGGCATCCGTCACACGTATGGATTTCGCGTTCATTTTTTTTAAAATAGAAACAAACAGAAATAGACAGAAAATTTTCTGCATGACTTTTCTGAAAAAATGGGAAAAGTGAAGGAAGTTGTCTTTTGAAAAGCACCTGCAAGTTGAAAATTTTGGTTTTGAGTTTCCGTCTGGGGTTTTCCAAGCTCCACTTTCGTGTTAAAGAAAATTCGTTTAAACCCTTCATTGAAAGCTTTTACAATCGAGAATAATGAAAGAAAGGTTAACAAGCCGTTATAAGGGATCTACTTTAGAAAATGTTTTTCATATATCGATTTAGCCTAAAGTCTCAGCCTACAGAACTCAAGTTTCAAAAAAGAAGAACTAGATTTTGAACTCTGAAAATGCGGTTTTTTTTTTTTGAAAAAAGAAAAAGTCAGTTCTGAAAACTTCAAAGTCGAAATAATTTGATGAAACATACATTATCCTGTCAAAGATCCTATCTACGGAATCAAAAAAGCAAAAACGTTTAAATTAACATCATCTTTGTTTACAGGACCAAGCTGAATCGTATGCGACGAATCGACAACCAAAGACTTCTCTGTGCTCGTTCTCTGCGTTCTTGGCGTGATGCTGCCCGGAGGCCAGACGACACTCGTCCAATTGTTGACTTCGAACGGTTACTCCTCTCAACATTCACTAATGACTCTAACTTTTAGGTATTTGGACGAATGCTCCAGCACTGAAATGACCGAAACTTCCTCGGACGCACCCTCTCAAGTCGTTGAGAATATCTAAACCGTTTTAGCATGATAGATATTTATTTGAATCTTTCCAGATGGTGTTTTTTTATTAACCAAAGATAACCAAACTTTTTAGAATAACTTTTTTTCTAGTCGAAATCCCCCCAAAGAGTAATAATGCAAATTTTATTGAAATCACCGGTGTAGCGTTATATTTTGATTGGTCCGGTTGTTTCATCGTCTATTTTTTCTTTCATTTGTGGTTTTCCTGGTTTCATTTTATATCGGTTTTAGAATGACATAGTCAACTTTCCTGCCTTTCTCATGTTGGTAGTCGCTTTGTTTCAGAATTTGTACATAATGTTCATTCGATCTCCTCTGAAGAATGTTAAAATGTTTTTCTTGCTTTATCTTCCTGTTAGTCTGAGTTCTTGGGTTCTTGATTCATAAATTGTACAGATTCATTGAAAATTGCTTCCAAATTTCCTTCATATATACTTTCCTGAAATTTCACATGAAACCAAAAAAATGTTGTGTTTAATGACATTTTTCTACATTTCAAATACGTTCCACTCGCGCTCTTAGCACAACAAAATCGTAGCATTTCGCATTCCGCTTCCTCGCTGAACTTTGCCTGGTCCTGTTAAACTTGAGATCGAAGATCTGGTCACTTTGAGAGTCATCCACAATCTTGGCGCTTGCCTAAATCCACGAGATATTGTCATTTTTGTGTTCTTCACCCTACCGTTTTGTGATAGTGTGTACAAATTGCAAACTTTGGGGATGTTAATTACTAAATAAAGAGTTTTAGAAAATGTTCAATGTGAAAAGATTGTTTCGCGTAGACATTACATCTCCGTTTCCATGGAATACAAGGATGGATTCTATCAGGAATAGCCTAAGAAATTCATTCTTAGGAGCTTCAAACAACAAAACTAATTGAAACGCTCAAAAAAAACTTATTCTTGAAACTATACAGTTTTCATTTTAAAGTCTATAAAAGTGCGCTTAAGCCATCAGGACTGAAATCTCAATTGCAATACTGAAAATCGCGCCCGAGTTTGTGCAACTTCAGCCAATATTTATAGGAGTCACAGCATTAAAACTATAAGTAAACTACTCCGCGACGACAACGCAATTGCCTACGCTTTGAGGTTCAATTTGTGAAAAAAAAGACAGTTTGATTGCAAAAAAATTTTTTTCAGACAGAAAACTTCGAAGCTTATCATTTCTTTTCCAAAAAAATAGAAGCCTTTTTTTCTTAAAACTTTCAATCTCCTTTTTTTGTGAATTTCTATCAAAAATTTTGCGACGTCGCTCAAATCATCTTTCCAGCAGAATAGAACGTAGTTGTGAACTTTTCTTCCTAGCGTTAAATTCTTTGTTTCATTTTCATATTGCGGTTAGCCGTAAATTTCTTTTGGCCGATCTCGTCACATATCAAGGGCCAAATGTCCGTCAAACTTCTTATTTCAAAACTTTCTCCCCAAAGACGCCTCGAGCCGCTATCATTGACAAGTTATCTCCCTATTAAAGCGACACTTTTTGATAACGCAGCCTTTCCGCGCAACAAAATTATGAGGAACTTCGAAATATTGTCAATTTTTCTTCTAATTTCTGTGAGTTAATAATTTATTCTTGGTATTTTAGAAGAACTTCTGGATTTCTAGAGTTTCTAACAAATGACAGTTTTTAAATTTCAGCCAGCCTTCTGTTCTCTAAAAGATGACGTTTTATTCGTCGATCCAAACGAAATTTTTGCAAGCGAAGAAGCCTACAATGAAGGATACGTCTGCACAAAGGCATGTTTCACTTAATTTTCCTAAAGTTCAAAACTAAGAGCCCTACTTAGAATGACAATTGCAAAGCGGTTGCCTAAATTGTGCTTGACGCAAAACAAATTACGTCCAAAACATTATTTTTTTATATTAAATATAGTCTTTTTTTATCTAGGCTAAAACCGGTCTCTAACAACAGCATATTTTGTTTGTGCCATTCCAACTGCGTCCAATTGTTTAATGTCGAAAGATGATATTATAAGATGAAATCGTTTTGTAAAAAGTCAGAGACTCTATTTTTTTTAAATTACCTTGAGAATGGTTGTCAGCGAAAAGTATATATTTTCGAAAACTTTGAGAAAGCAACTCGAAGTTCATGGCGAAAAACAAATATTGATTGCAAATGTATCATGTGAGCAAAACATGTCTTTTCCCGGGATAATGATGTGTGACATCAAAACTATCATTATTCATAAGCTTATAGGGAGAATATCTGGATGAATACGAAATGGAATGTCGTCAATGCACGATTTGCAGCGATTACCTTTACGAAAGGTGAGGCTCCCCCGCCGTGACCGAAAACAACGAGAAAAGATTTTTTAGGGAGCCGTGTGAACAATACTCCAACACTGTCTGCGGCTGGTGTGGAAGCAAATCCGCCATCATGAATGACGACTTTGTGTGAGAATTAGTTCAAAACTTTTTCAAAAAAAAAAGAAGAAACACTATCCGTTAAAAATGAAAGGGATTGAGAAAAACTAAAAAAAAAACTCCAATCCAAATTTTTCTCCAATAATTCAAAGGCATATGGTTTTAGGAAAAAGTGCTCGAAAGATACCAGCCCCTACACGGACAAAGATTTCCTGACTAACGGATATCTGCAGATGGTAAGAGATCCGCAACTAGTTGCAGAAGCTTCTAGAAAATAAAAAAAATCTTAAAATTTATTTTTTTATTCATTCGCAGGTAGACTCTTTCAGTAAAATATAAAAACAAATTCGAACTTTGGTTTGCAATGTATTTCAGTTTTAACTACTTCTGTTTTGTCCTTCTTTTTCACGAACCCATCGTAGTTTGTGTGATAAGGCTCGTTTGCTTGTTGCTGCACCAAACGCCAAAAATGGTCTTTGCAAAAACAACTCATGACATATGATCATATTCTCTGTCACACCTGAAGAACTTTATACTCAATAAAAAAAATGTTATATTTTCCGAGAGGATGAAGGTTTCTCGATTGATGAGTTCATTTACTCAACTTTTCTGTAGTCAAGTAACGGAAATTTTTTCTGAAATAACGAGCCGATCCGCAACCTGGGTTCTAGAGCATCTTTCAGACCTCCGCCGATGTCAAAGAGTTCAACAACGCCGACGACGATAATGACCAAGAAAGAGGGCGTGATGACGATGTTTCGCGCGAAGTCGAGACTTATTTTGACAACATTGAGCCTGTGGAGGACGATGACTTCACCAGCATGGAGATTGGCCTTCTTTCTGAAGAAGAACCGAAACAAGTGATCGATCTCCGCCCTCTGGCAGTCAAGCACTTTGTCGAACAGAACAAAAAAACTCAAGACGAATCTTTGAGAAAACCACTCAAAATACGGGAGGTACTGCTGAATTATCTGATAATTTCACGTTTACATCATTCAGCCAGTTAATGTGAAAGTGCGAACTCTCCGTCTTTGGCCTAACGTCGAGAAAGTGGTTTTTGTGGACGCAGCACGAACTTTTTATTCAAAAAAGTTGCAGGAACCAGAGCTTCTCATGGAAAACAAGGCCGAAGAATCACAAGAAGAGGGTACCAGAATCAAATGGGACAAATGGATCGACGATTACGTGAAGCCAATCAAAGCCGAAAAACAGAGAAGTGACAGCAGCGAAGTGAGCATTTCGGTCGTTGAGAACTTTTGAAAAAAAGTTTTCTTATTTAGGAAAGCATCGTCAAACAAGCCGATGAGATGGACGAGTATCAGACGATTGTCATTGTTTCTGGCTCGAAGTAACTTTAAACTCAGAGCTCTCGCTTATTTGACTATTTAGGCCGGTTCAAGATGAAGAAGAAGAAGAAGAATTTAATTCCATTGAGGTGAGTCTAACTTTTGTTTTTCGCTCAAAATCTGTTACAGAAAAAGGACAAACCTACTTTTTTTGCCAGTTATTTGCTTCTTTCATTGTGTGTTTGCACCTTCCTCATGTGAGTTTTCATTTATTCTCTTCTCTTGTATTTGATTCGAATTCTTAATTTAAAATTTTCAAAGTTAAAAATGAAATCGTAAAACTTTGAAAGAAAGAACGTAAAATATTCACCTTACGTCATTTTTGGCTACAGCGATAGTGGAACCAGTAAACATCATGGTCATTAACACAATCAATTCTTTTTATAGACCTATCCTTTCTTGAGACATTCCTGTCATTAATGAAGACAGCTTCTTATCAGTGACCTGTCCAAAGCGAGAACATTTCAGCTACTCCTGGTGCTGCTTTCCGCGTGCAAACGTGACCCACCGTACCCTCCACCTCGACCCTGTTGACATCCAAAGTAATCACCTCTCCCTTATCAGCTATCACCTTTTTTCAGTTTTGAACGAGTGTGGAACTAGCGCCGAAGCGAAAAACCGCAGCGTCGACTCTGGACACATCAACCCGCTCTTCGTGCAATAAACTCATCTTTTAAACCATTTACTGGCTTAGTCCTAATGTACAATGTGATGTCGTATCAGAAACTTTTTTCTCAAAATAAATATCTTCTTTTTACATTTCCTGATTTTCGAAATCTTCCGTGGTTGGAAGTTGAACCATTTTTTTGGCATCAAAAACTGATTCTTCGAATCACAGACATTGGTGTATTTTTTTCAGACGAAAATAAATGAAAGGCTCTTCTAAATAAAAAAATTTTTTTAGATTTCCAGCATTCTAGTTAGTCAACTATACGCAATAGTGCGAATTACTGGTTCAATGTAAAAAAACTTCTCAATGTTTGCTCGATATTTTATTTTTAATGACGACTTTCTTAACTCACTTTTTTTGCTTCATCATTCCGAAAATTCTTTCAAAAAATGCAGAAAAAATTTCAAAAATGTTTTATTTGTTTTTGGTGAGCATTCATATTCAAAATAACAACAATATCGTGAAGTGAACAGAATCATAATTACACTTATTAAAGAAAAAAAAAACGACGGCTCAACACCGATAATACAAGCAAACATAAAACGAGATAACAACGTTCAGGACCCGAAAGCGTATGGCTGAAACATCGGAATAATGATGTACTAACAAGACGTCAAAAATCAAACATTGACAGCTCAAGGAAGGGGCCGTTTGACGGAAAAATAGTCGTGACAGTTAAAAGACGAGAATCAAATGGTATTAAATTTGAAAAGAAGGGATTTTTTGGGAAAAGCTTGTATTCTGAGTGAGAGGGCAGGAATAAATGAGGAAATCAAAAAGAAAATTGAGATAGCGATTTTTTAATGGTAATGATAGATAGTACACTTTCTTTACATCAATATTCGTTCAAATTCCCTCGCAGAAGTCTACGAAAGCGCTAATAACTTGAAACAATAGTTTAGACAGATCATATCAAAATCATACAAAAACCGAAAAAATTATGTAGAATGACATAAAAAGCAAAACCGAAAAGGTGCAAAAAGACACAGAAGACACTTTCACACGACGGACTGGACGGACGCCGTCTGGGGCGCCGAGGAGGTCGAGGAGGAAGAGAAAGAAGACGCCGAACTGACCAAAGGTCCAGTTCCACTTGCTCTCAATTGCAACTCAGCATAGTTTACGCCTTCGTGGAAGAGCGGTGCACGCTTCTAAACTACTTCGTAGGAAAAAAGCGGCCCAATCGTGAAGAAAATGTTAAGTGAACAAAAAAGGAAAAAATGGTGGTCGAGGTCATGCCGAGAGGTTGCGTGCAGCGAATATGATCTTATTCTGGCTGCTTTTTCAAGAAGTCAAAATACAATCATGGTGTGTGTTGAACGAAATCTTTTCGGCATGTATAAAATGGAAAGGAAAATCAAAAAAAAATCAGCGGTGCAGAAAAAATTACATGAAAAGCGACATTTTTGTTAAACCGTCGACATGCGTGATTCGCAATAAGCTTCCCGAACGGCCAAATCGTAGGCGGTGCCCTAAATGTGAGATCAATACATGTATAAAACTAATCTGAGAAAGGGTTTTGGGGCAAACAAAAAAAAACGTAAGTACGCTCTAGAATCTTGGTTATTTAACGAATAACGGATAGGCATGACAGGACTATCTACCGAATGAAAAAAATATTGAGAGTTAGTGGGAAAAGCTTTCGGGGAGATATTATTAGACGACTGCTTCCCGACTCAGATAGACTCCATATGACGGATCGCAAACCTCGACTGGCTGGTTGAAAAGCCGCGGCGCGTCCGCACTCGCGTCGTACAAGTGTTCACGAGTGTTAAGGCTGAAAAAAAGGTTCATTAATATAATTATTTCTGTTTGATCCTGAAAACTTGTAGAATCTTTCCGAATACTTTGACGGCCGAAGACAAAAATCAATGAGAAATCTTAAAGATGTTCTTTAAGATTTCTCATTGTTTTTCAACTTCATTTTGAAGTTTAGATTTTGTCTCTAATATCTAGATGATAATTTTCCTTGGTCATGTTTTTCAGTATTAAGAATTTTTAAAGTTGGATCAAGCCTCAAACAATATCTTGGCTTAGCCTTCATAGAGTGAATGGGCGAAACAATAGAAGTTTCAGTCTCTCCAATTGACTAAGCTGATGCGAGTTATTTTATTTCTCACTCACTTCAAAAAAAAATTTTTGTCATCCAAAGTATTGCTTTCTAGTCGTTTCCTTTTTTAATTCGAAGACGGGAATTTATCAGGTGGTAGAAAAACAAAGAAAAAGTAAACACTCCTGTCGTTTCATTAAAAAAAGACTCACTTGGCTTTCGCTTTAGGCTCGCTGTAATCACTGTGCTCCTTGACACCTGAAACTTATGTCGTGGTCATTTTTTGTATCCAACTGTCGTAGAAGCAGTGAAAGAGACTCAGCGCTACAAAAAGCTTACGATTGAAGCAGAGCATACTTCGTCGGATGCAGAGCACGACGACGCACATCAGGAAAAGTACGGTGCCGATGACCACGAAAACAGCCACCCAAACTCCGGACAACCTGACTCCAACAGCATTGTCTCCGCCAAGAAGAGCGTCCAAAGACACTGGGATTCTGAATAAAATTTCTGAGTAACGGTGTCTTTTTTATCATGAATGAATTTTTTGGGTTTATTCTCGCTCAGTCGTAATGAGAGTTTTGATAATAGTTCAGTGTTTATTCTTTATCAGGCTGCACATACTTGAATCTAGTTATTTGCAATACAAAACATGATTCAAATGGGAAAATGCATGAAATAGATGAGATTTGCAACTTCTTCAAGCAAATTCCTAGTTTATGGAGAAAGGGCCAAACAAAATTTTATTAGTGGGTTTTCTCACACAAAATTTGGATGAATATTTCTACTAGATACAGTTTTATTTTTTTATATGTGATTCTGGTTTTTTTCAAGTTTTTCGAGTTTTTGAATTTCAAGTCGTTTTTTTGTACTAATTAATCTCAATCATCCTTCATACGCCTTGCACTGACCTCCCTCTCCAGAAAAAAAACCCTTGACATACTTAGCGAGGCAGCCCAGGTGCGCGGAGGCTCATTCAAGCCATCTAACGCGACCTGTGAGCCTATTTTAGACTCTTCAAAATTGCCAAGTGTCTCGATATCAAAGGCGTCTTTCAAAAGTGAGACATTGTGTGGCAGCGACACCTTTCTGCCAAACATGATTTATATTTATCCGAGCCTTTTCTGAGAGGATCGTAACGGTCGCGCGCCATCGAGATAACCCAAATTCTTTGGCAAACAGTGTCTTTTCTCCAGTAATCCAGCCGGTGTTTGTTCCCAGTCCACCGGTAGACTTTGTCTTGGACGATTGCCAAACTCACTGTTTTGTGCCGAACTGATTTTGCAGCTTGAGAGTGATCTGTCGGTATTGATCTTCCTCACGCACAGGAGAAATTTGAAGGCGGGCAAGGTAACAGTTGGGTACGGTATTGTTCTGGATGGCGCTTTCGAAACGGAAATTGTCCCAAACTTGTCCAACCTATTGAAAAGAAGATAAAGTTCGAGAATGAGATGGTTAAACCAACTTGAAGATCGTTTTGGTCGACGCTGAAAACAACTTCTCTTGGAGGTCGAGGCATTGGCTCAGCACAGTAATGAACTGTCACAACGGCATCATTCCCACGAACGTTCTGAAAAAAGAATCATCTTTTTTTTTCAACCGAGTGCCCTGACTTTCAATACAATTATAATTTCTGGAAAGTTTGTAAGTTTAAATACTCTTAGAAATTAAAAAAACTTTGACTTTGATCTAACAAATCGTTGAATTTGTACTTTTCATATCCAATCTATCGATTTCAGCTTTAGCTCTCATTCATCTCTTTTTATTTTTTTCAGAATCTGATGTGAAATAATTTTTTTCTACCTAACAAAGATTTTCTTCTGTTGCTTTTTTTCTTTCTAACCTGCTCAATTCCGGCGGGAGCATCGGAAGTCATAGGTGCTCCAATAACTTGAACGCTCAGAGTGGAAGAGCCCGGTGACTCCAAACTCGGTGAGCATTCTGGCTGTCCCTGGCTGACGTAAGAACACGCGGCGCACCAATACTGACCCGACAACGAGTAGTTGGAAATGCGCAGGGAACACAGAGCGGTGAGTCTCTAAAAACGACATCAAGTGGTAGAGGTCGAGTGGCTTCGGCGACGTACCACGATGTTTTGTCCCCGGTTGGCATCCGAAGCAACTTCCTGGTATTGTCCTTCGAATCCTTGAGGGCATGCCGCATCGACAACCTGAATTTCTAGTTTATTCTGCTTAGAAACGATCAGCTTCTTTCAGAAAGAACCAACAACTCACTTCTCCGTTAGACTTTCTCAAGCGCCAAAAAACGACCGGACGCGGGTTTCCTTCGACTTGACATCCCATGTTTACTTGCTGGTTCATTTCGATGCGGTTACCAGCTAGAAATGGGGATGAGGCTTGCAATTGAGCGAAATTATCTTGAACGAGGTGCGCAGAAGCTGAAAGAGAAAACTGAATGAGAGTTTGATTTTTTCAAATACAGTAAGGGTCAATCTGGACAACTTGGCTCATCGGCATGTCACCATCCTGGTAAAGACCGTTGTTAGCCTGACACTGAATCGACTGCCCGATAGATTCAGTTCCAATCGTGATTTCAGCTCCATTGCCACTAAAAAAAAAAATAAAGTAAATTCTTCCAACATTGAGCCCACCTTGGACTACCATTTTTCAACCAACGGAACTGCGTAGCGTCAGGATGTGCCTGAACGGCGCAACGAAGAGTCTTTCTGCGGCCGCTAGGTTGGCAAAGACCGTCGCTACCTCGAACACACTCCACGAAGAATCTAGAATTCAATCATTATCATCAATAGAAACTCAAATTGGAAACCTGTAGCCCTGATTAGCGATGAGAACTGGGCCTTGGCCGCTGGCGTCTACAACATGCGGCTGTCGCAAATACCGCACGTCAACCGTGGCTGGAGCGGAATCGATGGTGCCTGAACCTTTGATGTTTCGACCATTCAGATGTGAAATGCTACACCTGCCGCCAACACGAAACTAAGTTTACCAGACTTTGAAGATCTTTTTAAGAACTCCAGCCCTCTTTTCTCGTCAAAATCTCGATACTGCGTTGAATAATTGATAAACTTTTGTGCTCTTATTTTCATTTCAGTTACAGTTTTTTCAATTTATCAAAAGGCTCTAAAACTCTTGAAAAAGACCTTTTTGCTCGAATTTTCTTATCTTCACAATATCCAAAAAAGTCCTTATTCATTCTTTGTCCTCATACTTCCTCTTCTTTCTCACCTCCATTCAGGGCAGCTTGGCAAATGATGGTAGCGCCGGTCCAATTTGTATTCACAGCGATGCTCCGCAAGGTGACGGTCTGAAAAAAGTCATTGTCTTTTTGATCTCATACTAAACAAAAAAGAAGCCGCGCGGGAGATTCAAAGCCACACAAATTTGGTCCGCCATGACACGTGCCGTCCCCGGTTGAACTAAGTCTGAGTCATCGAAAGAAGGGAAAGGAGGCGAATCGCGATACGACCGGCATGTGTTGTGTTGTCGTAAAAACCGTAAAAAGCGTGTTTTTAGCTGGTAATCCCATCACGGATCGTTAAATACGCAATACTACGCTTGGTCTGGTACAAACAGTCTTTGAACGAAGATTCAATGTTTCCGCAGTTTGAAACTTCTTTTAAATGAAGGAAAATATTTTTGGAGCCTCAAAAGAAGATCCCTAAAGGCTGGACTTAAAAAGTAGAACTAAGAATACTTAAAAAAATATCAATTTTTTTATAGTTTTTTTAAAATGTTAAAACAAGAATAATGTTTCTTTCTTTGTTACTTCATTTTGTTTTATTTTTTTTTTAATTTGCTGCTCAAACGTGAAACCGAGTAAAAAAAGTGCGTAGAGTGAGTTGCATTTTCCTAGAAAACGGAAAAGGAAAAGCTTGACTCTACTTTGAACATTTAGGAAAAACAGATTAGATATATTCAAACGTCCATAATCGGTCTTCGCAATCGAAAATTTGGATTTTGTTAGCGCCGCCGAGAATCTTCTCATCTAGCGGGTCAGTGCGGTTGCGTCACGACGTCATGGGTACGTTTGATAAGCGTATGCCTTTCTGCCTTTGCTCGTAAATCATCATAATTGCTGGCCAGAATGCGTGAACGGCTGTTTTGCTTTCGTTTGGAAGATTTTATGGCATCTCCAATAGTTTGCATCACAAGAAGAACTAGAGTTTGAAAAGGTACCGGATAGAGTATCTGACTTAAAACAAAATAAGAAAAATGAGCCTAATTTCTCCTTGAAAAAAGTCGTTCTATTTTCCGTTCAAATGTAAGGTATCTGCTCTTCAGTTATAGTGAACTTCACGGATCAAACGTTATTATTCAATTTCATTATTAATTCACGCAATAGCCATTTTCGGACTTTCTTAAACTTGAAAAAAACATCGTTGTGAGTAAAGTTATCAAAATTTTTCACTTCGATGTCCCCTTAGAATCTTCCCTTTTCAGTTTGCTTTTACAATTGCGCAATACTTTTTCAAAAAGAGGCGGCACGCTTTTTCCAGCCGCGGCACATGAAAGAGTTCAGGACGGTCGGTATGGGAAACGCGCAGCTCACAAAGACGTCTACCGTAAACTCCTAGACAAAGAGCGAAAACAGTTTTTTCCACTTTCATCTTTCATTTTTCAAGAAAAAAGTAGAATATCATTCAAACGACTTTTTTTTGTCGTCTGCGAAGTCAGTAATGGGTGCGGTACTTGAATCGAGATGTATTCAACGCATTAGTCTTTTTGGTCGAGCCTGTCTGTTTTTATCAGTTTTTTCCCATCTTCCCATCAGATTAATTTGCGTCGCGCGTGAAGGTAATAATTAACTTTTCGAGAAATAGTCGAGAAGGAGATTGACGTTTGATAAGGTATCAACTATTGTCAGGTTTGAATAATAGCGAAAAGCTTTGGTTTTGTAGGCTGATGATGTAAATAGTATATTGTTCAGAAGGAAGACATTGTGATGATTTTTTTGGTTTCAAAGGGGAGGATAGACTACCACTTTCTTGAAAAAAAACTAACAAGAAAAATAGTGTTTTTGCTTTTTGAGAAATAGAAACTCTTGAATTTACTGACGCAAACTTGGAGCAAATTTGATTTAAAAGCGCTAAAAATAAAATTTTTCAAATCATTTTTTTGATTTTCAGGTCTTGGTGTAGTTTTTTTGTATTTTCTTCAATAGATCAACTTACGAAGAACAACAATCTTCTTTCTGCTTAACTCCCCTAAACGGACCCTAATTCCTTTCTTGTGCTCTTAGACCAGAAACTGAAATTTCAAACTTCCTTCGTCTTTTACGATCAACTCTCTCACGCACGCCTCATAAACCTTCAATTCATTTGCAATCAGAATCGAACTTTCCCACAATCAGTTCAACCGGAAAGCAATTTCAAGGTTCCCATCCCATCACGCAGCCATATCGCATACAAAACGAGCCACAATTGAGCAGGAGCCACCACGCAAATGTTTGAGCAAGAGAAGAAGAGGTCGACCTCTAACGCGACGTTCGCAACCCAGTGCAAACAGACGTCTTCTACCTGTCCCGCCACGAAAAAAGACATCAGCCCAAAAGCGGCCAAGGAAACAGTGCAACCTGTTTCACACCTGTGCTGGATGCCATTTGCTTTTCGCACTATTCCTGAGAGAGGAATCTTTCGGCTAGATGCAAAAAGGTACAAGCAATTGTTGACTGTGGCGCGACAAAAGAAAAAAAGATATCCGCATTTTCAAATGCATCTCTATGGAAAAGAGGAAAAAACTTCTACAGAAGATAACTTTTTGACCAAATGTTTCCGTCTTTAAAGATACTGATCCTTTTTATAAAATAGGCTCAAGAAAATGATCTCTACTAAGTATTAGGTCGACATTTAGTTGTGTACGCTTTTCTAGCGAAAAATAGTTAACAAAAATCAACTTTCATTCAGTTGGCTGCTAGCTTTTAATTTTAATCAACAAACTCTAAAAAGCCACGCAACTCAATCGTTTTTCGACTTAAGCTAGCGGTGAACAGAGTGTGTGATTCCAATATTTTGACTGGATCTGTCAAAAACGCGGCAGCTAGAAAAGGAGCAACCCGGATTAGTCTCCTTCCAATAATCGACAAAATTCTCATCTTAGGCTACCAAAGCGCGTATTTAGGGATGGTTCGCTCCCATTTAGGCGGCTAATCCGAGTTGCCATCTCTTCGCGCGCGATTCCTAAACCCGCGGCATGTCGGCACGACCTTTTCAACTTGCAGCCTTGACCTGTCAATGGCTTGGCTTAGCCGTTTTGTTGCATGGACAATCCATAAAATGGAGGTATCCGTGGGTTTGGTTTATTTTCCACACTGAAGGATGGATCGGTCTAAAAAAAACGCATAAAGCTGATTCAGCTCCTACGGTTCTAGTTTTTGCAAAAAAAGGAAAAATGTTTTCAATAGAGAAAAAAACCGGAAGGTTTACGGATTTTTTGAAAAAACGTTGCAAAAGTACTTTCTTAATGATGTCTATTTCTTTTTCGTTGAAATGTTTCTCAATCGGCAACATCTATCCTTCAAAATGATTCTGGATTTTTCTCTAATTTCAATGCTTTGCTTCTCATTGTGTTTCCTCACCATTCAATCCGCTAAAACTCCCATTAGGAGCTAACACGATTACAAAGATTTGGACACGCTTTTAGTGGCTGAACACTCAGTAGCCGCTAACAATTCGGCCAAAAAAAAAAAATTTCCAAGGCCACTGGCCCCCAGCCGGCAACCAATGGAGGTGGACGCCGCGTTGAGAGACACTAGGCCAGGTTTTATCGACCAGAAAAATTTATTTCAGAGGAGAAGTTATGTGGAAACTGCGAGGATTTGGTACTAGCAGGATGACAAACTGTGCTCTCGTTCCGGAAAAAATTACTGCGCAGGGCGCGTAGATTTGAATTTGGCCTGGATTTGCGACGTGGAAAAAAAAACTCTCGTTTTTGAAACAGTCATGAGAGTCTTTTTTGTCCAGATCATTCCCCGAATACAATGGAACTATCAAAAAAAATCGCCGTTTTCAGTATAATTCTGAGTTGATACAGAGCGCTGCGCCTTCCGTTTAGTAAAAGCTTTCAAGAAATGCGCGTAATAACAGTTGTTTACGTACTTTACACGTTAATTGACGACAATTTTTTAAGTTTCGCCGTTTTTGGATTTTATTGCAATGATGAACATACCGGAAAACCGGCGCTTCTGGTAACGTCTTGAGCCGAGTTGAGCACGTTCACCATGTCAGTGATGTTCTTCTCGACGCAGTCGATGCAGACGAACCGCAGCTGTGACACGGGGGCTTCAGAAACGCAGTAGATGGTCTCTTTGGTGCTTGTGCCAAGCATCGTCCACACTACTTGGTTCAGCTGCTGAGCGTTTGACACGGGAAACGGCTGATCGGTGATCTTCACTTGAGCTCCGATCATCTGCGACAGCACTCGTTCTGAAAAAAAGGGATCAAGAAATAGAAAAAAGAGTTTATTTTTTGTTGTGATCTCTAATTTCACTCCATAACTCGATTAGTTGAGTCAACAATGGGAAATTTTCTATTTCTATTCTAATGTTGTGTTTTGAAGACTTCTGAAGATTTGAATTAATATATCGCTTATAGTCACAACGTGTGAAAAATAATTATTTTCAGACTAACCGTTTTCGAAAGATAGAAAATGAAACAGAGTATCACAACTTTTGAAACAGAAAAAAGGAGCTGGTTTCCACATAAAATGATTTTCGAAAAATAGCGCTCGAGAAAATTTTTCCGAAAATTGAAAAATCTCACAACAATGATTCATCTCAAGAGAATCTGTGTGAGAACTTTATAAGGCTTTTTCGATTTCGCCACAAATATTCGTTCAAATATCAGTATGGGAGAAAGAACTCATGAGGAGACGAACCTTGTGCGATCGCGGATATGAGAAGAAATTTTAACCAGTACATGGTGTTCCTCGAAATCCTGAAAACCATGAAAAATTGAAGGAAAAGTTCAGAATACAACATTTTGAAAAACGCCCGGTAAGTTATAAAAAAAGGATGAATTCGAAAGTAAAGGAGTTTTTTGATCAAACTTCAAAAATTTGATGACAGAAAAGCAGAGTAATCAGCCAACTGACAAGAAAAAAATAGCTAGATTTTACTTTTTGTCGAATTTTCCCATCGCATCACACGTCTTCCATGTTACACATCATCGAGAAAAAGTAAACAGGAAAAAAGAGAAAATGAAAAAAAAAAACAGGACGTGGCCGTTCGCCATGCAAATGCGTAAGATAGCTGGAGGAAAAGAACTGGCGGCGTTGGAGGGACAGCAAGGCGTCTCCACAGGCCATGACGAGTGTGACGCGCGAAAAACCAAAGAAGGTGGTGCGGCGCGGGAACTCGCCGTTGGTCAAAACTATCTCCGACGAGTCCGATCCGAGCTCTTTTTCATTTTTCGATGCTATTATCATTTGAACTAACCCAAAATTTTCAAGTATTGGTTTTGGTAAATGGAAATTAGGCGCTTCAATCTTTAATGTTCATAAACGATCGTGATTTTCGACTGCGACTGACATTTTCAACAATTTTTTTTTGCCGTTGATGTAGATTGCTCCTTTCAAGTTTCTCAGTAGATAAAACTTGAGTATTTCGTTTACTGTCATTTTTTTATTTTTTTATTTGAACCTAAGTTTTTTTATTCTGGACGAACGCGCCTCACTTCTCAATCAATGAGTTTTGCAAGAAAAGTTTGAGAAAAAAATATAGCTTTAGAATTTTTTTCAGAAGAGCTTGGAAAAACTATGACGAGAACTCGCCAATGTTGAGCCTACAACTGGCTTAAAAAAAATTATTGAGAAAGTATATTTAGCCATTAGAAAACCGTAGACTTAAAGAAAAAAGGCTCTGTAAACGTTTAGTCCCAAGCGGGAAAAAAAGAAACAAAAAATTTTTTCAAAGGCTAACACGGTGTCATGAAACACAACAAAAAAAACTGATGAATGATCAAGTTGAGATGGTTTGATAGCAAGATTGAATGACACTTCAAAGAGAACGGAAAGAAAAAAAACACGCAAACCGGAAAATGGCAACATTTGGGAACAGCCACACTAGAAAAGGAGAATGAAGTAGGAGCATCCAAAAAAAGAAGTAAGAGATAGGTAGGTTAGTATGTAGACGGCGAGAAAAGGAGTGAAGAGGTCAGCCGGTCGGTCATTAGGCTCCGCCTCTCGCAAAGTACAAAAGGAGGCGACCTAGGCGTTCCTCGAATGGAGCGCTTCCTCTAATGCCAACAGTTGGGAGACACGCTAATTAGACCGTACCTACCACTAAAATTGAGGTGGTGCGGCTGGGAGCAGAAACACAATTGCTTTTTTTGAACGTGAGAGGACTCTTCCTCATTTTCTCATGGCCGCACAAACGCTAGTGAAGGGCAAGGAACCTGAGTGTTTTGGATTGTTTCCTAAACAATTTGACGTTTGGAGACCCTGTCACGTTTTGGTGAGAAAAACTCTTTTTTTTACAGTAACCATTAAGAAACTTCGTTTCGATTGAAAAAAAAGACCACATTTCAGAAAACACAGTCGAAATTTCAAAAAATTTTCTTTCCATGGAGTCAAACATTAAGTGGATAGGAAATGCCTTTTTTGGTCATATTATTCCTATATGTACCACTTTTGAAGATTCTAAATGAGCACTTATATGAAATTTTGAACCAAAAATTATTTTTGATTTTTTGCACCTTTTCATTTGTTAAAAAAATGATGAACAAGTAGAAAACTGAAAGCTGTCGGAATGACTGAAAGAGAGAAATTCGCAACAAACCAGACCGAAAACAATTGGCAGCAATTATCCGCAGAAGGAGTGAGGAATAGGCAAAGAAACTGTCTGAAACTTTCGCCAAACCGGTAAGCGAGCAAACAGTGGTTGGCAGGTTGGTAAGAGAAAAAATATATGAAAGACTTTTCCAGGAAACCGTAAAAAATCCTTCAACGAGGGAAAAGCTGGAAACTTGTGTATTGATTGATCAAAAGGGTTTAGAAACCAGCAAAACGCCAGTTTAAATGCCCTAAATAAAAGTCAAAGACGCGCACTAATTATGGCGTTCAAATCGCGGTCGAAATCGAATATGACCCGTTTGAAAGAAGGTTTCTAATAAACGGCGTTTATAAATCGCCCAACTTTCCATAGCGAGCGGAAATTGGCCGCCGCAACCGGTTAGTGACAAAATCGCGATCAGTTGCCATAATCTGCTAAGCATTTACACATCTGAGATCTATCCACGAATACACAAATATGGATTGAATTTATTTGGTCATTAGTATAATAGGACTTTTTCTTGTTTGAGTTGTTAGCAGATTGGCTAGAATAGTCATGCAATCAATCGAGAAGTGTGAAACGGTCGTAATTGATGGGCAGCGTATTTTATTGAACAAACCAATTCACGCAACGCACGTGTCGAGAAGAAAAAATCATTGCCGGATATAATTCATTCCCCTTCGTGTACTTATTTGCTAGAAAAAAATTTATTTAGTTTTTGGTTATTAATATGATAAAACTTTCATAAAATCGAATCACAGCTCTCTGAAAATACTGCCAAAGAAGTTTTTTTCATAATTTGCTTTTTCAGTTGAACCAAGATGATGCGAAATCGTGAGAGACTGTTTTTTTAAAGAAAAAAATAAATTTTTTTACCGCTTAAATGCTCCATACAAAAAAATAACAAAAGTTCAGATCAATGTCGAAAGAAGAAACAGTTTGTTTATCTGGAAACGAAAGAAAAAATCAGAGTTTCATCTTATTCACTGGATATTCTTATTCCAATAAATCTATAAAAGACCACAAAAAAATTTGAGAGTCTTGGGAATCGCCGACCTGTTCCCATAGTCAGAAAAATTTTTCTCTTTTTTTGATCATAAGAAAAAGCCATCAATCTATTTGACAAAAAAAGTGATTTGATCTTGACGAAAACTTATCGAATTGTTTGATCGGGTCGGTAAAGAAAAACAAAGTAGCAAAAAAGCGCGAGAGAAAAGTCGATGAAAAAGTGGCCAGTCTCTCAGTTCATTCAACTCACACCCACGAGGCTATCAACCAAAGTGGGCGGTGTGAGAATCTGACCGTAAAAAGAATGGGTTGAAAGAACGGAGTCAGAAAAACAAAAGGGACAATGAAGTCGCCGGAGAAATAAATTTAATGATAATACTTTCGAATTATTGTTCCTTTCTGTTGCCCCCGAATTTTCTTTATTCTTTCGGTCTCTTCTTTTTCACCTTCTGCCTTCTTGGCATATAGCTGTGAAAGATGTTTAATCTCTCACTCATGAAACAAATTACAGGAGAGCTCAAATTAATTTTAATTTTTTTATTGACAAAATCAAAAGTTAAAAGTTGATAAAATCTAAAATCACAATGTCATGACAGCGCAAGAGAAAATCAGATGAAATTTCAATAAAAGATCAGTAAACCCATTGAAAAAGTTAGAATACATATCATAAAAATGAAAGCATTAAAATGAAATTAGGCGTAAATAACAAAAAAAATAAATGAGCACAGTGTTGAAAAATTTCAATAGAAACCCATGTAGATCATCGCTCAAATAACTGAATTACTTGTGAGCATTTATTTGATGCTTAAATCATAAAACTTCTGAAAAAAGTTAGATGGCAGTGATTATATCAAGTTGATCATGACTTGCTCAGAATCGAAAAAAAAGGAAATGAGCATTTTCAAAGCGCAGTGCGCGCTTTCATTTGTTCAAAAGGCTCGGAAATCAAGATGAATTGGACCCTGCTTACTTAGTAAGTACAAAACAAGAAAAACAGTTTTGGAGCGTGCATAGAACATATTTGGTCTAGAAGGAGATTCACCGGGAATGAAAGTAACGGGGAATGAGAGCTGAAAGAAAATTGGAATGATAGAAACAAAATAAATAAAAAGTATCAGACGATGGCCCAGCGAGGGTCATCCTCCGGTTCTGAATCGGATAGTGGAATGGAGCCTGGCTGAGCCTGGATCACCCGTGCGTTGGAGCCTTCTGGAGCCACGACCACCGTACTTGCCGGATATCTTCTTGGAGACGCCGGCGTTCGGTACTGTGAGTAGACCTGCGAACTCTAATTATCATCAAATATTCATTATCCTTGATTATTCATTTTCTGAAACGTTTTTTGAAAAAAAAATATTTCAATTAAAACAGTCAGCGCCTGATTAATTGAACGAAATTTCATTAAATCATTCTAATACACCCACTTGTGTTTTTACGAAAAAATCTTCCAAACAAAGATCACTAGATTTTTTGTCTCAAAATGATTGAAATTATCTCACATCTGGGCTTGGAGAAGGGATGTCGTAGTATGCAGAACTTCGTGGCGTATAGTAGCTGTGGTTGGATCTTGGTGAAACCATAGGCGAAGTCGAGAAATGAGCTTGACTCGGGACGACGTGAGAGTGGAGTGAGTGGTGGGATTGGTGGGATTGGTGGGGTTGATGATGATGATGGTGAGGCTGGTGATGTTGGTAACTTCCGGACTGCTGGTAGCTTCCTGCATTTTTTCTCTTAAAAAAAACTTTGACGATTGAGAAACCGTAAGGATCCGATGAAATGATCTGCGGGGCATAAGGCGACGTGTATGGAGTCTCGTAATGAGTAGGCATTGTCGCGATCAATGGCAATCTTCTGGCTCGAACAGCCGTGGGCATCGGATCCTCCTCTTCACTAGCATCCTGTGGAGTCAAATCTGAAACCGTATTCATGTTTAGATGAATCTTCCGAGGTTTCCAACAGACCTTGATATCTATAAGGCCGACGGTAGCTTTCAGCGATGCTGGAGTCATCTGAATAGTTCGGACTCCGCGAGTAGTTGTTTCCATGACGATAGGATCTCGGCTGATAAGGATCGTAGGGGCGCGAATGATCATAAACGTCGTGGCGATTTCGGCGGACCACAGGGTCTCTTAGAGACATTGGGTACTCGGACCTTGAAGACGGCGGCGAGTCTAAAGAAGTTATTCTTCCCAATTTGGTTTGATGGTCATTGCGTTTTTGATGGTCATTGCGCCTGTTGTTTTTATTGATAGTTAAATCAATTTTTCTTGAAGATAATATAATTTGTTTCATCTAACGTATGAATTTTTAACATGGCTGCAAACATTTTTTTCGACATTCAAAATCTTGAAAATTGGAAGAAATGAAGAAACTTCCTTCTATCTGTTATAGTGAGGGGAATCCACAGCATCGAATAGTTTTAAAAAATTTGAAATGCATTTTCTAAATTTCGTTTTATTCTATACATCCATCCATTCGTTTGTAAAATTTCCTTTAGGAAGTTTTAAATCAAGCGTTTCACAGATGTTTCACTTTTCCGGGGTAACCAAAACCGAAAAAAGGAGCAAAAAAAAATTTCAAACACCGCTTAACCCTATAAAATCAAGATGAACAACTTTTTGATGCCACGGAATCATCTTTCAATCATACTATCATTCTAAGAAAATGACTGTCCTCCAGGAACCGCAATCGCATGGAAGTTCTGAAGTTTCAATAAACTCACCGCTGCGGAACCTGTGATGAGAGTGAGAGTAGCGCTCGGCAGGACTTGGTGGACTCGCGCGGCCCATGCTTCTGTATCGGGGAGAAGGAGACCTGTGCTCCGACGGCAGAAGTTGTTCCGTCTGAAAATCTCGGACCTACGCGTCTGAACCTCCGACGACTAGACTCAGTTCCATACAATCATCCCATTCAACCTAGGGCGACGATCACGAAAATCATCAGACGGGGTGCGCTTTTTCGAAATGACAATAATAATTCAAAATTATTGTTTTTATCTTCGGTCTCGAGATGTTAGTGAGTAATCTTTTCATGCGCTTTTGCTTTTTCTCAAAAGAGAGGTCATTTTAGGATGGAATTCCCAGGAGATTATATAATCATTTTTAGAAGATTTTTCAAAACAAACTATCTGTTTTGTTTTCAATCAGTTGAAAGTTGATTTCCAAAAGTGCATGTTTGTTTTCAAACTTCGAAGAATGATTCAGAAGAACTCAAACTGTAGTATAAAGTTCAAACCATTTCCCACACAAAATTCAAAAATTCTCGAGCGACACCCTGTAAAATCCAAAACTTCACACTATAACGACCTCACTTTTGAGAAAAATTGTCAACCTGGGTTACATTGATCAAAAAAACGTTCAAAACGCGATGTAAAACATGCAAAAATAAAACAAACCAAATTAAAAGGGAAACGGAAAAAATATGAACTGAGTGAAAGCTAGAAAATTCGCATGCACAAGCATTTATCTTATCTCAAACAATCCTCATTTGCTCATTCCAAAATCACTCGACTAGTTTTTTGAAAATTTGAATTTTGTGATTGTCATCAAAATTTTTTTCAAAAAACCACACGATATCAATTTTTGCAATCCATCAAAAAAAATAACGTCAGCGGGTGCTTGGAAAATCACACCCTACTAACCTCGTCGTAATGACCGCCTCGATTGCGGCTGTATCCGAAGCGGTGGGAATAGTTCTAGAAAGAGAAGCTCGTGATCATTTTTCTAAGCTTTGTGTTTGAAAAATTTGACACGATTGACCGACAGTGCGATAGAGGCACACAAAGATTGAACAGTTAAATAACTGCAAAAGGTCACGTAAGGTACACTGAAAATTAAATGAGTGATAAACAATAAGTTGAACCTCAAAGAAATTTCTGATATTGCTCATCTTAAGAAAAAAATAATTTTTATTTAATAGTCAGCACTATCTAAAAACGACACTTTCTCAAAGCTTCTAAAGTTATTACACGACCTAAGAGAGCTCTGAACATTGTTCATTCATTGAATCATGCAAAAGTTCTAATCTATTAAGTAACTAGAAAAAGTTCAACTTTGGTGAAATAAAAATGAAAAGCTCAGATCATGGAAAGAAATACAAAGCGACAGTGTTGGGTGGTACAAAAACACTTATTATCCGATAATTGAGCTTCGATTTGCTGAAAGATTGTACCTGTTGAGGGTGTTGGTCTTGACCTCCTCTCCGGATCTTGGAGAACATGTCAGACAGTCGTCTGCCTGTTGTTGCTGGCAGTTTCTCTCTGAATTTCAAAGCTTACTTTATTCACCTAAAAAGACAAACATTTGCCCTTGATCGACGCTTTGATACTGTCCTGGCGAAGCTTCTCCATCAGACTTTCCTGCCTTGATCGTGTCCACGAGGGTGTTGAACAAGGAGTATGGCCGTTGCTGTACTTTCAAAATTATTATTGAAATTTTTTTGGTTTTTACTCTACAGAAACTCGGTTGTTTTTAAATCTTACCAATTACAGATTTTTCAGAGCAAACATTAAAATCTGACCTGTCCATTGGCAGGTACCGAGTTCTGCTGTGTGTGAGGAACCATAGGAGTCGTTTCTTCCGCAACCGGTTGCGGAGTCGCTGCGGCTTGTTGCTGAGCCCCTCCAGCAGCTTTAGCCGCTGCTACGAGAGACCTGAGACCTCCTCCAAACAATCCTCCGCCTCCGATCTTAAACGAGTTGTTTGGAAAGTTGATTATCAAGAGTCTCGACTGAGCGCGACCCACACTTCGATCTAGCGGAAAGTAAAATAGAAGAAAAGGTTTTTCGGTCAGTATGATCAAGTTTGTTGATTTTCATGCACGGTTTCCAGGCGTTTAGTGACTAGTCTGGCTTTGTTCAACTAATTCGATAAAAAAAATTGGAACTTGTCGGGAACTAGTTGAGTTGTACTTTGAAGAAACTTGATTTAAAACTAGTAAAGTTGTCATAAGCCTTTCAATCATTCTCAGAACTTACAGCGCCTTCATGTTCACACTCTATGATTGTGAAGGAAACAGGTAGGATGTTTAGCTTTTGTTGTGGTATAACTCAAGTGGAAAGCGAAGGCGAAAAAATTTCTTTGGGCTGTTGCCGGATTTCTTCGAAGTACAACACAGCAGTTATGAAGCTGGTTTTGATGTCTTTTCAGGGGATAAATTCCAGTTGGCTTTTCAAGCGTTGAACAAGCCAAAAAAGTCTTTAACATTAAATAGAAAATTATAGTAAGAAGGTCACATTAAAAAAAATCAAAAACTGCAATCGAAGGTTAGACGAGGGACTGTTAGGAGACCTGCTCGTTTTCAGAATGTTCTTTTGTGAACCACTGAGTCAACGCGTTTCGACGCCGCCACAGCAGATCGGCGGTGCGCTTCCGCTTCACTTCTTCCAGCTAATTATTTTTCATTTGATTTCGGAAAAACTCCTACCAGAACTCTTAGTTTTCTTACTCGTTGAACAAAGCTTCTTCTAACCTCCCTTCTACGAAGGATTCGAATTGAAAATTAAAGAATACGAGATTTTCTTTCATTCACCTCGGTTCCACTCTTTTTAGCTCTGTAGTTCTCGAGAATCAGTAGGCCTGCGTAGATCTTTCCGACAGTCAGTTTTTGAAAGCACAACTCTGAAAAACTGAGTTCTGAAAAACTGCAAATATTGATCTGACCGTGGTTGGGTGGAACAACAAGGTCAATCATGTTCTTCTTCGCCTTCAACGGCCAAATCTTTTTCAAAGTTTGACGGAGCTCTTCGTCAGCTTCATCCATTTCTTCCACTGTAGCAAAATCCTGTTTAATCTTTCGAGATGTCGAAATATACCCGGCCTCATTTTGATGCTCAAACTCTCGCGAATCAAAGCAAACAGTGTCGTCGTGAAATGGACTGAACCATCCTCCGAAACCGGCATGTTCATTCGTATCAAATGCTTGTAGGCCAATCGGTAAGGACATTTGCGACCAAAACCGACAGGAGGAGTGATGTTTCTCAGCATGTCATACATGTCCGTGTAATGGATTCTCCCGCTGAACATTTAGTTTTCGCCGAAGTTTTCCTTTTAAAAAAAATTACGTTGCTGCAGGATCGTAGTCGGCCCAGACACGAATGAACTCGTCGAGATGATGAGGCCCAAGAATGGATGAGTCTCGAGTCAGGTAGTCGAAATTGTCCATGATAACGGCAACAAACAAGTTCAACATCTGATAGAACTATGCTTTGAGTGAATTCCTCGCATGGTTACCAGAAATGAAGACAAGAAAACAAAGCTTGTGAAATAAGCGTAGCTGACGTTGCTTCCACACGACTGACCCTTTAATAAACGCCTTTGTTTTCAAATAATGTATAAAATGAAAACTTTCTCCAAGTTTATCTTGTCGGAATTCGCCCTGGCACAGTCTTTGCCTTGAACTGCGGCCATCATGATGTCCTGCCATCCTTCTCCCGTTGCACATCTGAAAAACAGTCTTGAAAATTTTTGAGCTATTCGTTTTTTACCTGAAGAGCAAGATGACGGCGTTGAAAAAAGATTGGAAGTTATTGTGTCGATTTATTTCTGTCGCGGCGTTCAGCCAAATGTTCCCGAAGACTTGCATCCCAACGATAGCATAGATGAAGAAAAGCATTCCAATGAGAAGACAGACGTACGGCAAGGCCTGAAAACGGATTTCAGTTCAACATTTCAATATTGTTTTTGCCTTGAAGCTTTGAACAAAAGTCCACAGAAGGATTCGGATGGTGTAGCCCTGTTGCAAAAGTCGAATGAGCCTAGCAGCACGGAACAGCCGTAAAAATCCGAGTGATACGAAATGGCCTTAAACGCCTCGACTAACAAAAAATCTTTATAGAATGACAACCTCCGAATTCTGTGACCAGAGCGTCAGTGATCGAACCAACAACCGTTACAAAATCAAAACGATTCCAGCCATCTCGAAAATAGTTCTGAATTGATTCCGTTTCTCTGTGATTCTATAAACGATGCTCACCCGGACGCCAAAGGCGAGAATTTTCAGAATACTCTCAACCGTGAAGACGGCTGTTAACGCCGTATTGAACAATCTGAAAAACTCAATACGTAGTTTTTTGGGAGCTCAAGAATTAGAAACCTCAAGACTTGCTCGTAAAACTCTGAATTTTCGTGGAACTTCATCATGAGAATGATGGTATTGCAGCAAATCATAGCCATGATGAAGTACTCAAAGGGCGTCGATGTAACAAGTCGCCATATACGATATTTGACTGAGTTTTTGTCTTCTGGCATGAAAAGAGACCTTGGTCTGGCATTCAGAGCAAAATCGATGCATTGTTTCTGGAAAGCCACTCATGGGAAGATGTATGAAAATAAATCGTCAAACCTGGTTTTTGTCCAAATCTCCTTCACTGAGTTCAGCTTCTCCTTGTTCTTGGAATGTGATGATAATCAAAGCGACGAAGATGTTAACGAAGAAGAAGGGGAAAACGATAAAGAACATCACGTAGAAAAGAGCAACCTAGAAATTTGAATAGTTTACAACTAAAGTTTGGATAGAATTTTCTGAGGAAAGGAGAAATTGGTCATCGTGAATCAAAAAATTCCAATTGCTCTTTTATTGTTAATATTTTTCGAAACATAAAGCGATTGTTCTCGAAAAAAGAAAAACTTTAGGTACTGATATTCTCAAAGTCTTCATTTTACTTATTAAAATTCATTTTGGCCTATTTTCAGGTTATTTTGCAGAGTCCATTGACCTTCTTTGTTAGAAAATATTTTTTCAAAAAGTACCTCGACTCTGAAAAAAAGGAGACGGCCCTTGGTCTTCAAAAGTCGTGTCCATGCTGTTCTGCCGGATTCCAGGCCAGCCTTCTCCAGTCGTCACAACGAATAAAGTCAGCATTGCATTGATGGTGTTATCGTAGTTGAAAGGTCGCAGCCGCCATTCTCTCTGCTCAATTCGTGGTGGATCGTTCTGAAATTCGTATATCAACTTGTGCAATAAAACAGAGAGTTACCTGATTATCGTAAACGAAAAATTGACCATGACATTCCTTAGCTAATCTTCGTGTTTTGTCAGTGCAGTAGAAGAACTTCCCATTAAAAAGCTGAAAAAATCTAGCTTAAAACGGATGAAGAACTTAAACGCAGTTTAAAAAAGGTGAGGCGAGTTATTTACCTGGACAGCAATTACAGCAAAGATGAATTGGAATAAAAAGTAGACGATCAGAATGTTGAACACGTTTTTCAAAGAATTAACTACGCAATCGAAAACAGCCTGAAAACTCAAGAAAAATGTTGAAAATTTTCAGAAATTCAGACCTTCAATTTTGGAATACGTTTGATTGTTTTCAGTGGTCGCAAAACTCGCAGCACTCTCAAAGACTTGATGGTGTTCAGGTTTTTGCCTGCACTTCCTTCAGTACCCCTGAAAACATTGAACTTTATTGAAATGAACTGAAGGAAGAAAAATAAGAAGGTTTGTGCCCATTGGTCCCAGGGAATTTGGTGGAAGATGTGATGAAGTTCAAGTTTTAGGTAAGGAATCGGATCAATAAACTGAGAATTATCACGAAAACCTTCAAATTGAGTTTGAATGATTTGTAGATGAAATAATTATATGAATGTTAGTGCCAGGGTTAGTGGGTTTTGTAGGTTTCTGATGACTTTCAGCAACCTTCATTTTGACGTCAAAAGTATTGTTAGGTTGTGAGTGTAAGGATATGGGATTAAAACAACTCAAATTGGAAAATTTCTTCTAAAGATTATCTCGACTTTTTCCAGAAACTACACCTTGCCATGGGTATGGTACAAGATAGAATTATTGAAAACTTACGCTTCGACGCTTCTAAAATAAAAGAAAATTTAAACTTGAATTGGTTGAGTTTTGCTCAAGACTCACGCAAATCCGAAAGCAAAAAGAGCACAAGTTACAACGATCCCGTCAAGAATATTCCAAAAATCTCGACAGTAAGATCCTGGATGAAGAATGATTCCTTGGTCGATCAACTGAAATCGTTTCTTATTTGATCAGAGCAGTTTTCGGTTTACCTTGAGCAGCATTTCACACGCAAAAACACCCGTGAAACAGTAGTCCATGTACTGAAGGACCTTGTTTCTGGGATTTTCTTCGTCGACGGGGTCTTCCGCGGCCAGAGAGATGGAAGACAAGCAAATGACGGCCATGACCACCATTTCGAAGTATTTGGTGCAAACAACGCTGTGGACGATAACTCGAAGAGGATTTGTCGGAGAGAGGAAAAACATCGAGGAGTAGGGAACCATTGGCTTCGGGCCTCCAAAGGGCGACTCTTCTTCTTCGCATTCTTCTTCTAGGACATTACAATATTTAACTGAAGTCATCTTGAGCAAACCGTCCATCGCTCTAGCGACCGCGCACAGGTCTCCCGCTGTTTTTCCCTCCATATCAATAGCAAGGTGGTCTCCTTCTTGTTCGTCAATGTCCTCCGAGTCTTCTTCGATTTCATTTGCTTTTTCGTCAGCTTCTTCAGCAGCTGTCAGTTCTTGCGCGTTGGCCAAATTGTCGACGGCGATAGCCAAGAACACATTAAGCAAGGTGTCTAAACGTTAAGATTTGATTAGAAAGTAAGCAAAGACTCACAGTTGCCGAAAAGTACGAGAACGATGAAATAAATACAGTAAACCATGCCGCCGCCGTAAACTCCGCCTTGCGCTTCGATAGCCAGATACATCACTTCGTTCCAATCTTCACCGGTGAGGATCTTAAGCCAAGAATCCCGCTAAAAAATTTCTCGAAAAATTCACCTGGAACACCGTGATCAAAGCCACAGGAAAAGTGTCAAAGTGCGTGTATGGATGCATGTGTGGGAAGTTGAATCTGAAATTTCATTATAAGGAAAAGTCTTCGTTAACAAACTCACTTTCCACCAAAAAGTTGCATTCCTAACAAGGCAAAGATAAGGATGAACAAGAAGAGCAGAAACAGAAGTGAAATGATGCTTCGCATTGAGTTCATCAAAGACCTGACGAGATTTCGGAGAGATACCCAGTAGCTGAAAACATTTTGGAGATGGAAGAAAAAGCGAAAAAGGTACTTACGAAGTGAGCTTGAAAATTCTGAGCAAACGAAGAGCGCGCATGACTGAAATACCGAAGGAGCCGCCGTAGAACTCAGCCCAAACGACTTCAAGCGCAGAACCAACAATGACAATACAGTCGAAGCGATTGAACTGAAATAAGAAAAAAAAAATGAAAGATCGTATAGAGCGTCAGACTTTTGAAGCAAAGTAGGTTCTTGAGCCCATTGCAAACAGCTTCAGCAGCATTTCAGCGATGAAGATTCCCAAAAAGACAAATTCTGCGTATTCTGGAAAGACCTTTGTCTTATAATCGTTTTACAAATCAATCGGACTCAAGAAGTCGGTGAACCACTGCGGCTGCCCGTAATGCTCACTAGCAACGCAACAGGTGTTTAGAAAAACCAATGTGATGACGGACCAATAGAATATTTGCGTCTTCACCATTATCCGAATTTGAACCCTGAAAACACAGAAAAAAACGAAATGAAATATGAAGGCAATTATACCGTAGTTGTCGGATGAATTTGTTCATTGCATAAGAACATCCTCGTTTCCGTCGGTCCACTAAAATGAAAATTTCATTCTGAACTGGAAACCGAGAAGTAGTGCACAGAAAAGGTGATCAAAAAAAGTAGAAACCACTCCACCCAAAGGCATGCCTTTAATAAAAAAGTTCGTAATAGAAGTTTGCTTCGTTAAAACAAAATACACAAAGATAAAATTGTAGTCTATCTATTTTCAAGTCTCAGAAATTTTAGAAGCCCACTCGAATGGTAACTCCATCACGCAGCAAAAAACTCATGCTATCCAGGGAATTTCTCTGACTCGAAATCGAAGTTTGAGGTCGAACCTCGGCGTATGACATTTAAGGAAAATTTTGAAGAAGAAAACCGTATTATGCTATTTTTCAGCTCTTGATTTATTTTTCGAGCGTATGTTTCATAAAAATCCGCAGTTACTCTTTCAGATAGATTTAACTTGGTTCGTCTGCCAGAAACTCTCAATTTAATCCTCAAGTCCGAGTCTGAGTAGTTTCCCAGAGAGAGAGAGAGAAGCAAAAAATGAAACCACGTATAGAAAAGGTTGAGTTGAAGGGGCCAAGCTCAATCGTTGAGCCAAACATCTATAGTCTCCGACGAGTCGATTCACCATGCTAATTCATAACATGAAAATACGAAAATGTAAGAAAAAAAAGCGAAAATTGCAAAATGAAGACATTACATTAAAAAACGACTACATCAAAAAGGCTTTTCGAACTTTCGTTCAGAATTTTTAACCTGTAAAATCTCACGCAAAAAAAAATGAATTTGCAAAAAGTCATTCCAGCAGAAAGGCATGCCGATGGTTGAAAGCGGACCGAATTCTTTGGGGTCCGGGCCACCTTCATCAGCAAATTCTTCTTCCATCTCCTCGTCTTCTTCTTCAAAGTCTTCTTCGGTTTCTGTCGACTGTTGTTTTGACGCCTGCTTCAGCTTCTTGTTCGCTGCTCTTCTTCTTGCTGAATTTTCAGATTTTTTTATTCTATCAAATCAGATTTTTTTGATTTGAAAAATCTTTTGGAAGCAATAAACAGTTTTTTTCATATGAATTTTTTTATATGATTCGGTTTTTATGTGAAAAAAAATAGAATTTTTAGCTGTGATTTCCTTCAATGTAAGAACCTTTCTTTTTTTGCTATATGATTTTTTTCTTTTTTTCTATCAACGAGGAAATTTTCTACTTAGTAATAGAAAATTCGAAATATTCTTTCTTTTCAACAAATCAACCTTCCATGATGGCCGCCTTTTCCTCGTCAGTCGTTCGATCTTCCTTGAGAATAACTTCCTCAGCCGTCAAAATCCATTCAAGGTATCCATTGAGTTCTCTTTCGATTTGCTGCTGTCTTCTCAATTTGAGAAACTCTCGTCGGTTTTCCACCCGTTCTCTTTCTTTGGCAAATTCTCTTAAGCAGCTGAATTTCTCAAAGTTCTTGGAAAGATAACTCACCCAGACAAAACTCCGAGAACTAAGTTCAACATGAAAAAAGATCCTAGAACAATTAACGGAATAAAATATGCCCAATTATAAGTACTGCCTAGCGAATCGTTGGTCTGAAAAGGTTAAGAACTTGAAAAAAGAGCTAATATATTCTCACATAATACATAACGGTTGTCCATCCTTCCATAGTGATGCATTGGAAAACAGTGATCATTGCAAAAGCGATATTGTCGAACGATGTGATTCCTGAAGTTTGTAATAATCATTCCAATTCTCTTGACATTCTGTCAGTGTCATGAGAGCCTTGCTACATAAAAATTCCTGACTCGTAAGCTTAATTTGTTTAAAAAAACCGGCCAGAAACGACTTTCGAAGACTAGGCAACTTAATGTATTGCAACTATGAAGTTCAAATTTAGACATTTGGTCCCTTCGACGTCAAATTTAAAGCGAACGCAGAAACCGTGCTTTCAGCCGCTTCCTTTCGAAAAAACGCTATGAATTGAGCAAAACAGTTATAAAAACTCTTTCAAGAACCAGTTAACCCATAATCATTAGGTCGCTCCGTTCTTCAAACCACATTCGTCTTTTATCAGTTTCCCCTAATTCAATACCATAATTGGGTCCGATCCAGATGTTCAGACATTTGGTCCCTTCGACGTCGCAGTTGTACACGCCAACCGAAGTATTCTTCGTCGTGCTGCAATGCATTTCGAATTTGTTTTCGGCTCACTCCGCGTTCCTTTGTCGGCCAACTTGCAAGGGAAAGCCAAAAGTGAAAAATAAGAGAGCCAAAAGCGGCGATATTTGATACTACGAAACGAAACAGGAATGTTAGGAGACTTGATGAAAGCGTTGAGGTTAGATTGAGAATTGGCTACAGTAGCGTTAAAAGCAGAAACTTGAAAGAGAATTTGAATAATTCTAAAAATACTTGGAACTAATGAATTTGAAAAAAAGAAAAAGGGAAAGACTTCATAAATCCACGACGTATGGAAATTTTTTTGGAGGAAACTATGTTAAAAAAAATCTGTTGTTCTTGCGATTTTTTTCATATTTTTGAAGTTTGATAATATTCAAACGACCGGAACGTCCAGCTCCCTCAAACAAGTTCGAATTTCAATAATTTCTTGATTTTCTCAATGATCCTACGATCAAATGAGCTGTTTTTTTAGAAAGAAAAATTTAGAAAAAGTGTCACAGTTTCGTACCATGGCATGGGCTTCTCGCTGACGTTTTCAATTTCGCCGCGGTCGTTGTAGCAGGCCGAATGGAAGGCGCCTGAGTAAAACTCGAGGCCGATGATGGCAAAGATGACAATGGCGAACAGGACAAGAAGTCCGATCTGGAGCAGCGGCGCCATCGCACATAATATCGACTTCAAGACAACTTGCAAACCTGTAAAATGATTACAACCTTTTTTAGTTTTGCTATCGTTTTTTTTTCTTCATTTTTTCAAAAAGGAAGTTTTTTTTTTCGTGGTAGTTGAAATTTTCGGAGTATGTTCACAATAATCTTTATGTACCAGAAGCGGCTCCAGGAAGCAACACAGCAGTCTATGACAGTTATCCAAAATTATTGGCGAATAGTAGGTGAAGAAAAAAAAGGTAATGAATAAGTTTTCTTGTTTAGCACTTGATTGCAATTATCCATCACAAAAATCTCATCTTCAACTACTTTTTTTGTTATTTTTTTCCGCGGGAAGTGATAATTTTACCGTTTTTTTAAGATATTCAAAACTCCGCGACGAATAAATGTCCATCTTTTCTGCCCTCCCCATTTCTGAAAGGGTATTAACAAAAAAGTCAAATAAAATAAGAATGTATTCGAAAATCAAAAAAGACAAGAAAATCAGAATAATCATATCTCAAGCTGTTCCGAAAAGAGTAAAAAATCTAATATTTTTAAAACTTTGTCCGAATGACTTTTAGGGTATCTAGGCTTATTTTTAATATCCATTTTTTTCTTGTACAGAATCAAATGATTTTTTTCGACATTTCATATCATTCAAAAAACCCTGCTCTGCAACAGAGTCACCCATTATACTTTTTCAGCTCCTTTTCCCGAAACTTTTGTGCTCGTTTAAAAATTTGCAAATAGACTGGCTGGTGATTGAGTTACCCTTGTTACGAAAGAATATTCTAACGTCGCCGAGCTCACATCTGCTTGGACGGGGGCCCTCTAATGGAATTTGCTGGATGCACCTTGTTAGTTGCACGACACACAAAAACTCGTCCAACGACCCATACTTTTTTATTCAAGCTTGCTTTTTTCCAAAGAGAAAAAACAAGTACGATTGAAAAGAAAAATAAAATTTAACATATTATTATCAGTTTTTCAGCAGGGACTTGTGAGCTACTTCGATATTTTGTTTTCAATTTCAAATAAATCTTGTCTACCGAAGAAGTGGTACTGAAAACCATTTCCAGTTCTTAAAAATGAAAGAGAAGTTATTTAGAAAAATACTTTTTTCATCTCTTGAAACACCAAGAAAGCCAGAATAAATAACAAACAAGGTTTCAGTTGCATCTAAGAACTATTTTAAAGTGACCCAGAATCAAGGTCCTCAATTAAAAAAAAGTTCGCAGGACGGAGGCAAACTTCTGAAAACTACTGAGAAGCTTATAAGATTTAAATTTAAAAAAACTTTTCTGATACATAATTTTTCTGGACAGATCTCAGAGAGAAAAAACTTGAGCGCTATTGGTATTCAAAACTCTGACAGAACTTGGTAACATTTCTCACAAGAATTTTTCAGTAGAACTTTGTTAATAATCCCGGAAAAAAACTGATCCCACGAAAAAAAAATGATTGAATGAGTGAAAAAAACTAACTGGGAATCCCAGAAACAAGCTTGAGCGGCCGAAGCACACGAACTGCCCGAAGAGTTCGGAGATCGACCGTTTCGACCTGCTGAGTCGGTCCCTGTTGCGTGGGTGAGAACGGCAGCATTGTGACAACTCTGAATTAGAAAAAAAGTTTCAAAAATCAAGTAAAACACTAATTTACCCGGAAACAACTACAATGAAATCCATGATATTCCATCCTGAGCGAAGATATGAACCCTGCAACGGAAAAAATTGATAAAAGCTGTTTTTCTATACCTGATCCTCACTATAAGACTAATGGTATTATTATAAAAAGAAGGAACAGTTAGGAAAGAGAGAAATTTAAACAGACCTTATGCAAAATAAAACCAAAGGCGACAACTTTCAGTACACATTCTAGGCAAAAAATACCCATAAAGTAAGGCTCGGTTCGTTCCTAAAAAGTCTCGATAAACAGAATTTTTTTTTACAGCAGACCAGCATTTCAGACAACGGCTTTTTGTCGTTTTTTGGCAAATGTTGCTCCATGGCCAATACGACGCAATTGCCTGTAATCCAACTATTTTTTGAAGTGATTCGATAGTCAATGGATTTATGATTACAACTCAAGATTTTCGTATTTTTTACTCGGAACAAATTTTATTCTGTGACCAGATGTTATTATCCCTTTTCATGTTTCAGACGCTTTTTGAAGATCTGGATAATATTTCATCATCGCTAAGAAATTTAAATTTTTTTCATTTAGAGCTTTTTATAGATTCAACGAAATCTGAGGAAAATTGAGAAGAACTAAAACCCAATTCCTTTTCATTTTTTTAACGAGAGTAGAATTTTTGTTCCGCTCTCAATATTTTTCCTCATTACCCACATTTTGTATTAGTCTGAAATGTGTCTGCCTGTTGTTTTTTCCTGACAAAGTAATCGAAAAAGCAAAATGGTGTTTTAAATCGATAATGGTTGAGAATAGATCTGAGACAAATCAAGTGCACACAATCGATCCAATATCTTATGATTTAATCAAAAAAAAAAAAAGTTTTCAGATAACTCTCCTTTTTCTCTCTATTCCAACCTCGTTACGCCACTCCTAAAAAGCCATCAAAAACGCACCAATAATGGTGAGTAAGATAAAATACTCGAAAGGCCCCCATTCGATGATGGCTTTCGCGTTCCGCCGTATGATGTTGTCTTCTGCGAATATAAAAAGCGACGATGGTCCCTGCAAAAAACAAGTCAAAATCAAATTTTTATTCTTCCCTTGCCTAGTCTCCTTTTTTCAATCATGAAGCCTCAAAACAAGGTAATAAGAGAAAATTAATAGGAAGGAAAAGGAAGGAGCGTGGGTTGTCTGGAAAACAATGCACGTGATAAATATGCATGTAAATGGGAAAACGTGCTTGCGTCACGGTCGAAGCTATCCTGACAAGGCCTTATGAAAATCTCAGATTTGCAAGCTCTCAGAAAAATTAATTAGATGAAAATTATTTGCAAAAGTTAAACTTAATTAACTAAGCTCATTGTAGATGGGTTTTTTTGGGTTTGACCATGCTTTCAACTTGGTCGACCACACGTTCGGACTTCTAGATTGTCAGAGGTGGCTGTTCGTTAGAGTTTCAAAAATTCTTTCTCATCGTTTAGTCGATTACATCTATAACAAAAACAACGAGATTTAAATGATTCGAACACTATCTTTTTGATGAAAGTTCATTTAAACACATTTGAACATATTTAAAAACAGCTTTCTACATGTTGCCTTCCTCGATAGAGTTCCTCTAGTCCCCTTCATTCAAAAAGTAGATCTCCGAAAGAACTGATGTCTCCAAAATCTTGAAAGTGTGATAAACATATCATGATCCTCTCCAATACCTAACTTTTGTTATGCGCCCTCGAAAGAACAGCCGTAGCCAAACCCGCGCGTCTCATATGAGCATTTCTCTCGGGATTTGTTTCTGAGCTTGGACATTTCTCATTCTGTTGAACGCTCGCATTGTATTTTTTGGGTTCGAAAGGACATGACGCTTGGAGAAAAAAATTTGCTCCTCGGCAAAAACAAATTGGATTTATTATTTCGAAAGAGAAGTGATTCGAGAACAAAAGATGTCTGAAAAGAGAGGAAAGTATTGAAATCTAATCAACACCTTTCGGACAAAATAAGCGTGTAGCTATACACGTTCAGAGAAGCAGGAAAACATGGATTGTTTGAGTTCTTTTTTTAAAAATAGCTTATTTAGGAGAAAATAATTGGCTTAGACGGAATGAGTGGAAATCTTATGAAAACGTGTTTGAATCATGAAATTGATAAATTTTCTAATGAGTTTACACAGTTAGCAATATTATGTAAATTGACCAAAACGAACTTTGCTGTTTTTAATGACGTTTGAATGAGAATCTCAACCTTCTAATTTTTTTAATTTTCGGTATAAGAAATTTCGAAGTATTCGGAAATCCTTACAAGCCAAACAAAAACACAGATAAGAGTTTTCAGTTTTTTTATTTTTTTTTCTTCTGAGAGTCGATCTGAACTGCGCCGAGTTTTTTTTGGGCTTTCGTATGTTTTTATTTTTAGAAGCAAGTTCGTTTTTATAATACGTTCAAGTTTTCATTTGATTTTTCCCGTTTTTGTGCTGTTTCTCTATGACCATCGGCCTATGTCTTTCTCAAAAAAGACTCCGTTTCATACTTTTTCTCGAGTTTGCAAGTGTGCGTGGCGTTTGGTTGGGGGCATTTTTGATAAACGCATTGTCGTGTGGGCTCCCGAGGGATGATCCGCGGCCGGACTCCTGAGCATGATATTTGGCGCCGCATGCGTATTACTAAGCCTCGAAGGAGCGCAAAAAAGAAAGAGTCGAGTGAGCCGACTCGGAACTCGATCTTCTCCAGAAAACAGCCCTCGTCCGTTTTTGCCTTGACAATGGACAGCAGGCTTTTCGTCCGAAAAAGGATGCAGAGAGCCCGGAATGGAACCGAGGCAGAGACGCTAAAATGCACTTGTTATTAGTCGGTGCTCCAGTGTTCGCGACGGAAAATTACTGGATCCAATTGGAATAATTGTCCGAAAAGTCACGTTAAAATCATTACTCAAAAAATACTCAAATTTGCAACCGCTTCAGAATCAATTTTTGAACTCCATGAGAAATCGTATGTTTCGGATTTTAGAACTTGAAACAAGGAAAACAGATTTTCAATCGCATTCTGTACTACAGTCAACTTTAGCTTGAAGAAAATAACCATAAAAAAGGTTGAAACCTCTGCTTTTTGCACCTATTTTGCCACAAGAAATTTCGATAACATTGTTTCAAATTAGCGGTGAACAAATTATAAATGCAAATCGAATTTTAAAATCTCCTTTCTTACTATGAAAAATATTTGAAAAGTTTAAATTTATATTTCAATCACGTTTCAGCAATATCCCAACTTAACATTCAAAGATCGAAGTGCTTGAACCACTTTCTATAAAACTCCTTTCTTTATACCCCGACCGATTTTACTTCTAGCAAACTGAGTGCAATTTTAGTGAAAGGTCTCTTATAAGCTTTGGATACGTATCTTTCACGGCCACCTCGATTACGCCGAGAGCGGATTGAAATAATGCCCTCGGGGCAAAGCCAACTCCATTTTCCTGCCGAGACCCACCCAATGAAAAGACAAAATGCATTTTTGGGCCAGCATGACAGTTGACAATTTGAGCAAATGGACACGGCTGCCCATGCGTTTCTAAATGCATGAGCCTTTTTTCGAGAGCAGTCCCGTGCATTGACGTTATCAAAAATTCTTCACGCCACACAGCACAATGGCCTTGAATAATACGAGAAACATTCTCGTTCCTTTAATTGGAAAGCTATTTTTAATAAAGGAAATTGAAATTTCTCTCAAGTTTTTTTGACAAAATTTTTGTATCGAAATTATGAAGTAATGAACCTTGTGGTAATAGAAGTTTTTCAATTTGCTTGCTGAATTAAGTTTATCAGCTCTTGTAATGCTATACGTTTGAAGAGTTTTTCTTCTGACTTTTAAAACCAGAAAAATAAGCGTCCCTTCAAAAAGATCTTTACTAATGTTTTCTTTAATTCCGCAACCTCTTTAATGTAAAGCGAAAAAAAATCGAAATTTTCAATTCTTTTTTCTCTTGACCTCGAAAGCCTTAGAGGTGAACGTTTTGAAATCTCGTAAGATATGCAAAACGACGTTTTCACGACAGCTCTATTGTGGTTCGTGCACTTCGAAATTTCCAGAAGCATAGAAAAAGCGGTCAGAAGGTTCTCTTCCTTTAAAGCCGTCATGTTGAGATTTTCCTTGACAACAATGCGGTTAGCGACGCCTTCGTTCCCGCCGGGCGAGTTCATTTTTTATTTATACACGACTTCAAAAAATGTGTCTCGTAGGTGGCAGATTCACGTAAAGTCGTTAAAAATTGACAAGCAAAATATCTCCAGTTTTCAAGCTTCAAATGGCATAGGAACCAACTATATATCTTCGAAATATCTTTTTCAAACTTTGAAAAAAATAAGTTAACCTCAAAAAGCAAACTTCCGGCAGAAAACTTTGAAAAAAATATAATTTTTTTGCACCTTTTAAAGTTTTTTTATTAAATATCCAGTTGACCCTCCAAATCGCAACTTTCGATAAAAGTGACTCTCCTATCATTTGAATTCAAGAAATATTCAAATAATTATGAACCTTCATGTTAAGAAGAATTTGCGAGAAAGTCTGCTAGAAAAGAATCTTAAATTACAATTTTCACACAGAACAACAGTCCATTTTGATTTCTAATTGTCTACTTCAAAACTAAATTTTTTTTTGTTGTCACAGTGAAAAGTTTATTCAAAAGTTTTGAACAGAAATACCATCGATATTGAAATCTCAGTGATTCTTTTAGTGAAGGAACTCTTGAATTCAGCGGCTCAGCCTCGACCGCACGCTGAGCCGTGCTCACAGCGCTTTTGGCTCGGCAAATTAGACAGCTAACAAGAGGAGGCGCGGGTGAATGCCTCGAATTAAAATGGGAAAAAAAGATGCAAGCGAGAAACGAAAAGAAAATGCACCGAGTTGACACATCGCCAAAAAATTTCAGCAACATTTCGTAAAAAATTTTTAAGAACTACAGATGGAAAAAAGAGCAATCAAAAAGTGATTAATCCAGCAGAATCAGGAAGAAATGCCAAAATCTCGCGCGAGGAAATACTTTCCGTTAACTTTTTTTGTACATAAAAAAACGTGATATCCCATTTTTTTACTATTATGCAAAAAAACAAATTTTTGACCCGAGGGCTTTTTCACAAGTATGCATAAACTTTTTCAAAAACAGAGAATCAATACAGATAACTGCGGAGAGAAAAGAAAAAAATTCGAAAAATTCGCAAAAATAAGAACAGACCTTCTCCTTGACCGGCGCATTTGAAGCGAGGGTGGTTTTCCGGACGAACGCGCCGGCATCTGATTTCTGCTCTCGTCGTGCTTCTTCGGCGGCAAGCCTGAATATAATTTTCGATCATTTATTTCTGTTCCCCTGGCAAAAAACAAGGAAAAAACCCAGACTGACAACAGACAATTGCTTCATTACTGGACCAATTTAGCGTCGGCCGCGCCTGCTGAGAAATTCCCACGTTCTGGCGTGATTTTCCAATTTTAGTTTGGCTGGAGAAGCGATTTCAAAGCCGTTCTGACACCTTTTTTTTCAATGTAGTCTCATTTTCTGACATAGACGGAAGTTGGCGTGTAGATGTCATGTTGTCTTTTTTGTAGACACACAATTTTTAGTTTTAAGATTGAAAAAAACCTTTTTATATAAATCTAGAAACTAACAGATTTCCAACAAAGCGATCTGAACTTCCGACGGTAACCAGAAACAACACTTACAAGAGTGAAATTTACTTGATTATAAGAAAAAAATAACAAAAAACGGTTTGAAGCAAGAAATCGAACTCAGAACATGACTTTGCTTCACTGTTGTCAAATCTTTAGCATAAATGCACGAAATGACGTGAGAAGTTAAACATTTTGATGACGCTACCTCGCGATCTGGTCAATGCCAAGCATGGCTGAGGGCGGCGGACGCTGGCCTAAGGCGCGTCAGAGCCGAGCTTTTCTTTCACTACTACGTCGGACCGTTGCCAGACGGTCTGAGCATCGTACAGCTAGAATTCGAAGAGGTACTCGACCGGTACCGACCAGTAAATCGGTGGTTTGGAATCAATAGGCGGAGAGAAGCGTCGCGTGCGACATGTGCAAACTCGGCTGGCCGACTTGTGGAAAGGAGGCGGCGTGGAGCAGGAAGGAGTGTAGGACGGATGGAAAGGGGGCCTCTCGCGGCTTGGCAAGCGAGTCACTCATTTGGAAGAGGATATGCACTCGGGCTTCAACCTGAAGCTGAAGACCCTTCTAATTTGTACGCTCGAAACAAGTGTTGCAACTTGCCTTATGAAGTTCCCGCTTTCTTTTTACTTTACGCTTGATATTTACTAGATCAAAGAACGTTGTCGTGGAGATGAAAATTTCATGAAAAGGTTTTACATCAAAACTCGGATTACCATATTAGGAAAGTCACCTGAAACCAAATCTTCGTTTTTTCAATAGTTTAAAGGATAATCCGCATTTGATCACAAATGAGCCCAGAGGTATATGGTATGATGTTGAAGGTACGATATTGAAAAATTTTGAGAATTCAGCTGTTGGAATATTTTAACACTTATTCATTTTCGTAATCCCTTTCTAGAAACTTTCAGGTGCAAAAAATTGCTCTCTCCTTTTTCAGAAATTCCATAATTGGTTATTTTTCAAGTTTTCATGTTTGCGAGAAGTTTTTTTTTTCTCAGAATTTTGAAAAAATGAAATTTTTAAAGAGTTCAGTACGGTATTGAAAAAGGACATTAGTTGAATAAATCAAAAAAGGAGATTCTTCGAAGTTGTAGTTCGAAATGGATTTTCTAATGTTTCTCAAAATTTTACCTTACTTTTTTTCCGTTTTTTTTTTCTCTTTTTTTAAGAAAGTGTGCACGAAGCATTCCAAAATTCTAGTTTACCTTACATTTGAAACAGTGACCATTTGTAGAAAATAATTAAACACTGTCACGAAATTTGGCTGAAGATAAAGGGCAAGGTATTTTTTTGTAATCTGACGCACTAACAAGTCTGATCGATTTAAAACATTGAAAACCGATTTTTCACCCAAACTCAGCAACTCTCCATCAGAAGGAATCGCTTAATAGAAGGCCTTGCGAGTGAATTTTTCCGTCATCAAGGTCGTTTATTAAAAAAAAACGAACACGACCTTTCTTTAACATTTCTTGATTGAAAAGTAAAGCTAGTTTGTTCACGCGGAAAAAAACCAATTAAAATTTTCAATTATAAACTAATGAAGTTCTTGCCGGCTCCAACATTTCTAAATTAGAACCGAGGTTTGTGTCATTAACAAATGCGTTTAGAAACGATCGGCTCTTAATTTCCGTCAGAGCTTTTAATCCGCTTTCAAGTCGCCACAACGCAAAAAGCCCTCCGACAAAACGAAGCCGTGCAAAATGCTGTGAATTAGCCACATCATAAAAGATTCGATTTCCATATCAAAGGATTTGAGACACAAGGATCTCATTATACTCCCTCTTATTGCAATATCAGTGCACAGACGCATAAGCCGCTGCGGAACGGGTTAATTTGAAACATCAAATGTCTACCACAAGATTCTTTCACTCAAAATATTTCAGCTATTATCTCGAAATAATTCTGGGCTCAATAGCCAAAAGATAAATAATGCCTACGACTAAGCCCGGTGATTTTCTCGCAGTCAAAACAGAACTTTCGGATCGAAAAACGGCAGCATTTAGTGACCAAATAAAAATAAGTCTCAATATTATCTTGAAAACATTCAATTTTCTTGCTCACTGTTCAGATTCAAAAAGAACTACATAATTATTTCAACGGACATTGTAACTTGGCCGCTAACTGTACGATTCATTATGGTGTTGATTTCATAAAATCAACAAGCTGGCTCGAAAGATCTCCGAGAGGTAAAATGAAAACTTTCGAAGTTGTTACGTGCTCATTATCCGATTGTTTGAAAAATGTAAAGTTTCAGAAATACTTTTCCTTTGTCAAGGTAGCCACGTGTAAAATGTCAAGCAAATTTTTAAAAATGTCTATAAAAAAACTTTGCACATTATCCGCAATCATAAATCTTTGAATAAGCCTTGAAAAACTGTTTGAGTAAACTGATGAAAAAAATTGAAAACTTAAAAATTTTTTTCATTGACCTTCTAAACCTTGTTAAATCAATGGTTCCATATTTCGGAAGATACTAGTTCTTTATCGATCCAAGCGATCGAAAACGAGAGCTCAACAGAAAAAAAGAAGTTTGCAAACTCTGAGATAAACTCGTGGAAACCTGTTTACTATACACTCCTACTAAAAGATATTTCTGAATCTTGATAAATTTTTTTTCCGAATTAATGAAATTGTTAGTGTGGTTCATTAACCAAACACAATCAATTTTGAAATCTTCCTAGTTTAATTCATGTTTCAAAGGTAAGGTGTCCACTTCATCCAAAGTTCCCACACAGAATTTTTTCTTTCAGAAGCGAGTTTGTTTCTATTTCTTTATTATCAAGTTAATCGAGAAGGAAAAGGTATAAAATTATGAAATTGGCGCGTATTGACCAAATGATACTTCCTAACAAACCGTCAAACAACGCAAAAATAATAACCTGTCTCTGCGCTTCCACATGTAACTGTAGTACAAAAGCGCAAAAGTGTTTGGCTTTCGATAAGCCTTTTGAAAAGCCATGATTAACCAGAGTAATACTTTTATAGAACAGTAAAATGAACTGAATTTTAGACGGACAAGAACATGACAGCCAGGTAGTCAGGCGACAAATGCGTCGAGGTTGGCAGCAAGGGCGAAAATGCCAAAAACAATCATCCAATTGTATAATTTGATGCGATTTCCAGTGTGGCAGACTAATGGACACCTACGGTAGGAGCAAGCCGACTGGCAAATCGGGCCGATAACTGCTGCAGAACTACAAAAATAGTCGTTCTCGACACGCTCAAATACAAATTCCCATTTTCTTTTTTCAAAACCATTGTTCGTTTTTTAGAGCCAACAAATTTTTGAATGATAATGAACAATGGCAAATAAATAGGTTGAGTCAACAAAACAACGAAATTTGATTATGGGAAAAAGTGCCACTGGAATCAAGGGTCCTTGACTGCAGAAACTTAAATGATTTCGGCTAAAAAATGATTTTTAGCGCTTTCTTCACGATAATTACCGATTGAAACAAACAACTTTTTTTCGTATAGTTCTTAAAAGTTCTATTTTTTCTGCTTTGGAGAATTTCTCAAGAGTATTAACGGAGAAAGTTAAGACCCCAAAAAAATCACCTTTTTTTAATAATCATTTTTGTTAGGTAAAAAAAGAACTTTTCAGATGATCATTCTTGTTGAAAACAAAATTATTTATTTACTGATGAGAGGACCTATGATAAGCTGATATATCGTCTCACTTCCAATAGGAGAAACTCGGAAAAACGAAAAACATCAACGAATAGAACCTTGGAAGAGCTGGCCAGACAGCCATTTGGACCGCTTCTTTGATCATTTCGCCAGGCCGAGGATGCCGAACTTCGAAGAGTCTGTCCCCGACGGAAATCTTCCGCGGCTGTATGGGAGACGGCAAGATCTCTGTGGTTGGATAAAAGTTACAAAGCGATTCAAAGACGAAGTGCTTGTCGATCTCAGAGTCTGAAGTACTCGTAGTACCTGTGGCGGCGATGGGGATCATCCATGGCTGAAGACGGTCGAGAGATGGGAGGATTCGGGCGGCGATGACGTCGTCGGTCCGACCGCCAGGCGGACGACCGACTTCGCCTACTCCCATCAAACGGATTTACTCCGCAACGTCTGCGCAAGTCCAGATACGGTCACATGTTTTCAGAAAACGAAGCGATTTTAATGAAAATACACTCTAATAAACAGAAAGCAATGTATGAAGTGGAAGAAGGGTGCATTTGAAAGGGCAACTGTTTCCGAAACCGAGAATCTTTCAAGAAACTGATTAACAATACAAAAAAAACTTCTAACAGCTTTCAAACTTGACGGATTAAAATTTTTCCAAACTAGTTGAATGCCAACTTGTCAGTCATAAAGTGAATATTCTGAACTCGGTTTCTCGAATTTCATCCTGATCTTGTCTATCTATTTCCGTCGATTTCGTACAACATAAGAGCTGAAAGTGGTTTTTGCAAGTTTTGAAAAATGTTATAGTTTTTTTAAGTATTTTCAATTGCCGAAAAATTGATAGTCGTACATTCCAGCTATTAATATCTCATTAAATACATTTGCAACAAACTTAAAGAAAATAAGAAAACAAAAATTATTTGAAAAGACGATTTTTTTTGTTCCCGCAAATTCGAAAGCAGAAGAAGAAAAAATTTCTGCAGAGTTTTTTTTAAAGCGAGAAAAAGATGACGAGGAATGGAAAATGAAGGTGCATTGCGTTAATCAGTGAGGCGAAAAGTCCTAAAAATATTGGTCACGGATAAAGTGGAAAAAGTTGTCTACCAATATGAAATTATGAATTCGAAAGTATTTCGTCAGCAAAAGATAACGTAGATAAGTACGTCGGGGCGAATGTGTGCGCGATAGTAATTTTTTAAGGGATCCAAGCAACGCCGGAGGAGATGATGATGCGTTTGACTAATTACGGCTGCCCCTGTGGCGGCTTTAATTGCCTGCTGACTTGCTCAGTCACTTCCTAAGAATATTTCTCGCTAGACGACGAGTCAGCAATAAGTTTTTTTTGAAGTACAAAGACCAGATTCCAAAAGCATACGAAAACTATCAAGTTAAAGAATTTATCTCATATCCTCAAGAGTTCAAAATTCCGAAGAATTCGTGCGATTTGCCTGAAAATTCCAAAATGCAAGCTGCATCTGCAGTAATCAATTTTAAATTATTTTCCTACCCTGCCAAACAAAAAAAAACCTCTCTATTCTCTTAGAGTTTGTGCGATTTTTCTTCGATAAGATGCACCGAAAATCGATTACAAATTTTTGATCATAAACATATTTTTTTCTTATAGAATTTCATTCAAAGTTCTTGTCTATTATATGAAGAGCTTTTTACAGCTGTTGTTGAGTGAGATTTTTCATTTTTCTGATAGATTTAGAATTAGAAAAAGAAGCATCAAAAAGCAAAATGTGTATGTTTTTCCGTAAAATCTCACCTCAGCTCATGATTTTTCACATTATGAATTCTCAGTGCTAGAGAAAAAAACTATTTTTCAAATATGGGAAAAAAATTCTAAAAAAATGTCAACGGCTTCTTGTAATAAACAATATTACTCTTGAAAGTGAAAGAATACAAGAAAAATTTCGATTTTTTTCTGAAAAAAATGCTATGACATTGCTATTAAAATAGATTTTAATTTGCTCAATTTTTTTCTCAAGATTAATTTTAAAACTCACGCATGTTGGACGCTGATTCCAGAAATCAGCCGTTCTCGTTGGGACTGCTTACGTCCAAGTGGAATAGTAATCAACGGTTTCATCGGATATAAACGAAAATTTCACTCGGAACCTCATACATTTCCCAAATTTCTATGCTAATTTTGGGCCTGCCCTTTTATGGAAGGTCATCAAATTGTAAACTATTTGGCATAATATGCAGAATTTCTGTAATTTCTAGAAGGTTATTAACTCTTATTTTTTTAACTTGGATGATCCTCAAAAAAAGTGAAATATAGATTTTTTTCTTTTTCCAGAGCATTATTAAAAGCGAATGACGCAAAAAAAAGAGAAAAAAAGCCTTTTTAGAGTATTAGATGGAGCTTGAATAAAAAAAGATTTTTTTAAACAACGTGTTTCGATCATTTTAAATTTTTATATAAACTTCGGGAATAACACCGAAAGTTAATGAGAAAAAAATTATATGACTTACAAGTTTATAGATTCCATCAAACAAAAAAGTTTTTATGGCTCACGATTCAAAAAAAGTCTGAGCCAAATGAAGAGGAAAAGGTCGTTAAACAAAAAAAGAGATGGACAAGAATGAACTAAAAGGAAGGAAACAAAAGAAAAAAGACAAAAAAGGTTCGCTCCGTTTTCTACGAGCAATACACCAGAAGCCGTGCTCCTTCTTTTTCCTGTTCTTTAGTGGGCCACACGAAACAAGTACGCAAAATAAGCGTATAGAGTTTCAGTGACTTACTTCCGAACTTCTGTGTACACATTCATCATACACATTCATCGACTTCTTGAGGTTTTTTTCTTTTTGTTCACAAGTCAGTACCAATTTTTCATATCATAACTATTGAGAAGGTTTGCTTTTCATTTCCAGTCAAATTTTCGAAATTTCCGTGAAGCTTTCGTAAAATTTGGTAAGGCAACTTCTAAATCCAGTTCTAGGAATTTTCTGGAGAGCAGTTAAAAAATTTCTTACAGCGACCTGATAGATACCCAAAAACAGTGTTTTTTATGTTTAATCAAGCTCTCACTTTGCCATTACAGAACAAAAAACTAGAACGTTTAAAATGCGCCAAAATCCTTTCAAAAAATCTCAAACGAGTTTTAATTGATATGAAAAAAAAATCTTTAAAAGTAATTTGAGAATGATTTATTTGAAAAAGGTTTTTCTTCCAAAATTCTGATGAATGTGGATCATTTATAAGCTTTACTTGAAAAATTCAAATTTTTTGAAATTGTGTGAAACATTCAAAGTGGCTTTGAGTATAATTATCAAAACTTCACGTCAGGGTTTTATTCATACATTAATTTAGGTTGAAGTCTCAAAACTTTCTTCTTTGAACTTTTATAAGTTTTCAAAAAACCTGATCTGCTTTTCGTGTTCAAAAAAGTTTTCAAAGAATCAGATTAGAAAAGGAAGCCAAAGAAGGAAACTTCGACAAGGTATATGAACGAATGAATCCAATGAAAAATGCATCGAGCTTGGGCTGAAACTAGCGTAGATGAATGGATTGTCTTCGACGCGCGCTCGTCAAAACTCCGGTTTCTGTTGAAATAAAAATAGAACTTTTTGCTCACATGAAGAGAAATTTCGCATATTTCCTTTCATTCGTTCTTACGATATGGGAACTTTTTTTGTAACTAAAAAACAATAATAAGTGAAAAACAAAATAGCAGTTTCCCTTTTGAAGTATGTAGGTGAGAATTTCTGATTTGCGTGAGAATTTTGTCGATGCAAACAATTATTTGAACTTAGCGAAAATAAGTTGAAAGAAAACATTTTTAAAGTCACAGTCGTATGTCTCAAAAAAAAGGATTTTTTTATGATCCTTTTTGAAGCAACCGTAAAAAGATTTTAAAAAAAAACAAGGAGATGATAAATTTATGGTTAATTTACTCCGTCGTACTCCAAAAAGAAAATTAGAAAAGGTGAGAAGGAAAAAGAGATGTGAAGGAGAAGAAAGCATTCAAAAAAGAGGCAATCTTTGGGCTAAAAGTCAGAATCGCGACGCAAATCAGAAGTCTCTTGGCTCACTTCAGAAAAGAAGAAAAAAAAAGAAAGCGGCAACTGAACGGCTTGCTTGTGGGACATGATGAGTCCAGTTGAAATTCAAATTCGAGAGACATTTTCCCATCTCTTCATATTTGCCGCCATTAGTATCGTTTTGCCAAAAAAGGGTCACCAACAAAGAAAAATTTCCACAAAGAACCAAAAAGACAACTTTCTCAAATTGCCTCTTTTCAAATAAAAATGAGCGAAAATGAAGCAGTGAGAAGATGAGAATGCAAGAGAAAAAGGGCACTATGTGTAACAAAATAAATCTAATTTTGTTCAAAAATGAATTAAGAATAATGCTTCAAAAGTGCATATGATTTTTTTTTGAGATTATGGGTGAGAAAAGATTGTTTCGATCGATCATTCGGAATTTACAAAAACGGAATCACACCTCGATTGAAAATCGATTTTAAACGATGAAAATTTGGCTATATTGAACGGTTTTAAAAAAAGAACAACTTGGTTATAAAATTTTTTGAATAGAAAAAAAGAGAAATGGGAAAAAAATGCTTTTTTTCAAACTGTGGCAAATGGAAAACACAAATTTGGAAATTTGGTCCCTTCCAAGAAAAATGGAACAGTGAAGAAAATTCAAAGAAAAAAAAGCTTTGTTTTGTTCGAGTTAATTGTTTTGCGTATGTAGTTGGGTTTGTTCCTTCTTCAGATAAAAAAAAGTTCTTTTTTTTTGCCTGTGAAGACTTAGCCATAGCAAAAGAAAAATGGAGTGAGCGTCGAATTAAAATTCCAAAGAAGTACTTGGAATCGAACAAGATGGAGCAAATACGAAATGAAGTTAACTCAATTATGAAAAAAGTGTGCGAGAAGACAAATAGAAAAAAAAAACATTTTGAAACGGCAATAATCGTTGAAATGAGGGACCAGAGGGAGTAAAATGGATAACACACTGGAAGATTGCCGGAAGAACTGGCGCCGACGGGTGGTAGTCTACGAATAACGAAGGACGCAAAAACGAGTACGAGAGCCTCAGAACTCGATGATTTTGATAGCTCTATGAAGCTATAAGTTACTTGGAACATCGGGAAAAATGAAAAATAAGAAAAAAAGAAAAAAAGAAAGCTCGTTCAGCACCTACCGCTTGTTGTGGGAAAAAAACAAGCATCCGCTGTTGGTTTTCATTCTGTCTCGAGGGGAATCAAAAATTCACGAATACAATCAAGCCTGGTTATTTTGTTCATTCTCTCGGCGGACGATGCGGAAAAATGCCCAAAGGTAATTCATCTTTTGTTAATCACTTCTGCCCCTTGGCCTAAACTGAACATTACTTGTTTTCTGTTAGGAACACAAAACACAAGCCGACACTTTGTGAAGCTCCGCTGGCTTTTTCAAAAGTCGAATCTGCCAAAATATGTTTGTATTGCTGCAGAGACGCAACAAGAAAAATTCAAACTTTGAATAAGGATCTCCCAAGAGAGTTTTTGCGGCGCATCTTTTTTTTTCTTTCGCGACAATAATTTCCGAGGAAAATTGTTTAATTGAGACAAAGAAAAATGATACGAAATCAAATTGGTGCGAGGAGCTTCAAGGTTTTATAGAAAATCTAAAATTTATACAAAAAAATGATCGTAAAGCCCACTGTTTTCAAATCAAGTCTACTCGTATAATATTGAATTTTTTGGGATGATTATCAAGTTTGTTTTTTACGACTTCAAAACTTTAATCTTAACTGAAATAGTTATCGAAAAACTCTCAAAAATCAAGACATGCTGAACTTCTTCAGCCTCACGTTTCTCTCACTTTTAAAATTTTATGCTCAAACCCCAGAAAATTGACCCGCCACTCAAATCAAAAGTTGCAATATTAGACGTGCGGGTTTTCGCATATCATGTACTTCAGTGCATTTGTTCCATCGAAAATGAAAGAATCTTCGGCAAAGCGTCGGTTTCAAAATCAAAAAATACACAAGCGAAAAAAAAAACGAAAAACAAGGTCTGAGCAAGGGCAGAAATCGCCAGAGCTTCTGATGAATTAGAGGCATTTCCTGGCGGCATATCAGGTGAGAAGTGGTCCGGAACGGATGAACCGGCCTGTCGACGCATTCATAAATGATGGCACATCGAGGAATTCTCGAGTCAGAGCGCGTCGAGGAGCTTTTCAAGAGGATTCTACTCAAACCACTGCCGCTTCTCCTCCGTAATACGTTTTCGGTAAACGATTCTTGAAGACCTATTCATTTGTTGAGTTTTTCAGCTTCCTATTCTTATTCACTGAGAAAAATATCTTGTTGGAAACATCTGATAAGGTTTATAACTCCATAATCGAGAACACAAATTTGAGCAACTCGTATTCTTAGTCTTACAAAAGAGGGTTGTTCTTCTCACAGTTAGGCTCATAAATTATTTCTAAGATGCAGTTTTTTTTTTTTTTGAATTTTTCTAGAAGGAATCTTTTTCAAAGTGGTTGATACTTACACCTGGGTCGTTGCCTACTTTAAGCGGCATTTTCATGCATTTCTTTGTTGATTTAAATTCACAATTTAAGATAAACAGGTGTGATTTGCATCTGAAGAACCTATTTTCAATAAGTAGTCTAATCGTGAGATTGTACTATTACTCGGTTTGATTTTTAAAAAAAGATAAGAATTAGTGGAACCAGTTTTCCACATTCGCGTTTTTCATGAAAGTCTCATACGAAATCTTTGATTCCGAAACTTTCAACGCGCCCTGTTCAAGATAAGATGCAGCATAACTCCTCTCTGGCTTCCCAAAAATAGAAGCGCTTTATGTATTTTATGGGCTTCCCAGAACCTGCAATCCTCAACCTTTCAAACTTTCTCCCCAGTGTCTTTGCACTCGACCCATAAAATGAACGCAGTTGGCGGAAATAATAAGAAAAACTGACTGGCTAGGTGAAGGCAGTTGTCGGCTAGCCTCTTTCATTCTTGTCATCAACAAGGCGCATGTCTTGTGGTCACTTACGTCGACAACTCTGCAAGCAATCATGAGTATCTATGAGTGGACTGAGCGTTCGTCCGTCTCTGATGGCTAGAAAATATCCAGCCAATTTCAATTGAACATTTGTTGAGAATGACCAAATACAAGGAGGTCATTTTGCCTTGCGGTTGGGGATTCCCTGAAAATTGACTAGAACACTCACTGATGTACCAAATGAAGATTCTGGGAATCTCCACTTCTCAGTTAATAGGACTAGATGTTTTGGGCTCTGAGCCCTCATTTTTCGAAAACTTTTGATTAGTGAAGATTGAAACTCTCAGGATCTTTTTCTGGTACTTCAATAAGTGTTCAGACCGATTTTCGAAAAAAATAACAGCGGTCAGGTAGAATGAGCTCCTTCGTTAGGGTAAAAAGTTGAAGTCATTCAAGAAAAGTATTTTTACTTCAAACTCGCAGCTTTTACCTTGATTAGAATTGCAAAGTTTGACAGATTGAAAATCCTCAAATTTTCGAAATAAGTTTTTTTTTTTTGAACGACCCCCCTGCACAACATTCAGGCTTTGCAACTTATTCAACTAAATATTAAATTCCTAAAAGAAATATATGAATAACCTTCTTTGAGGGGCAAACAAAAGAGCAGGTGCCAGCAAGCCCATAAGAGGAGCCGCTGACTGTTGAGTCGAGCCCTCATTTTCGAGTAGCTGGTACTTTTGATCAGTCATAATACTACATGTTTGGAGTAATATAGAAGACGAGACTAAAACGAGGCCTGAACTAGCGGTTGCAAGAAGCGCGGAGAAGGAGGGTCGGCGTTTTGGTGCTTCGTCTAGGATTACCGCCGATCCATCCGATGGGCATTCGAGTTTGTCATTTGCGCTTTCGGACTCCGGGCTTTTTTCAACCAGATTTTTGTTGCTCGCTCAGCTCAAAACGCTCGTAAACGTAGTCTACTTCAATAAATCTCTCATATCACTTTCACGAAAAAAAAACTTTGTTTCGTGCTTGGGAATGTTCCGAAAATGTTTGGTCGTTGGTTGAGAAATTCATAAAAAAAATTTACAAGAGTGTATTCGTTGCAAATAAAAATATATCACATTTGATTTTGCCTTTCGATATTGTTAAAACGCTTCAGAAGAACTTGTTTCATTTAGAATCAAGAGACTTCAGATTATATGTTTTACCGAGTTCCTTTCCTGCTACAATAAATTATTTACTTGTGGAAATTTCACTCAAAAAATTTTTCACTGGTGCAACCTCTTGATAATTGTGAAAAAAGTTGGTTTATTCAATCTCATCGCCGTTTTCTCCTATTCAGAAGCATTCGTCCAAAAATTATCCAGATCAAGACTTCCTAAACTTTTATTAATATTAACCTCAGAGCATTTCGCCAAAACTCATTTTGATCAGAAGTTTTCTGGTGCTCAAGTTATAGGATAGTTTACTACTGTTCTTTGCAAATCCTTCAAAAAAAAACTCTCCATCGAAAAACAGCTGTAGACGAGAAGAAACATGAAACCGTGAGAACTCTACCATATGAAATCAAGCTGGCTGTGTTAATTTCTATTTCTTCAGAAATCGTTGTTCAAAGCTCAAAAAAATTTTTTTATAGGCTATTGATTAAAAAAAGTTGTTTATTCGGGGAATTTCTGTCAACTCGAAAGTTTTTTTAAAAAGAAAGTCACTCATTTTATTCAAATAATATAAATAAGAAACAGTTGCTCATCAGAAATGGCGATTTTTACATAAAAATAAAGTTGTTTTCGCACGTTTTTTTATTTTTAAAATCAAAAAAATGCATAACTTTTTTTCAGTTTTCAATTTTTTTAGAACGTTTCACTTAATAAAATTTGCCAGAACTTCTGCTCTTAAACTACAAAGAACAACGAATTGAACAATTTGAAACTAACATCTGAGATGTACGATCCGCATCGCAACCGCCCATGTCGAAGTTGCGGAATGCCGTGCATCAAGGAAAATATTTTCGACAAATAGAAAGCATTTATTTGAATCGAGTGAACTTTACACCAGTTATCTGCTCAAAGACATACTGACGCTAGAAAAGGAAGTCTACTCCGATTACATTCCCAGGCGCAGAGCCACGAATTCTCAATGTTTCATCTTGTATAAGCTCCAAATGCGGCAAGACCGTCAGGTTCGAGGAAAATGATTATCTTCAGAACGAAAAAACCGCTGATTCTTATATTTTTCTGTTCGGATAAAAAAAGGTTTTTATTGAGGTCCGATTTCAAAATTCGCATTTGACTTTGCAGGAACTGAAAAGTTATAGTTTATACATATTTGAGCAAGTTCCAGTTTTAAAGTTTCCAACTTTTCTCGAAAGAAAATTGAGTAGGAAATATTTTTGTATTTGAATCTTTGAAAATTTTTTGAATTAAAGCTTCAAAGTTTCAATATACTCAAAATCTCAGTGATTAGTTATTCCAATGCACTTTTTTTCGGTACATGATCCTCTTCTTTACTTTTTTTTTCGTATTTGATTCCAGTGAGTAAATTTATGATCATTATTAACCGGGTCAGCCATCGCAGTCAATATAAAAATTGATAAAACTGATTAAAAAAGGAATCGATTTTTCAACTAACTGTCTTTTTGGTAAAGAAAAAATCGTTGAGCTCATCATCGGTTATCAAAAATGGTAGGAAAGAAAACTGTTCAGAAAGAAACCTTCTGCGATGGGGGCTGGAGAACTTGCGCTCCTCGTCAATGCAGCTGGAGAAGCTGGTAGACGGGGATAAGGTCCCGGCGACTTCGAAGGAAGACGACGGTGCTGTTGGCTTCGCGCCGCCCAGCAACGATGCTCTCCGCGCTGCCTGAATCCGTCAGCTGTTTCGCTTCCAACTTCAAAATTTCAAAAAGTTACGTCGTAGTCACTTTTTTCGTGATATCAGGGTTTAAAATAGGAAATGGTAAACTTTGTTCTCTTAAAGAAAGAAACCGAGGAGCAAATCGGAAATTCAGTTCGAAAGCGAGAAGTATATTCATAAAAAATACTTCAGAGAAGAAAAAAAACATTCACCCTCCGCGCCATAGTTTTGCAACTAAAAAACTGTCGGGATGAATAAATAAAACTTGAAACTCTTTCGTCTTGATTTTTTTTTTTCCGAAAACTGTCTTCCAGACGTCATGTGAACAATAAAAAAACTTTTTTTCTATTTTTTTCTCTATAAAAACCGTTCTGCCTTGAAACTTTGGATACACCCTTTTTTTCTGTATTTTTATGTGGTTTGGCGAACTTTTTATGAGTGTTAAATTTCCACTCTTGGCGGTAGATCTAATTTTTGACGCAACGGGACTATTCAACCGTCAAGATCACAACTTATTAACAATGAGCCCAATAATATGAGTTAAAAATTCCTAATCCATGAACAGCCTGAAAAATCTTAAAATTATTTTTCCTGTTATGAGAACAATGTGCGGACAAATAAATCGGTGATAGAAAAAGTAGGGTAGTCGGATAATTTACAAAATATCTAAGTTTACTAAAAGTTTTTGAAAAAAAACTCACTTCGTGTTTAAATTTGGATTTTGAGAGTAATCATGCGAGAGACGAAAACTTTCATTGAAGAAAAAAGAAACGAAAATGGCAGGTAGAACGTCAGAAAAGGATTATTCCATGATCGCTTTTCGTGGCTTTTTCATTTTCTGTCGTGCGTATTCACACAGTGAGAATTGAATCAAGATATTTGCAATTTGCAAATTTGAATGATCAACAACTTGATTGTTTTACAAAAACCGTCTAATATTGAAAAAAATATCTTTCGTTCCTCATTAGCTTTGCAAAAAATAATAAATCCAACGTGCAGAAACCGATAAATACTTTGGGAATAAGTTTGCTGTTCTTGAAAACAAATGCGTCAGAGAATTTTTTACTTCGAGCATCTACAATTAAAATTTTGGAAAAAGTTATTCTCGAAAAGTTTTGATGGCAAAAAATTATATTTTTTCATTTTCAAATCGAGCGCAGATATCGCTTCAAATTGGCAAAAAAACCCTGTGGCGAAGGAAACAGTTGCAAAAGCGCTTCTGAAAGAAATGGAAAACTCTCTGAACTTTTCTAGAAGTTAGAAAAAAAGTTTATAAGTTGTAAGAAGTGAAGATTGAGACTCCCGACAAAAACAGAAGCCGGCCATTGAATAATAAGGAGCAGCGTTTGACAGAATTCCGCTCTAGAAGTTGCGAACAATGCCGTAAATGGAAGTGGAGCACGAGGGCCAAAAGGTGGCTGGTCGAGGTCCGCCCCATGAAGAAGCTGAATGAGAATGAGCACGTTTCCTCCAACAATGCCGCGGCCACTCGAGGCACAACTCCGTGGTTCTTCGGGATGTATAGTTATTGTTTCATGAAAACGAGAGAAACGTCTCCAAGGAATCAAGTTCACATGTTTTTCGTCAGGAAATCACTGAAATTGATGAGCAAAATTCAAGGGTTTCAGCCGCCTTTTCAAAATCAGATCTTTCTATCTATAAGTTTTTCGCGTTAACATAGTTTATTGAACAAAATCAAGCTCACAGTGCAGAATGATTTTCAAAGTACTTTCTGCGAAAACGAATAAAAATTTATAAGCCTGTACAATTTCTTTTTACCTCAGATGTTTGGAAAACGTTTTTTTCGGTGAAAAAAAAGCTTCGAAAAAAAAATAAAAAACGGAAAAATGTCGAGACAAAATACTCTTATTTTTCCGACAAAAACAACGTACACAAGTATCGGCTAGCTCTTACGGACTTAGTTTAAGTGAAAACCAGTTTCGAACAAAGTTGAAACTTTTCCGAATCATAGCACCAGTTCTCTAGAAAAAGCACTAAAAGGAAACAGAAAAAATTGAGAGCTTAAAAAAAGTGATACCAAAATTTATAATTCAAAAAAACGAAGATTGAGAAAGTAAAATCGGCCGCTCGTCTGATCAAGAACTTTTTTCTGAAGAAATTTTTGAAAACGGCGTCCAATTTTGAAGTTTTTTATAAACTAAACAAATAACGCCCTGCTTCGAAAATGCGGCAGTATAAAAAACTCGAACAGCTACACGAAATGACTTTGAAAAATGGGAGCTGTGAAAAAGTTATGCAGAATGTGCTCTTGAGAGCGGCCGCCTCGCTCAAATAGTATAAATGGGAAAAGATTTATGCGGCACGTTAACCTATTACCTGCCTTTTCGAGGCCGCCTAATTTCAATCAGAGGGCATGTCTTTCAGCTGGAGTGCGTCAAACCAGACAGAGTCGGGAGCAAGTTGGCAGCCAACGGATACACTCCATCGAAAAGGAGAGAAGCCAAGGCTTTTTTTGCCCTGCCTCTGTCTTATATTCGCCGCTGCCTCCGAGTGTCTCACGTTTCGGTGGCGAGTGCGCGCTGCGCTGAATGCGAGATATGCAATACTCGGAAAATACCTAATCGAGCTGGAAAGAAAAGTTATAGAGTGAGGTAGGATGAAAGGGCAGTCGGCAGATAATTCGATATCTCGGTGCCGTTGCAACTGATTAACGGACTTCATTAGCGGTACGGTAGCTGTCCATTTTTTATTCAATCATAAGTACTTTTGATCTTTCCATAAATAATTCACCTTGGCAACAGTAAGAAAAATATTCATTTTTTTCTCACAAGTTGTTTTTATTCTAATTTTGAAATGTTTGAATAATCTCACCAAGATCCGAATAACTCCAGTATACATAATTAACTTTCTCAAGCAACTAAAAGCTCCTGCGATTTTATTTAGTTCTTCACAAAGTTTGCTTCCAATCTAATCCTTTAGCGAGTTTAAAACAAAAACTCTTATTAAGAATCTCTATCTTAATTCATACAAATGATAATGACAGTTCATTCTCAGAAAATTCATGATTCAGATATTCAGATACCCGTTACGTGAAAAAACAAATGAGAGAAAAATCGGCGAAATCAGGAAAGAAAGCTCTTCAAAAAGTTTAACTTAATACGTAGGCAAAAGCAGCGGCGGGGCCATCAGAAGGTGGAAACGGAACGAAAAAAAGTGCGCGAGGCGCTCCAGAAGTTGGACCTCTCCATCCGGTCCGCCATGCATTCTTCCCAGTGTTTAGTTGCTCTTCTCGTCGTTTCACCAATTTTTGTCCCACTTTTTCACCTCGAGACTCCGCCCAACTTCTTCCTAATTTGGCCAATTAGTTATCCGATCACCGTTTTTTCGAGGCGTCGGCTAATCAAGCTGCCCGTGGCAACTCAAACAAACGCTCTCGCAATTAACTGCGAGGCGTTGTCTCTAAAAACGTGTCGCTTTTCATAAAGTTGCCAACTGCTTTTAAAATGTCGCCTCATTTGAAGGTTTTGTATTTCATCAAAAAGCACATCGTTTGTGCTAAAATTAAAATCAAGCGTAACTTGAAATACAATTTTTTGTGTACTAAATCTAACTCTAGGAAAAAAATTAAGACGTGAATATTAGAACAGGCAGCATTTCTAAAAATGACTAGGAATGTTATTTGGAGGTCGATAAAAAGTGACAATCTGGGAGAGTTAACTTCGAACTTTTCTGATTCCCGATTGCGAGAATATTTTTTATAGTTTTTGTCTTTGAGCTGAGCTATGAAGTCCTAAAGTTTGTAGGCTGAAAAAGTTCATTATGGTTATTCTAGCAAATGGCAAGCTCTCATTGAAAGTTCAATAAAATACAATATTATAAAAATCCACGAAAATTAAATATATCCTTTTTTTGCAACATAAATATAATCAAAAAAATTATGAAAAAGATTAAAAAAATTTACATTTGATTGAAAAAAAGGTGTACAAATTCAAAAAAGAAGTTTAAGTATATTCCTGCTTGAGGACGCTGCTAAAGGCGGAAGCGGTCGAAGAGTTCCTCTCTTCTCCCACTTTATTCGCCGAAATCTAATAAATACAAAAATGAACACGACTGGGCCACGTTGTTATTGTTTTTTCGTCGACACAACGTAGCGTAACTTAGTAGAAATGCAAGGATCTCGTGCTCCAATTAACAGTTGAGAAGAAGCTGCGAAATGCCACCTCTAACACTTTTTTTTTCACCCGCGTTCCTCGTTTTTCTTGTCTTACTTAGGCGAGAGTGAATAATTGCGACAACTTTGCAGACATTCAGTTCTTGAATTATTCAATAAATCTCACAAGAAGCTCGTTCACCAAAGGAGCAGAAAATTCCTCTGTGTCTTGAAGGGCCTCCTTCAGATTGCAAATTTGAATCGAAGTTTTGCAGATTTTTTTTTTGGATTGGAGGAAGCGTTTTTACGCGTTCTTGCTGACTGAGAATTAAAGAGAGATCTGAAAAAATAATGAAAGTTTGATAATATTTTAAGTTAACAATTATTTTTCTTGTGCATTCCAGAAAGAATGTAGTTTCAGAACCGGAATTTGCAACCTGAAGTTAAAATATGAAGGTCCGAAAAATGATGTTTTTATCATTTAGTTCAGTAAAGAAGCGCATTTTTCGAATTCGTTAAAAATGGCTGAAATCCCGAACAATTAAAGAAAAGTTGTTCGAGGTCGAGCGCAGTTCAAATGGTAGCATTGAAGTGGGAATTCTAGTATCCAAAAAAAAATCAGTCACACCGCTTTGAGCCATTTTCGCGATTGGACGACGAAAAGCGAGATTTTCAATTCGCAAAGTTTAAAAAAAAAAATTTACAAAAATTCGATATTCTCTGTTCCCCTAAATTTCAAAACAAAACCGTAGCACTGATATCAACTTCCAAACTAACGAAGGGTAGCCGCTGTTTTTTTTTTCCGTTATCAACGCGTCGAGCTTCGACAGAAGAATATTGTGTTACCTGTAGAAAGTAGGACAGCATGGACAGTGGAGCCGGAGCCACGGCATGGGCTT